TGTACTACCTATTATGTTGATGGGCATCGAAAAAAACAAAAGGATTATACAAATGGGTTTCGATTTAATTCGGAGCTACTTTCATGGTCTGATGGAATTAATGCCCCGTTTGGGTTAGTTCGACATTAAAAATGAAATACAAATTTTCTAAACCAAGTGTATTTTTTATCGTTTTAACACAGCTGTAACAGTTTATTGACCTATGGTACAATGATTTCGGTTAGGTCGGGTCGAACACCGTTCTATTTATAAAGAGTGATCTATTCCAATATCTGTTTTGGGTGCTACACGGTTCGTCGAGGATTGTGCTTCGCGAATTTACAATCGCGCTACTTAATGAGATAATGAATTTTTCATGATCGGAAAATGAAATCTCTTCTGCGCCTTCTATTTTCCGTTCTTTCTATTTTTTATTTTCAAGGATTAATTGACATTCTATGGGCGTGTGCGTCCACGCACTTGGGCCAATACTAAAGCCACGACTACGAGCTATTGAAAATGCGTGATAGCTCGCAAATATGCGTCAGTAACACCTCTTCAATTGGCAGCCGTACGTGGAAGCTTCGTATGCTAAGTTGGTATCGGTTTCATGACCAAGTTCACGAGTTCAATGTCATCGGGTCGAATGTTGTGCAATATTACTACTGCAAACTTTACCTTCCAGTATGCATGGTTATGTAATATCTTTGAAGTTGTAAAGAAAGAAACGTTTATATCAATGAATTATTTGTATTCTAAATTAATTTAAGATATAACGTGGTCGTACATGTGATTAAAAAATTAATCTTTAGTTAAAACGTGCGACCTGTTTCATTATTATTAAATCATACAGTACCTCCTTCTGGTATAGAATAATAAACAATGCTTTTTTTGCTTTCTCGATTTGCGTTGTCTCCGTTAATCACGTGTTTAGTCCGGATATTTTTGCAGACGCAATGCACTCACATGAACGTTAAGAATCTTATAACCTCGAGATACCGAGCGTTTTATTTCATGTCCGGAGATCTGTGGTGATCTGTTTTAACGCTTAGCTAATAGCCCGGTTAGCATTTCCTTGTCCCGGTGCATAAGCAATAAATTATTGCTGATAATTGGCTCGAATAAGTAATCGAGAATGATTCAGCAAAATATATAAGTAAGGACGTTTGGTTTTTGTTTCTATATATTTCAATCTAAACGATTTTGGAAATTTTCTGGAACCAATGTTAAACTAATCTATTGTGCAACGAGCGGTTCAGTTTACGCAAATTTACCGAATTTTATGGTGCAGGAATTTTTACGCTTATTTATAACAGTAGATTTAAGCCAGTTAATTTACAGGTAAAACGACCTCTTTTCATTTTTCTTAACCAATTATGGTATTTTCAAAGTTTATTTTAAAAGCTCCGTAATTATATCCAATTCTTGTCTCGACATGTGTTATTCGAGCGTTGCGTCATTCCTCGACAATAGAAAAATAATTGAAGTGTGCCCGGTTTATCTTCGATCTCAAAGACTTTAGGGCCAGATTGCAATAACCCTTTGAAATCGATCTAAGGGGCATTTCCGCAAACCTGACCTTACAGCAGACGCGCGGCAGATGTTTTAATAGCCCAGACAACTATTAAAAAGGCGGAAGGGTTTTACACCCCTTCCCTTTCTTCAAAGCAGGTAGCGAAAAACTTAAAAAAATCGCCGTGAACCATCATTAAGTGAAAAGGGTGGTTGGATTTTTTGCTACTCGTAAGGGTGGTGCATCTGTATTTTTTATACTCATCGCCAAAAGATTGTCTTGGTCATTATAAACTACTTAAGAAATGATATATAACCACCATTGCTGCGTTATTTACTCGTGAAGAAATAACGATCCAGGTGCGCAAACGGGGATTTTAAATTCTTCGCTTGAAATCTTTTAAAAACCTGCATTATAAAGGATTTAATTGGGCTGACAAGGGTGTAAACGCGCTGACCACGAAAGGTGTGCGCATCTTCGGAAGTCGTAGTTGACCACACCTGAAAAACTGACGATTGTGTGTGTCCGATGCGAAAAGCTCGCCGTTTAATCGCGTATGCCTCCATGGCAGTGTTAACAAAACCTTTTGGGATTTGCTGTCGGTCTTTGAAAAGCACTCAACCGATTGTGGGTTTGAACTCAATGGGGTGTTAACATAATAGACGCGTGGCATCTTTTCGTGAAGGATTAGCAAAATTTTTGAGTTTGTTAAAATATATTTTTCTTTAAAGAGTTATTTATAAACATGTTTGTTTGTATAATGAATGTGAAAAAGGTGTTTTATGTAATATGTTTTGTATTTATTTCGTCGTTGTAATAAAAGTGAGCACGAGACGAGTATGGAAGAGACATTACGTAATTTTCTCGTTGAAAGAGGAGGTCCTTCTTCGCGGCGACGTTTATTATTAGCAATGTCACCTGAGGCGGCGCAGTCATCATAGTACCTAGTGACTTAGTGGGCATACTAACTAAGCAGTACACGTTCGCAATCTCTCCTATGGGCGCGTATCGTCTTTCCCGGTAGCCGCAGAGATTCCTGGCTAAAAACCAAAAGTAAATCGCTGACCAGAATGTACACTTGGCAGCGGGCATTACGTAGGCATGCGACCACTCGGCCACTGCTGTCATACTAACACTGTAAGGAGCCAGCGGTGGCATACACATGTGCGTATTTAAATGTATGTTATACGGTCTCGGCTCTCGCTGGCCGCAGCTACGTGACTGCCTATAAACAATAAGTATTGCATACGATTGACCCGGGGAATGGCTTTGTGCCACTTCGCAAGTTTAGACTTTAGATGCACGCCGGGCAGGATATCGACGTAATGGCGCTGCCGTAATCGCTTCCTGAGAACCTGCGCTTGTTTGTTTTGATCAGATGCAGCAATGCGATTCTTATCAGATCGATACAAACCAGTCTTTCAATCAACGTTTTCGAAGAACAAAAATTTACAAAAAAAAATTTCGAAACTTGACGTGGTGAAGGATTTATCACGGGATGTCATAAAACAACATCCATAAATTTGTGGCTAGCCAAACAGCTACCACCCTTGGTTTTAGTGGCACAATGGAAACCGGCTCAATTATGTCGAATTGAGGTGTGAAAAAAACGATTGGCAGTTACTTCGCGGAAGAAACGGTAAATCAACCTCGGATGGTCTCATCAGGACAAAGAACTTTTTGGGGTGAAAAACTAAAAAAAAGCAAATTGAGCGAAATGACCTAACGGTCACACACAACGGTCCGAGGTCGAGCAAAACAAACAAAGTCGAAGATTGGACTTCTTCCATTTTTTTTTATTTCGGGACAGCACACACCCGTGGTACAGTTATTTCGGTCGAAAAGACGTGGGTGACTCCGGATGAATCGCAAAAAGGCTTCCTTGTTTATAATATTTTCATTATCATCTCTTGACTTTTTTAAGTATTTATTTTAATAATTCATATTATTTCGTTACGACTTTTTTTAAGTAATGCATTTTTCACATCTTGATTTTACAACTTTTAATTGACAGCAATTTTTTACATAAAATACTTCATGGAATTCCAAAATGTACTCAAAATTATAATATAACCAGTGTCGCAAATGTTGCAGGGTGCAGAATGATGTTGTGCTTAATTTTTGTGCTCTTTTTCCAATAAATCCCTCACACCTTGAAAATTTACAAATTTTAATTAAAGGCAGTTTTTACGTAGAATTTTTCGACGAATTTGAATATGTACTCAAAATTATAATTTATCCAATGACGTGAATGTCGGAGGTACAGAATAAATACAGGGTGTGTCAAATGTCTGGAATATAGCCAATACTTCGCCATTTATGGTTTTAAAGAAAAATGTTTCAAATACAAGTTTCTTTATTAATCATGGCGCTTTTTTTGTCGATATTTACTTGTATTGTTTTTTGTTTCGTTGCTATGGCAACCAACATTGTTATTTTAAATGGGATGCATATTTTTTTTGCATACTTTTATAGAGGATAAGTTCTTTCATGCGACAATGTAATAATTAATAAAGAATTTTTATTTGAAACATTTTTACTTAAAACCACAATTGGCGAAGTTATTGGCTATATTCCAGACATTTGACACACCCTGTATTACAACTTTTGATATAGTGTGCCTTTTTTATGTAAAAATGGCGCAGAAAATTCAAAAATGTACTCATGATTTTAATTAAGAATTCATTCAGGCTTTTTTCATAAAAACTACTTTTTTGTGTATTTATAGTAAAAATTAATACTCTTTCATAATAATATTCTCAATAAGTATTGTAAATTGTATTGTACAAAACACAGAAAAAACTACTTAAAAATTTACAGTCCTCGGTTAATTTAAGGGCGTAAAACACTAAAAGTAGTATTGTTAGTTAAAGAAACGTTTGCAACTGTGCGTTTTACAACAAAAGCCTCATTGTCGCAAACATATTTATCCGTAAAATTGGAGAGGCATGGTACGTATTGACAGGATTAAGTATTGTAATTTAAAAAAAGACGTCAAAAATCAGGTAGCTCGGTTCTTTTTTTTGTCTTATTGTGGGATTAAAAAGAACGATTTAAACCCACCTTTTTAAAAACGAAACAAAACGTTTGGTCGATGATTATTCACGGCGTTTCCTGATCTTTCTGATCCTTTTTTGACATACGGCTCTAATTCTTGCAAGATGCATCCTTGAAAGCGACCAGGAACAGGATGTGGTGGTTCCGTTCGACGACGATGTGTCACAGTCGCTCCATTTAATTTCAAATGCAACGAGAAACAATACTAACCTTGATTAGGTGCTTTTTTTATACGATCTTTTAAAAGACTAAACGAGCACGCTGCATCTTGTTAGAAACCGCTCGTTTTTTTATTTACCTTTTCGTAACAGGCTGCTGCAATACTCACGCATCGAAATAATATCGCTGCCTTGAACTTTTCGATTTTCATTTCCTAGTGGTTTACGGTGTCTATGCATGTATGTGTATGCGGTAGTAAGAGAAGGGAATTATACATAAGACAACACACCGATAAAAACATCATAAAATTTATTATTGTTATAAGCAGTTTTACACTTCTCACGATACACTCGGCAATAAGTACAAAGTTTCACATGTAAACGACGGAATTCTTAATACATCAACTGAACAAAAATGCCTTTGAAAGGGCTAAAATTGGCGCTCCCGTTGCGGGATTAGGAAAATCACCTGCCGATCCAGCGATATCCAAATGGCTGTATTTAATCGGTTTCTGGTTACCAGATCCGTGCTTGTCCAAACCGGAAGCGAGTATAAGGAAACCGGCTGGGCCTGCAAAAGAGCGATGGACGTAAATTACATGTGCAAAAGGCGCGACATAAAATGTCAAATATAAACGTGACGTAACAGCGCGAGTACACGGCGCGAGGTAGTAAGTGTTCATTCATGCATTTGACCTTAGATTATGTAATAAAATTGTGCGTTTTATAGCTTAGTACTAATCTATCCGTGTATTGAGCAGGGGGCACTTGGCCTTGGTCATATTGACGCCCGATTCCTCGGGATTACTTTTCTTGTCTCGCGAGACGATTGCAATCGATTGCATAAGGAAACCAATAAAAAACGAATTCAATAATATAACTTGAATCGACTTAAATATTCACTAAATATTTAAAAATTTTATTTATTACCTTGATGACCTCTCGCAGTTCTTGAAGATGCAGCGTTACTACACTGCATTACATCATCCCCTTGAGCTTTTCCCCTATGGAAAGCTAAATCCTCTCGTCGTATTGTGGACACCTCAAAAGGATCGGAATATTTTTCACCAGCCGTTTGAAGCCTAGTACTAGTACCAGCTCTCTTAGCGGGCCCATTATCCATAACTGCAAATAAGAATTCACATAAGAATTCCCAATTAATATGCATTTAATTCGTGCGAATCGAGACAGGAAATGCACCCCATTAAATAAAGTTTTTCTGTTAACCATTAATTATAGTCGATTCGCTCAAAAAATGGTACAATTTCCTCTCTGGACCGACGTAATATGCAACATCCTCTTCCAGTTGGAGCGCAACTTAGCTTATAGACATACGAATTATAAATCGATAAAATATTGAAGACAAGAAGACGAAGAAAAGTAAATAAACGGTCGAAATTGAGGTCAGCGATAGCATTTCATGGAAGACAGTGAGTAACGGTGCTGATTCGCACTTCCCTCGGCCATTCCGAACTTATCATCGTTGACCATCGCGAACGGAATTGGAACACCGCTTTCTTCGTTTCCCCTCACTCCGCAGAGGAGGAAAAAGCAAAGGAAAAAAGCGTTTTCCCTTCCAGCGACCAGGTGTCGAGATAACTGTTTCTCTCCTCCTCCTCCGCCTCGTCCTTCTTCTATGCCGACTTTTTGAAGGAAATTGTCGTCGCGAAGGGGTCCGCTATGCGACCCCGTTTCAACCGCGCATAAAATTCCAATACTCCCACCGCCGTCAGGTTAAAAATCCCAGAATCCTTCTGAACAGAGGAGATAGAGTCGGACTGTTGAACGCGGAAACGGCTACCATAGGCATAGAAACGACCTGGTCGTGTGCTGAACCGACATTGCCTTCTGTACAAACCGATAAAAAATCGAATACCACTGGTACATAACACTTAATGAATATTGTATCATAGCCAGCGTCATGGTTGTGTTACCCTTTGCTTTAGAAGGTCTCCGTAACTGTAAACGCTCTCAAGGCTTACAGCTGATAATTACGATACTTCGATTACATAAAATCTATAGCTAAACACTGGTGATTCAGGTTGTTAGACGATTTAATATTTTACATGGAAAATAAGAATTTAGAGCTTTTATTCTTCGAAACATTCATAAATGAACTCGAAAATATAATTAATTTAAGTGGCATGAATGTGAGAGACCCGAAAATGAAGATACTTTGAATTTTTTGTGTTATTAATGTTTATCGTTATAAAATGATCTTTATCTTGGCAACATTTGATGATACAACTTTAATTAACCGTATTACTTAAAGAAAAATACTCGAAAGAAATCAAAAATACTTATATTTATAATTTAGTTAATGTCGTGTTTTTTTTTACCAAAAAAATCTTCTTATCTCAGGGACGGTTGTCGCCACAAATTTTAATTAAAGGTACTCCTTTACGAAATACACTTCCAAGAATTCAAAAATGGACTCAAAATTACAATTTATTCAGTGGCGTGACTGTCGTAGGGCACAAAATGAAGCCACCTTGGATTTTTCGGGTTCTTAATGTTTGTTCGCAAAAAATCTTTTTTATCTTCAGAATGGTTACTCATGCAACTTTTGATAAGTAGTACTTTTTTATGCAAAATACTTCAAAGAATTCGAAAATGTACTCAAGATTATAATTTAGTTAGTATAATATATGCAAGAAGCTGTTGAATGATACCCTAAATTGTTGTGTTTTTTAACCAATAAATCTTTTAGTCTTTGGGGACGCTTGGTGTTACATCTTATAATTAACAGCACTTTTTCATGTAAAATACTTCGAGGAATTCATAAATACATTTAAAATTTTAATTCGGTGAGTGCCGCAGATGTTGCAGGGGTGATATGCTTAATTTCTATGATTTTCACCAAAAAATCGGTTACACCTTGAAACGGTTGATGTTACATCTTTTAATGAAAAACGCTTTTTACATGACATACTTCAAGGAATTCAGAAATATACTCAAAATTAGATTTTCAATAAACGATATTGAGATTAAATCTAATTAAAGTTTCATATGGGTTAAATAATATTAAAGACTTTAAATAAATGATTGTATCGTTTTACGAAATCCGACTTCTAATAAGTGTAGGAGTAAATGTAGTTTTTCCAATTACAATTTGGAATAATAGATGATTTCATCGATAATATGGAGTGATATTTGAAGTGAAAGTGTATCTATATCCGTAAGTTTTCCACCTGAGAAACCAGCGATAAATGAGTCAGCCCAAAAGAAAACCACATATGCATATTAAATAGAAAGTTGTCAGCTATAAAAAAAGGTCATAATTTAAAAAATCTGGGTTAGATTCCTTTACAAATACCGAAATGGAAAAAACTTGTTTTGTTAAAAACAAAAAATAAAAACGTCCGATGAAAAATGACGATAATGTGAATGAAATATGAAATATGCGATGAAAATTTTTGCTGAAATATGTAAACGATGGAATATGTTATAATAATATTCCATTATAAATAGATATTTAAAAAACATCGGGCAACGGTTCTTTCTGTACGGTTTCCTTTACACGCTGACCCCAATCTAATGCTAATATTAGCTGTTTTTTACTGTGAAACTAACGGTATTATCGTACTAACCGCCTATACTAATTCAAAAATTTTGTGAATTTAATTGGTCACCAAGTCTACAAATTTATTTGTAATAAAATCCAAATTCAAATAATAATCATTAAATTAAGACCATTTAATAAAACCTATAAAAAAGTATCAACAAGACTTTTACATACCAATAGAATATCCAGTTCCAACTGTTAGAAATGCATGTCCTGTTAACGTAGCTATAGTAAACAAACTTGGATTAACAGCATCCATCGCTAATTCCTTCATCTGTAATAAATAATAAAATATAAAATTTAAATGACTGTAGGTTAGACAACCAAGCAAACAATTCGAAAGTCAACTTAAAGCAAACTATAATAATCTTTTAAGCAAAGTTTCAAACTTCCTTCATAGATGGTGCATTAAAATTTTAGAAATAAAGAAATCTTTTAAATTTCAAATAATATCTTGTCACTTCTGTCTACAATACATAATCAACATTGTTTATAATTGGCAAATATTGTAAACAATATTTACCTGATAAGATTAAATACTTCACAAGTAATTTTTTTAAAATATAAATACCAACCTTACAAAGAACATCAGCCATAACCATTCTTCCTTCAGCGTCGGTATTTCCAACTCGGACTAAAGCTCCCGATCTAGCTTTAATAAGTTCATCGGCAACATAACAGTTGGATCCAACGCTATTCCTCACTAAACTCAAAGCTCCAATTACTTTAACGTTTTCCGGCTTGAGTAAATTAACAACTTGCATAAAACCAGCCACGGCTGCAGCTCCACATTTATCACGTGACATTCCCGCCATAATTCCCCCAGCTTTAATATCAGCACCTCCAGTATCATAAGTAACACCTTTTCCGACTAACATAATAGTTTCGATAATTTTACTTTGATCCTGGGGGTTATACTCCATGTAAATAATTCTTCCTCGGTGGCGTTCAACGACACTAGCTGCTCTATTAACAGCTTCGAACAAAGGATATTCTTTTGAGATAACAGAAATGTCGTCGATAACATCCAATTTTATCGAGGAATTTTTAAACGCCGACTCGACGTATTCTTGGACTTTAGGAGGAGCCATTCTTTCCGGATCTCCAGATCCTATGTCCCGGGCTATTTTTAAACCACTTTCGAGGATTAACGCTTGCCTTAAAACGCTGGTTGTTTTGTCTTTGTTGTCGGTCCATATTCCCAATTTTTCGATCGTCGGGAGTTTTTTGGGATTTAATTCTTTAATTTGTAAAGGCTGAAAAGATTAAAAGAAGTAAGATAAAATAGTATTTGAAAGGATTATATTTATTTCAAGTGGGTTGTTTCTTTTAAAATAGATGGTGTTATAAATCATATTGGACAATTAAGATTGCGTAAATAATTTGTTATCATAATGAGATGAGACAAAATTGAATTGGTTTTAAATAGAATTAGATGATAAACTTTTTTGATTTATTAAATTCAATCATTTTTATCAATATTAAATAAATAGAAATACTTGACTCTATGGTAAATTGTGGTTATCTTTCCAACGGATCAGGTTTGAATTACATCCCACATTTACATGTCTCCAATTGCAGTTCTTCTTCTTGCCCCTATTTTTAATGTAGGAAATATAGATGACAAGTGGCTTAAATGTAATGGAGGTATACTCTGCCTTTTTAATACCATAAAAGCGGATTAAAAGACCTCGAACAAAGAGTGGTAAAAGCTACGAAGGAAGGGAATGCGGGAGAAATAAACATTTGTGACAAAAACAGGTGATGCATAATACCAAGGCTGCAGCTGCTTACCTTGATATGATGCAAAATAATATTACACTGGTCCAAGAACCTTGCCTTATTAAATCCAGATTAATCCAGATTTAATACAGACAGGAGGTTAATTCTGGGCGTGCTACTATTTTGTGGTGCCTCAAGCTTGGAAAGTTAAAAATTTTCTAAGACACCTCTTTCAAGTTGAGAAATCTCTCTGGATATCTATCAGAATACCAAGAAAACCCCGCTAAATGGTTGGCCAATGAAGAAAATTAAAATAGTTTTGAGATACAAAACTAAAAATAACTTAAACTCAGCTGTGATTACATTGATTCCTTAAGCTTGCATCAAATAGTGGTTTGATTGTTAGAGCCTTTAGTAAATACATGCTTAGGGGGAAAGATGCAATTAACTTTTGGGTTGGGTTGGGTTTTTATTGGAGAGGCTCACAAACAGAAGGATGACGGTAGAGATAGAAGAGAAATATTAAGTCAAGAGCAGTACGGATACAGGAAGGGGAGGGGAACGGTAGATGCTGTGATGGCTGTGATGGCTGTGATACACCGAAAAAGAGAGCAGGGGAAAACTTCCTTAACACATAGAGGCCTCTCTGTAATGGTAATATTAGATATAAGAAATGCATTCAGTACCGTGGGAGGAGATAATGGAGGCGATGGACGAGGGAGGATTCTCAAGAGGAATAAACGACCAAATACCTTAGGCAGGGTGTCTGTTTGCAGATGTTTCCCCAGTCTCGTTAAGAAAGGGTTTGGTTGGGTTAGGTTGGGTTTTTGGCAGCTGATATAGAAAGGTTTGCTTATGAAAAAGTTCTATTGTTTATACGTAATAAGTTATCTATCAAACATGGAAATTTTTCACTACAGAAAGGATAAAATGCTGAGATGAATTGACAGAACGCCAAAACTGCATTGCAAAATTTCGATGCGATAATTTTGATAATGATAAGAAGAAAATGTCATCACTGGGAACTAGAAACTGGTTGTCTACAACAATATTAAAAGCAAGAGATCATGGTGTAAAAAATATGAACTGGCTCAAAGCACTTCGAAAACCGATATTCATCAAAAAAGATGATGTATAGGTACTATCTCTTTTGTGGGATTTCAAAGGAATCATTCTGATTATTATTTGTTCCGGTCTTTACAAAGTTTTTTAGACGGCGACTCAAATGAGGAAGTCAAAAATCACCTGGATCAGCTTTTTACCAGCAAGATGGTTTTGCAGGAATCATGGTACTGCCAAAAAGATGGCAACAGGTTGGACCAGAAAGGACAATATATAATTAAGAAAACTTATATTTAACTTAACTTATAGAGTACCTTCTATCATCACCATACTTCTTCCTGGAAATAAAGTTGGTAAAGAAACTCTGTTCCGCTTTTTGATATCTCACTATTCTAGGAAATTATGCGTCGACAGATGATGAGAATACATTATGTATTTCTTGGGAGTGAATATTAAATATGAACCTTGATAATATCGGGTTTTTGTTATATTTCGTAACTCTCCAGAAAATTTGAAAAAATTTTGTGATAATTATTTGGGTTAATTGATTGAAAAGATATAATAGAATATTTTTTTAAATTAATTTTTCTAATTCATTTTATAAATGCGTGGTTATTTTTAATCATGTGCAAAAGATAAGAGCGCGATGTAATCATAATCCGTAGAGGACAATTACTCTTTTTACACACATATTTTTAAACGTTATCAGTAATAAATTCGAAAAATGGCTCATTGAAGGACATATAAACAAAATAGAATCGTATTATTTAAAAAATGTCATTTAACATTCATCATTGAACTCTATAAATATAATGTACTCTGTCCAAGGTCAATATTTTTATCGATACATTTCGACTTATGAACATAACAATATCAACAAGTAATTACTTTTCATCATTAGTTAATCCAACAATCGTACTTATTCGTGTAATGATTCATCTCATCGTTTTTCTTTTGTTATTAACTCTTTTGTTTGAAATTTAAAATAAGAAAGAATTAAAAAAATTACCACATATAATCCTTCAAAAACTCCAAGTAATGTCACCAATTCGGCGTCTTCAAAATCAGGATGTGTTTGTAGTGCTATCAACAACTTTTTAAATCCTGCTTTTAAAGCGGTTTGTACTCCTTTGACTGCCGTTTCCCGTAACGACCTCACATCATCGTAGTCGGGATCAATAGTTCCAGTTGGGGCATGAATTAATCGACTACCAGGATTTTCTTTCAACGGTAAAATTCTTATTTCTTTTTCAGCGAGTGGATCGACTGTTAAACATTCTGAAAGAACGCCGGTAAAACTTTCTATCTTCGTTTCTTGTCCATTGGCGTTTACAAGCAAGACGCAATCGTACCCTGAGGTCGTCAGCTGGTATTCTTCGACGACTTCGAAAGGATAATTCCTGCGGAAGAAGTATTAAAGGAAAATATTAATTTCATTTCGATAATATAAAGTGTGTGTAAGGAAAAATATAGATATATTTAAAAAGTTTCGTACCGTTTTAGCTGTTCCATGGTTATAGTGGTGATTCGGCTGAATTCACTAAGTTTTTGTATTGCTGTTTCCTGCTTTATGAAATCTTTAGCTCGGCGAGTGGTGGGAGGAATGCACTTGATGTGCAACCAGCCAATAGCCGCGAGGCTATCTATAGAATGAAAAAAAAATCCGGGTTAGTAACCAGCAGGAAAATGATTCCTGCTGTACCAAAATATATCTACTACAATGAAGATGGCGCTTTTTATACATTACTTTTTGTATTTAATTAATTACAACACAAGATTAATAACGTTTTAAAACCATAAAAAATTAACTTAATTTAATTAACTAAACCACACATAAATCTTTAATTACTCATTAATAACAAAAAAATAAAAATCTCAACAAATGAAATAAATATATCTTCTAAATAGGCTTATTTAGGTACAATAAAGTGGCACACATAGTGGCACGGTGTTAATTGCACTTTATACTCCTAAAGAGCTTGAAAACTGTAGACTAAATAGTTGTTTAGAAGCACTGTTAACGTGTGAATATATTCTTTTCATATAGTGAAAGAGTTTACGAATGTTTCCGAGAAAATCATTTTAAACTCCTTATTTCAAAGTAAATTGTAACATAACTTTCCTATTCGTTTCTTATTCAAAACAATTAGTAATAAGTAAATTGGCTTAATTATAACAGTGCAACTTACCGTAAAAGAAATATTGTAAATATTTTGAAAACGTCTGTATCGCTTTGAAAAACGTTGCTGGTGCCATTGTTTCCGTAAATTTTTTTCGATTAACGGTGAATTTTAATTTTTTTTGAACATCGTTATAAAACAATTATATATCAATTGACGTGAAAATGAGTTTGTTGTCATTTTCAAAAACGATTTCTTAACCGTATCTTTCGCGTGTATAAAATAAATTAAAATATCATCTCAGGAGAACGAAAACGATTTATTCAAAAAACATTCTTTGTTTAGATTTATAGAGCGTTAAAACTTTAAGTGAGTACCCCATTTCTTTCAGGAAATTTTGGCGATTAAATTATTGTTTTCAAATAGATTTAAAAGAAAAATGTTACGTCCAGTGGGTTAAACTTTAATTCACCGTTACGTGTCATATTAGAAATTTAAACATGTTCTAAATTCAACCTGCACTTATACCTACATATAACGTATATGTGTAGTTCAAATTATCTCTAATAAATGGTTTGTTATAATAATCGTCCACTTATTAATACTAATTATTGATAAGATTATCATTTATGTGTACTTACGTGTCAATGTTATAGACAAAAAAATTTTTTAATTTCTTTTCTTCATTTAAAATAAAAATAGAAATAATTTTACGACTCAATTTACTTACTGACCTACATATGAACTCCTCTTTGCCATTATGTAGTGACAGTGATCTTCTAGCACGTTCCATAGATTTTGCATGCAGGTTACACAACGTCTAAGCAAGAACATGGTAATTGCACCTCTTTACTTCTTCATGATTCAAAAAAGAAAAACAATCACTTGAATTTATCAAACAAAATAAAACAAAGAAAATAATTATTATTGTTTATTATTATTCAATAATTTTTTATTTACTTGTTTAAAATCCTTTTTTAATTGTTTAAACTTCTTTTTTTCATTAATTTTAATTTTAAACCCAGCAATTTTGACCGTATTATTCGAAGATTTCGTATCGACCTTAAAATAAGCGTAATTTAAGCTGCTGTGAAAAAATCCTTCTGGATTAACTGCCGCAACCCATTCCAACGACTTAGTTGTGTTTTTATTTTTTAAAAATGCCACGACAAGTTGCATTTTTCCATCGGGACGAATTGCTTTATTTCCAAACGCTTCCATTATGCTATTGTAAACATCCGGTTGCATTCCTTCCAAACCTTGTTGTTCCAACATTTGTATTTTCTAAAACAAAAAAAAATTATTGGATATATACGATGATTAATATATACTCACGATATCGATCGTTTTTTGATCATTCTCTTGCTTTTGGGGTTTCTTTTTGTGTTCAGCTGTCAATGTAAATACGAAAAGTACGGAAATTATTAAATGACGCATCACAAATAATTGTCAAAATATTTAGAAGGATTTATCATAGAAAATTGAACTGATAAAAAGTCAATAAAATTGGAAATAAATAAAATCATTCATTGAATTTTTATTTTATTTTTTAAAGTTTCCACATTTATTTATTACACTATAATTTATTGACTAATATGCAATAGAAACTTTTCATCTAACAAGTGCCATGATATACAGGTCTTTATTAGACATGCGGCAAAAATTCAAGGGACTACTACTTCTAAGAATATTTTCTCATTTGATAATTTTTGAAAAATCAGTTTGAAATGACAAACATGTATTTTATTTATGGGCTTCTTGATGGTAATTTATTGAAAGCTAGGCGGTTGTACATTGACCGATTTCCTCACCGTAATATTCCTGATAGCAAAATCTTCATCAACGTCTACATGAAACAGGCTCAGTGAAACGAAGTCGATCAGGAAGGCCAATGACAGTCAGAACGGTGGAACTGGAAGAGAATGTGTTGAACATAATAGAGGAACAACCAGGCATTTCTACTCAAATAATTGCAAATACTTTGAATGTAAGTAATGGGACTGTTTGCAAAATTCTTAAAAATTATTTGTTGTACCACGTTTAGCATTCTGTCAATGGTTCTTGGACAAATTGGTTCAAATCCCTCAACTACTGACTCCCATTCTATTGACTGATGAAGCGAATTTCTCAATATTCAATAAAATTCAATAAAGAATTTTCATAATAACCATGTGTTAGAATACTGGCTAGTTGGACCAGTATTTCTTCCAAGAAAACTTACCGGCGAAGTGTATTGCAACTTTTTGGAACAAAAGTTACATCAGTTTCTAGAGGATGTACAGAAGCGTATTTTTGTAGGTGCATAAGCGTATTTTGGTAGGGTTGCTAGTGAGTTTTTGACAGTAACATATGGAGAACGTTGGATTGGTCGAGGTTGACCTCACTTGTGGCCTGCCCGATTCCAGGACTTAAACTTCCTGGATTTTTTTCTATGAGGCTATATTAAATCTTTAGTTTACACTACTCTGGTAAAACATGTGGAAGTCTTGCGAAATCCTATAACTGCTGACTGTAATTCATTAAGAAACGATCAATTGTTTTTGAAAGGATTGAAAGGGAATGAGGAGAAGATTAGAAGAAGATTGGTAAACAACTCTAATGTTATTTACAAGCTATTATGATCTAACTGTCACAATACCAACGCAATAGAATAAAAAAATATATTTTTTATTTTAACTGGCTTTTATTTTTAACATTAAACGGCAATAACATAAACTTGACGTGATACGCCGCTTTGAGTAACTTTATAGTAACCATAAGTAACACTGTTATGTTCAATACCACAAGGTTGTTCCGCCACTACCCAGTTTTTGCCCTTGGTAGTTGCTTTCGATTTTAAATACGGCACGAGAAGTTGCATTCTCCCTTGGCAACTACTGCCTAAATCAAAAGCTTCCTCAATACTCTCAATTACGTCTAAATGCATGGAGGCCATATTATTGTGTTCAACTATTTCAACAGTCTACAAAATTGTACATAAAAAAGTAATGACTTTAATAAATAATTTAAAAAAAATTTAACTTACGATTTGTTTGGCTTGTTTTTTTACTTCATTATTAGCAAAAACTAAAGTTGATGCTAACAGTACAAAGAAAATTGTGACTTTCATGTTTTAGTTTGTTCAATAATCTTGATCGATACTCAAGTTATTATAAACTGGATTTCGTTTTGTCTTTCTCATTTTATAGTAAAGTATATCAATCAATTTTCGGAAAAAAAAGTTCTTTCCATTAGTTCAATTGATTTTAAGTGTTTGTTTATGATTAAAATAGATTCAATTAAAATGAAAGTGATAACAAACTAACTTTTTAAATCTGTTTATTGAAATTATAAAATTTATGCATAACCAATTATTTTAATATTAGATTTTGCGCCGTAACTGTCGGTAACCTCAAAATAACCATAAATATCACTGTTGTGATAAAACCCGCAGGGCTCTTCTGAAGCAACCCACTTCAAGTGAGCGGTAGAATCTCTAAGTTTTAAATATGCTACGAGAACTTGCATTTTTCCTTGACATGAAGCTCCGTATTCAAAAGCTTCTGTGATGCTCTCAAGAATGTCAATATACATTTCATCGATATTATCTTGTTCTATAGCTTCAATTAGCTAGAAAAACAAAAAAAAATATATTTATTTAATTATTTTTAGTCTGATTAAATTTAAAAGAAAAGATTACTTACGATTGCTTTAGGTTGTTTATTAACATTTTCTGCTCCAAAAACTAAAGCATAAGTACAAAGAATAAAAGTTAATTTTATAAGCTTCATCATAAAGTATTTTTTATAAAAATGTTTTTTTGTTTCAATTTAAAGTGAACTGAAGATTAAAAAATGAGATGAAGTGTTTAATAGGTGAAATTTTTTTGGGTAATCAGTAAAAATTATCTTAAGTGTGTAGATAATAAAAATCAGTACATTGAATCATAATGATTTCATACGAAAAATGTGGTACGCATTAAAGATTACTTATCTAATTATTTGAGGGTTATGAACGACTTTCATGATTGTGACTAGAAAAAATGTGTTCTAATTAAATTTCTCTAGATTTTCCATTTGATCGTTAACGGCAGTTCAAGTTTCTATTTAAAATGATCATTACTCAAACACCTTAGTTACAGTTACAGAGATAACCCTTATAAAAGTTATATTATTAAAGAGAAATTGAAATAAAAAGTGATACGAAATTTAAATAATTTATGTGGATTAAAAATTCCATCGCAAAGATAATGAATGTCTTTGGTGTTATGAAATTATCAACACATTATAGTTGATAATTAATTAAATAAATGAAACCGTGTAATTATAATTTCTCATACTGGTTATATCTGGTTCAAAAATGCTATAAACTTAATTCTTACACAAATCAAATTTAAAATAATATATATTCTCATCTCTACATTAAAATTAATGGTTTGACGTCCACGAAATATATATGTATAGATTTTTTAAATCGTCGACCTATATATTAAAGGCTATCTGATTTTAATTACTAATATAATCTTGAGTAACTTCGGGTTTTCGACTTATTGGTGACAGAAAATCTAGGATAAACATATATTATTTTTAACAACTTCTTTAAATATTTAGAAATTGAGTTTAGAAATTAGAATTGGAATTTAACACCTCTTAATAAATTTATTATTAATACGAAATAATTTAAAATTTAAGAGATAAAATCTTAAATTAATTTTTGCTGTTCAATCACAACGTTTTGGAATCACACAAAAATTTAAGTAGGATTTTTAAGCGTAGTTTATTAAAGCATCAATAAGGAGTATAAGAAATCGGCACCATCTGCGACCAAAATTTTATGGTTAAAAATTGTAAAATGCAATTGAGGCCCATAAACAACCGCTTTTACTTCAAAAAAATTAACTCAAGCTCCATTACTCAGTTGAATGGATTAAGTTTATTCGTTATAATTAACAAGTTTATTTTTAGATACTTTCATTTTGATTTTTCGATATCACATCAGATTTTTGAGATAAATACATATCAACGTGGTGATGGTAAAAACTTTATGTCGAAATTGATATATGGCTATTAAAAACTCCATCGATAAAAGAAACAAAGGAATGAGGAAATTTGACCGTGTTAAAAAGAAAAAGTAAAAAAATAATCTGTCAGAAATTAGTGGAATAATAATTTATGGTACAAATAATAATCCAGGATCCTACTTTCTGGGAACTTCCACGAATGGGAGTAGTATGCGACAATCTACACAATGATAAAACATATGATGGCAGACAAAACTTGTTAAATGGCTACTGACTTGTGACGAGCAAACAGTTACGAAGGTAGCATACAAGAGCCCCTTAATGGAAGTCTTCTATACTGCTTAAGAAATTGCTAGTGCCGTCAAAGAGATAAAAAGCAAGAATGAACTTCTGCTGAAATAATAAAAAGTCTGTCAGTTGTGATTGATTTGGATGTGAATCCTCTTCGATGTGACAATTCTGTAATAAAAAACAAATACTCATCTTTTTTTCAGTTCTCACCCACAGAAGAAGAGTAAAAGACACAAGGTGTTGGTTTCGAAATGATTGGAATTTCATATTTTGAAGTCATGGTTCCTCTCGTATTTCGTTGGTTACACTCGGAACTCAACAATTTCTTACATACCTACCGAAAGAAACAAAACCATCAACTTTATCGAGTTTTTATTTGATATTTATAAGTTATCAACATTTGCAAAATTGCACCGATTGTTGAAAGATTTAAATTTGTAAACTCGTTTCTATAAAAACGAACGTGTTTTTTTATATATATATAAGTTCCGTAATTTTGTATCTGAACTGGTTACATAGGTTTTTGTAAAAAGTTGTTGAAGAAACTGAAGCCTAAATCCCAAAAGGCGAAGTTGATAACGAAAAATTTACTTGAGCTTTTTAATTGGGTTCACCTGGATAATCTGCCTTGATTGACATAATTAATTATGTTTCGAAAGTACTTGATTCATCCTTAAATTTTTGAGATACCTTCGATTTTTTTCATGAAAAAAATGTCTTCTTTAACAAATGGAGTTTAAAAAAACTCTTTAGGTCAACATATATTTTAATTAGGACACATAACAAACGACTCAAATTAAAATTTTTAATATTATGAAACTTTTTATTTAATAAAATTCCAATAAATCAATACTAAAATTCAGCCACTATTGGGAAATTATAAAAAAAGTCTCAGAAAATTTACATAAATTTCGAAAGTAACGAATTCGGTTTGAAAAAAATCCCGTTAACCAAGTTAAATTCATCTTGTATCTTACGTCAGGTGGCTTCCCTTGAACCAGACCTTGCACTTACCACTGACCCATTTCTTCAATGAGTGACGTAGTTTAGAGGTGGCTCTTCCTAGATCACCCACTGTCTCTGTCTTCGATGGTAAAGACTTCCGAAGTGAGTTCATTCTCGTGAAGTTGGAGGGGCGACTGAAGAAAGTATGTCGTGAAATGATAAGTACAAGAAGTCCGGCCTCAAGTTGTTTACTCCCAGTGTGGTACCGGTGAAAGAATGTGCTGTTCCGCAATGTCGTGATCCGTGCAAAGAAGATCGATAATCTTGGTGTTTTTCCTCTCCTGATTTGTTTTTGTTTTTCACACAAACGAAAGAAAAATTTAAAAAGATGTCGCTATGGAATAGATTACGTTTAGGTGTATTATGTTGTATAATAACACGAGCGACGTTGCTCCATGCTTTAAACCAAACAGATGAACTACCTCATCGCGAAGAGAATGGAGATATTTGGAGGTTTTTGGTGAAGAATTGTGATCAGGATACGACTGTAAGTTGTTTAAAGAAGACTGTATATGATTATTTAGATCATACGATGGATTATAATGGAAGTATTGAGATATTTTCTGGAGTTAAGTTGTTAAAGAATAATGCTTCTTATGATGCATCGAATGAGATTGAGGATTCTAGAGAGATTAAAGATTCGTTTGAAGATATAACGGAGGCATTAAGATCGAGAGCTGTTAAATTCGCAATGACTCATGACATAATGCTGCCACTTCCTGAAACTTTATTTGGTGGTGGTTCTATTAATATATCACCAAGAACATTTGAAGGGGATGGGGCATTGATAAAATTAGACGCCGTTCCAGCTCAAGGAAGAATATTTTTTAAGAAAATAAGTAAGTAGAGTATTGATTTGGTATGCAAAGTGAAAAAGCAATTTCGTATTCAGTTTACGTTTTATGTCGTTGACCTAACAGCTTACTTGTATTCGTTGTTGTATTACATACTAATTACATTTTTTGTTTTAGAAAAATTCATCACCAACCGTTTACTATTTGCTCTCCTAGCAATCGTGTTGGTCATCAAATTAGTAGCAGTCAAATTCTTATTTTTCCTTCCACTTGTTATGGGAGTTGCAGCAGCAAAGAAACTTTTCCTTAAAATCTTACTTTTCTTCTTTCCACTTTTATCGCATGTATTTAAATTATGTCCGTATTATTCGCCGACCAAACTCCATCATCATCAACACCACATATCACACATTCATCATCTATCTCATCTTCATTCGGATCCTCATGGAATTGAATTGGATCATCCACCTCCAGGATATGGACACGATGCAGAATTCGAACATGATCATCACAATCATCACTCTGATCACCAATTTGATTATTATGCTGATGGTGCATCTGGAGCTGAGTAAGTAACTTATCACATCTAACCATGTTATATTTTGTATCGTATTCGTCGTATAATATTAATTCAAATGTTTGAAGTAGGACAAAAAAAATATAAAGTTAAGAATGCTTTTAGCGTTTTATTAGGTTTTAATTTGTAAACATCGATGGGTTTCTTTACAAGTAGGACGCTGCCTTAAAAGATGTAGACTTAACTCGGAGAATCTCATTTTATGAATTTTTCAATATTTTAATTACAATGAAAGAAAGTTGAAAAATGTGATTTATAGGCAACATCAATTTCAATGCGGTAATTCTACTTCATTCATTTGTATAGATCTTGTGTATATTGGTCACCAAGAAAGTAAAACACTCGGTTAATTTTGATTGTGTTTAAAATCGAGTGACATTGAAAATCGATACACTTTTCTTTACATAAATCACTTGAAAGTCGAGATTTACTTTCTTTTCTATTCAATCGAACAGGTAAAAATGAGCGTGTAAAATTTGGGATATCAGCAAAAAATTGATCAGAATCGCTAGAAAGTGTTTATTTTAGTTTCATTACGTACCATGATTTTACTTTGGTTTTATTGTCCGAACAAATTTATTTTTAAAGGTAATTATGTGGCAATAAAATTCGATTTTAGGGATTTTGGGTTTAAATCAAAATATTTTTTGTTCTTTTTATTTCAGTAAGCAATTATATTTATTTAATATGAAGTTTAATTATTCACCCACAACAGCTACTATCAGACATATTTTTCCTTTTCTCTAAAACTTTACGTTACTTTATGTTACTCTACGTGGTTGGTTTAGATTGGGTTGGGTTGGGTTGGGTTTGGTTTGTGTTGTGTTGGGTTGAGTTAGGTTGAATTGTGTTGGGTTCAGTTTTATGTATTGCTGATATTGGTAGTCGCTGGCATGTTCAGAAACTGGTTTATAAAAATGACGATGCCTGTGTTACAATAGTAACAAGAAAACACTAGGAGATGATAATCTCATGTATAAAACACATCCAGTAAATGATGTCCTCAACAAGATCTTTTTGCAAAAAGAGTTGTAAATAGATTGATTTCTCCTCTCTGAAAATAAACATGAGTTTCTGGATAGCACATACAGATTTCAATCGGCATGTCTTTTTCGTCATTAACATGTGATCTAAATATCTGAACAAACGTTTTTGTTCCAGTAGAAGAATTATAGAATTATATACAACTAGCAGATGTAAAATTTAGTAAAGATATTCGAGTGTATTTCTTATTAAGATCATTAGCGACATGGTCATATTTACTTGATAAACGAATTAAGATGGGAAAAATATGTCAAACGCGATACGGTTTTGTACCTGCGGGCTATCATATCAGAAAACGACCGAAATCTGCGGCCAACTGACACGATTCCAAGAACAAAAGGTAGTACCGGAACGTACATTGAAAGAAAAAACCACAAAACGAGATAGGGATGGAAGATTTGTGGTAAACATATTACTTCGAGCTGCGAAATTGGAACAATTTCGAATGAAAGAATTACAGAGGTTAAATCAAAAATTATCTCGCTAAGAGAATATCATTATAATTATTAAAATATAAGACTTTATTATAAATCTTTATAAAGGAATACTTATTTGCTTGTATATAAATTGAAAGTCAAGTACGTATTACTGTATATTACCTAGGTGTTTCTTGTTTGATATCTCGAACGCTACATACATAATAACTGAAGTGGCATACATTTAACAATAACAATTTATTTAACAATTTGCGTTTATGTAACTAACATAATTAGCGAACCGTGAAGCACCTATCGGAATATAGTCAGGATGTTAGCTATAAACTTATAAACTAAGATCACCGTGAAAAAATATATATCTCTGGACTGGATTTGATCATCATGCATTTTGAGAACAGAAACTTAAAAAATCCTATCTTAAGAAAAAATTGAGATATAATAATGAAACAAAAAGCATTTTAAAGTAAATTTAATCGAGATTTGGTGTGCTATAAATAATTTCTTATTTTTCATAAATCTCGTGGTTATGATTTTTTAAAACGAACTCTACAATTTTATAATTATTATAGATTTTAAGAGTACAAATTTAAAAAATCGTATGTCTAAATCGAATCATGTGTATCTAGACCTAAAAATAATTTGGAGTTCTATAAGCAAATGTTAAAGCTACCAAATCAAAAGTACGAATTTATATTAAATAATAAGGTTTTTTTTATATTTCATCGAAGCATCCTTTCACAATCAATTTACCGTTTACAATCATTGTCCATGCAGCTGTATTTCCGTTAAAATACGGTATTCGTCTCGGTTAACGAATCTTAAATTAACATAAAACAACGTTGATTGATACTGTTTTTTTAATCTATAACAAGTAACAAAATCTGAAGGTTGTGTCTTTGCGATTATAGAAATTAAGAGTATCACTGGTTGAAGTAAACCAGCACAGATAATAGTCCGCTACTTACAATCGCTAAAAGTTGGAGAAATTGGAGTTTTATCCGTTTCATTCGCCCCTAACAACAATTTTTTGCGTTTTTAAATAAAATTTGCAATTTGAGGAAGTAATTGAAATGATATTTTGATTATTTATTTTATAGTTACCGAAGGAAGGTTTTTGAAAAAGGGAAGCCTGCCGATGATTCTTGGTTTGGAGGTCAAGGTCAAGCATCCGTTAAAAGAGGAACTCGAGTAAAACCACTTACACCAGCGGAAATCGAGAATATGATTCGACAAGCCGAAAAGGAAGCTACTGTGAGTTTGTTATTGTTATAATAGTTAATATAAAAAATTTCACATACAATAACATTAACTTAACATACCGTTATTCAAAAAGATTTATGCACCCATCAAATCATTATATCCCAGTCACCTATAACCTAAAACTTTTTCTCTTTCTTAAAAGTACATTCAACAAACTGCAACTTTCTATTTATCTAGAACGTGGTCCTCGATTGCCGAAAATATTGATGTTAAAATTTCCGTAATCTTATTTGTCAATTAGTTTTATCTAATGCTTCTCTAACCGGTTACTAAATTCGTCGATTTTCTTACAATTACATGTCACCACTGTTCCACTTTCTTTCGCAAATATTCGCGCAAACCAGTTTACTCTTCTAATTGGCGTCAATTTGCAGTTAAAAGCCCGGCTACAAGAAGAACAGAAACGCGTGGAAGCTGATAACAAACGACTTCAAGATCAAATAAAACAATTAATGAAGGTTCAAGAAAAACTTCGACTGCAACAAACCATTTTGAAAGAAAATTCAAAACTAACTGCGGCTAATATATTACACACAGCTAATATTATACCACAAAACCAATTGGTTCATACAGTTGCTGCTCAAATTCCACCACCTTACATTCAACCACCAATAGTTGGAGCAGTACCAGTTTATCAAACTTCTTATCAGAGCAATCTTCAAGCTGTTACGGCTGCACCACCTACTACAAGCAGTACAAGTACAACAAAATCACCTGTATATGATGCGTTTTACAGCCCAATTTTGGAAAAAATCGATAAAGTTCTTTTGGATATTGGGTTTAATGATGAACCTTGTAGGGAAAGATTAATTTGCAGCATGTACAAGGATCCTGTTAAATTTAGTCCACACAGTAATTTAATATCAGCGGAATTAAGCAGGTAAGTTTCATTGATTAATGTTTACTCAAGTTAATAAAATAAATAAAAAACTCAACGATTTTTTTTCGGAAGGTTTATCAAATTGAGATTTGTAGGTCAATGTAGGTACTTTTGCCGATGACTTATCCGACAGCGTTGGTTGCGTCGCGTCAGATGTGAAAGTACGAAACCGTAACGCATGGAAATTCTTAACACTTCCCTCCATTTACACTTAAGTCGCATAGTATTAAACGCAATACTCGTCTTTGACGAAATTACATAAACAATACGAGTTTATTCCTCGTGCTGACAACCCGTTTTCTTATTGAACAATGTCCATTATGGCAGGTCAGATGTAAACGTTTTCTCTGCGCTTAAAATGTAAAGTTATTAAATAAGGCTGAGTAAATATTAACACAAACTTTGTTGAGTTTTCTAGACCTAGTTTATATATTTCTGTGAAGTTTCGAAAGTTCTTTTTTTATTTAAATATTTTTTTTATAATTTATTGAATAGAAAAAAAAAATTTATTGTATGTATTTTGTGTTTTTAGGGATGCTGATGAATTACAAAAGCCAACTGCAACAAATCCAGCTGTTATCAGATTTTATAAATATGTTCAAGCAGCAAGAGATGGTCAAGACCAAAGAGATTGTCTTCGATTATATCCGTCTTGTGCCGTGAATACTGAATCTTAGTTTACCTAATTTATTCTAAAGATACAATTACCAGTAACTTAATATTTAAAATAATGTCAGTAATTTAGAGAATGTATAGTTTTTCTGTAAAAAGAAACTTTTTCAGTCACATTTTTCTCCAAATATTCCTAGAATTTTTGCCGGTTACGTTTAAGACCTAAATAAAATGTAAATACACAACTTATTAAAACGTAGTGAAACTTTAGTTTGCTCAAACAGTACTCGTTATATTACATTCTCCTGCTGCGCTTGGAAGCAGGATTTGAGTTGATCTAGTTTTCTCATCTTAGAGTTTTAGTTTTACTTATTTAATAGTCGTTAATCGTAATTTTAAGTCACTCAATCTAGTTTAGAATGTGTGATCGTTTCTGTTAATTCACTTTAGTTATTTATCGTTGTTAGTTAATAGGTATTTATTTTATTGTTTGTTAATTTATTTTCTTATTTATTTTTATTCTCTTTGTAAATATGAAAGTATGAACGAAGAAAATAAATGGAATTACTAAAATTATATTTAATTTATCATTTCTTTTATCCATTTAAATTAAAAATTATTCTTTCTTCTTAAAAATATTCATCAATTGTAATATTTATATAATAATGACAAAATAATTTATGAAAATGAAATCATAATGATGGATATGAGTAGGAAAAAATAAAAGATTAAAAATAAGATTAAATAACAAGTTGTATATTATAAATTAGAGATAGTCAATTAAATTTAGATAGAATATAATATTGTGATTAATATGGTGAATTTTAAGAAAAGTTTCTAGAAAAATACAGCTAAACGAAAAAGCTACTCCTTGTTTCAATCGTTCAAAAGAATATATTGGTAAACGTAGTTGTTTGTGAATGCATGAAAGAATTATGATCTTTGGATGTTAAGCAACTTTGGATACTTTTAAATGTGGTGATGCAATCCTTAGGAAAACCGAGATTATGACTACCACAGAAAAAGAATTTGAATTTGCAAATGAGCTGTCATTAATAAAAAGTATGAACAACAACGATCCCAAAATAGAACCCTATGGAATCCCCATGTCGACTAAAGCCATAAAGACACTTAAATGTTAGTTTATTATACAAAAATCTTGGGTTAGGGGAATCAAGTTGAAGTATAGTAAGAAATAACTCGACGAGCACACGTTTTATAGATACCCCTTACGTAGCTTAACCTATGTTTGTCTACGGAATAACTCCAGTCTAGCTTAACATTTTATGTATTCACAAAGATTTCAAAATAACTGGATTTCATGTATCACAACCAACTGTCACCAAACAATCGTATTTCAGCTGGTTTGTTATAGCTGAACAATACAATAATCATGAAATGGATGCACTTTGTGAATCTTTGTTTTAGCATTCGTTATGATTTCCTGTGTGGATAATTCTTATTTTAAAAAAGATCAGTTTCTGAAGCTTGCAGAGTGAGACAATGATTGACTGATCGTTTGACTGATTCTTTGACATTGAACGATTTTAGCATTGATTGAATTTCTTTGATAGAGTAATTCATATGAAGCTGTTTCTAAATCTACTTCGCCTAAACGCATACATGAATTTATATGTTAAAAGCAATCGATGAGATCTCCAATCACACCCCATATTTCATTTTCAATATAGATTTGATATTGTCACAGAAACTAAAATCACCAGAATAGAATACTTTCCAGTATCCTGATTATGCATTCAAGTCAATTTTAGTTTACCAGAGCATCATAAACGAAGAAGAGAACTGAAAACGGTTGAATGCAGATCTAGTTTCGACAAAACATACGTCTACCCTTAAACTCATTGGTTTGGAATATACGCAATCTACACAAAGTAATGCAGAATCTGATCTCTGAGAGCATCTAAAATTTTTTAGTCGAACTCGATGCGCTTAGCTCCTGACATACAACACAATACGCTTTGAAAAACGTTTTCAAATCAAATGTTTTCTCAGACATTAAAAACTCCATTTAAATCAAATTTTCCAAAAAAAACGTAGCTTTTAATACTTCACAATTCAATTCTTGAGGGAAACTTAGATGTTTAAAAATAATTACTTTCTTCTATCTGTTAAGTTACATTGTTTGAAATATGTAGTAAAAATTAAAATTGCATTCATCAAATAGAATAATGAATTAATTGATTAATAATAAAGTAGGTCTTGCCGAAAATAAATCGGAACACACGTTTGAAAAGCGAATTCTTGAACCGATCGCGACGCCATTCCTAACACGTACTAACCCCGATAGTGTTTCCCTTTTTAAATTCTACTTCCGTTGTAGTTTCTATATAAAATTCAAGCATATAATTCTTTATCGTCATTAGCAAACGATAGCTCACCCAAACAATATGTCTGGTTTCAAGTACATTGTAGCTTCTTTGGCGTTAATTAACGCAGTTTCAGCTAATCCCAGCGCCGTGGATTTAGCGCAAGATATTTATCAATCGTGTCTTCAAGATTTCAGCGTAAGTTGTGTGAAACCAAAGGCTTTGAATTGGATATCTACGGTTGTTAATGATGAGGTGATTAACATTACTGATGATTTGGCTATCGTCAAGAAAGATAATCCGGATGATAAAGAAGTAAGTTAATATAATGTTAATTGTGTTTATGTTTAATCATGCTTTTATTGTTTCTTAGGAACAACGTGGAATGTCTGAAGATATTTTAGATCGGTTCGAAACGTTCTTGCAAACCCACGATATCATCGCTCAAGTCCCAGAAGTGTTGAGACCTTCAGGTCCTTTAGCATCCCTCCTTCCCAGATCATTCCAACCTGAAAATCTTCAAATGCCCCTCGCGGCAACCGGAAGATCGAAAGTCGTTAAAAAGGTCATCGTCCCATTCTTGTTGGGTTTGAAATTCAAAACGGCCGTTTTAGTTCCATTAGCTTTGGCCTTGATCGCTCTTAAAACTTGGAAAGCTTTGACTCTTGGCCTTTTGTCCATGGTGTTAACCGGAGCTATGTTGATCTTTAAATTGTCGAAACCGAAAGTAATTTAATATTCATTTTTAATACTTTAGAAATTATTTATATGATTTTTTTAGGTGACCACATACGAAGTTGTGCATTATCCTCAACATCTTGATCACCATCATGTTGATCATGTTGCTGCTGCTCCTCATGGATGGGATACTGGATACGGAAGATCTGCTCAAGAAATGGCTTACGATGCGTGGATGCAGTAATTTCGACGACATTCGTTATTGTTTTTTTATTTATTTCAATAAATTATTGATGTGATTTTATATTTGAGTTTTTTTCCTGAAAATATTTAAAAATTATTCTAATACTAAATTAAATCAAATCAAAATAATAAATTAAATTATTATGAATCCCTGAAAATTTAACAAAGAATAAGATCAAAAAGAGAACAATTTCAAGCTTTCACACAGCTTTTCTAAATTTTGAAGAGACAATATATTTTTAGAAATAATAACAATAATTATAGTATTATTTAGTATATATAGGATTATGAAAGTATTTGGACAGAATAAAATATAATTTGTTTTTAATCTTTTATAATTACTTAATGCTCTTCTAAGAGGTATCCTTGAATGAATGGTATCTTTAATGTAGACCATCTTGAACTCAAACAAGACACAAATTCGGGTTGCCAGAGGATATGCGATTATGAAGTATTTGATCCAATCGCGATTAATTCGATAGTGATCCCCAAATATCTTATAAATATTATATTAAATACATCCCTCAAAAATCAGAAAAAGCCGATTAAATATGTGGAATATTTAGAGATATTTCACCACTATACGTTACTCCTTATTTATAAAAATAATAAAAATGCTTGTTTAAATGTGCCTGAAAAATTCTGACCTCAAATAAAAAAACAATTTCAATACTCAATCATTTCTTTAACCACATAGCATACATACATTTATTAACCCATTTAACTACTTTTCTTTTAATCCATCAAACAATTCACAATTTAAAATTGTACTATCAACATACCTACAAATAAAGTAGTCGAAGTAGATCTGGTTCATAGAAACTAAAATCCGGTGCCAGTGCCAACCAAGAAAAGCAAAATGAACCCAAATACCGACCCTTCGATGACTTATGAATACAAACACGTGTGTCCTTGTTCGATTGCAACGTCTTCTTCGTTGGCGCCTTTTGGTTATTACCGTCACGTTTCCGACTACAATATGGAAGCTTCACCAAATACAATCGTATAAAATCTAGCACGGAACTACGACGAACCGTTTTCGTAGTAATCATCGACTCAACCCCACCCACAATGATATGATTTCGATTTGGACGAAGGAATAAAAAGCTTAAGATAGTCGTAGTTGTATTAGTTGAGTCCTAGGTGTTAAGAAATCAGCTCATTGGTACTAGTCATGGCATCCAGGTTTGCTTTCGTTTTGATTTTGGGGATGATTGCAAGTGGAAATGCATCGCCAACATTTAATCCCGCTTCGCTATTCGGAAATACCATCGAAGAGATGAGATCGATGTGTAATAACCAGGATGTGATTTCATGTATCAAGTACAGGGCGATGTCTTTTATGGAAAATATGTTCCAAAAAGATACCTACAGGGTAAAAAAATAAAAATTAAATGTTTAAGAACAAATAAAAATTAATAAATTTTTTTAGATTTCAGATCACGTCACCATCAATAGAAACACTTACAGATCCAACGAAATCGAAGCCAGGAGTTCATCTTTCGATGAAAAGATTGAAAACTACATGAAATCTCATGATGTCACCTTCGATTTGCCTTTGGTAAACTCCAAAATTACCCTTGAAGGAAGAAACTTAGACGAAGATGAATTAAACCTTAAACTATCCTTTTCTAACCCAAATGAAGTTCAAGCCAGAAAATCCAAACTTAAGAAAATCTTCGTACCAATCCTCGTCTTCATCTTGTTAAAAGCCATGACTATTATCCCCTTAGTTCTTGGTGTTTTAGGATTGAAAGCATGGAACGCCCTCCAATTATCCTTCTTCTCATTTGTTGTATCGGTCGCTATGGCTGTATTCCAATTGTGCAAGAAATTGGCTTCCGATCACGTCGCTGCTCCACAAATTTCAGGACATGGTGCTTGGGATGGTTATGCTGCTAGATCTATGATCGTTGATAATGAAGAAATGAACGGTCAAAAGATGGCTTATTCTGCTTATCAACCTTGAATTATGTTATTTATTTAAATTGAGAATTAAAAATAAATTATTTATGATTTGAAATTTTATTGTTTGTTTTAATTACATCTCGATGAACTTATTTAGCGGACAAGTAGAGTCAACAACTCCTTTGAGAAGTAATTAACTATATTAATTCCTAATTTTAAACTTCTGACAATTTTGTTATGATGTAATCTAGCAAAGTAAATCTAATGACTTCTGCTTTCTTCTGTCCTTAGCTGAATTGAGTAAGCGTAATACACCTCGATATTTGGAAATAATGAGTCTAGTCCAGTATTTCTATTAACAATGTGTAGCATCGCTGTAACAGTATGAAATCTTCCGCAAACAGTACCTAGTCTTTTATAAGCAATATCTAGTCTTATGTCGTTATTACCTAGTCTTCAATTAGCAATATCTAGTCTTTTGTCAACAGCATGTATTCTTCTGAAAGCAGTGCCCATTCTTATATACAATCTCCAATAAGCAACGCTTAGTTTCCTGAAAACAGGTTCTAGTGTTCAACAGTATGTTGTCTTATGTAAGCAGTATGTACTGTAAAGCAATCTATTATTTTGTCCCACAAACATAGGTGAAACATTTTTTGGATTCTTATTTTCATTTAATTTTGATAAGCAGATTACCATTGTGAGCACCACATTGATCACCATATTGAGAGAAAAGTGCTATCCAGAAAATATGAGTAGTATCGCTATGTGCGTTCTGGACCCAAATCCCATAAGATTTAACATAGGGGTCCGAAATCACATTTTATCCCCAGCACTACCTCTTTTTGAGGTTCTGGCCACACCAACATTTTAAATTCAACCACTCAGAGCGCCGCATTCTCCAAGAACCCTCTTTTTAAAAAATAAAATAAATAAATAATAAATAATTTGTTGTTGTTTAACCGGTAACTATAACACTCCTCTACCTTTATATGTTAATTAAAATATTTGAACTTTAATAATAATAATAATAAATGCTTCTTATTTAATAAGAAATTTCGAAATGGATTATTCAAATAGAAGTAATAGATTCTATTAATTCTGTAATTTCTGAAAATTAAAATATTTTTTAATATAATTTTTTATTTTTTTATACAGCCTCCAACAATTTTTATTATTTTTATACAAATGGGTGAGAGTTGTTTAAGAAACTTGCAAAACATTTCATGCATATTACTCTATCAATTTAATGGACTAAATTCTTCTTTGCAATAACTTCTTGTAAAGGTTATGTAATAAGTAACATAATAATAATAAGTATAAATAATTATTTTACCTATATATAATGAAAAAAAACTTTAAGTATTTTAATTATTTCATTCAATACTTATTAATCTTAATTATATTTTAGGGTAATCAAAAAGAAATTTATGTTTATAATCTAGTCCAAAAGACATTTTGGAACAGACATACATACCATATACAAAGACAGTGGTGGCGACATCAACTACATACGAAATAATCGTAGCTTCCTATATCCTATCAGCCGTTCCACTATGTCCAAATATGTTTGGTAAAACTGGCACATACTACCACTTTCAGTGGGGCTTCTGCATAAATACTTGCCGGTTCCGCCAAAATTACACAGTTGTCAACTACTCCTCGAACGACAATGAAGACTTTTATAACTATTTTAGTATTCGTAACAGTTGCAAACTGTTCTTCGTTGCCCGCGAAGAACATTAATAGAAATCACGAAGTCGATGACTTAGGAGTAAGCCGATTCTAAATACGATTACCCAATCTTTTCTATAAGTTTACTATATTTTTTATTTTAGATTAGCGAATATTTGGATATCCACAAAAACAACTACCATTCTACCGAAGAAAATGAAGAAACCGGAAGAAGTTTGGAACACACAGTTTCTCATTTCCTAAAATCCTATGACGCCGATTTCAACCTCCCATTCCTCGGAAAACTCACTTTCGAAGGAAGAGACTTAGACCATGACGAGTTAAACTTAAAATTGAAGATGCACGATAACGAAGTTGAAGAACGAGGCAAGAAACACAAACTCAAGAAAATCTTTGTCCCTATCTTCATTATTGTACTCCTTAAAGTCATCACATTGATTCCTTTAGCTTTGGGAGTATTAGGTTTGAAGACATGGAACGCCCTTCAACTTTCGTTTGTTACATTCGTTATTTCTATTTCGTTGGCTGTTTATCAACTTTGTAAGAAATTAGCTGCAGATGCTCATCCTCCCATTGCTACCCATGGACCATGGGAAGTTCATCGTAAGAGGTCAATTGGAGATGAAGCTCAACAAATGGCTTATTCGGCTTACACTCAATGAGTGTTATAATTGTATTTAAATTATTTATTTTGAAGATTTTGTTAATAAATTGATTGAAAGTTATTTTATTTTTTTTAATTTATCTTTTCAATAATTATTTATAATAAAAAATTTTAATTAAACATTTTATGTGATGAAGCATAACGTGTCGATTAACACAATTCTCCTTAATAGATAATCAGGTTAATTATCAAGGTGTGAATAGAAATTAATATAAAATAATTGTTATAAAATCAACTTCAGGTTTTCTTGTTGTTTATGCTATTGTATTAATAGATATTTTATGGGAACGTTTATTATTCGTATTATTATTAAGTATACCATACCAGAAGAGATTTCTATCGCACCTAGAATATTTTGAATCGTTCTTGTTATTTTTTTAAAAATCGAACAAAACTTAATTTTATGAACTTTACCCAAACAATTTTTTCTCAAAACTTTTATAATCAATCAATACTATTTACTAATTGTATCACAAACTGTACTGTTTCAACGGCACTTTAAGGTATAAGTTAATTTTGGTTGTCTAAAAATAATGAAGGTAGAATTTTAGAAAGTTCTCTTTTTAGAAAAGTTCAGAACTCTCTTCAAAAAATTTTTTTCTCAAAGCTTTTATAATAAGTGTGTTCTTTAGCAAGTTCTTTTTATCTGCTAGATTTAAAGCAGTTGCTAATTTTTTAAGTGTTTGCTGCATTTTAAGAAATCGGGGCAACCTTTATTTTGAAACACTTTTCAAAAATTATATTTCTCAGAAATTCAAATCACCAAAGTATATTATTTCCAGATTTTATCATAAACTAGAACGTTTCAGCATTAATTTAAGATATAAACCGCCATTTATCTCTTAAAATTAAAGTAGCTGTTTATTTTTAAAGTTTTTGTAAGAATCGGAGAAAACCTTATTTTGGAACTTTTTTCAAAAATTTGTTTCTCAGAAATTTTATTATCAATTTCCTGATTTTATCATAAACTAGAATGTTTCAGCTTTAATTTGAGACATAAATCGCTTCTTATTTCCTAAAATAGAAGGAATTACTAGTTTTTAAAGTGTTTGTCTCTATCATAAATTAGAAGGTAGAAATTAACCTCCTTTTTTATAGGCAAAAATCGATTTGATCATTAAATTAAAGAATTTAAGTGAATTATTAAAACAAATATTTTATTTACCAAATACTAAAAAATAATTCAAACCACGCACCCAATCCAATTTGCAAAATACGTTCGGTTCTTTGAATCTCAAATCATTTACTTTTCAGAGTAAAATTTAAAATTCATATCGGGTATCTAGTGAAAACGTAGTCTAGTGTAAAATGCAAGCTCACGTCCCAACGAAATATTTAAAGCCCCAATTGGGACGAGACTACGTCCAACAATGTGCACCGGATCTTCCTAGCGGAACCATAGCCATATAAAGTCGCCGGAGCTTCGTAGTATTTGGGTGCCAATTAATATACTGCTCACAAGCGATCCCCTAACCCGTTGACTGTCGATATATAACCGCACCCACACTTTTCAGAGACACCATTGACAAACAATCAACATGTTCAGGCAGACCACAGTAGTACTCGTGCTCGCTTTGAGCGGTTACGTTTTGGGTAACACCGCCAGGAGTGGTGAAGAACTAGTCAGCACCGTTGTTACAAATTGTGCTGATATGGGATGTGTAAAGCAAGAAGTTCTTGGATATTTAGATAATCTTTTGAATATTCAAAGCGAATCCGCCCGAGATATGAAGGTAACTTATTTTTTTTATTACAAATTTATAATTATTTTATCTAATATATCAACAATTATATCGGCAAACACTTTTTTTCAATTAGATTTCCTTCAGTTTATTGCACAACTTCTGCTCGGTAGCGATTAACTCTACCGTCCACAGAAGAACATGGAAGTTACATAACGTGTAAAATCCAATGTTAAACCGCAGTTTCCCTTTTGTACGAACCAGTAAAATAATTTCTACTAAACACTATTTATTACAGAACGTCGATGCCGCTATTTTCAAAAGGGCAGCCCGAGTCCTCAACACTCACGAAATAAGATATAGGATGCCAGAAATGATCTTCGGAAAGATGGATATGATCTACAACCCGAAAACCGGATTAGATCTCGAATCAAGCGACGACCAAAGTAGAGGATTACTTAAGAAGAAACTCCTTTTCCCAGCTTTACTCCTCCTAAAATTGAAAATGAAAGCTTTGATGCCAATTATCCTCGCTATCGTCAAGTTCAAGGCTATCAAAGCCCTCATTCTCAGTAAATTAGCTATCGCTATCGTCTTAGGATTCGTTATCTACCAATTAGTGTCCAAATCTGGTAATATAATTAATTTTTTTTATGACCATATAATTTAATTTTTAATGATTATTCATTAGGTATGCCTATGCCAATGAGCATGACCCCGATGGCACCACCAGAACCTCCAATGCCCGTATACGGAGCCCCAATGACATCCACCCCCAGTTCCTACGAACCAGGTTGGGAACCATCCGGTGGCCCATATGCTAGGATTTGGAACGGAAACTCCGCATCGGAGAATGGAGCCCAAAATATGGCTTATTCCGCTTACTACCCAGGCAGTTCCACAACGATTCGACCTTAAATTTTAATTAAAGGATCAAATTACGATATGAATTTTATTTATTTTTCACTCTGTTATGCCTGTAGTAAATTATTGAACTTTAATAAAGGTTAATGATTTTAATTTTTTTGTTTTGTAAATCTTTGTTTTCTTTCTCTTCGTAGTATCTAATCTTCTGTTATCAATATCTAGCCTTTTGTCACCAGAGAATAGTTTTTTGAGAGTGGTATCCAGTCTTCTATTAAAATCATCTGAGTTTCAGTTTCACCTGTGGTATCTAGACCTCTAGACTACAGTACAAGTATTTAGCAATAAGCAGTATCTTAGTCTTCTGTCAGTAATACATAATTTTTGTCAATTTGTAATGTCCTTCAACAACAGTATCTAATAATCTAGTCTTATATCTTTAGTGATACTTCTAAGTATTTAATCATGTTCCCTGCAACCCAACCTCCATTCTTAAATCAACGATTAAATTTTTTAAATCCACTTAATTATGTCAACACAAAGTAATCAATTAACGACAATGAAGAAAACAGGGGCTTAAATAATATCTGTTTGGCTTGCTCTAAATTTGATGGAACTAGTACCATAGATACATAAACGAGTAGAATATGATACAAAAGTGCCGAATTTCTGACATTAACTCCTGAACTTATATGTATTAATTAAAGGTGTGTTAATTAATAAAGAAAAGCCATTGAGCGGAACACGTAATAAAGACAAAGACTTTCTCACCATAATACAACGAGTTGAATGCCTTAGTTTGACTCAGCTTTGATATTATGAATAAATTAGAAAAGTTCGTTCGGTTGTTTAGATGCCATTCCTTAATAATTCGTAACATCGCCCCCTTCTTAACCTCTTAATCGCTTTTTGCCATCTCTCGGTAACTTGGACAAGTTGCAATACCTTTCGGAAAGAAAGCTATATTAGCTATATTCTTGTAGTACCGACAGTCTTTAAAAGATGGCTCTTGCGTTAAAGATGTTATTTACAGCAAATATCTGAAGTAATCTTTAAAGGATTATAGTTTTCTTCATCGTTACTTAAAACTAGTATTAAATACAAAATTGATTCTTACCAAGTAATTTTGAAATGTTCCAAAAGATGGTTTTAGTAACCTGATGAAAATCAATTTTCTTCAATTTTAATGTATTAACACAATTACTATTATTAATGATAATTTCTATTTTAAATTTGGAATAAGAAATTGTCATAGACAAGAAAATTATGTATTTTGTATCTTAATAACATGTAATCATAAAAAGCCATGTATTAATTTAGTGTTTAATTAAAACAGGAATAAAATTACTTGTAATAAAACTAATTGTAAACGAGTTGATAATTACTTTTTGATCATGGTCTGATTATATCCAGCACGTATCAATTAGAGAGTTCATTTACATTAATAATTGAAATTCATTATTAACAAGGTTTAATTACGACAAAACATCGGTCATTATTAACCAGCATGTTATGTTAATATTAACAATAAAAACTTGAATCGTTTACGGAGTGTAGAAAAGAAAAAATATATCCAGAAAAAAATAAATTATTTATTTAAAAGAGAAATAAATTATTACAAATCAATAAATTACAATAAAAAGCAACAACTAACACAGAAGAATTCAAAACTGGTAATTTTTTTATGCTATTAAGGTTTGTAGGGTTGATAATCTGGTTGTAACCCCAGTGGTAATGGCATATCGAAACTTCTTCCATAGGAAGAGTGGCCGTGTCCACCATAATCTTCGTGTGAACTGGAATGACTGCTACCGTGGCTGTAAATTGGTTTGGTGATGACTTCGTACGTGGTTTGTTTTCCTCCTCCGCTTGTCAATGATTTTAATCCAATGATGGCCGATAACATCAAAGAAATCAACGCTGTCATTAAAGCTTTTCCAGCTAACGCTGCTAAAGCGGCCATTGCTACAGCCATTAAGGTTCCTTTCATCATAGCACCAGCAGCTAAAAGCATTCCCATTCCACCTCCTTTCTTGCCGCCTCCCCCGATGCCATCACCTTTCCTAGCGGTGTTTGGGTCGAAAAGGTTTAATTTAATAGAATGGGTGCCCAAGTAGTTGGAAACTTTGTTCATCAAAAATGCGTCAAGTCTTGCATCAGGATCGTTAGGGAATTCCCTGGCAACTTCGGCAACAATCTCTTCATTGGCCTTTGCACGAGATTCCCTTACAAGACTAACTCCGGGTAAAACATTGAGGTCTTCTTGGTTATTCAATTTTTCAACCCAATTTACAACGTCCAATTTAAAACAGGTAATGGAATAAGAAGATGCGCATTCCTTATCAAGGGATCTTTTATAATTTTCCCGCTCTCCTTTTGGTTGCTGATCTTCATCGCAAAAACCAACTGCTAATACGCTCGCCAACACCAAAACGAACACAAATTGCCTTCTTGCCATCTTCAACGAGTGCTTGTTGCTGATCTACTGAATGTTAATGGTAACCGCAAGCCGCATTTATACCTCGACATTGAAGAAAAAAAATAATCTTCTAACCCAGTTTGGCCAATTTCTTTCGCCATTCACTTTTATCAAATTATACTGGACTGGGTCGGACGGACGAGCTTAATGGAGCATTCAATAATGGATGTTACACTTCAATTCTTCGTTGGCCACAGAAAGCTTTCTATCTTTCTCTAAGTTTCCTACATTCTATTTTGTTATACCCTTTTTTTTGCACCGGCCGCCTTTAGAATATCTTGCCTAGATTCAAACGGTAATTATATCGTTCTTAATTTCCTCTACTTCTATAAACTATTCGAAACTATAATGGTATACATCACACCTTGTTAATTGAAAAAACTGTTAGTACAAAAAGATGGGATTATAATTGAATCAAATTGAATTGCAATTATATTTTTAATTGTGTATTGAATAATTACAAAACGGCGATTAAATTAATAATTAGCTAAGAATTTTTATTAATTAGTAATTTGAAATTTTTTATCTAAAAGCTCCTTTTTTATTTTACGGTTTTAAATCAATTTATCAACTTATTAATAAAAATGCATATAAAAATAAACAACCAATTAATCTCTCAATTAATCTTTTTAGTATATTAATTTTGCAACTTTCCTTTATTGTTATTTTACTTTTATTGACAATAATATTTATTAATCTCATCATCGATATCAGACTTTTCTAAAAGCTTCGTTTAGAAATTTTAGTTTCATTTTTAATTCATAAAAAGGTTGGGTTATACAACGATAAAAAATCATAAATATTATTCATATAAATAATTTATTAAAGTAAAAATAAATAATCAACAAATTGAGGTATTGTTAAAACAAAAACAAACAAAAAATCTTAATTTTAAATCTTTGAGCATTTATGGTTGATATCCCTGCTGTAATCCGAGAGGAAGGGGAACATCAAAGCTTCTTCCATAAGATGAATGACCGTGCCCACCATATTCTTCATGCGAAGCTGAACTAGCATGGCTATAAACTGGTTTGGCTACAATTTCATAAGTGGTACTTTTATGACCTCCGCCTGATAACGATTTAAGTCCAATAATAGCTGAAAGCATTAACGAAATTAATGCAGTCATTAAAGCTTTTCCTGCTAATGCCGCTAAAGCTCCCATAGCTACAGCCATTAAAGTTCCTTTCATCATAGCACCAGCAGCTAAGAGCATTCCCATTCCACCTCCTTTCTTGCCGCCACCGCCGCCGCCTCCAAGACCGTCACCTTTCCTAGCGGTGAAGGCATTGCTTGAATCGAAAAGATTTAATTTAATTGAATGGGAGCTCAAATAATTGGAGACTTTATTCATTAAAAATGCGTCAAGTCGAGCATCTGGATCGTTGGGGAATTCTCTGGCAACTTCGGCTACTAGGTCCTCGTTGGCTCTTGCGCCAGATTCTCTAACTAAAGACATCCCCGGAAGAAGGCTGACGTCATTTTGATTATCCAATTTGTCAACAAAGCTCACTACATCCATTTTAAGACAAGTCGTCGAATAGGAATTTGCACATTCTTTATGTAAAAATTTTTTGAAATCTCCTCGATCTCCTTTGATTTGTTCTTCGGCGTTATCATCACTTGTTACAGCTCCGAATATGGTTAATAACACAAAAATCACAAAGACTCTCTTAAACATGGCTGTGGAGTGTTCGTAGAAGACTGAATTGCTCCAGTTTGGTTTCAACAGTATTTATACAAATTGGTCATCAGATGTGTTGTTTTTTGCTATGTAGAGCTTAGTGGAGCATAGAGATGACCATGGTGGTCGCCTTTCCAGCAGTCCTATCACCTACTCTCCGCTTTTATTTCATTTTTCAATAACCGTCCAATTACTACAGCGATTAAAGAAAGACAGACTTAGTTTACATTCACTTTTTCACTGTGCCGTGTATCCGCTATGTCTTAGATTTTCATACTACGAAAGTATGGCATGGCAAACGTCCCGTATTAACGAGGTGTTCCAGATTAAAGAAGTCCGTTTCCTTCTTCAATCTGACTACAGCAGCTTGTTTTTACAATAATCATAAACGTTAGTGTATTCAATTTTGTACGATATCTTTTTTCGTATATTCGACATAATAACTATTTCCGTTCTATATAGTTACTGTTAGATTTTAGTCTGTTTATTAATTACATACGGTTTTTAGTTACCCGTTATTAAACTTGGGTTGTAATTAAAAAATAAAGCACTTATTATGGATGCTATATAACTTAATAATCGTTCATTATATATTTCCATTAAATTTATTTCAACAGGTACAAATTAGCATAAATAAAATAAATATAATTTAAACTTTTCGATTAAAAACTTTTAATTCTTCTTTCCTTTCGATCTCTTCATATGGTGTGGTATCCCTGTCCAAAAGGATAATTTTCAATTCCAGCTCTGTTCCATAAAGGAGCATGAATCTGAGGTACAACTTCATAACTTACTCTGTGACCGTGATGAGACTCCAATAAACTCTTCAATCCGGTCGCTCCGGCAATCGATAAAGCCATAATGCTAGCTCCTAGTCCTTTGAACGATATCAACGTAATCAACGAAAGCACAGCTGGGATAATTATGGCTGCCTTTAATTTTAAAATTAAAAGTAGAGGTAGGATGAACTTCTTCAGTTTACTCTTTCTGGCTTCTAAAACAATTAATTAATAATAAATATTTCTAAAAAAAAACAATAAAAAATAAATGTTTCTTATAAAAGGAATTTTTTCCCAGCTGAAAGTAAACAGACAAGTTCCGACAATAACAATAACAATAAAACTAGCTGCTATAACGAGGTGAAGGTCGCCTGTCCACGAGGGAGAAGCAAGTTCAGGTTCAAGTGAAAGAGAATCAAACGATGTTGGTTACGATGATTTTACGCTTCGCTCCGTTCCATTCTGCTGCAATCGTATGAATTCTATTGAAGTCGGTTAGCTTTTCTTGTTCTAGATTTACAAAAGTACACCGCATCTGTTGTAGTCATTAAACCAATTAGAGTAACTTGATAATTTAAGAAGTCGTTAATTGTGTACGGATTACAGTTATAATAAACTAGTTACTATAAATAAACTGATAATTAGTTTTACATTTTTATAATGTTATTTGATATTTTAGGTGTCAAATGATGAAAATATAGTATCTTTTATTACTACCTATAATTAAATTAAACATATCGATTTCTTAGATTTTGAAACTAAATGGACTGATAATAACTAAATAGAGTATGGAAGGATAGAAAAAGAAAAAGAAAACTGGAAAAGGAAGCGAAACAGCAAAAAAGAACTAGACAGAAAAGAGGAAGGTAGAAAAGATAATACAATCAAAACAAGGACACTGAATTCAAACTGAAAAGACAAGAAAATGACTGTTCAGAGACTGGAAGAAAACAGACAGAGAAATAGAGTGATAGGATCGTAGTAATAATGGAAGAAATAGAGTGAACAGGAACTAGGAAAACTGCAAGGATGCTGCGTAGAGAGAAGGGAGTCCAGAAAGAGACTATTAAGGAAAGAAAGAAATCAGGCAAAGAAAGAAACACTGAAAAGGGTTTGGTAGTAGAAGCAAGATGCGAAACAGATGCTGTAAAGACGGAAAGGAGACTGGGTAGAGAGAAGGGCTTTTTTTAGGCAGAAAAAAGGAAGACGAGAAAAAAGTGCTAATATAGCAAAGAGGCAAGGAAGATAGGAAATGGACTGTAGAGAAGAGGGAAACTGGAAAAAGGCTGGTAATAGAACGAGACGGAAAAACAAGAACGAGACTACTTACAGAGGAAAGAGACTGGAAAAGTTGCTGTTCAAGCTAGAAAAGAATTAGGCAGAGAAGTGGTATTCTAGAATGAGACGGGTAATGCTAATACTAGTTGCCATGATGAAATGCAAAAACTGCAAATCGAATATTGTAAGCTAGAGTATGATCGGCAGTAATATTTCATATTTTCATTCATTGAAATTGCACATCCTTCTTGGAAGTGATGCTACATTCGGTACATTTTAATTTAAATACAAACTAAAATACCGTATTTTCTCGAATCTAATCCGCACCCTTTTTACAAATTTTGTATGCTCTAAAATCAAATGCGGATTACAATCGGATGTGGATTACATTGGAAAACCAACTTTTTTTACCAACATGGCACTTTTAAAATCGAGGTGCGGATTAGATTCGAGTGCGGATAAGATTCGAGAAAATACGGTAGATAAATTACATTGAAGTCTCAAACTGAAACGGAGAAATCTAAAATATCAAGATCTAACTGAAAAATAGAATCTTAATATTCGCAGAAGATATAAAGGCTAGGAAAAAGAAATCTAAGAAAAGAGAATATCTTCAAGATGATTGAAGCAATGAGATTTCTTACAATAAAAGATGATCTGGTATATAAAATATTTAACATGCAATGTGAACGTAGAAAATGTCATATCATTTTATTCATTAATGCAATATGTTCAAGCCATAATAAAGTTCCGAAATGATCAAATTCTCTTTTTAAGATTTATTTCAAAAATTAAAAATGTTTGGAAAAATTGTTAGAAATGGAAAATATTCTAATAAAGTTATTTAAAGATGGAATAACTTAATACATGTTTATTTATATTAAATTTATTGCAAGTTGTGCGTTTGTGATAGAGCAAAAAAAGCCTGAACTCTCATCGATCGAAGTCTGCTTTATACCAGCAAGCAAAACGGTCAACTTTCTTTAGAAACCGATCGGAGTGGTATAGCAAGGTCCTGTGTATCCCCACTTTTGTTGTTCCGGTAAGAGAATGTAGTTACATTCTCTAGAGTAGTTACTCTCTTCGGCCTGCGTAGTATACAAAGTGGGAGAAGAAGAAGCCGAAGCACGACTTCTGGTTTACTGACCCACATCTCCGTTTCTGTGACCTCGATGGAGGTTACGTTTCTCCCTGAACAGGTATTCGTCCCCCACTTTTCTCTGAAAATTCTTGTGTAGGATTTAATATCTTATTGAGTTTTAAATTTTTGATTGAATTTTTGATTTTATTATTAATTAAATAATAATCTATTTATCTAATTATAAAGTAAAGTTAGGAATATTTATGATTCTAAAATATATTCGAAATATACGAATCTAAAAATATATAATATAAAGATTGAATTCAAAAAAGTAGCAGATGATTGATACGAGTTTTATAATTGGCACCCTGAGGATAAAATGATTGAGTTTAAATAAAAAAATGTAACATTATTTTTAATTGCCGAGTTATCTCGAACACAAGACTGAAAACGTGAAATTTCTCCCGGACATTTTCGGCATACATTTTACGCTGAATTCTCTATTACTATCCCACAGAAAATCTGGGTCATTTAGTTCCGTAGACGTATAAAAAGTAATTAGTGCTTGAAATCTCACGCCGTACCGGATGTGCCAGAATGTATAAATATGGACCGACTTGTCAGGACTTCCAGTTTCTCTCGGACATTCAAACAATTTCATATATTTTTTTATTTTAAATATGTATCAATAATTATTATTTAAATAGAATTAGTATATCAACACTTCAACTTTATGTTATATGTACATGTATGTTTACGACTTTAGTAGAGTCGTTAATTAACTGTTAACTAAAAATGAAAGTACCTATGAGTTATGGGTCAAAGAAAGTGTCAAAAACAATAAGAAAGCTATAAAGAAACGAGATGAAGTGCTGAGTGGAAAATAAAATTTTGAATGATGTAATTTACCTATATTATTTCCTTCACTTTCTGGAATTCCAATTTTCAACTCATGACTTCTTAGGAATCTAATTAATCTGTCGAAAATATCTTCGTTAGCTCGTGATTGAACTAAATCACCAACATTATCCTTCTTCTCTAAAACAATAGATCCATCTAATATTTCAAGTTTCGGTTCGGAATCAATACGGTCGATAATTTTGATGAGTTTATCTTCCGAACACTTGATGCTTTCACCACAATCCTTGTATATGTCTTCTGATCGCGTAACGGATATAAAAACCGAGACGGTAATAAAAAATACTAATAACACTTTCATGTCGAAATGCTTGTTTAAACAATAAATTAAGCAGTAATGACCGATTGCTATGGTTCGACAGACGTTTTATATCAACTAGTGGTCCTACCCAGTGTAGGAGGACTAAACATAGGCACATCACGCGTGCATTTCGAATTCCATGCCAAAACGTGGAAACAATGTCAATTTACTCGTAGTATCGACTTGAGTGATACAGTTCCTTATTAAAAAAGGTCACTTAAAATTAATTATTCAGTTTGCGAGGGGTGGTTAAAGCCTGTAATTTATAATTAATTTGTTTCATGTCAATATAAATAGTTTAAGATAACGTTTATTGAATAAATAATTATTTACTTAATTAATTTATTTTAATAAATATACTAACATAGACTACGAATTAAATTATCAAAAGGTTATTGGCAAACAATCCTTAATAATGACCAGTTTTTAATCCCATTACTGCAGCAAATAAGGCAAAGAAAAATCCTGCTAACCCAGTTGCTCCTGTCAGTAAAAGCAATCCTCCTATCAAAACTGGTATTAACGTAAAAAATTTTAATTTATAAGCTAGTAAAAGAGGAAGAAGTAATTTCTTTAATTTTCTTTTTAGCCTAAATTTTCCCCTCGCTTCCTCAACATTTTCATCGAGCGCTGTATAATCTAAAAAGATAATTTCAACCAGTTGGTTAATTTATTATTAATTGAAAACTCACCTGACGACGACATTGGAATTCTCGTTTCTAAACTCCAAGAAGCCGAAGATGTTGGAAATGAATTCCATAACGATCCTTGCCATGTGGATATTTGTCGAGACGAACAGCTATGTGGTCGTATTAAACACAAATTAATCACAACGAAAATACCCAATAAGAAACGGTTCATTTTACTTCTTGATGTTCACCTCTAAACCATGTATTTTTTGAAGTATTTTTCAGTTTAGCAACATTTTCGACCAACGTCTTCTTGAATACTAAAAAGATTACCCGCACGAATGCACCATGGGTTATGAAAATATGGCTTCCTCGACCACGATGTCCTTTATTTGCCGGTACATGTACCGGGATAATAGATACTGTGGGCTTTCCAGTTCACTTACAACCCGTAATTTTCCGTATTGTCCTCGACTTGTGTCGAAGACGTCTTGATATTGGCCTTAGAAGGATTTGAATAGTGACGTAAGTGTAACATACGCAAAACCATCTCGTGGAAAATTACAGTTGTATTATATTATTAACATAACTGGATGTCTAGATTGTAGTAGGGTTAATGATAGAGTAATTATAAAAAGACGGGTTTTATGTAGATTTTTTCACTCGTCTTTTAATAATGTATTATATTGCGATTGTGTTTTATTCGCTGATAATACTTATATTATATGTTTCACTACTTACTTAAATGAATTAAACTTTATCTGCTTAAGATTTTAACTGTTTTAAATCTTCTTTTGTGTATAATCGAAGGCACTAAAGCATTCTTGCGTATATTGGATGAATTATGACATCGAGGAATATTCAATGTGAGGATCCAAAGAGGAGTTTCGAATGATTCAATGAAGACATATACTGACAATCTGGTGTTGGTGGTCAGATTGCTGCATAGAGAACATAAAAAGGGATCATAATGGCTCAGGATCGGGAAGAATGGAAAAGAACTGTAAACATATAATATCGCCAAAACCTTCGCAAGGGTAGAAGGAATGAGGAGGAGGAGTAAATAATGATCACAGATTGGTTAAGCAAACTACTCAAATTATCCAAAAAATCGAGAAATCTTTGGTTGCCTAATAATTTTCTCACATACACTATTGCACCACAGCCCATTATAAGCCTTGGCCTCTTCTACAACACGCTTCCATTCGTCTCGATTTGGGGCTAAATTGCTCCAGTTCTGCATCTGCAGGGCCCTCAAATTCTCCCTAACATTATCCATCCATAACCCCCTTGGTCTTGCTCTTGGTCAACGATCGAATTTGAGTGTGAACCCAGCGTGCCACTTTATTTCTCGGCATTCTCCCCACGTATCCCAGTCACTTAAGTCTCTGGACTTTAATTCACGTTGATAGTTCTGGTCCTTCCTGCAATTCTCTTATCTTGTACCTTATTAATTGTCTCCATTCTCCGAGGTTTGTAAGATGTTTTTTTCAAACCTGTTTAATAACTCTTGGTAAAGATTATTGAGTGTCGATGTTTCAAATCCATAGCTAACTATAGGACGTGTGAGCGTTTTGTACAGCCTTTCTTTACATCCTCTTGTTAAAAGTTGGGACCGTAGTAGTTTGTCCATCGCAAAAGCATCTCTATTTCACGCTAGTATTCGGGCCTTTATATCACTATCGATAACTTATTTACCATTCCAAAATTGTTACCGCCGATCTGGATATTTACTGCTCCCTGTTGAGGTAATATACGTCCTATTACCATATATTAGCTTTTCCCTTCACTTAATTATTCAAGGGCATCACTGTCATATAAGTTTCTTTACGTAAATAAGTATCCTATAATAACCTATAAATTTTTTGCTATAAATAAATTCCGAATAAACAGAAATTTTACCGTATTTTCTGTATTATTAAGTTTAACCCAATTTCAACGTAATAAATTAGTCATGTTAATTTCTACGAAGAAAATTTTTCACACAGTCTTCAACTGAATACTAGATTTTATTGTTTCTTCTTTCCCACTAACGGATTTGATGTCCCCAATTTAAATTTTCTCTCAACTTTCTCATCAATAAGAAAACAAAACGTTTTTTTTTTCAAAAGAATACAATTTTTATTTATCAAAATAAAACAAGGTACAAAATGAAACAATATAAACAACATAACAAAATCAATTAAGTATGGAAAATTGGAGAGATACACGCTTACGTTATACATTAGTTAAATTATTATAAATAAATAAATAATAAATTTGAATGATTGCGTTTTTGTAAAAAAAAGAGTGAAGAAGTGCGTTCGTGGAAGTACTAATAAAGGCACCTTTATACAGCTTGATGACCAAAATAACTGGTCGATATCGTCGGCCCTATCTCGCATACAACACAGTTTGTACAAGTAATTATTACGGAATAATGTGACTAAAAATCTTCTATAAAGTTATAACTTAATAATTAAAACAGGTAATAAAGTAATCGTTAATTTTTGGTGGGACATTTATGGATTTTTTGTTTGGGGTGTTTTTTAAGGACTTTTATCGGATTAAGAAATTTTCTTTTTATTATTGAGGGGTGTATGCTTTGTACGCTAAAGGTTGGGCTTCCAAAGATCTTCTGTCCCAACCACCACCACCACCGCTGCTCCATCCTCCGTGTCCACCACCGCTTTGCCATCCACCATGACCGCCACCACCTCCTTGTTTGGCAGCAATCAATTTCTTGATAGCAATAATTCCAGCTAAGAGAAGGGCGATTTTCGCTGTGATTAAAGCTTTTCCTGCCAGCAAGAAAAGCCCAGCAATTGCAATTGGAATTAACGCAGCCATTTTGCCTGCAATTCCCATCATGAGGGAACCCATCATTCCTTTCATTTTCTTTCCTCTCCCTATAAATTACAAAAAAGAATAAGAAATAATATTAAAATTAATTGGGATTATGAAGTACCTTCTTCTGATAAATCGGAAGTAAATTTAGGCATTGTAAACCTTAAGGTCCTAGAGCTAACGAAAGAAGTGATTTTATCGTAAAGCATGGAATCCAAAGCTTCGTCTTTAGCGTTTAAATCCCTGGGTAAGTTCTTTTCGATGTCTTCATCTGTTAATGAAGGTTCCGCACTGGCATCGGTTTTCACTACTTCCAATTCGTCGGTAATCGAAAACTTATCCATTCTACCTAATCTACTGAAGAAGGTAATTGCTTTCTTTTTTAAACAGGGTGAGAATCCATCAGATTTTGAACATTCGTCGTACACTTTGAGGGCTATTTTCATTCCGGTGTTATCCCATGATTCGGACGCCTCAATCCTGGCTAAAAGGGCGCAGAGCACAAGCACTAACAAGAACCTCACAGCCATTTCGCAACCGATCGATATTTTTCTCTTCTTAATGGTTCACCGGCTCCTGAAGAAACCTTCTGACTGATAATTCTCCGGGTCGTCGAGTTGGTTTTATAGTGAAATCGCGACGTTTTGACCTGCCCACCGTGTGACCTCGTGCGGTGTCTTCTTCCTCTTCTCACCAAAGACTTCTTGCTATATTGACATATTTGCCCGGTGCTTCATTGGCTGCACATGACCCACATACAAGCGCCCATCCGAGACGATTGGTTGTAAGAAACGGTAATGTTACTAGGTTACTATGAGCACGCGCTTTGTGCAATGAGAGATTTTCATTCGTCTTTTCTAACCTCTTCGAAAACGTGCGTTAGTGAAGATAAATATTTTTGAAAGTGAAATTAACCAAAAAGACTTTTGGTGAGACGAAAGAGTAAGTGATCTAGTTAATCGAAGAAGAATATATATTCAAGTCATCATGGTGTTAAATTAGCAATTGAAAATATTGGTTGTATTTTGCATACGGAAGATGAAGAAGTGTGTTAATCATTCGTTTGACCTCCTATCAGTTTTCTTCGGTAAATAGAAAACCGTAAAATTCTGAGACGTGCCCATTTTTTGACGATTTTAGATGGTGTTTTTCAATGAAATATTGATTGGAGATACTATTACGGTTTAGCTTTCACTAGCATGCGGTCGTAATATGTAATAACTCGGGCAATGGAGCAGCCGAAATAAAAGGAGAACTAATAGAGCTAACGGAAGCATTTTCACTTTTGATATTGATGTAATTTCAATAGCGGTCTCTGTATATACCTTTAAGGATTACTATTTGATTGAAATGTTTGTCTAAATTTAATATAAAATAGGTATTTAATTTCTATTCTATTTAATTCTTTATTTCCTTTCTCTATTGTCATGTCATTCAATCAGAGTTTCTTGAATCGTGTTGTGTCCCCTTTTGTTTTAATTCGAAACTGTATCACGGCATTTTCAGGTTAGATTTCTATTGTAGCGTCGCTTCTATAACGGCCTTCAACATAACATTCTAACCTACTGGTACTGAACCACCCAAACCTACTTCTCACTCATCTTGCAACTCAAGTTTCCGTAATTTCCCTTGCAGATCCTGACGTACGAACGCATCATCTTACATTTCCCAAAACCTACTTTTCTACAATGGAATTTCCCGCGCGTTTTTAACTTTTTGTGTGATGAGAACACATCTCACTTATAAGTTAATCCTCCTCATTGTATGTAGGACAAAGCAATAAACCTATTTGATTCGTTTTTCATCGAGCAACATTTGGCACAAAACGCACGTACTGGTTTTCTAGAAAGTGTTTTCGCCGCACTTTTCTTCCAGCGACGTGTGTTTTAAGCCGAATTAATGTGGCCATTTGGAAGGAAGGGCGTTGTACCTGTTCTGGCCAATGAGTTAAATATGCTAATTTAAGTCGTAAAATACTTAGAGAGATTCGTGTCGAGAACATGTTTAAAAATAGTTTAGAATTGAGTCATAAAAAATTAAGAAATTTTTATTGGTTTATTCATTTTTAATACATATAAGAATTAAATAATTTAAATTTAAAATTAGATATGAAAATTTATTCTTTTGGTCCCCATTTCTCTTCCGCTCTTCTCAACATTTCTTCTTCAGCGGAAATTGATCTGTGGTAATGATCGTGGTCGTCCTCGTAAGAATTAGAATAAGTATGGCTTGTGGAATGAATTGGATGTTTAACAACCTCAACATTTAATTTTTCTTCTTTTCCGCTAAGTAACGATTTCAAACCCATTATGACGCAAAGCGCTAAAGCCATCTTTCCTATTAACATTGCAGCACCGGCCGTAACTGCGATTCCTTTATAGGCAGCGCCCATAAAAGCACTCTTTATGGCCATTGCTGCTATTAACGGCCAAAAATTAATTCGCTTCTTTTTACGAGCCTCTCCTAAACTTTTTGGTTGTCTAAATTCTAAGTATCTGGTTGAAACGAATTCATCTACAGCTTGGTTTAGCATGACGTCGATGTGATCTTCGTCCATATTTTGGAGGTTTAAATGATCAGGGATGGGATAAACTCGTAAACTCCTACCTCTGGCTTCTTGCACCAAGTTGATTCCATCATAAATATTAATTTTTGCTAACTTTAACGATCGATTTGCGATTTTTAGTACTTGGATTTTTAAACATTTCACTGTGTTCTTTTCGTCCTTACAATGATTGTAGAGTTTCTCGACGAATTTCCACCCAGAATATTGCGCACTTGTAATATTTAAATTTATTAAGATTAAAAGGAGAAGGAATGTTGTTGTGGTGTTAATTCTAAGATTGTCGTTGCACATCTTGAAGATATCGTTAATGGAACTATACTGATACAAGATCACAAAAGCTTGTGGTATTTATTCTTTTACGCAACTCGTGCTTTTTTTCAAACAGAGCGTATACAATTTATGGTATTTGTTGCGTCCGATAGATACTTATAACTTTTAATTAGCATGCGTTTTACGACGGAAATGTGGAGTATGACGATGGATTAGGTTGCGTGTGGTTTCATTCTACTCGAAAACTACACGAAAGCTTCATGTAAATTAATAAAAATGACACAGTTTCCTAAAATCCTCTATTAATCCCAATTCATATCATTGCTTTAACAGATATTGTGAAAATTACTTCATAGATTTTATTTTTTTTAACTTTCGATTATCAAATAAACTTTAATTGTCTATTACACCTTTAAGTAATTACTTTTTATTAAGTGCTTTAAGTTAAGGGAAATAATAAAAGTGTTATTAAACTTTCTTTTTTTTTATTTGACTAAAGCAATTTTTTCTTTTAGTTAAGCTCCGTTTTGGAAAAGAAACGATTTATTTATTTTCTTTTCCTGTTAAAAGAAAACTTGACACGTTGAATCCGGTTTACGATTGAAAATGTGGACTCTGCGATGGCGCTCTTTCTTATTTTCTCCGTCCGTCGAGGAGCGATCGATTTGAGTTAAACCATCAAGTGAAAGTCAACAAAGTAGACGGTCGAAAACGTGAGAAAACTTATGACCTTTACGAAGATTATATTAGGTTATTAATATTAATAATAAAAATACTTAAAAATAAAGTTTAATAATTTAATTCATCCTAATTATATTTAAAAAATCAATTAAGATAATAATAAATAAACAAAATATTTCGATTTCTATTTCTTTTTTCTTCTAGCTGAATATTGTAAAGCAGTATCAATAGGATTTGGAGTTGTGTAAATAGGTGGTTGATATAACTGTTGCATTTCATCGGGATTAAGACTTCTATGCCATCCATATCCGTGATTTCCACCTCCATAACTATCTGTATTAGCATAAACAATTCGAGTAGATTCTTTTCCACCTCCATCTCCTGACGATTTTTTAAATGCAGCTATTGTAGATAAAACCAACGCCATTTTCGCTAAAAGAAGTGCTGTTCCTGCCAAAAAGGCTAATTTCCCCATAAATAATTGCGTCATCATCCCCATCATAGCCATACCACCCATTATCAACATTCCTCCTCCTTTATTTTTACCACCGCCGCCATATCCTCCTCCGCCATATCCTCCTCCACCTTTCTTTCTACCTAAAATTATTAAATTCATCAACTTTTAAAGTTAATTAAAATTAATTAAAATCAAAATTAACCTTCAACAGTTTCTCCCAATTTAAATTTGATAACTCTCGATTTAAAAAAATCCTCAATTTTTGAATAAATAGCGTTACTAAGAGCTAAACTTCTCGACGAACCACCCGGAATATCCTCTTCCGCTTGGGAATTAAAATCGGTATCTTTAGTAATTTGAAATAATCCAAAATCCATCACTTGGCCACTATGTATACTTTCGTTGATTAATTTTAAAGCGTTTTCTTTAAAACACAACATAGTTTCGTTTGAATTGAAACAACTTGTCACTGTTTGAAAAGCATCGGTTATATTTTCGGATGCATTTAGAGGAAAAACTAACATCATAAGAACCACAATTTTTTTTAAACAACTATACATTGCTGTGGGATGATGATACTCTACTTCAGCTTTACTGACAATAAAAAGGAAACTTTTGAGTGTTTTATAAGCATTCATAAACTTACCGAGCGTATCTTTAAGCACGACTTTACCAAATAGTAGACGATTTAGGAAAAGGTAATTGCTAGTTTTGAATATTAAACCGTGTGATTATATGACACATTGGTTTGGATTTGTTGACCTATATAGTTAATTTAGCAAATCTAAGTGAGTTGGTTTTCAATTTGTTTTAGTGGGTAAAATGTGGGTAAGGAAATAGTGGGATAAATATCTCAATTTTAAAATTTTGTTTTCAAAAAATTTTATTTAACATTATCCAAAATTAAAGATAAACTCTTTTTTTATAATCTTCTGCATGATTACCTTGCATCCACATTAGACCATTATCCAAGATAGCCGAAATGCTGTGTTAAGAAATTCTCTAGAATTCGAGGGATTGGGGTGAATCTTTCCAACCCAGTCCAAGGTGAGGCATATAAACACACCCCTTCAATTGCATGGACGAAACGTCTTTGGATGTGCATGGCTTCTGATAACGCGAGCATGTGAACTAATACTAGAAACTTTCAGGTTTTGCCGTGCATCATTTAAGAAAAAGTTTAACGTTTCGGATGCCATATTGCAACCTTCTTCAGAAACTGGTTCGAAGTGTAAACACGGCAAAACCAGAAAGTTTTTGGTGTTAGTTCTAATTTTAGTTCAATTTTTCATAAAGTATGGACTTCCTGCGTCATTTCAAATTTCTTCTTACAGTGTAGATTCTTGTCAGCATAACTACAGACTTTTACGTGAATATTGTAACTTTACTTGTAGTATGTAATTTGGCCAATATATTTCCCAACTCAACCCAACCCGTATTGTCGGTTGTCAAATCATTGAACAACATGGTACTGAATTGGAACAATTAAATTTATAGTTAATTTCACACTTTTTACACATATTTTTAATTTGTCGCTTTCCTAAACATATTTAACAATAAATAATTAAGATAACATTCAATTCGCGATGATTTTATGTCAATTTATGCAACGTTTTTATGTTCCTCATTGGTCCAAGCAAAATTCCTTCCTTTTTCATCAGTCTTTTCTCTTGCATAAATTTCTTCAACCGGTATTTGGCCACGTAGCCTTAAAAGATCAGCGTATTCATTCACGTTATAAATATTCGGATTGATTTCTTCGTTTTTATAAATATTATAGAAATTATGTCCGGGAAATTCTTGATGATGATGCTGAGAATGAGCATAATTACCACCAGAATTAAACACCAAGTTGCTTAGCGCGTAAGCCGAGGATATAATTAAAGCCAATTTGCTAAAGATAACCGCTTTCTTCACCATAAACGCTAATATACCAAGAAATATAGGTAGTAAAGTTGCAACGTTTAGTTTTAAACCCAAAAGTAAGGGAACGAGGAATTGTCTTGCGAGAACTCTCCCTGAAAAAAAAATTTATAAAATAGATAAAAAGAAATAAAAATTCTTTAGCACAACAAAAAAAGTATGGTAAATAAAACAGCACAGAAGAAAGTCGTCTCATCACTCGTTCACATGTTAATCGATGAAGAAATTGAACGCTGGCGAGACAGGTTGCGGAAACAATGACCCAGATTCTCGCGTCGAGCTCCGACGACAAAACCTTGAACCTTCCCGTGAAACTTCAAGCTCAAGTTCGAGACCTTAAACCTGTTCGTGTTGAACCACACCTTCTCATAAGTTGTTATAAATTTATTCTGATGAATCATAAAAAAATTAACCGAGTTATAAATCTATCAATTGAATGAAAAAATTTTGTTATAAATTTATATCATGAATAATAAATAACGGAGAGACATTAAATATGTAAACAATAACTTTAATTATTTATTTGGCGCAACTTTTTATGAATAAGTATTGATAAAAAATTTCGCAGCGCCATCCCACGGTCAAGGTCAACGATATTACTACAAAGAAAGTTCTTTCTTGCTTACCTGTGCCGACATCCTTCAAGTTCTGTCGTACCAACGAATCACGATGTTGGTCTAAAGCGAATTCTAGTGCTCCCATCGGGTTCAAAGATGGCGATACTCTCATTGAAAGTCCGGGATATAGAAAGCTCATATCCCAAAGCAGTTTTCTTCTTGAAAATACATTATCTACTGTATCAAGGATTGATCTAAAAAAAATTAATTATAATAATAAATAATATCGATGGATATGAATAATAACAAATAAATTAGTTTTTATTTCAAAGTTACCTAAAACTTCCAGGATTACTATCAACAAAATTATAAGCCTCTCTATATTGTTGGTCATCTTTCGTAAACTTTAAGTCCTCCGTAACTTCAAATTCCAAGTTATTTTCTAAAGTTTGTAACTTTGTGAGAGCACCAACCCCAAGGCAATAACCAAAGGATTCGTTCGGTTTTGAAATGAGGCAATGTTTAAACGATTCTGTGGAAATTTCTTCCGCTTTAAGCTGTGGATATAGGAGGATAAAAGAAATTAAGTAAAGCGGTTTTAAGGATTGTGGTTGGGGTGAAGGATACATTTTTAAGACTAAATCTTTCGTGTTTTCTGGGTTCTTTTATAAGAGCGACATGGAAAAGTGTTCTCAAGTGGAAAGTGAATGTTCCATTGTTACCACCTTTAATTATTAGCATTGTTTCACAATTCTCAGGTTTGCTTTGATCACCATTTTATTTCGAGAAAATTTTAGGGTCCACTAATAACGGAAACTCTTGCTTCCTTTCTTTCTTTCCTTTTATTTTAAATCGATAAACCTTATATTTTTAAGTAAAGCAATTTATTACGTTTACATAAATTTTAACTTTTAAACGAATTTATCCCTTGTCTACAACTCCAACTATAATGTCAGCGAAGTTTCATGGAATCTATAAGTAGGGTAATAAAATTTTGATTTGTAGATCTTTCTTGCTCCTGAAAGAGAGGAAGTTTTAAAAGTTATTCGAATAATTCAATAATAGTAGAAAGAAATTACAAAATTGTTTTTGTGTAATAAATAAAAACGGAATTGAAAAGTAAAGCAGTAAAATATTTTATTTCAACTTATACATCATAACTTATAATTCCGTATTAAATTATCCTTACTATAAAATAACACCGATATAAATGCATCATACAGAAACTTTAAGATAATTATGGATAAATATGTTAAGTATTGCACAAAAAGTTATGATTAATAAAGAAAGAGTGTATTTTGATTTATAAAAATTTGACTAGATTTAACCAGTTATTTTCACATGTTTTAAATATTAATATAGATTTTGTACCATCATAACAAAATACTGAATAAATATAACAATACACATTCTAGGTGAACAAAGAAAAAAATTAAATCTTATAACCAAAAAAAAAAAACATAAATAATTTACCTGAGCTAAAGCTTAAACAACACCGATTACTTATAAACTATATTGTATATTTAATTTTTCATTGCGATTGATTTTATGTATTTCTTATGAGTCGTTTCAAATGACCTTTATAAGCTAATTCTTGATCGAATGATCTATCATAATGACCGTGTTCTTCAGAATAAACGGGATGCGCAACGACTTCATATGATGAATGACTCTTAGATTCTAACAATTTCTTCAATCCCAATAAAGTAGCTATTGTTAAGGCGACCTTTGCTACTAAAAGTGCTTTAAAAGCCACCAATCCGATTATTTTTAACATTATCGCACCAATTGCTGCTGCCTTAAGTTGTAACAGCATCATTATTGGGACCCCTTTTTTCTTCTTCTTCCTCGCTGAAACACCAAAATAATTAATTTATTAATTGATGATGAATTTAAATTTACCTTCGTCTTCAAATGATCTTTTAAAATCATTAATTGATTCCCCGGGCATTTTTAATTCAAAAGTATGTGTCGAAAAGAAATCATAAATTTTTTCCCCAATAACTTTATCAAGCATTTCTTCTCTGCTACTTGGTTCATCCGGTAAAGTGGTCGTCATTCTTCTGCTGGCTGAATTATCTTCGACTTTTTTAATAATGATTGTATCCGCAATTTCCAAACTTGAAGGAAGGTGTTCTAAATAACTCAAAGCTCTTTCCTATACAAAAATAATAAGAAACTTATATTGAACGTAACAACAGGTATATATTCAAATATACATTACCTTAAAACAAATTGATAAACTCCTTTCTCCACACAATTCCAAGAAATGCATTCCATCTTTAAAAAGATCGTCTTCCTCTTGATCTGCTTTAGACCCGAAAAGAAAAATCAAAACCAACAATAACTTTATATTCTTCATTCTCTGTTTTTAATTTATGTTTTATTTCTCAAATACTTCTTCGTCGTGTACCACCAGCTTTTAACAACTGAAGAAGACTGTGTCGTCGATGCGGCTTTTATCAACTACCCATCGTGATTCTTTGAAAAATCACAAGTTGTATAGGTCGCTTGGTCACGGAATGTACGGCACCGGCACGTACATACATAGGTTGTACGCGACTTCTTGTGGCACACATTGACTTCTTCTTGGCGGCTTCTTCACGCGTATTGTCGCGGTTTTCCCGTTTAGTGCCCGTGACTTGTCCGCCAGCCTATTCCTTAAATGGGCGAAAAAAATGCCAAGTATACTCCGAGTGAAGATCTGCTAATGGTACAAGTCACCCAGTAATCTCGAAATGGAATGGTTCGATTTTCTAATCCTCCTTGTAATGATTTAATAAGAAATAACTTTGATTAAACCGAATTAATTTTTGCGAAATAAAATAATTTTTGTTACACTTAGAACGATTTATCACCTCTTTACATTTACATCAATTAGAAGATGGATGTGAAAGAAAAGTGTTGATTTATTAAATAAATTCATATCTGACCTGGTTAAGATTTTCCATTTTCAATTCTTATTAACTTAAAACATGAAAACTTAAATTGAAATTGTATACAAGTATACATAGGAGATATGCGCCTTACATTAAAAACTTTCGACTTTCATTTTCCTCAAGAATATTCGTCAAGTGAATGGCCGTCTACAGCGTAGACGAAGCTGCTTCACGCGAAAAGATGATCATCATCCATTGTATCACCGATGTGTCGTAATAAATTTCATGGCGGAACCTGACCTTTGGTTCATTCTATTCAAAAGCGGCAAGTAAACCGGGCCAATTCCGATTAAACACTATTTATGGCCTATACCCGGTATTTTGCATGTCCTACGTCGACCATAATGAAAATAAATCCTGTGTTTTTCCGACTCCGCACATTCAACAACACGAATAGTGTACAGCCAACGTTTTTATCTCGCCGACAAGATGTCGCAAGAGGTGCAACATAGTTGTAATTATGTTCTTGGCGATATTTACTGGAACGCGTAACAGTTATGAACACACGTTACTTCGAACCTGTTTTGTGTACGAAATGGTTTAGTTTCAGGGTATTGCAAAAATGTCTTATCGAAATTGATGCAGAGATTGTGAGAAAGTTCTACAAATATATATTCAAGTAGAAAACTTAAATCAGTAGAAAATCTTATAACAACAAACTTTATATACTAAATTACAAACATTCTGAGGTTTACGTTTTTTTTTCCATATCTGCGGAGACTTTTTCTACCATTATCACTCACTTCTAGTTTTACGCTTTAACGTTACTTCATTTCTTGCTTTTCTAGTTCCTTCTGTACTCTTCTCTCTGGCTAGTTTCTTTTTCCTTTTCCAGTCTATTACCAACATTCCTGTTCTCTATTTCTTCTTTACCCCTATCGCTCGTGTCTTCCTCTTCTTTATCTAGTATCTTGTTTGGCATTGTTTACAATTCCTACAAAATTTCTTTCCATCATCTCTCCTTCCTTGTATTACTAATATTTATATGTATTCCATCCTTCCGTATTTTTAATAATGTTGATGTCAGCTAGCAACACACTGAAAAACAAATTACATGATTTTAAATAAACATGATTACCACTACAAATTTTTTTCTTATAATCTTGATAATTTTATAAAATGCAAAACATTATGTCGTATATATAATAACATTCGCAAATCGTATCAAATTAAATTACGATGTTACACCGTAATTGTAAATAGTAGGTAATAAATTTTGCTTCCATTCGCATGTTAAACTCGTCTAGAAAGTACACTCAATAATTACTGGGTTACAGGTTGCATTTAGTTAAAACGAATCATGCTTGATTTATTATCACATTAACCTTAAATTTTAATTTATTCACTTTTCGTTCACTGTATTATTATTAATAATTTATTATGTGAAAATACCCTGTCAATCTACTTCAACATTACACCAATAGAAAAGAAGTACCTTTATTATTATAAGATGAGGTGTTTTAATTAAATTTTACGATAGAACATCACCAACAATTTTAATTAAGTTTAATGAAATTCGGCTTGAAACAACAAAATTAATTTCACCAAAATATCATAATGCGAGGCTGTTTAGGATAAAGTTTCCCCGGATTTTTTGGTGAGTAAAATTTGTAAATTTATGTTTTTCACCTCGCCTTTTTTTAACATTTTCTCCGGCTAGATAAATACGAAGTTCTTAAAAGCTTTCGTATACATACAACTTTCAACTTCTTTCTTTGTTCGTTCTGAAAGTTTTCGGCCCTCTTTTATCCGCCGTCGACTTAATGAAAACATCCAACGATTTGAAGAACAAAGGTTTTCACGAAATCTATATATACAACGTTTGAATAATTCTCCTTCTCCCCGTTAATATTTCTCTTTTGTTGTCTACCAAACGGTAAATGAATACTTCTCGTATTGTTTAAACTCTAAAGAAACTGTTACATTATATATTATTTAAAAAAATAAATAACAATGGATTAAACATATGTTTGATATTGAAATAATAAACAGTTAAAAGTAAAATACGGTTTATATCTTGTGGGGTGGTAAATGGAAATCGATTTTCTTTAAATCGAAATACGCTATAACTTATACATCAGGTAATAGTGTCAAGTTAATCCTATATGTTACACTCACTGAACGTTTCAAATTGCCAAGATTATAGTCAGATTTATAGCCTTCAGACAAAATTGGAGAAAATTTATTCAACCAAAAGCACCTAATAATTAATGTCTCTCAAATAGTAAGAGTAATAACCACCGTATCTAACAACTTCAAAATTAATCTGGTTAAACTATAACATAAGCCTTCGAGCGTAACCGTTTATTAAATTCTGATTCTTTAATTGGTGCTTAGAATTTCTTTAATTCGTTTCGTGTGCGTGAGTTTTTACGCGTGTATTTGACATATTTACTTGGCGATCTACTCCAATACACTTGACACACAACTATCCAAGCGAAGTAGATCGTAAAGATCATGCGATATCATCAAATTGGTGGTGACGTGATAATATATCATTTTTGTCAGTTTAGTCTAGGTAGGAAAATTTAAAACAAAAAATTATTTATTATTAAATTTTTATTTAAGTTAAAAAATATAATATCTAAATTAAATTATTAGATGTTTTTTTGAAATAAATAACAGTCCTATTTGAGGTATTACAAATTACTTCATTTTTTTAAATTATGTGCTTTTTGGTTTCTCTTGATATGCGTTGTAAGCCATACTTTGGGCATCTTCCTTATCGTAAGACCTTCCATATCCTGAACTATGTCCACCAGCATAAATTTCATGGGGTTGCTGTTGATGGCTGGATCCACCTCCAAGGAGTTTTTTCAAACCAATAATTCCAGCTAGAACTAAAGCTAGCTTAGAAACTATTAAAGCTTTTCCGGCCAATAAAGCTAAAGCCCCCAAAGCCAAAGGAATGAGAGTTCCCCCCAAAATCAGTGGGATGAGCATTAATCCGCTCATCTTTTTCTTTTTTCCTCTAGATTCTTCCGTTAACGATCTTTGAAGTTCGGATGCTGAAGGTAATTTAACCTGAAAGGTAAAAACACAATTAATACATCTATTTATTTTTTCTTGTAATAATCTTACTTGTAATGTGTGGGTGTCAAAGAACGAAGTTATTTTATCAAAGATGATGTTGTTTAAAGCTTCATTCTTTTCGCCTAAAGCTCTGGGTAAAGTTGCTTCGATGTCTTCGTTTGTGTTGGAAATTTCATTTGAGGCGTCGTTATTCTTCACGAAGCTGAGTCCTTGGATAACTTCAATATTATCGAATGATTTAGCCGCTCGGTCCATAGCAGTGATTAGTTTCAGTTTTAAGCAAGAAGTTAGCTCAGTGGCTGAACATTCTTGATAAATTTTGTAGATGTATTTTAAGTCGCCTAAATAAGAAGTTTCTTGGCTTCTGGCTCCTTCTTCTGGTAAAGCATTTTGCGATGTCGTAGCTGTACTTCTCCCCGTTACAAGAGTGACGAATACCATAAACACTATACACCTAAGCATGTTGAATTTTTTCTGTATAACTCGTTCTGAGCTCAATATGTACCGCTATAAAACAACTGTTTCAGATCTAGTTGTAGTAAACTTTATATACAGATCTGTAGTGCGTGCCCCACTACTTTTGGGGCGTCCGCTCCCCACTGCGCCCTAACATAAAATGTAAATACGTAATAATATTTGAATAGATACACAAAAATTTCAAATTGGAATTCAAATGGGATTGAATTCGGTCATCTTATATGGCTTTAAGAGCTAAACGCTAACAATAGAGAGCAAGTAGATCGGGAATATCTTTTGTGTGACCTAGAATTAGTACAGATCCTTACCCTGTTCAAGGATCGTCGAGTTGTTACGCTTGGTTTAATTCGTGATACAGTTTGACGCAATAACTTTCTTCGTTGAGCGAGCGTTCATTCAGATTTCTTTTGAGAAGAAGTTATCAAAATGTTAAAAGAAATAAATATTTAAAATTAAACTATATCCATTCCTCTCTAGAGTTTTAAAGCAAGGAGAGCGAAATTATGTCCGGAGTAGTTACAGTTCCAGATATCTCTAGACAGTGACTTTAAAACAAGTTGTTTTGCTTCAGGCCGTAAAACTAGCAGTTGTAGAAAGAAATATTGAGTTAAGAAATTACTGCACACATCAAAAAGGCTTCAATTTACCATTCTTTCAGAGAAATCATAATTTCTCAGGTTAAATTAAAAATAATAAAAATATCTTGTTGACATTTCATATAATAATTGGTTAAAGGAATTCAGAAGAAGCAGGTACGATAAAACTACTTGAAGCAGTAACGGTAACCTCTTCAGACGATCTCTTCTGCACCAATTTCCAAAACATTCTTCTTATGATATATCCAAAATCGATCTCAAAGAGATTTTGATTTTCAAATTTGATTAAAATTTAAGCAGTTTAAAATGATATTTAACCTTGTTGTTTTAATAATAAAGGTTTCACATTTTAAATTAAATTAAATCGGCGTATTGAGAGCATATGAATATTTACGTTTTAACCGCCGCGTCAAATTTAAAATATTTATGAATGTGTGAAAACGAAGTATAAATTTAGAAATTTAATTTACATATAAATATAATAACATAATTCGTAATGACCATTTAAAGTTATAAAATTGATATGATAATAATATTAAAATGATTGCTTTTTTATAGCAGTTTGAGTACCACTGATTGTGAGAATATCTACTTCATCTATTCCACTATCGCTTTTACTCTTAGCTTGAGCAAAAGGTATGTATATGATTCGACGCAGTTGACCTACATCTTCGTTTCGAATCCTGTTGCCGGTTATCAGGTTGAACAACCTCGAAAAGAAAAAGGGAAAACAAAGACGTTGTAAACCACGTGCAAGCATTTTATAAAATGGATCTAATTCCGTAGTAGTTAATTGTACAAGTCGTAAACCTGATTCGTTGTTAAAATTTCTAACGAATGGTTTTGTCTTCTCTTTTCAGTGGTTTTTTCGGTCAGCCGACGATCCGTGTTACTTAGAAATAACAAAATAAACAATTACCAACCCAAAAATTAAACCCGTAAGGAGAGAAATTGAAACCTGAATGTAGCACGGTATATGATTAATAATAAAAACTGTTGTTGGTGACGTTACTTTGAGACAATTGTGTTTCCGGAACGATTGTTGTCGAAATATCGATCTGGCACAGATAGTTGTTGGATGAATTCTCAAAAAATTCATCACGAATGAATCAGGCGTTTAAGCGGACCATAATGAGTCTTATATCTGGGTTAATATTCATTTAAAATTATAATTTTCCTAAGATTATTATAATTATGCGTGGCTAAAAAAAATCACCTCCAATTGTGACCTCTTAAGATTTCAATTGGTTTCAAACGTGTCCAGACGGTTTCAAAAGAGAAAACTTTCTCCAGTCATGTCCGGTGTCTACGAACTTATTACATTACTCACTTCGATGTCGTCTTTACTAAAACGACCCACACCTTCAATATTTATCGACAAGATAAAACACTTTATCGGTTTCCCTAAACCTATCTAACAGGCGATAAAACTTTCTATTACGTTTACTCTCGTCGATATCATCTCGATCAAATATGTTCATCTCCAAGCGGTTACCGAAATCGAAACGTTTCCTAAGAGAAAGTGATCTCGAAAGAACGATTATCCTAATTGTATTAATTTATCCAATTAGCATTCGGGTATGAAATTAAATTAGAACCACACGTTTGTTGGTAATTTAATAAAAAAAATTAAATCTTTGTTTAAGTAAATATTAAAGTGTAAAAAGAAGAAGAAGAGGTTTTCTTCGTCACCGAGCGTTGAAGTAGCTTAGAAAACGAGCAGCTCACAATCCGGACGACCGTGACATCGTCCATGACTTTTACCTCAGCCGCTTATGAATAGATGGCGTACGGTCGTGGTCAAGTTCAACAATGTCAATGTTAACTTCTGCAGACCACAAAACACCAAAGAAAATCAATTTGTATATACTCAAAAATCATTATTTATTTGATTTAGATAGCAATTTTTGTATTTTTACTTAAATTAGTTGGTTTATAAAGCTTGAAATAAAAGACAAGTTTAGGTAAGGTTATATAATAATAACCCACATTTAGAATCATTACATATCTTCACATTATACTATATAACTTTACATAAGAACGCTTTTCAAACATTAACGATCTCCTTATCACTAAATGTTATTACTTCTTATTTAAAATGGCAAATTTTTTCATTAATTTTTCCACTCTTCTTTCCTATTATAGATGAGTCTTTTAGCCGAAGAAGTCAAAGTAGGTCAAGTATTTTTAGGGCCCCTCTGTCAGATTAGCATTGGAATGCTGAAGGAAGGAGAAGACAGGTGGGCCGCGTCTTCCTCATTGGGGAACTGGTTTTTTCAGGCCGATCATCTAGAGAGTGACTCCTAGGGAAGTAGGTCGAAGAAATTTCTCGAGACCTTGCGCCCGGGTTCAGGGGCACGACGACGGCGGCGTCCCTCTGCGTGTTTGATTTCTTTTCTCACGATCAAAGATCGTCGCTCCTGCAAGCAGGAACCGACACACTTTCTCCCTGCGAGCATCTTCAGCTCGTTTATTGTTACCGAGGAAGAGGTGAAATTATTTGAATAAGTCGATTTTTATTTAAAAATTTTTATTTCTCGATAATTCCATTTTTTCATTTTTTTTTTTAGATAAAAATGGTTAACAATAATAATTATTAATAAAAAAATGTAAAAATAATTATTGTTAAGATAAATTAAAACAATAATAAATTAATTTAAACAAATAAAGATAAAGAGAATTAGGCCCACAGTTTCCTCTTTGAGGAAAAGACAGGTACATGGCCGTATTTTCTTCGATTTTCTTCCATTTTTCGACTAGCTAAGGCATTTACAGGCTTTGGTTTTGTCCTCTATACGCTAATTGTTGTGCATCCAAAGCTCTTTGCCATCCTCCATGACCAGATGATCCGCCGCCGTATCCTCCATCACCACCACCATAACCTCCTCCAGATCCGCCATAGACTGTTTCGTGGGATGCTACGTGACTGGAACTATGCTGTGGATGCGCTACAACTTCGTAGGTAACATGTTTTCCAGATCCACTAAACAGCTTTTTCAATCCTATGATGGCAGAAAGAACCAAAGCAATCTTAGCGACCATCAAGGCTTTTCCGGCAATAAGGGCAATTACAGCCAACGCAATCTTTCCTAAAATTGCCATTTTTAATCCAGCGGCCATCATGAGGGGACCCAAAATTTTTTGGGCCTTCTTTTTCTTTCCTCTTCCTTCTTCCACCTCAGGTTCGAGAGAATCTTCGAAGGATCTGGCAGTCGAAGAAACGGCATTTACGAGATCGCTTCCTTTAAGATCGACTTTGATTGTATGGGTATCCAAGAATCTTTGTACTCTGTTCCAGAGTAAACTTTCGATGCTGTCATCTGGAGAAATAGATCTTGGTGCTCCTTCGGGTTCGCCATTTTCGCTCTTCACAATTTGAACACCTTCAGTGACCGTTATGGTATCTCTAGCTCCCAACATCTTATCCACAAACGAGAAAAGCTTGTATTTCACGCAAGATGTCGAATCTTTTTTCAAACAATCCGAGTAAATTGAGTCCAAAAGATCGTTTTCGGTTTGAATTGCATTTCGGCTACTCCTCGCTTCTTCTTGGGTTGGCAAAGTGTGGGCGGCAGCCACGAGACACACGATGAAAACTAACCGGTGCATCTTCTCTTCTTCGGTTGTTTACTTTTTGGCTTGTTGATGAATGTGTGTGCTGAATGCGAATTCAAGTTGGCTATATACAGAATATCCCCACTCGATGTCAAGCCCGGGTCCATGGGTTCACAATCGTATAGTCGGCTGCTTTCTCACAGATGATGTTAACCTCATTTTCAGGCTCTTCGGTGCCCGATATGAACGGCCCAACCTGAAGAGAGAAGAAGAGGCACTTCATTTCCCGTGCACTATGGGATCTTTAACGGCTTCCTCTTCTGAACGTTCTTATTGTTATTGTTATTTACGGTAACAATTGATATGTCGCGTGTCTTTTAAAACTAGATCAGGTTAGCGAAGCGCGGAAATAAGGAAAAATCGTCTTGAAAGAAGCCGATCGTGTAGGGTCAAATGTGAGAGTGCATCGCGACGTCGGTGACCGACTTCTCGGTGGTCGAAGAAATCAAGCAAGTCGCGTCGTATCTGACTTTTACCTTTTAGGACGAAAGAAAGCAAAATTTCGCTTAGACAACCAAATATAACTTTATAATCCTCTTTTTGAACCATCAATCTATAATAACTTTTATATGTATTAGATTTTAAAAATTCAAAATTAATTTTGTGGGGAATAAACTTTTGTTAAAAAGATGTATCAGCAAAATAATCAATTTTATTCATTATATTATTAACTTATTAGGATAAATCTAAAATTTTCTCATTTTTAATAAAAATTTATTAAAACTAAATCTAAAATTTCTGTCTAAGATAAGATATAAGAAAAGATACATTCAAAAATATGAAATATTTAAAAAAATATTTTAATAAAATGAATAATTATGATTCCTTTCCAATTTTTAAAAATCGAAATCTATAACCAAACCGAATTCAAAGTCACGGACAGAAAAACTCAGGTCTATAACCCTTTTGAACTTATCTCATACTTGTTTTTTATATATATTTTTTTTAATTAATTCGTATTTGTTATACTTAGTTATTATTTTTATACATGTATAAGTCCAAAAAAAATATTGTTGTCTCTCTCGAAATCTATATATTTGAAGTTTTTGATTAATTTTGGTTTGAAATTAAAATTAAAATTCCACCAAAATTGAATTGTGAGGGTTGGGGTAAAAAAAGAATCAAAACAGTTATTTTTATGGTCTAAATCATTCTTTAATTAACACTAATTTTATGCAATTTACAAGCATGGTATTAAATAACATTGTTGAATTATACAAACTTATATCTCAATTACAAATGAAGAATTATGAATCATGAAGCTCTCTCAGAATCTCTTAATCGCTTTAATCGCTCAAACAACAATATACTGAAACAAATTTTCCACCTCGAGGCCTTAATTTATGTCGACCTGGCTATGCTAACGTTGTTCTTCGATGCTGAACGGTGTGGTTCGTCCGATAAACGGGTCACGTTAGCCATAAACCGCGTACTCCGCGTAGGCATCTGTAGAAACTAAAGACCTACTGTACCAAATTTTCGCTTCGAAGAAATCTTCAGGCAATTAACTCATTTTTTGAGCTTTCTAATTAAAAATAATTAGTCATGATGCTATTGAAGAAAGTAAAAATACGACAAAGGACTAGTAAAAACTGTTTATTATTTATTTTATCCGTTTTATTTTCATACAGGTCTGTAAAATTGGAAAATATGGAGGTGATCGTTTGGTATTTACAAAAAAAAAAGTTATAAAAATAAATAATAATAAACACAAACAATAAATATTTAAATTAAAACTTATTACAATAATTAAAAAAATGAAAACGTGAGAAGAACTAAAGTTTCATTATTTAAGCTTCTTTCTGACCCCTGTAAGCTAATTGCTGGGCGTCGAGCGATCTTTGCCACCCTCCGTGAGATGAAGATCCATATCCACCGCTTACATCAGCACTGTAACCAACAGCCGATCCACCATAAGATGTATCATGCGAAACAACATGTCCGGTTGAATGGTGTGGGTGAGCTACAACTTCATGGGTAACGGATGATCCACCGGATGCGAAGAGTTTTTTCAATCCAATAATGGCAGAGAGGACCAAAGCTAATTTACCGATGATGAGAGCTTTACCAGCGATTAAAGCGATGACAGCCAACGCGATTTTTCCCAAAATAGCCATTTTTAAACCAGCAATAGCCATGAGGGGGCCCAAGATCTTCTTGACTTTCTTCTTCTTACCACGACCTTCCTCAACGGCATCATCTTCGGTTTCTTCTTCTTCCGCGAAAGCATCTCCAATTGAGCGAGCTGTAGATCGGGCGGTTTCAACTAAATCCTTTCCGCGAAGTTCGATTTTAAAATTATGGGTGTCGAAGAATGTGGCGAACTTGTCGAAGATCAGGGACTCGACGGTTTCGTCACCTTTCAAGGCCCTTGCGGTTTGTGTTTGAGCTGGGGCACTTTCGTCAGACACTAATTCCACACCGTCGGCAATAGTGATGTCTTTTTGACCCAACATCTTATCAACGACATTGTAAAGCTTGTATTTCGCACAAGAAATCGAATCTTTCTTCAAACAATCGGCGTAAACACTATCCAAGAGATCGTCTTCCGTCTGAATGACGTTCCTCGAGCTTCTTTGGTCCGACGAAGCCGGAACGCAGTTGACTGCAGCGAAGCAACACAAGAGCACTGTAACGACCTTGAAAGATGTCATGGCTGTAGAGTCAGGCGAAACCGATTAACCAGGTTTGATACGTTGTCGAGCGTGGCCCGTGATTATATATAACTGGCCGCATCCCTACTTTTTTTCGAATTGTCAACAAATTTGGACAGTGGTCAGCCCTTCCACATTGATTTCTCTACGGCACGCGGGCTCTTCGAGTGTGTGTGCTTTAAAATTTATCACCAGACCTGATGTCATAGCGGCCACACGGGCCTACGTTGCTCCCCGCTTATGCTAAATAGTAGAAAACGGGCGTTTTTATTCGAAAGTGATCGATTCCGAAAATTTTAACCGCGAGCTCTCGCGGCGGATTTCACTCCACACAGGGAATACAGAGTGTATTCCTCATTTCTTTTTGTTTCATCCACTTACTTCTCGGTAACCGTCTAAATATAATTTCTATTTCCCAAAAAGAATACTCGACGCACGAGATTACTTTCGATTTATCTCTTACAGACCAGCAACTTGGTTTCTATTTCAGTTGCATTTATTATCATACATAATTGGGAAGTTGCACTAATTGGTGGAGATTTTACTATCGTTCTACTTCACCTCGATTTAATGACGTGTTTATATTAAAACTAACGTTTATTTCTACTCTCGTTTCAAATTTGTAATCAAATATCATGGTCAATGTTAAATTTCTATTTTATACCACTTAAGCGATATTTATGTGGTTAATTAGCGAAAAATAATCACAAAATTAACAACTTAAAATCTGTAAATGTGATAATTTTGAGATGGATACGATTCTAAAGTTATTGGTTTATCTTAATAACTTTTTTTAATTGATAATTAATTTTTTGCAAAATTTCTTTAAGTGGGGATACAACAGTCAATCGCACGCATGGATGCGACCCACTTAACACTCAAGAAGAGAGAAAAAAGAAGAGTAGGCTCACTTCGGCATTCGCGAGACTTTTAACATACTTCTCAATGGCCACAATGGCACAAATGACCAACTATGCAGATTAGCACCGTTCCACATATCTTCGGTCCGATACTGGCCTCACCTCTCCTAGATGCATAACATTTTCACCTGCCGCTAGAATTTCAAATTTTACCAGAATAACCGTTCATCAATTCTTTTAGGTTCTCATTACCATACAATCTAAGCAATATCTTAAATACTTTATTAAAAATAGAAATGTATAATGTTACGATAATATCTTAATCATTACAGTAGATGTAAAGTGCGTTTCATAAAATTATTTATGAATTAAGGATAATGAAAGGAGAGTTTCGCTTTTATAACCATAATGGGTTATCTAATACTCCATTAGATCACAATTTAGGTTTCGGTTTCGCTGACTACGGCTCCGCAGAGCAAAAAAGCATTTACAAGAGCGTTAGAGAGCCACCGGACCATGACAATCTCTCGGGTGAAGGTCTCCGGTTCTGCACGAGCCAAAGCGAAATGCAGCAAGTAAAAGTGAGAGAAGTCGGCGAGCAAAAAGATCAAAATGAACCAAACCTGGACAGAGTCCATTCACGGGAGTGCTAACGAAAATAAACTTTTTTCTTTCCATCTAAACTTTTCACTTATTATTTTTAGGTTAACACTTATTGTTTAATTTTATGAATTTTCTAATATAAGAAAAGTTTTTTGCGGATGAGGACGAAAGGATTTTAAAAAGAAGTGATTAGCAATCCCTAATCAGTCAAAGCGTATACGGTCATCCTGTGTGGTCTCTCTTAGGTCGTCTCACTTGTCCATCGTACCAACTTTCTCTCTACGTCGGAACATCTTCAACCGGTTGAATTAAGTCCGGTGAGACTCGAATTGACCGGACCCAAGGAGAAATCAATATACGCAAACAGGTCGACACGCAGAGAAAGAAAAACCAGAGGAACCACCGAGGATGACATGTGTGTCGGGCGAATGTAGTCTCATAATTTCTTCACGTACCATCAATGTCATGGTTCGATCAATTCTTTACTCATAGCTCTTCAACAGCGCGAGCATTCTTCAACTTCTTCGTATCATTAGTATGCCATTCGAGGCTTAAAATTGAAATGGAGATTAAGTATACGTTCACTTGTCGGATTGTATATAGTCTGGTCACGTGGAAACATCATGTTCTACCAGGGCGATGTAATAAATAAAAATTCTATGATTTACGAGAATTAAAACTAAATTTTTATTATTTTCTTGTTAGGATAAAACACAATTGTTTTGGTTATAAATTATAACAAGTATAAGTTATTATAGAAACAAGCATACCTAGATATTAGATAAAATATGACCAAGTACATTTACTGTTATTTAAGTTGTTTAATTAAAGTTTTATCACAGGTTTACATCTACCCAGAGACATAAAAATTTTTTTTGATATATTATAACACATGACGGTCTAATAACAACAGCTTTCAAGTGAAACAGCCCAGTTCTAAACATACAGAGATACAAGATTATTTTTATATTACTTTAATACAATGTTATTACCGTTGAATTAGGCCATCGCCTTCTGTCATTGTTAGTTCAGTATCAAGAACGCTACTTTCTCAAGTTTTCAAACCCACAATGCACCGATACATCCGCATTCGGGGTACACGTCATGCAATGATAGCATGTTGAGAGTCGTTTCATGTGATTTCGATTAAAAACGGAGTCACTTTCTCCAGCATGCACCCGACGCGACGGATGCTTTCTGTTGCCTTTTTTTGGTGAAGTAATTAGTGTTATTAGGTCCGAGACGGTCACTTTTAATAATATCCAGACGCCGCGCAGACGCTGGAGTGCTTTCACTGTATCCCGTCATTATATTGCAATTTTCTAAAAGGTCTAAGAGCTTTGCCGCCGGAAATTTCCCTGGTTATTATGTCAGTGTTATGCTGGAATTACGACGGCGCGTTATGAGAACGGTTTATAACGATGTTTCGGGATTTTTAAATTGCACATAAATTTTAAGAATGGAATCTAATGGGCTATATATATTTTAATTTTCTAAATACTTAAAAGCTAAAGTCCTAAACGTCGGATTGTATCGGATAACGCTGCTTAATTACTTTGTATAATCCCTAACTTAATGTTGTGAATAGGGAAAATAGGAATTTGAAACCATGGGTCAACATATTGTTGGAATTATTAGATACACACTTATTATCAGTTGAGAAGTCAGAAGGATGTTCAACATTCAATAAAAACATTATATTTGTAAAACGGTTCGGATTTAAAAAATGATTGATTTGAGGCGAGAAAGCAAAGTTTCTGCTTAAGTTTTACCACATGTTAAGGTTCCCCGTAGTACAGTAAAGTTTGAAGTTAGGTTATACCAATTTTTAAGGTTTTAAGATGATCGATTCATTTTATATAAACTTCTTAAGCTCACCTATTTAATTTTTGTTGAAAATGGGATTAAAGAAAAAAAATGTTTTCTCCAAAATGCGTGGATATTGAGAAACGAAACTGTTTGAGATTATAAAGAAACGTTTGAACTTAGGTTGTACTAAATTATCCAATTTAACCGAAAATTTGACTTAAAACTATCAGATTGAGTCAAGTTCGATAACACAAGCGGTTATAATTTGATTTAGCCATTATAATTTAACAATTAAAACTCGACATCATACTTAATCATGTAAATGAAAATTAATCGTAAATTCTTGAATTTGTAGAAATTTATAGACCATAACGTGCAATTATTAGATTAAAATTTAATATACCCCACTTTACATCAAACAAGGATGTAATATCTTAAAAGATTAAACTTTTCACTTCGTCAGTCAAACGTATCCTTTTATATACAAAATTAATTCTTTAATGTATAAAAGTTTAACGTTTCTTTTTTATTTAAAATTACCGCAAATAATAAACGTTATTATAGTTAAGTGAGATTCATCCTATAATAACGTTGAAGTTCTGTTTTTGCTTTAATAAACCCTTGTATTACATTTTAGAGGTATGTACATCGAAGCTGTTTACAGATAGTACAAGTAATTATGCTGTCACTGTTGAATGCATTTCCCTCTTGATTTAGTAATATTAATACGTAATTGATTCGAGCTAAATGTGTACGCTATGAATTTCAATTCGATTCAATCCTGACCTGCACATAGATTTAATAGAGCTTTCTATTAAATCTTGTTATCTACCAATTATCGTTATGGATTAAAATTTGATTGATAAGTTAGAAGTTATAGTTAAGTTTTTAATTGGTAAATATAAAGCATTCGAATTCTTTTCGGATGATGCAAAACATTTTAAAATTCCGTTGGAATTGTACGGTACCTAGCACAAATATGTGGGTATGTAGGTCCGTGCGTTGTTATAAAAGCGCCCGTAGATGTGCCGGGCCGTCAGTGTTGCCAACACTTCAATATGAAACACTTGAAGCTTTGTATAAGTCGTGGAAATCTTAAAGCTTTCAATGATGGAGCACTATGTTTATGATTAAATCTTTTTGCTTATTTAATTCATTAATCAATTTTTAACTTGAGTTATATATTTTCGATTTATAAAAAAAAATTGGTTAATGGTTTTATTAATTAAAATTTTAAGATTATTTTTTTATCATTTTCGTTGAATTTTTTTGATTTTTTCCTTCGATTGTATTAAAATTCCAAGGATCGATGAAGATCTAAGTAGGTTCATCAACCTACTGACCTGAAGTTCAGCCGGAACAACACTTTCTATTCCCTTCCTGCTCGATCCCCACCCAGCAGGAATTTCATGGCCACCTGTCTCGGGCGCGCACAGCAGATGTCTTGGCCAGATTCGTAGAAATTGAGGTCACACGGTCAGTATCTCACTGGGTAATGAACTCGAATTGACTTTCTTGAGCTTGCAGGAAAAAAAAATGTGAAAGGCCGGTGAAAACCTGATAAAAGTAGGATGGGAGAAGAGAAAACACAAATTAAAACGACTTCATAAAGGAAATAAAAACATCACCTCTTTCCCCCCAACAACATTTTCGATCCAAATAACTTTGCTTTTGTAATTATTCTTTTATTTTCCATTTATTATTTATCGTTACATGCAATAGAAGAAACGAAATGAAACAATAAATAAAACGCAAGACAGTAATAAATAGAATCTAACTCAAAACGTAGAAAAAAAAATAAATTAATTAAAAGTATCATAACGACATTAACTTTGGCTGTAAGAACTCCACGCTTTATATGCCATTTCAGCAGCGTCCCGTTTCTTTCTGTGATCGTAACCACCTCCGTGACTCGGACTAGCGTGAATTACAGTGTGGCCACCATCATCATGGTCCGAAGATAGTAACTTTTTCAGACCAATAATCATCGACAACATAAGCGCCATCGCCGATACCATTAAAGCTTTCATCGCTAAAAGACCCACCCCTCCTAAACCTAAAGCCGCCATCATCTTACCCATCATCAAACCCATCATCATCACTCCTCCTAAACCACCACCTTTTCCTCCTCCAAGGCCACCTTTACCTCTTGGAGAACCTAAAAATTTTTAAAAATTAAAAGAAATCTTTAAAACGTCGTAATAAAAGTGGTCTTGACCTCTAGTACTAAAAGGATGGGATGGGTGAGGTGATTATCTTGGGATGAGAGAAGCTCGAAATATGTAAATAGGAACAGCCTTGACCGTGTAACTCTCCCAGAAGAAATTAAAACTTTCTAACTGTTCACAATCGGTCAATAATTAGTTAAGTACCCAAACGGAACACGTGTGTTGTACTCATAGCAACTTTTACTTCGGAATGAGAAAAGTGAAAAAGTATAAATTGGGCGTGAAATAATAAATAAATAATTAACAATTTTCTAATTCTTACCTAAGTCGTTACTTTCAAATCCATCCATAACAACTTTAAAAGCCCGTCCAACCCCTTCTTCCGGCATAAGTTCGGGTAATTTAATCCTAATTTCGTGATTCCTCAAGTAATTTTCAACGGATCCAATAAATGTTCCATCATCCATATTGGCTCTCGCATCGTTTGGACTAGCGGTGTTGATGAGATGTACCCCTTCTCCAATGGTGACATCTTCGGTCTGGCTGTTCAAGAATTGTCTGGCCATTTTGGATAAGACTTGAACGCCGTGCGTGAAGTCAGGACTTTCTGAAGCCGTGCATCCTGCCAAAAGGGCTACAAGGACGAGCAACTCTCTTACACACATCCTTCTGACTTGTAACCACGCGTACGAAACAGCTCTGACGGCCAAAACGATCGTAAGTCAGGTTTATAAGCGCGGGAGAACACCGACAAAAAAATGGTTTCGGTTTAATGGAGCAAATCTGGAGGAAACCGAGGAACAATGCAAAAAAAACGAGAGAGGCGAAATTATTAACAGCCCGGACTCGGTGTGGCCTGGTTTCGAGCCACATTCTAATGCAATAAGAGACAAGTGCCGATGAATCGGATGGTCGTATTTCTTTCTTTTCCTGCCTCTCTAATCTGGAGCAAAACTCGGTCAGCAAAATGTGGAACGGCCTAACCTGATCATAGTGATAATAGCCAGAAAGAAACGGCAGGCTGGCCGAAGATTGAAACTCATCAACTCTAATTCGTATCCAAATTGGTGTTTCATTCGTCCAGGTGATGGTTGTACGCTAATTGTATAAAGAGATTAACGAGGAGAACGGTGTTTTGCGCTGTGATTGAAGAGAGGTAACATTTGAGATGCGTGGGGATTAACTATAAAAGAATCAGAGCAATCATTTAAGACATTTCTAAGAAGATGACCAGAAGATGAAGGCGATTAATTTATTTTTTTATCATATCATATAATTTAATTAAATTTGCTATTTTTATTGTTCATTATCACCTTTAACAATAACATAAAACGCTTCCTTTGCAAAATTTACCCAACAGTATTTTTCAATTTTTTTTGTTGCCGAAACCGTATCGACAAAAAAAAAACTCCGTTACACTCATCTGCCGACCGCTACCGCTTCGTTTCAGTAAACCGCATTGCGTAAAATGCACGCAACATCTGCGCAATGTGGCTAGATTTGTGTTAGTGTTACAGGCTCGTATTAATTGACAGGTTTTTCCAGATGGAGACTTTTCCTCCTAATTTTCGCACTGAACTCCGTTCCGTTTGATAAAGCACGTATCTCACGCGAGTTTCATGTTGGAAAATCTCGTCGAGAAATCTCAGCTAATAGTCTTGTCGCACGATGTGTGCAAAAGTGAAAATGCTTTTTATGGGAACTCTGCTTTCGCTCGACAATTTGAAACCGGATACGAATGTTCAATACAAACGGATCTCGACTCTCTTTGGATCTACTTCTTCGACCTCATCCGTTAGAATAACCAAGTAGACGAAAGCATGAAAAATTAAGGTAGAAATTGAATTCTGAAACAAAGAAAATTTGCCGTACCTTTACTACTAAAATTAAACAAAGACAAATATTTGAACAGTTGATATTACTCGACGAAATTTAATTATAAATTTTAATGAAGGTAGAGATTTGTATGAAGTGTAGATTTCAATATTATATCCACAATATCAACATAAATTAACACACAAATTATGCAATAAGGAAATGAGTACTCTACTATTTTCACATCTCATAACGGTAGCTAAACGATTTTATACGTCAATGTATATTTATCAAGTGTAGGTCGGGACGTTTTTCATGATATCTGCTTGCAAATTTCAGTAAAGAAATATAAAAACATAAATTTAACTGTACATTTGAAAAGATAAATGTTGCACTCCACTGCGTTATTACTTTCAATTATGTTACACATTTAACACACGTTCGTATTAATTTTCTACTCCGAGGAGATTACAGCCACGTATTTCATCAGACCAAACATCTCGCGCAATTACTTTAACCTGAACCTCTTTAAATAAAAGCACAATACTAAATATGTTAGGTCTGTTTTCGTTTAAAAGTAACATCTCTCTGGAGGAAATGATACATCACATTTTATAACAAATAAATAAAAAAGACTTCTATTAAAACCTTCTTTTATTTATTTATTCGTTTTTTAATTTCACTTTGGCATTATTCTGTAAGTGCCTACTCAAAATGCTCAAACTAAAATTGCGGGGATTGTTCACAAAGAGCAAGTGCAAATTGTGCATACAAAGGTTCATTACCTAAATGTAGTCTACTTTACTACAATGTATTCGGACCAATGTGTATTTGAAAGCACTCTTCATGTGAGGCTGATTATTTTATAAAAAAATTTTAAATGAATGCGATCGATGTCCATGTTATCACATTGAAGTAGTAGTAGAAATGTTCTATTCACCAATAATACTCATTAGAAGAAGCATAAAAGACTTAATAAATGTTACACTGCAATTTAATTGTTTCAGAATTAGAGTTTATTATGTTTCAAATTATTATTTTTGGCGAAAAATCTCGAAGAAATTTCTAGCTACCTAAAGTTGTACAGAAGGCTACTTGTCGAAAACTGTGTACTGTTCTCAGACTAGATACTGCTAGAAGAAGACTGGCCACTGCTTGCAGAGGAATATTTAATATCAATGATCATTAACATACGTTTCACATCATTTATTTTAAAATGTACCTAATTTCCTCACAAGATAGTTTAAACCTTTATTATACCGAATTCTACCCAATTTTGTAGGTTACATTATTAAATTGTTTTTAATTCCTCACCAATTCAAAATTAATATTTAATATAATTAATATAAACGACTTCTAATAAATTTAACGATGTTAAATCATGTAAACTATGGTCTACTTCCTGTGGTTTTTCTCATTTACTACTACACGAAACCATAATTAAGCCAGAAGGATCTCTCATTGACACCAGACATGCAACTCTGTTAAGCTCTACTACCAACGTTCGACGATATAAGCTTACCGCCCGCATTTTTTTAATCACACTTATAGCATGTCTTCAAAGGTGCTTATCGTTTATTTACTCACAAGTTTCTCCGCAGTTCATTCAGGGTGGATAGAAGATTTAAAGGGTATCGACGGATTAAGCATTGGCGATAGTGGAATAAAATTATTTCTTGATGAAGACGATGATGTATTGGGACGGTCAGATTTGGAGAAATATAGTTTAAGGATGGGTTATTCTGGGCTTGGGTTAAGTGTAGGAAAAAAGGACAGTAAGTTAGACGTTGGAATTTATTATAACGATGGAGTAGAAGGACGTGGGAAGAAAATGGGACAACTCATTATTCCGGTTTTGATGGGAATGAAAGCGACCGCTATTGGATCTTTGATGATGGCAGCTGTTGGGGGTTTGGTATTAAAATCATTAATGTTTGCTAAATTAGCATTGGTCACATCTTCTCTACTTGGATTGTATAAGTTGTATGGTAACAAATCTTCAGGAGGAGGTCATATTCAAACAACTCATCAAAGTTTACCACCTACTTATACAAACAATAATAATAATATTGAATATCAACAAATGCAACCAACAGGTTATTATTAATTTTTATTATTTTTTGGTGATTTTTAATGTTATTTTTTTAGATATTTATAGCCACATAGCGCCTACAGGTTATGCTAACTATCCAACATCTCTGCAAGAAGCAGCCAGCAATCAGGCGCAGCAACTTGCTGTGGTAAATCCAGGTGAACCAATAAATGCTACGCATCAAATAGTGAATCTATCACCGCATCATTTTGGGTTAAATAGACGACATTCGCAATCAAAACGTTATCGAAATAAAAAATAAATCTATTTGATTTGTATTTTAAACATAAATTTAATACTAATACTTAATATTAATTTTGTTTTAATTTATTTATTTTTATTTAAATAAAAATTATAATATTAAAAACAATAAATAAGTAATAAAAAACACAAAATAAATAAATGTTAACTTTTAAGAAAACAAAAACAGTCACCAATATGGCAAAATATTTTTAATTCTCATAATCATCATTAATCCTTTTTAATTTTCTTTCAAAGTTAATGAACTTTTGTTGGATCATAAGCTTTGTAAGCGATTTTAGCAGCTTCAAAATTTCGTCCCCAACCACCTCCACCACCATAACTTTCGTGTCCACCACCAATATTACTAACTGAATGTTCATGGTGGGTCTCGTGATGCGGATGAGCTACCACTTCGTACGTAACGTGTTTTTCTTGCGAAAATAACTTTTTCAAACCAATCACAAGAGCCAAAACAAGCGCGAGCTGTAAAAAATAAATTCGGTTAAATTGAGAATAAAATTCAAATTACGATTTGTGTACCTTGCTAACGAGTAAAGCTTTGCCGACCAATAGTGCCAGAGCTTTGAAGGCAAGAGCTTTCAACAGACCAATTTTCAATGCTGCCGCCGCAATAAGTGCACCCATGCCTGATTTGTCCTTTTTTCGAGCTTCCCCGGCTTCGATTTTGACGGGTCGAACAGAAATCCCGAAATTGACGGCGCCCTCAGGGTTACTTCGACCGGAAAATACAAGTTCTGTGTCGTCTAATATCTGAAATTTATCAGTATTACGGTTAAACGTCTTTTGATAAGGACGTTATGAAGAGAAATCGATACTATAACGCTTCACTTTGAACGCTCGAGTTACTATCTCAAGTTGATTAACCAACTTGAGATAGTAACTTGGTACTTCTATTAATAAGTCATTATAATAAGTTGTCATTATAGTAATTTATATAGTTACAAATTGAAATAAATTTAGCTTAAATTCAAATAAAAAAATAAAAAATATATATCTTTGTGCCTTCTCCATAGAATAGTATTGATTAAAGGTAACAATAAGCTTTTCCAGTCTTTCATTCTTTCATTTCAAGCGCGAAGTTCACTTTTATACCGAAAACTCAATTTAAAATAAGCCATTTTCAAGAGATGTGCTTTATTCTTAAAAGACCATGGCGTCTGGTACTATAAAATACCATGAATTTTTCATAAGAATAAAAGCTCAGGTAACTGCAGATCGTAGATAGGATATCCGAATTTATTTGTTTATTGCTTCGGTTACTGCTACGTATTCGGAAAAGAGTTCAGCTTGTTTTAGCTTGGTTGTAAAGGGTAATGAAAGGATTTTCGATAGTGCCTCATCAGTAAAACTTTCAAAACCCACGAAGACGTTCGATTCGATAGTAAATCGGCTCATAAAAAAACCGTATACTGATTCATCCTAGTTTATTGCTTCTACGAATCACTTGCATTAATGATAGCAATTTCATTAAATCAACAGGTTTTAGAAATAAACTGAATAAAAAAGCTTTTCTTGTTTCAAATTTATTACCTTCCATTTTAACGATCGGCTTTGTACAAATTTCCATGCTTTATCCATAAAAAGTTGCAAGCCTTGTTCGTCTTCTGATCCATGTTCATTAAAAGCTCTGATTTCACCTTCTGGAACATCCGTATCAATTTTGGTAATCTCTACAACATCTCCGACATGTATTTGAGCCTTTTTCATAAGCTTATTCAAATATGTGATGCCTTTTAAAGTAAGGCACGCAGTAACGTCATTGCTGGTACATTTCAATCGTAACTTTTTGAATAAAGTTTCCTCCGCCGATGTAAATTCCGTTGGCAGGACCTAAAGAATAAGAAGAAAACATTTTCACAAAATATATTTCTTAACTACACGCCGATCTTACTAAGTTTTCAACATGTTCCTGATTTTCAACTACTGGATTACCAGAAACTGTCCGAAATACAGAGCAAAAACACAAAGTCACGAACGCACAAAAAATGATAAATTTCATGGTTCTAAATAGTAACTATTCGCGCGTCGTCAGACTACACAATGAGCAAATAGTTCGTGGAGGTAAGGTTTTATATGTTCTGATAATTCTGCGACTACGATATCCTTAAACGAATCCAGAAGACGGAGAGGGGTTTGGGACCGTATCGCTTGTACTTCTCCTCGTGTGAATAGACTCTTTGAATGTGTGTCGAGCTTTATTACGCTGTTCTAGTAGCCGAGAAGATTTACTGGTTTCGATTGTAAATCAGGAATTCCTCACATTGAGATCGCTTATGATCTATGTTAGAGATATATAAATTAATAAAATTAGAATCGAATCAAGTCGCGCCAAATAATCATAAATATCACATTATACAAAATTAGTGTTCCACTTTTTAATTATGTTAATCGTTTGAGTAGTAGGTATTTGCCGATTGAACCCTATATGAAATCAAAATCAGTTTAATTTAAAATTATATTTCTTTAAAACGACGAAATTTTACTTTTCTTTAGTCATCTTCTTTAGTATTATCATCTTTAAATCGTATAATATCGTAAATTATATACAGTAACAAATATGAGTATTATTAGTTGTGGTTATACGAAAGTAAGATGTAGCGGTAAACCGCCGTTAAAAAAAGACGCATACGACACAGTTTCGAGTAAAATCGCGGTTATGCAGACATTATGGAAATTTATTTATTCCAACGCATCGTTCGCTATCAATGAGCCAACAGAGAATTATTAAAATTGAGGAGTGGCCCATCCGTATAAACCGAGTAAAATTCCCAATAAATTAACGCCTTTAAAGACGAAAGCTGACCCGGAATCCAATCGAAAAGACAGAGACCGCGTGTGACAGTAGGCATCGCATAACTAGTCTGACAAAATTACCATAATGAATCAAGCGTTTCCACAACGTGTGTGTGATTGTGTCCATATCAGATGGAAGGAAACGACGACGATTTGTTCCAGTTCTGGTCTAGAGTTTTAGGTTTTTATGTCGCGTATTACATTTAGGTAAGCACTTTTCAGAGGTGAGAAGAACTTAATGGTCGGCAATCGAGACATTAACCGGCTGTGGAGGTCGACAACAAAAGCGTTTTCATAATTGAACGTTACTATCTGCTTTCTCACATTGTGTCTGTTGAGAATTCTGCCGATGAGACCACGAGAAAAAGGAAAATGCTCCTATTAAAACTTTGTTTAAACAATGATACGTTATCATCGGTTAAGTTTTCCTTTAAATAGGAAATGTTATTATTCATTATTAATATTTAACACTAATTAACACATAAAAAAATAATTCGAGTACTTATGGTAAATAAAATTAAGCAGCTAAAAAACATCTATCTAAAATTAATTCAAATATTTTATTTTTAATGATCAATAACAATAAACAGCACCTTAATAGCGAGAAAAATTTCGAATCCCATTGGTGTAGTAAATTTAATTAACGCAAGTATGCAATCGCTATTTCATGTAAAAAAAAAAAAATAGGAAATGATCTAAAAACGGTGGAATGTAGAACGCATACGGTTTTCGGAGTACTAGAAATAGCTATGTATGTCGTTTTGGAATTTAATGTTTAAAAGAATACTCAATTCACCTTCTGTTCGTATAAATACGTCTCGAAGTTTTCTTTTAATAAGGACATCTGCAGTCTCCGAATCTTAAGATATTCATATGAGTATCTTATTTCTGAACCTCGGAACAAAGTTTCAATACTGGTGTCTCAATAGATAGTGCTTTAGATGAACCATTCGTTTTTGTCCATAAAGTAGATCATACGATATCATTGTATATGAAGTCTCCATATTAATAAAGCTTAAGGATTTTCTTAGCGGATTATTTCCTAGTGGATCTAGATTCACCATATTCGAAACTACGTCTTCTAACTTATAGTCATTCTTCGGTTACAATTATTTTCCGTGATCGAGTGAAAATATAGATGTACATAGCAAAGTTTTTCTGGTGATCACAAATGGCCCTGGTGTTGAAATAATGGTGTACTAGGTTAATTTGGATCGCACAAGAACAACTGGATTAGTTGTATCATGTGAGATGAGATATCATAGAGAGCATCTTTTACAGTAAACCTTTAACCCACACCTTATCAAACGTTTTGGCCACGTCTAAGACAGCTTCATGGGTGATGTCAGTTATTCCACTTTTGGTACTTCTGCTAGTCGACGTAGGATGATCATCAAGTTTGCCTAAAGTGGGAAGCAAGTTGATTGATCTGCTTTTTTTCAACACAATGCTTGTTTGGTTTCCATGTAGTTGAAAAAAACATAAAAAATGCTCTAATCGAAACACTTTTCTTGACGCTTCTTTACGGGTTGAGGTACTGTAATGTTTTCAATTTCTCCAGTATTAATCATAAGTTATGTTATGTCAAATGTAATCTACGTGGTTATCTTCCTGATTTGGGTTATATGGTCTTTGATTATTTATTGTTAACATAGCTGAAGACTATCACTTTGCTGTTCATTAATGATTCGATGACAACTTCATGCAGAATATATTAAAAATACTTAGAGACCTCGTCTTTACAGATTTTGGTTACACCTAAAGATTCATTGGAAACGCATTGCAAATGCTGACATTGCAAGTTCCACAGGATTAGTTTTCTGTTATCTCTAAAGATAATGAAAAGCGAAAGTTATGTCGAACAAAAGGGAAAATTTTATTTAATAACTTGATTAGTTCAACTAAATTGGACATTATTAAGTTCATTATTTATTTAAGCTGTTAAGAACATAAATGTTCGTAAAAAAGCAACTTGATTACTAATTGCTATTTTATTACCATGCTAATTATGTATTTAGATATTGTAACTCTAGACAATGTAAGACAAAGTCGTTTCGGTCTCCTGGTTAAGTTGAGTGATATTCGTTCTTGACAATAAACCAACCACTTAAAATTGGTGTTATTAAATTTTTTATGACCCCAATAACTACGGTCAAAAGGATTTATGGAAATGTAATTTCATTTCATTATAGGTCCGTGTCGTAGATGTAATATCGTTCGTGATGCAATCAGAGATTTTCATATCAATTTCCCTCCATTTCTTTTATAAAATCAATAATCATTTTTTAGATTTATGATTCTTCAATTTCTCGAACGGTAGTCGTCGTAGTCCTTTTAATTTGTGTTGTTCTCTTTCTATTCATCTCCGGATACACCATTATTCGACTTTTATTGCAAATGTCTACCGCATCCGCTCTCGACTTTATTGCCTTAGTAAGTACCTTAATTGTCCTGATTTCAACTTCCGATATTGCTCATTTTTATACGACCGCTTGTTAACTTCTTCCGAGTTTGTTAAAGACTTTTCCGGGTCAATTTCAAGTGTAATACTAATTGAAGCCTTCATTAACATGGCTTAATTTAGTAGCGAATTCCTTTGAAGTTATCTTAGTTTAATTGGTACTGTGCCATCCCATGTCAAATTTACGTCCTGTTAAATTTACATCTAACGGTCAAACTAAAGTCCTCATTTCCATATACAAATCCTGAAATCCCTCGAATCCCATGAGTCCTTATTGTGCGTATCTTCCGGGTCCCGGATTTGTAAGATGGAGCAATATATCTTCTTGTATATACGACGTGTTCAAACAAAAACAAAGAGATTCGTCCCGCGCTATTACCACGAGATAATTTCGTTATTACGATACACGAAACATTTTACAAGAAGGGGTTCGGTGCACTTTCTATTTTCCATTCGTCTCCTTTGAACCGGTTTCGAGTCCCCTATGGACTCCACTCTGGTTCTAAGGCCATAGAAATGCTTTCACGATGACCATCTCGACGGAAACGTAGCCGAGAGAAAATCGAGTGTAAAAAGTGGAAGAAAAAATACGGAGCGGTGAAACTCGACCGTGGAATATCGAGACGGAGTTGATTTATGGTTCAAATTAAATTTTTCTGTTACTATTATTGTTAAATTATTAAATTACAGTAATTACCAGGTAAAATACGGTACGTATATTTTAAGTCCATGTTATTTTCTATGCTTGTTTTCTTTTAGGATGGACGTGAGTACTTAAAAAGGTTTTCCGTGTTGTAGGAAATAGCAAAGTAAAAGAAGACATTTGGATTTCGGTCATAAACTTACCTGCACTTTAATTCGTGGTCTACCTCAAATAAAAAATTTTTTAAATATACTTTGTATTGATTGAAAATCAGGGTACCAATATAAAGCAATATACAATATGCTCGTTTCGGTGGGATATATAGAAACGTGACCGTAATATTTATATAGGAACGGTTCGCCATAAAACATTTTTCGAGCAAAATAAAATAAAATAAACTCGTTACATTTATAAATGAAAAATGATTTTTGAAACGATGCACACGTTTATAATTTGCTATTACTTTACGATATATATCGCATAAATTTACCTTTGAATACCTAAGCAACCTCTTTAATATTAATAGAACATTAGTCGGTGATACTCCTTCGTACTAAAATATAGATATTCTATTCCCGACGAAAATCTGATCCAGCTTATATTCCTCATGCATATTAAAGGACCCCTTTAATAAAAATACCGTTCCTACTAAAAATTTTATCTCAAGAAAGGAAATTTTGTTTTTATTTTTTATCGAATTTAAAAAGGTAAACTTAATAGACAAAAGTGTCCCCAATTTTCATTAAACTTTAAATTATGCGTTTCTTGTCGTTTTAAACGGAATATTTCTTAAGGTGTTCTTAGAACATTTTGACGGTAAGTCTCATTGTTAATTCCAGAATGAAAACTTCCCTCAAACTGTCGACCATCTCCGCTTATTTAATACGCTTAATTCTATCGTTTAAATTTAAATGCATTCCGCGTCCAACGAGGCGGGAAGTCTATAAAATTTAATCACTCACCGCTTCAGCTTCATAAATCTGGAAATTTCAGTGCCTTTTGTCGCTTAGGACAATAACAATTATAACAATCATTTAGTCGACGAAATAGTTAATTAAAAAAAAAAATAATATTTATTTTATTTTAAAACACAACAACTTTAGCCAGCAACGAAAACAATTAATATATCATCAACCTAAAACTACACACTACATTGCAAATCCTCGGCCAAACTTAGAATAAAGATCTTTGCATTAATTTGATTAAGCCGAAGTCGCTGCAGCTTAAGCTCTATAATTAATATCACAGCAACCCAAAATTACACAACACATTGATGATTCATTATGATGATTTTTTTTGTTTCAAACTTCAACATCCTTAGCTTATCATTCACTTTTATGAAGATTTTACAAAAATTTTGGATTTACAAGTAATAGAATGTTTTATAATATAAAGGATATTCGTTTTGTTGCTTCCTTAAAGCCACAATTATACCCTCGGTGAGAGAATACTCGTGTTCGCTAGAAAATAGGCAAGCTTAATAGAATTCCATATATTCTATTTTCTCGTTGGCGTTGCGAGATACTTTGCCGTGGAATAACACTAAATTGGCAAGGGAGGCTTAGAGACATTGACCTAAATTAATAAAACTTAAATTTAAAAAATCTATAATATATTTACAAAGTAGAGATAATAAATAATTTACAACCTTAAATGACACATAATGTTAAGAAAAATAATTAATTAACTGTACACAGCTTACGAAAAATTAATTTATGAATCGGGTAAAATTGATTTTTTAGATGAAGTTTCTGCTTGAATTCCACTATTTTTACTTCTATACTCTCCATATCCATTATAAGCCAATTCATGGGCGCTCTCACCAAAGTTTATTTTTCTTCCATCATCGTAATAATTATATTCTTCATTTCCATAGGGATTTTTATAATGAGGTTGATAACCAATTCCAGCGGGCGAATATTGAGCATGGTGATAATTATTTGATGCAAAAGGCGATGAGAGATTTGGCTTGCAAAGTTTGAAATAACCAATTAATCCAGGAATTACAATAGCTAAGAATCCCAAAAGTTTTTTAAACGAAGCCAATCCCAGAATTAACGGCAAGAAAAGCAGGAGTTTCAATTTGAAAAGTTTTAAGATAATCAACATTGGGATAAACAATTTTTTAAGTTGTTTACGATCTAGAATAAAAAAAATTGTTAATAAAAAAATAAATATATAAAAATAAAATCTTACTGAATAAAGAATCCTTTTTATCTTCAATAATATCAATTTCATCGGCAATTTCATCAACAAACCTCGGCGAATATCGCCCGCTTTCAGTGATGTCGTTTGTAAAATCAGCTTCGATCGCGGTAGATTTCAAAAACTTTTCAACCTAAACCACCATATAATCATTTTTATAACGTGAAAACTTATAAATTTATTCAAAATTACCTTTCGCATAACAAACTTTACTAATTGATCCCATTCCGGTTCATCAGCTCTTGGAGCTTGAGTGAATTGATACGGTTCCTGTGCCAAACTTCTTAATTGCGTTTCTGGCATCCTTACAAGTCTAGCATTTTCAGTTAACTGATAGAAAGGCTAAAAATATCATACGATTAATCACGTTCGTAAATTTTTATTATTCGTTTCAGTTACTTGAGCGAAAAATTCATCCAGCGAAACCAAAGCGCGTGATTTAAAGCATTCCGCAAGGTCTCCATTTAAACAAGCTGCGTTGGTTCTCGCTAAATAAGGATCTGTATCTGGTCCAGTTCCCAAACCAATCCAATCAAGAAAACCTCTTCCTGAAAAATAATTTTTTTGTTTTGTGTAAAAATAGAAATTAAAAAAAAAGTGTATTTGTCAGCTGGAAGGTAAACTAGGTCAAAAAAATATCAAAAAAATAGCGAGGCAAATTTGAACTTGAACACAATCGAGATAAAACAAAGTGGAGCTGGAATATGGCCAACGAGGCACCGGAAGGGATGAGATGCTGGTGAAAATGTGGCGTGTTGGGATCCGCTGTGTTTATGGTCCCGTTATCCCTTTGAGATTTATGGCGATTACGTTCGGATTATAAGGGTTCTATGTGAAGGATTTCATCTAAAGCAATACTTATGTATAGATAAAAACTTTTTATGACAAGAAATAATTATAATCGCTATATATTAATTGATTTGTGGAATATAACACAAAGATGTATCCGTTAATTATAAGCACATAAACCAATTATTACCTAAGTGAATCTTTAATGTTTAAACAGTTACGTTTTCACGCAAAATTTGCATACCTCACATCATCCGAACAATTTAATTAGTTTGTACTGTCCAAGCTCGTTCAGCCAATTAAGTGATTTAGTACTAATCGATAGTCCAATTTGCAAATGTTTAATCCTCTACTCAACGTTGATATTTTACTTCGACGTTTCATTCTTTTCGTATTTAATTTTAAACCTTTCATTTTACAAACTCTACCAACATTTCAAAATTAATAAATGATAATACTAATATAATAATTTGATGATTAATAATATCATGGAATTGATATTTTATTTAATAATTCTTTTGTATTATAATTTAGTATCTAAAAATAACAAATACCAACCTTGTCGAGAATCCTCAACATCTTCATTCGCATTTTGCCCACCAGATTGCAGCGCCACAATGGAGAACGTGAAGACCAAGAGAGACCACCTAATAGTCGCCGATGTCATCTCTTCGAGGAACGACCACTCTTGGTTACGCACAACAGATGATAATAGAAACTGCTTTCTACTACACTATTTGGCTTCAGCACAAAAGTGTGTCAAAGACGACGATTCCAGGCGGTTTAAGAAGCGAAGTGGCCGGGGTCAGTTAACTGTTAACTAATTCCGTGTCGGGAATCGCAAGTAACTGGCAAGAATATTTCGTTTAAAATCGAAATTTCGGAGCGCTGCTTCCCGAATGGACTTTAAACCACTTTTGATGGTACTCAACCGATGTGCTGAGAATTTATATACGATAGAGGGGTTAAAAACCTACAAGTATAAAGATTGGCGGGCAAAACCCTGTTGGGTAACGAGACAACGTTTCGTTGGGATGCAGAACCGGGAGAAAGTCGTTGTGTAATCAAGTTCGGAAATCCCATTGTCAATGACAAGTTCATTGGCTTCGCAACTTAAAGATGTTTATTTCTATTTACTATCATATAAATATTATCGTTAAAAATATTTTATTATTATTTTAATTAATTTTGGATTAAGTAATGGGTTATGTAACAGAATCGCCAAAATACTCAAAATGAATCATTTTTCAAAGAGAAATTGTTTTCTCAGAAACTTTCTCTAAAATATTACACCGATAAAGTAAGATCCGCTTCAGAAATTGTTCACATAAATATTGTTAATACGATTTCAATACATTTAATATCACGTAAGTTGCTAAATCTTTTTGAAATTTTATTTGAGACAATCTATGAAGTCTTTCTAAAATATCTCGTTAGTGACAAGTCCAATAATGTTTAAAAAATTTGTTAATCAACGTAAAGGATTAAAATTGATAGATTTTTGGTGAATCTTTGAGGACAAAAATACTCTTTGTGGTATATCAACTTTGATATCAATGATTATGTATTATTTACATGATTATAGAAAATCGAAAAATATAGTTAATCCTAGAAAATCATACATAAGATTTACGGATTGCTAGAGGGTAGGATAATTAATATTGGTAGTAATAGAGGCTGGAATACAGAGTGAGTAGGAGGGTTAAAAGAGTAGGGACTAAGAAAAGGAAGTCTCGGAAGTGCTGCCACGTAGAATGTCCCAAACACTGCTTTAATATCATAAATGAAGCAAGTGGTTATGTGGTTTGTCGATATTATGACTACGTTTCTATTTGTGCAGAGATGTGAGTCTGCTTATTCACCATCATAGTGTTTGACGATTGATATAAAAGTTGAAACATTCCTAGCTAGATATTAATAGGCTATATATACTGAAAGCAGCGAGAGGTATGTCCTAAGTTTGAAAGTATCAACAACTCGAAGAACCCTCACTAAACGGTTCTAATAGGCAATAGTCCTAAGGATTTATGTCAAAAACTAAGCGCAATATCACTTTTGATTAATGCCGTGCCATATTGAAGCTATAGCAATGTTTGAGTCCAAATCATTAATGAAATGAAGTGGTAACAAAGTGCACGTACCACCGAAATCCAAAAGTAGTAAACTGAAGGATATTTTTCTTTAGAAAAAAAATGGAAAATTGACTCGTAAATTTTTCGTTCTAATCCATTATAGATATTGTTAGACATCCCTTGATATTATTGGAAACCTTTTGAAACCCTTGAAAAACTTCTGGAAATACATAAGAATTCGTAGAGATCCCTGGAGATACTTAGAATAGCTGAGATTTCACTAGAACTAGTTAAAATCACTAGACATCCCTAGAAAACTCGTCGAATCTCCAAGAGTCGAAAAATAGCTCGTTTGGCAATATCTGATGTGATAAGTATCACGCGCCAAATATGCTTTGCCAATATCAATGGGTTCAGTTGTTGAAATAAAAAGTTTGGCGGTGGATAAAAAGAAGTCTTCGTCTACTGTGGACCAGTTCTTGAAGTATGAGACATTTAAAGACTACTGTTATCTCTACTGTCAGAAGTAGAAATAATAATGAATAAATAGGAGAAGATTTACAAGACCTTTAGAATTTCAATGCAATAATTATTTTCCCAACCCAATCAGTAGATATAAGCGGCATTAATGCACAACTCATTCAGTGTTTAGCAACTATACTTCAGTTTGGGCTCTATGTTGAAGATGTTAAGATTCTTCAGGTTGAACATTATATCGGATATCGAGTGCTCATAGATTATTAGAATACAGAAAGATAATCACCGTTATAAAATCTCTTCCCAACGTTCCGAAATTGTTTAAGTAGGAATAGTAGGTAAATATATAACAGTATAAATAGGTAGTAATAGTGTAAAAGAGGGATGGCAGAAAAAAATAACTAAACAACTGGGTACTATTTAGGTTACAACTAACCCAGGAAGCATATAAATAGTCGAGGTCAAGTTTGACCAAACGAAGATTTTTCTAAAAAAAAACCTTCAATCAATCAATAGTGTACATTTATTTATGCACAATTTGTTAATATTATATTTTTTTATGTCTATGAAAATTATTAATTTGTAACTTAATTTGAATTTAAAATAAAATTTGTGAATGACTTTGTAAAATACTTTACGCCACCATTTCAGTCCCAATAATTGAACCCTTTTCCGTTATAACTTCCTTCAAGAAGTTGGTTACAATTTAAATTTAACACGACTTCGTGCAGACACTGCATTCAAGTAGTTGTCAAGCGTCGCGACGCCGAATCCTTAGGAAACAGTTCAAGAAGTTCTGAATTCCGCATTGGCCAGAAACCGCATGAACTTGATGAACTGTGAAATGTCGATTCTAACATTGTTGGTAACCGTAAAGTTTTAACTTAAAGACAAACATTCCATATATGCTCTAGTGTAATTTATATAAACTAATTCTGTTTAATCAAATTTGTATTGTAAATTGTCGGATTTGATTTGGTCATTAAATTTTGTTACTATTAGGATTGTGAATTTTTACTCTTTAATTTTTTTATTGTTAATTAAATAGGTATTAACTTATTGAGTAGAACTTAAATGAAAGAATAAATAAATAAATAATAAATTAAAATCGCTATACACGTACTACGTTTTCTTTATGTATTGACTTTACGAGGTTAATTTTCTTGCTTGTACCAACTTGTTGATGTCGTTGAAGGTTGTGAGCATGGCTGGGCTAGCTAATTCGCCAGAAAGTTGAGGGCAACCTTTATATTCTTTACAATTTTCGTTGTCTTGTCCGTCTTTAGCTGCTTTCATGTATTTAAAGAATCTTAATATTTCCGAATTATCAGATGTCGGTTTTTTCAATTCGTTTAACTCCCTAAAAGAAAAAGTAAAAAATTACTTTATTTGATGCATAAATTATTTTTTTAATAAAATTCTTACCTGCTGAGTTGAGCGGATACTAAATTACTGTAAGGAGCATACTTAGCGGGATTTGCATACATCAAACACACGAGTCTCTCCCTACATTTTTCAACGTTTAATATTTTAGAATCACCAAGTCCAAGCTGTTGGAAAACTGAATCTAATCTTGACAGTAAAGGACTGTAGAATGGATCGTAAGATGTAAGAAGTAACGATGAAGGTGGTATTTTATGGAAAACTTTAAAATCTGTTTTTTTCTGCGGCTTTTTAAAGTAATAATTATCTGATGGGTTTTGAACATACGATATTCTATTTGTTTCTATCCCAAACCTAAAATAAAAGAAATTGTATCAATAATTAACCGTAATTTGTAGTAACAGTTTCTTTTTTCATTTTAACCGTTTCCAAACATGAGTAACTGCGATATTTTTTGTTCGAGATATTCGTGCACGCATAGTGTTCACTTTACCGTTTTGATTTATTAACGGTTTTTGTATTTCGTGACAGATATCAATGCTATAAAATAAGAACGCAGTTCGATACGTAAAAAATTCCATTGACACATTTTTCTTTTTAAAAATAAATGCGAAGGAAAAGATCTCTAGGGGTTTTCCTTTGTACTTCACTCTTTTATAAAACTCCCAATACGTTTCCAGTTATATCTCGGGATCCTATTGGATATTTCCTACGAGACTCTTAAACTGGATGTTATGAAATGTTTTATTGTACGGAAGTAAAACACACAATATTAAATTTTTGACCGTGAACAACCGATATACGTTATTTTTAAAATAAAAATTAATCGTTGAATATTCTAAATACTTTTACCATAAGATCATATGATTGATATAATTGAATTTCTCGCGAAAAGTTGTAGTTTATAACTGAGAAGAATTTTCATCTAACATTAAGGCATAATTTGCTGCTCGTTTTCGAAATTCCCCAACTTTAACTCCCTCAAGTTTAAGTCCCGCTCGTATTTCTGTAATATTCCCTAGAATCGACGTGAATATAACCGGAAATATTATAGCGGTCATTTTCGCCGCCAAGAAAAGTTTAACCTAAACTAAAATTGTGTTTAAAAATTTACCTATTCATAGCTGTTGCTTCAGTAGACGATCCAGTATTTAATGTTATGGTATTATCGTTATTTACGGTGTAATCCGGTGATAAATCATTATTGTAAGGTCCTGTATCTTTAAATTCAAAATCATCAATTGTTTGACTATCAGCATGATGTCCCAAACCAGCGGAAGATCCAGAAATTCCACTAAACGATGATAAACCTTTACCCAATAATTTTCCTAAGCTACCCAATATTGAAGGCAAAAACATGGCTATTAAAATCGATTTGAAAATTTGGGCTCCAATAATAACGGGGAGTAGAAGTTTCTTCAAGGCAAACGCTAAAAACCCAACACCAAACCCAGCCATAAATGAGCTTTTGCCAGTTTCAACTGGAATAAGATTTTATTCATTCCACTGATAATTTCTTAAAAAAATCGATTACCTTTAAAAAACCTAGATGTTTCCGATACATTTACTGCCACAACATGATTTTGTGTGTATTGATACAATTTTTTATAAAAATAATCTTCTAAAGTGCCCATCGAGCGGCTTTCTTCACAATGAGTCTCATTTATGGTGTTTTTATTTTTATTAAATAAACATCTATCTGTTGGTTTAGACACAGTATTATTTTCAATTTCCAAACCTGGAAATATTTTATATCGATCTTCATCAAAAATTTCATCGACGTATTTAAAAAGTTCTCTATCTACGAAAGAAATTTTGTTCTCGTTTAATGTATAGCACAATTTTGGAACCATTGTTATGACTGTGAACGCCAAAAGTAAGTGGTTCTTCATCCAAATTTTCCATCGTGCCATTTTACACAGCGCATTTCATTTGCGGTTTATTCTGAAATTGCAAATTCAATCATTTATTAGTGTTAACTAAACAAATTATTAATAAATTAATCAATAAACATTATGTTTTATAATTACGAATAAATAACTCTTCTATTTTGAACAACACCATTTCATTCTGTACAAATAGAGACACAATCGAAATGTCAACAAGGAAAGCACTTTCGATATGAAACTACGATTGCACAAATATTTGTTTCTATTTGTGTGGATATCAATTCGGCAAACAAAAAGAATTAATATAAAAAATAATATAAAAGTTATCTTTGCTTAACTCGCATTTTTTTTTTCAAACGGATTCGAGGTGTTAATTAGTTTTAAAAACGGTGTGAATGGGAAGTAGAAAGCGATAGAAATTGTACGAGATTTACTTACGAGGTTAGCATACGCTATTTCAAAAGTATATTAAGGAAGTTAAATCGAGGTATTTGCACTCTCACCTTATCTAAACAATGTAGGAGTTTTATAAAGTTTTCTGAAAAATTGACGGAAGTTTGTGAACTGACCGAAATTGAATTTTTAACTTAAAATGTGAAAAATATTGTATGAAAGATTTACAGAGACAGCAACAGGCGGCGTTCGCAAAGAAGAAAAGTCTTTCTTCAACAAAATCGATTTCGGCACCTATTTGTTTATACATCAAAAATAAAACTTCATAACTTGAGTATAGGATAGTTATTTATGTGTTTCAAAATTACAGAATTTATGTAATGATCGATTTAACCCAAGGTCGTTTGCGGTCGAGGCGCTGCAATTTAATTGCAAATTGTGCCACCTTTCTAAATTGCGTTCCAAGATTACGAAGATTAGTCTGGATTGATGATTTAGGATTTTAAGCAGAGGCTGCTTGTGGCTTAGGCACTGTAAATGAGTTAATTGTTTTTACGATTCCTCTGCACAGTTCTTGCTTCTTTCTTATTCGTTTCCATCTGGGTTTTCTTTGACTTCCATTTATTCTTTTCTACCTCCTTCAATAATTTGAATCAAAAGAAAGGTTTTGTGAAAATTGAGTTGTTGATAATTTAATCTAATAATTTGTTGTGTTAGGTTGCAACAATAAATATGTGACCTGGTATCAATCAAAAATCGGAATATAATAAATGAACATAAATTATTGAATTTTAAATTTTTACATTTCATAATAACGTGTATCCAACCTTATTTATAATAACTTCTCAGAATTCGTATAATAGAAATGAAAAAGCAATTCGGGGAGCACCCGTGGAGAAATTAAACTGCCAAGAAATCTAAGTAAACGTATATAAATATAAATCAACGAAAGGAAATAAGTATTTATGCAACCAGAATTGTAGGAAGTAACGGTGAAGGTAAAATCAAACCTTGATTGAAGGTGACTTTCTTTTCGATTGACCTTTTTTAGAGTGTATCTCATTTATATTTATTAAAATCTGAAAAGAAATTATAAGATAAACTAAAAGACAAAATGAAATAAAAATAACGATTTAATACGGTTTAAATGAATTATGTATAACACGTACCAAAAACAAAGTTAGAGAATTACAAGTTGAAATTAATTCGAAGCTGACCACCATAAATTTTAATGAACCATCAAACTACTAACCGCATTACCGAACAAATTACGAAAAAATAAAGATGGAAGAAAATCTTACCAATTAATTGTGTCCATTATCGAAATTATTACCAGTATTATTCTTTTTTATCCTATTCTATGATTATTTCTTTATTATTATATATAATTTGATTGTACAGAAAATATGGCTATTCTTATTTGGTTTGAGTGACTTCGTGGTAAAGACAAAACCACGTGTGTAACGACGTTCTTCTGGTATACCTTCACTGGCTCACTTCACAAACTGTGACTTACACTGGTCGACCAACTCGATGGTAGTCGTAACGTTGGTCTGCGGACCACTTGACTGGGGAACGGGGTCATTGGGTCAACCAAGCGAAACATCCACATTCAAGGGCGTGGCGACAACAACATACAACAAAATTATATCACTTATACATCAAATTAATTAAAATTCTATGACTATTTTGATTAGAATTAATTTTATTTAAAATTACCAAACTTAATACGTTTATCAAACATCATTGTTTTGAATTACTCTCTGTGAACTGTATAAATGAAGTTTACGCTAACCTTAATGTACATTGAAAGGGTGTTGTGTAACCACACCGTTGAGATGTTACCACTCGAGATTTGGCGTAGTTAGTTTCGAGAGTAAGATGTCGGATTTCCATAGCAGACGAAGGAAATCAAGTTGTCCATTTGGTTTGTAATTTCGCCCCAAGTTAATACCGATATAACACAATGGGTTATCCGATCCGGTTCAAATAAGAGAAAATTTTAATGGAAAATCTAGCTGAAGCTGTGCATAACAAAAAATAATTTGATCCACTCTCGCAGAATGAAAAGTGTAACAAACAAGTATGACTAAACCTGCAAATATCAATTGAAATTGGAGAAACCGTCTATAGTTATTTGAGGATGTTGCTTTAAAATAACTTTTTCTATCCACTTCAAAGGGTTGTAAATATGTAAGGAATGATTCCAGGAAAGAGTATTTTTCCAATCATTTTCGGTTTATTTTGATATACTCGTCATGGTAGAAGTGGAGGTCTATCGATTTCTACTTAAAGTTGTATGTACGAACCCATCATCGCCAGTGTCTAGGATTAAACGCTAATCGTTAAAGTTTAATGTATACAGGAAACGGCTTTGTGACCTTACGGGCGATGGGAAAGCCTATAAACGTATTAATAGACCGCTTTATAGAATTTATATACGTTAGGTAAAAGGTGGTATCTTTATAACGTATAGCTATGAACATCACATAACACAGTTTACATTTTTATAATCAGATAAAGAAAGAAGCAAATCTGATTTAATTAATTTAATATTTTTAATGAATCTGAAATGGGCTTGTTTTGCTCTTTAGCTTGGAGGGATACAGAAATAAATATATATAACCATTACTGTAATTAACTCTGCGAAATTCTTTAAAATAATTTTAAAAACATCCAATTTTTTTTATTCCAAATGTTGTAAAACTTTCACAGTTCCGATCGGAGGACGACCAAAAGGAAGGCAAGCTGTTAACAATGTCAAGGTTGAACAAGGTTGGTACGTCTTCGCGTTCGTCTTCATTTCTTGTTAACACTTATTTCTTCACATCGATCCTATTCGTTACCTACATATTTTAAAAGAAATCAAAAGAAATTGGATTAGAGAAAAATCTTATTATAAATTAAATAAAACCCAGTTTTTTAAATACTTGTCAATTATTTTATCCACAATTATCCTTTTGTTGAAGTAATATAATTAAATTTCTTAGAATAAGTTAACGCGTTCCATAAACATAATATAAGAGAAACTTATTCAAAGACTAGGATTAATATTGTCATAGTTCGTTTTTCCAAGTATATTTCCCATGAGATGACATAACTTTGAAGCTGTTTCTGTAAATGCTTGCAACTTGAAAAAATCCAAAGAAACTTCTTAAACGACACCCAGTAGTACCGTCTCTATTATTTCAGTCAACTTAAATCTTATATATTGATATTTTAAAGAAATGGTAAATTCTTATATTATTCTTGCTGCCTCCAATTTTTATTTTTCATTTTACCGTATAATTCATTGGTAAACAAATTAATTTTTGATGTGGTAACTATGATATCTGATTTATTCTTCCATTTGGTTATATTTACATTACTTGTACGTAATCATTTACCTTTCCTCTTGAAACACCTTCATATCTACGTTCATTAAAACAACGAAATACTAAAATAACAAAGTACGAAGATAACTGATATTACTGAAAATACTGTTAAAATAAATGAAGCGTGAATTGAATAGTTAACATAGTACAGGAATTACTTTCTCGTATCGAGGGCAACTCCTCGAAACTCAAAGCCGCAACGTGAGAAATTGCTAATTGATGGGTTCTTATCGACGGGAACTAACACCATCTGTTGAAGGACCCCGATTTATTCGCCTATTCCGAAGGGATTGTCGACGACGAAGCGTCCTTTTTGGAACGACTAGAATATTTTACGGAAAATCATTTCTTCCATCTGTTACCAAACAAATTACTTTTCTTTTAGATTGTTACATAAATTACTCACTAAATTCAATATATCAATAAAATTAATTTTTATTTAAAATTTTAGAGTTTAAGTAAATATCTCTCACATACGTAAACGTATTTATAAATTTGTTGTAAACGTATCGTCATCGAGGAGTTTGGACAGTGCGTGGTGAACCGACCTCTTTTGCGAATCGTATAACGGTACAACAGCATACTTAAAATTATCAATTTTTTTTTTCTTTTCCAATACACGCGCCGATTTCCTGGTGCAAGACGACACTGTCATTAAATAAAGCATTGTGTCGTAAAACATCGAATTATGAAGAGGTGTATGAAGTGAACACGTCTTTAACTGTACATAATTTTTTACATTTGATATTCGAATCTTAACTAACAATTTATATTTCTTCGGTCTGGTTAAAATATAAAATATTCTTTTGTATTATGCAATCTTACACCACAAAATTTAAATATTTCTAAAATTGTAGAATGTAGAACACCAAACCGAGTATCGTCAACGAATTCTTTTATAAATCCCACTGGGTAACCTCGATATGTTGCGATCTCCCGTAGGGATCGATTCTTCATGGTGAAAAATGCTGGACAAATACTACAAAACTTGGCTTAAGGATGCCATCCTTCGTCTTATCGGTATATGTATTGCACGATCGCTCGTTCCCATGCAAATTGCTTCTGCAAACCCCGGTTGTGTATCTTTGTTGACAACGTCCATGTTATTGGCTGCCGCCACCGCATTATTTATGGAGCACAGCGCGAAGAGAATATTGCGCTCCGGATTTTCCAGTGGAATTAAAAGGATTAGAAAGGATTTTACTCCAAGGAGATCTATTAAATGATAAACTGTTGGTCCCCAGCGATCGAAGATGAACCGTAATGTTGAAAGAAATTAATGGTGTAATTGTTCCACAGTGTCTTAAGCTTCTAGTAAATTGAAATTAAATGTTGAGTAAGCATTTTTTGATTAACACAGTTACCTACTTTTAATTTCTCGTCTATACGAAATATAAAAAGAAATTTAGTACATGACTATTACACCTAAATCGTAGAATAATTTTTAAATCAATAACTTTTTATTAATATCTTAAATCTAATATTTCAACATTTATTAATACCCGAGAAAATTGAGTGTTATTCAAGTTAATTGATACTTTTTCAAGCATTTTACTTTGCATAGCACGTTTCAGTTTTGACGCAATTTGTAGCGCTCAGTCAATCGATGAAATTCTATTATGAAGTTCAATGAAAACTAAATTATTAACCTTTACAGTTCGCTGTTGTAATTAAAGCATGAAATTTAACTCCAAGATTTCCTCGGCGGAAATATGTAAAACACCTTTTCAAAAGAAATATTTTAGCAGTTTTTTTTCTTCATTTATTTTATTTGTAAAAGAGCAAGTTAATTTTGGTGAGGAGGGTTGGTTAAAAGCTGATCCATATGCAACACCCCGGCTTTATTAAAACAATATTTTCGGGGTAAAATAGACGGTGTACGAAGGGGTGGAAAAGCTTTCTAAAAATATCTTTCCTCTCTTCAAGAATTTTTTGCACAAGATTCTTTAACGGTTTATAAATGGGAGTTACTTACCTGGAAATGTAAATTTAATTTTTAAATAAATAAGAAAATAACGTGACATTTTATTTATTCCATAAAAATTAAAAATTATATACATAGACAATAATTACATAGATGTGCATAAGCGAGAACAATTTTATGATAGATAGAGATGTGTAGTATTTACAATTTTGTGGACTCTTCAAAATTGTAAATAAATCACCGCAAATTTTATGTAAACATTTTTGATTTTACCTATACAATATATTTTTTATTTACATTTAAGCTTTTTAAGTACTATATATATCTTAATGAAATAACATTTCACACACAATTCGATAAAGCGTTTTCAAAACAGTTTCTATTAAATTACAAAGACGTCTTTAAAATCCCACCATTTCCTGTGGTGGGTTTCCTTAAAAGCTAGCTGGTAGCAAAATTACTCATTTCAGTTGAGCAATTAACGCCGGGATCCTCCAAAGCAACTTTTTCTTCTTTATTTACAATTTTTTTTGAAGATTTTCTAGTTACACTTCGTTTTTGTTCATCTTGCTCATCGCCGGTGGAGAAACACAATAAATCTTTGAACTCTTTCCAAAAGTTTTCATTTAGCCATCCGTAGAGTATCGGATTTGAACACGCCGAAGACATGCTTATCATATGACAAACAGCGTATGGAACTGGATGATAAAATTCCGCTGTGGTATCTGCGATTAAGTTGAAAACATGAAGAGGTAACCAACTGATACAAAAGATTACTGTTATGGATACTAATAGGATGTTTGTTCGTTTCAGTCTTCTTCCGCGTGTTTGTCGTCTAAGTGTATTTTGACTAGCTTCGTTACTTACAAAACCAGTCGCAAATCTATATCTCAATTTTAAATAAATACTCAGGTATGCACCCTAAAATTAATAATAAAACATTAGTTTTATGCCGTGAATATAATTAAATAATTTTAGAACGGATATTACACGAATTTAACACAGCTGTCATGTTTATTAATAATTTGCAGAAAATAATTTGGCGTAATTTCGACATGAGAACCTAAAATTTAATTTTAATGACAAGAGTCCGTAGAAATAGATTCCGGGAAATGTGTAATAACGAATCCCTGTATTAATCAATGCGTGGATTCTGAATTCCAGCAACGGTGGAAACTGGAATTTCCTTCTCTTACTAATTCCAAAAGCCCCTTTGGGATGAAAATATTTTTATATCTTTAAATTTTTAACTATATAAATCGCTCCTTCAATCGAAATTACATGTATTAAGGTACATTAAATGGTGTATTAAAAGGTGTATTAAATGTAATTAAGGTACCATCGATGTTAGTAAACGAAATTGTCGCAATGTATGTTAATGTTAACATAAACCTTTGGGAAATGTGGGAATTACAACGATACGCATGATGGGTATAGCGCAATTCCCTTAATTGAAGCATATTACAGAAACATCATTGGTGTCTGCAATCCAGTCCAATAATAGTTTACAATCGCACACGAAAGGGTCGGATTATGAACCGTAGTTAATTTTCGGTGCATGTACAATTTAGATAACATGTGAGTAGTGGCTTAGTGGTAAACCGCGTGCAACGTTTCACCAAAACAGATTCCACGTGTACATTTACGCTCGACAATTTAGAGTTGTATAACCGGAAATCAATTAAATTACACAAATCTGCATAAAAAATCACCCGAATCATGAAGCATTAAAAAGTGGATTAAGGAAGGTTAGGCAACCAAATATACAAATTTATTATTACTTACCGAAAGTATAAAAATAGGAACTAAATACTGGAATATTAAAGCAAACACAGTATAAGCAGCCCTTCCACTTTTAAACGGCCAATCTTCAATACAAAAGTTTAAACTCAAATTGGTGTCATTAATTTTAATGTCGTGATGAATCAATGTTGTATATGCGAACATTGGAGAAGCTAAAAATAAAGTTCCACACCATATAGTGAATAAAATGATACCGGTTAAGCTTAAATTTGGGCTCTCTCTCGTTGGATATACGATAACCTAAAAAAAACAACAAATATAGAACAACTAAAAAGTAACAGATTATTTTATTTACTTCAATACAAAGTAAGTAATCTAATAAATTTTATTAAACCTGTTGCAAATGCTTTTTCGTAATAAATCCTTCCGCACACAAGGTATAAACAACTTTATGAGTTGTAAAACTATTTTAGCTTACGTTAAATTATTTAAAGTTATTTTTAGTAGGAACAATACAAAATATCAGTTTTGATTAAAAATTTTTTTATTAAAACCTTTTTAAAGGGAAACGATTCAAGTTACTCGACAAAATTTGTCGCTTGAAAAGGCAAGGCGAAATTTTCAGGTCATTGAATTCCCTGGTCTACAATAATTACCCCTGAAAATACCTAACTCATTCAACTCCCGCGGCAAATTTAATTAAGTTGCGCCATCAACGACACGTGACAAATATTTAGCCACCTTTAACGCGTATCAGCAATTACCGCCGGCAAAGAGTCACGTTCTTGCTGCTCGTGCCGTGATTGGATATTTTAAAGATGACCGTAATTTTCCCCCGTAGCGCAAATTGTTATTATGAAATTTTCCTTTAAGCTCTAACCCTTTTACAAATTTCATACCAAATGAACATGAAAATTGCTCCTCTGAGCTGCTTACAAAAATTATTACTTTTCCTGTACTACTATGTTTTTAATTAAAATTCTCCAAGATTAGAGACTCAATTTCTTTTATATTATTAATGAATGTTTGTTGATCCTATTACTTTAAAATAATCTTCAGATAAGTTTGCAATCTCACGGTCTACATCTTAGTTAGTTGGATAAAAATCTTAATGCCGATATTTTAGACACATTTTGTAACAGTTTCTGCCAAGGAAGACATTTGTTCTTTAAGGTGGAAACATAATGAATTGGTAAACTTTCCATTCCATAAACTCAACGATAATCCAGGTAAATTTATGGAGTTAACTCAGAACCCAGTAATGAATAGATCAGCGCTAACACATGACGTTTTTTCAAAGCTTTAAACTAATTTTTAGAAGACTTATGGAAAATTTGTCTTCATGTTTTTCATTGCATTATCTGTGGTTAAAACATTTTGCCCCGATTTGGACGGCGTATTTTCAGTTTTAGACTTCTTATCAAAATACACAGAGAAACGTATTTAATGGAGTCGTAAATCAAGACTTGTTTACCTTTACGACGGGATTGATTGTGCAGATTTACCGCGGTATTGGGAAGGACAGTGAGTAATGACGCTATTGCCATTTTGCCAATATTTTTTACGCACTAGAGCATGAGATTTATATTAGAGGCGATAAGAATAATATATGTTTAAGTTGTAAATAAAACGAAGTGACCAAGTGGACACAAATTGAATCTATTTATAGATAATTTTTTTTGTGGGTTGAGATCGCTTTTACTTTTTTTTTACGAATTGAATATTAAATTTTTGTTATCTGATCAACCTATAAAAGGTATAATAAAATATGAAAGTAATTAATATAGAATTATTAATATTTTTAACGCGACCATGTATTTTTCATAAACATTAGCGTGTCACATTAAATTTTATCTACTAAATTATTTTCATATGGCTTCAGCAAGAATAATGAATAAAGGAACGCAAAATGTCCACGCAGTATATAAAAGAATATAAAATCGTGAAAAGAGCGAGTAAGTATACCCATCCGTTATAAATTTTCCTCTCTAAGCAAACACATTTCGGGAAGCGACTTTTAAACAATCTGAAAAGTGGCGAACCCCTTTCAGCCAGTCCATAAAATTCATTTTTAATCCAGTCGGAAATCCGGCCAACATATTTTCAAGAGTTGAGTGCCAGAGTTTTCAGTTTTACGACTACCGTAAAAATATCGGAAGTGTCGGTCGCAAATCAACGTACGCCAAAAAAAATACCTTATATTCTCGTATTATCTTTCATGACCTTATTTGCAAAAGGTTGGCTCGTAAAAATAAATTTCTCCCTTTAATAGGTGTAACGAAATTTACGACTTACCCTGTACCGGTCAAGTGCTATCGCTGCTATTGTGGTTGCTGTAACGAACACACTAACAGTTTGTAAAGTGTTTTTCATCTGACACAGTGTAGCGTAGTTTCCCAACGGCCAGTACTTTGTAAGTACCTCCATTAACGTCAATGGCATAGTTACTGTACAGAGAAGAAGATCTGAAATTGCTAAATTAACGATAAACATGTTCCTAGGTGTTCGCATCGATGGTTTTCTTATAACGGAGACAATCTGAAAAAAAAATTAAAGAAATAAATGTTCCAAGAATCAAGTACAAACGACGATTTCGAAGAATATCACAAAGCGAAGTAGACGGAGACAAAGGGATATTGAATGATGGAAAAGTTCATTTAAGTCTTTGAAACAGGAAACAAAATATTACTATATTGTGTTTCCTGTTTGATCCGAATTTAGCCATATACTTTTAAAATCAACGAGGCGTAACATTTTAAAAGTTCATTTATCCGATTCTTAGAATGTATCAAAAATAAGTTCCACCTACATTAAGCCAATCTCAATTATTATAAACTTCCGTCTATTTCAATTGAAAGTTTACATGATCCGTATCAATATTTGTAAACGTCACAAACATCGCATATCTCTTAATTCTATTTGGTTACATCTAGAAATAAACTGGTTTATTTTCAGAAGATGTAACCAATGAAAACCTCTATATATTATATTCGTTTTCTGGTTGAATAAATTTATACAGACAGAGCAAAGTAAAAATTTCCCATTAATTCCTTCGTTTCTATCGCGAGAAACTTTTGAGTTATTGAGTTTAAAACTTCACGAGGTCTAGACTAGTTTTTACTTTCATTCATAACAACCGAAACAATAACAAAGAAGGGTCACAAAGAGCTTTCACGGTTATTACTTGTTTGTCCGTCGAGAGCTTTGCGTTGTGATTAGGTTAAAATTTTTTTGCAAATATTCTGTTTGTGTCTATTTCTAAGTAATATACGGTCTAAGTTTTCAAAACTAAAAAGCAATAGAACGCGTGGTTGAGAAAATGGGAAAACACGTTTTTCGTCTCACCGCTAAAAATATAGAAACTGTAAATATCGCCTTTCATCGTGCTACCAGAAAAGCTCTCTACACACCAAAAGAGCAAAGTGCTATTCTCAAAATATTCTCTTTTTCGTACCTCTTTTTCCATTAATCGTAGGGAGATATCAAAGAATTTTGTAAAGGAAAATAACTATTTTCTATAAGTAAGCCGCTTTCTATATATTGAGAGTTTTTAGAATAAGAAGCAATATTCCTTGTAAAGAAAACTCAAACTATCTTCACTACACGTTTCATGTGGGTAAACGAGAAGTTTCGGTTAATAAATAAAGGTGGTGCCTTTGAGGACCGTTCAAATAACATCCTAACAAAAATAAATTGCACTCTATTCCATCTAAGTAATTATTTACTCTTTAGTAATTAGAAAAAACCTAGTTCAAATTTAGTACGTTTACTTTTTAGGTTATTTTAATCATTTCATTTCTTTATATCTCATTCATTTTAAATTTTACGTTTAAAATCCACAGAGATCCATCCATCACTTTTTAATCCAGTCACACGTCCAATCTATTTTAGTTTCTCTTGAATCTTAACGATATTTTTCATGTCAACTACATTACTATGGAAAACTCTTTTTAAAGAATTACGAACGACATACTGAAATGCGTTCCAATTTGATTTTTATGCTAAACTCTTCGCGCCATTCGATGTTAAGTATGATTGAATTGTCTAACTTTGGATACGATGTCGAGTAAACATATCATTTGTATGCAGAGCTACCCGCTAGGCAATGTAGAAAGTTTACGTTGCGACGAGGAGTAAACAATAAGATATTAGTTAGTTGCTAATTTAGGGTAATATAGGGTAAGTTGATATTATGTCGTCAAAAAACAATAACTTTTATAGTATTCCATTTTAGCACAGTAATTGGACTGCTCAAGTACTCCAGCGAGATCACGGAAAGGTTGCCCAACAACTAAAGGAAATTTATCTACGTTGGTATATAACACTTTGTCTGCAAAAATAAAGTAGTCGATCAATTCGATAAGAAATTAATTCAATAAACGGGTATGGATGTCAAAAATTGGATGTCAAAACCTACCCATGTTTTAGTTTGGTTGTATGGTTGAGGTTGGAGTTAGTTTGGAGAAATAAGACAAGAGCAAAAAGATTGAATGCGAATATGGTTACATCTGAAAACCAAGGTGGATTGCAAGAGGCATTAATGAAAATGCAAAAGAAATGAAAATTGTAATGAAAGCAGGCAAGTTAACACACCAGCTCTTGAGCATGCTTAACAATAAAAAATATATCATTAATATTAATATTAAGGAGTAATGGACTGAAACCGCGTGGGAATAATATTCATTATCTAACACAACGTACATCCTCTCGTGAATATAGAAAGCAATCCAACAAAGCAAATTACCATTTATTTTAATTTCTGTAAGCTGTTTAGAGAAGCATAAAATCAAACCACAACAATTTCTAGAATATATTTTATATTATATTTAAGTAGCTAAAATATTGTACGCAACATTATTGATTTAGATTTTGTGTAGGCAACGTTTATAAGTAATGAAACCTGATAACAGCTTGGCAATATTGCATAACCATGATGAATAGCTCCTTAAAATAAGGAAACATTTGCCCCCTTATTGCTTTGTGGTTTTGTTTTAGGGGAAAACGCTTATAAACTAGGAGTAATTCCTCTAAATAGAAATTTGTTAACTGAAACACAAATTAGTAGAAATAATTGCTTTGAAGCTGAGGTGAACATGTGTGGATTACAATTATAATTACAGTTTCCAATTAATATTGAGTTCTATTTTAAGAACATAAACGATTTAATATAAAAAAAATATTAATCATAATAAACTTTATTAATGAAAATATGCTATTAAGCATTATCGCAAGTCAGTAGTACAAGATAGAAATGCTGTATAGTAATGCATATTACTAGTCATAAATAACCTACTTATATAGATATAATATACAGACTTACATAACACGGGACCACTAGAACGCGAAAAGAAAAGCAAAAACACAACATCAATATACATGAACTTCCTTTAGAAAGAAGTAAATCAAGCAAGTTCAGATTATTTATGCACGAATTTCGATAAATCACGAATTACAAAAGCGGGAAGGCTTTGGGTTGGTTTTATAAACGGTACTGCTAGATCTAAAATAATCGATTCCGGTTTTGCAATGAGAAAATGTTAACATGTTTATTGTACAACGAGCGCAGGTTGCGTTATTGCCCGTTTATTGAGTTACTTCCATCAAACGTGCATTCGAGCTTTTAGAACTTAGACATACTCGAGATAATGGACAAAGTATCTGCGAAAATTGCTGGTAATAGACCAGAATTTCCTGTTAAATTTAGGTAATTGGTTCAAACTTAGTACTAAGCTCTCTAGGGAGACAGTTAAAATCTATTGTTTAAACTTTACCAACGTCTGGTATAACAGTTACACGATGATTTCTTGAACATGTTTCCACAAAGGTCTGTTTATTATTTACAAAATTTACGATCCGACTTTAAATTATTATTGCAGGCGAGTGTTAAGTTTCTGGGAAGAATTGATTTATTAGGTATTTTATGTGTTGAAACTGTAAATATTATATGAAAAAGAGGAAGTTATAAAATTTTCCGTTTTTAACACATTAAAAAGTTTTTTATATAAAAGTAACATGACCATTACAAAAAAAGGACAAATTTGCTTCACGTCTCTTCGTTTTAAAATTTACAACAGCAGTAACCATTTGAAATTCAACCCGTAAGGTACTGAAACGAACTTTTGCTAGTTCTTTTCCGTAATTGGTCGGCGAAGTATCGAACCCAACGTTCTTTAGATGCCACTGTAAGCTTTTTATATTGCCCCAGTAACTACGTCGACATAGAAACACGCCCTTTTTTTTAATCGAATTTAATTAGTTTTCAGGTTTTTTCGTCTACTTCACTCGATGGGGATTATTAGTTTCACTTACCACCAACATATTTCCTAAAGCGCCAATCAATATTAATATGCTGTACAGGATTATTAATACGGCGAAAGCTGGTTCCCCAACAGCACGATTATTCATGTATTTAGATACCAAGTCATTATCGAATTGGTTTTGATAATCCATAACGTTAAATGTGCCGTTACTGATGTTCAACTCCATTTTGGTTGTCTAAATCAGATTTATGTTATTCTTTTTTTCACCAATTTGTCTCTCCAACAGTTCTGGAAATAAAAGATATTATTATTAGGAATAAAAGTAATCTAGAGTAAAATTTTAAATATTTTGATTACTGTAAAATGTGATTAAAGTGTTAATTAAAACATTTCTCTTCGTGAAATTTAAATTTAGTTTCTGCTTGCTATTCCAGTCACTCGTTTTCTCATTATCTTGAACAAATATTGTATACGACATACGATGTAAACATAAAAAATCGTTGAAAAGGGAATTTGTGAAATGAGTTCCTTGATTAGTGTTTAACCTAAGAAAACTACTAAAAATAATTTGTTAAAAGCAATCACAAAATAATCAGCAACAATCTTTTACGACCTGTCAACACGTTTGATTGATATACTGAGGTTTAGTCGCAAAAATAACGAGCACACATCTAAAGGTGAGTTTGTATAACCATTAGTATCAATGGATATTAAAGAAATTATTTACATATCATTTTCTGTTAACACAACTCCTGTTTTGGGGCTAAATCTGTAACGTTACAGTATCAAGTATCAAAACCGATGAAAACCCGGTGGTGTTTGCTGAGGAATTATTGCGAAATCGCTATAATCCAGAGGATCCACGGAGTTTGTAGATATTTGAAACCTCCTGCAGACTGGTTGAATTGGCGCACCGAGATTAGCAATTCTGTAGAAGCTGTTGTAAATGGTAATTAGTTCCGATTGGGATCAACTCGGAATAGTAAATAGTAATAGTTCAAGTATCATATTAATTACATTACTATTTTCAATAATTTAACGATTTCATTTTAAATATAAATTTAGATTGAATCAGATTATCGATTAAAACTAATTAGCTGGTTCTTTATATGTAACGTTTTGATCATATCAAATTTCAATTAATTTAACATCGGGTTAAACATATTAAATGGAAACTACAACGTGCACATGTTCATTTTGAATCGATTCTCATAGAATACATATTTAAAATAGACAAATTGTTCAATCGCTTCATACATTATAGACTAAAATATCATTATCTAAAGTGCTCCCTTTCGGATCATCGACTCGACTTTATATTACTGTCGATATCTTTCCAATTATCTGAGCCGACTGGAAGTTCATCGACTGGCGTGAACTTTTGGAGCAAAATACCACTTTACGGAATTAAGTTTGCACCATATCACGATGTCGTGGTTTGCATATAAAATGATGTTTTCACAGTCAAATTAAGTTCTTTGATTTACCGACACTAAAACTAACTTTGAATAATTATCAAGATTTAACAGAATGTACTAAAATTGCATCCGCCTTAAACATACAACATTTACCGCATTAAATCTGTGAAAACGTTATCGTACTTTATCTGTATTAGTTGCTACTGTATACACGTTAAACGCATCTGCGTTGCACTTTAGATAAACGCGGTGCTGTTTATAATTGGGATGGGTTACACAATGTTAAAACTTACTCCGTTTCCTGGCTGCATATTATTTAATGGGACGTCCATGAAATATTACGGAAACAAGTAATACAGAACATTCCAAACGGAAACCGAAACGAATTCTATTAAACTATTTATATGATTTACAAAAATTTAAGCGATACATTTACATTTTTATATCCTATTACTTTATTATTTTATAATATAGCCACAAAAACATTTTCAAAGAAATTGGGAATTCTATAAAAAACTTGACGTAGAAATACGTTCTTATTTTATATGAACGTGACATCAAGGAGAAGGCGTGTTTATTGATACGTATTTTTTTCCAGCAAAAGAAAATATTCATATAACTTTGATCTTTTTTGAGGATCCTTTAATTGGCAGGTAGCCGAAGAAAGAAAACATGACTTCATTCATAAATTTACATAAAATAAATTTATATTAACATATTGATATTTAAAAATATACGAAGTGATTGATTGAAGTTATAACAACGTTTGAGAGGTGATAATGAAAATTACAATCAACACTACTTACACAGTGAGAGCTTATAATATAAAAAAAATCGATAAACACTATCAAAAATAGAACTATTCCTGGAAATACTTAGATTATCATGGGCATTTAAAAGCAAATAAATGTGAATGTATCGAACGATGTTGTGAAATTGAATCATTCGACTTACTAAAGAAAAAAAATGTATACTGAAATATCTATGAATCTACCAGAATACGTAGGTATTCAAGATAATGGTCAGGTCATCCTTTCTTTTTGTGCCCAAAAAATTCACTGTATAATCGGCATAAAATTGCTAACATACACGATACTTGACAATCTTGATAGTATAAGGAGACTAAATCCAATCAAATCTTGTTCTTGACTAAACCCGTGAAGTTTCCACCAATACATTACCATCATAGGAATAACAATTATACAGAACGAAATAGGTTTATCATAACAGCCAACAGTGAAGTACAACTTATGAGAATATTTTTAAACTTAAATTTCACTAAAACAAGAATTTTTGTAAATGTAGCAACCCAAAGAATAACCCCATAATTTCAGCCCCTCATGTCTAAGTAATATAAGTTATGCTTAATTTGAAATTTTTAGGGGATGAATGTTTATGGTATATAATTCGATTTTCACAATCACTGTTTACACCAAAAACTTCGGCATAACTTATTCGTTATAAAATGAGAATGAAATTTTTAATATCAAGTTAAAGCTGAACATCCCCCTTAAAATAAATTGTGAAGTATGTTAGATAACAAAATTTTTATATTAGTTTTAAAATTATCCTCTAAGGGTCTTTATGTATTTATTCGCCGTGAATTATTGTAAGATGAAAATAGATCTTTGCATTAAAGTAAATTTCGTGTTGAATATTTCAGAAAACAATTTATATCAAATGTATGTAAATTGTCCGTGCACAAGTACGTGTGTACAATTGTCTTACATCGCTAGAACTGCCCATATTATCTATATTAATGGTTACTATCATGTTGTCAGAAACGAATCCTCAAAAATTTATTTATCTTGCATATGATAAAAGCACAAACTAAAATGTTTATCGAAACCCGCAATTTACTTGGAAAAATAAACGTCACGCTAGTGCTAACCAGTATCAATAAACAGCTTGTCTCGTCAAATAAAATAATCTCGGTATAGGGGAAAATTTATGCATTTCAACCAGCTGATAGCGCAAAAAATAAAATGTTTTACGAACGGCGGCATTTTGTTAAACGGATTGTGCTGTTCGCTCGAAAACATTTCGGTCCGATTTGGACGCAATAAATTCGTTTATCCAGCACCGCGGGGTTGGTACCGAGGACACATCTAGTTTAATACATAAAGACATTAATCTTCTCGGAACATCCCTATCTAATTAATGGGAAATTCAAGTACACAAATGGCCCGGACACTGCTGGAGAACACCGTAATCTACACAGAAATGGCCATCAACTTAATTTTATCTAAAAATAAACATTTGCAACTTTAATATTGTCTACGATTTAATAAACTTTAACAAAAACTAATTTTGTTGTAATTTGGCATTGTTAAGTTGAACCTATTTGTAGGATTTAATCCCGGGCTGAGCTGATTTCTTGATATTTATAAATACCCCAAAATCGTAAAATGTCGTAAACGACTCTATTTATTACCCCTCCTGAATCTTGTTTACGTAGAGGTGTTAATTTACATAATCACGAACTATATATATAAAGATAGCAGGATGTTAAGCATTCATTTTAATGGAACCAGTAGGTAGATGTTAAAAGGTGTTTATAGAATTTATCGCCTATTACCAAAAAATATAGTTTCTCTCATCTAATAAAATATTATCCTTTTATTTTCTATACCGTTCTCAATGATTTATCTTAAATCGAAATGCATTTTATAATTTATCAATTTATCATGCTGCCCTTACGTTTCGCAGGCTCCACGTTGCGTTCTACAACCATAAATCAACCTACACTACTACTGAAATACTCGAAATACAAAACGGATGGGTGGGACTTCAAAATCCCAACTCATACATAAATATGCAGAAATATCCATGGGGCGCATGAAACATGACCACTTTTAAATTTGGGAATTCGAACCGGAAGCCAATATACTTCAAAACGTTGATGTATCTACTTATTTTTTGGTGGAAATACATAAATATTTGTTTCAACAAAACGGAAAAAAAAATATATCTCCGTTAAAAATACAAAAGAGCACAAACATTTCATAAAAAGGAAAAAGTTGGAAATTAAAAATAAAACGTGCCAATTTTCCAATTTAATTCAAAGAGAATAATGTCACTCATTAACGAGACAAAGAAAGATTGGAGGGTAAGAAAATAGGAACAAAATGCTCAACTGGAACTAATCTTGAAAGTTTTGCGGTCTAATTGAATATTCCTGTAATACGTACTCCTCCTTTTTGGGGCGACTGTTTAAGTCAGTTTTAATTGAAAACTGAACGCGCATTCGAGAAGAAGGATTAAAAAGTAGTTTTTCAATTTGTCATTGAAAAAGATCTCTAATTTTATTTAATTATTACAAAATATACCTAAGTAATATCTCAAACATGGAAAAATAAAACAAAAAAAAAAGATACTTGTATTTATTGCTAGGTAGGTTTTTGCCAGAATTCTAAATAGCAGTAATTTTGTTTCTCCGGACAGCGTCAATTTGGAAACTAAACTAAGTGTAGAAAATAGTCACGCTTGACTAAATTAAATTCCAAAATTACCGGGGACGAATTTTCCAATTACGTTTCGGATTTCAAGAGTTTCCACAACGATTTACTGCGGTCAATGGAACGTTTAGTATCTTGGTGAACGACCCTTGTACAGGACAACAGACTCCTTGTTATCCCTCCGAAATCGGTCTTTTAGTATGGAGGATTACTCCTCTTGTAACCAAAATACTTCCCATTCAAACCAGAAGACGGTAAAATCCCCTCGATTTTCAAGCTTGAATAAATAACCTCTCTATATAAGAAAGTTCTACTATAATTTAAAATTTTACGCTTTTTAGGAAAAATTGATGATTTAAAAAACATATTCGTCATTTGTGCTAACAGGTCGATTTAACACTTGTATCGTTACGTATCTATCCAATAGAAGAATAACAAAAGATCCGTGATTTATAGGTACTAAAATTGGGATGAACGCAATACCCGAACGATTCTTTTAAATCCTGGACGGTTCCCGTTCTATGTTCGGATTTATTTTAAAGCATTTCAAAAACGGATTACGTCACGATTTCCATCAATTGAGTTACCGTTATTATTCCAGTTCATATTGAACTAAATCCTGATATTAGCACATTGTTTGAATAATCATACAAACATAAATACAATTGAAACTTTGTTGGTTTCATGCATAAAAATTATCTAAGTGGATTTGATTTCCGTTTTATTACGCAGAGTGCATAATAAAAAAGAAGATTTATTTCAAAGAAATGTTATATAAAAGAGAAAATGTACCGTCTTTCCATTTCTCGGGAACAGCTAGTCGTTTGAATCGGATGAAACGAATATCATTTTCAGGTAGTTTTCTTGGTTGCATAACGCAAGTTGAATTTATTTACTTAAACAGGATGAAAATGTAATTCCTTTTTTGTCAATTTTAATTTCTTTATCGAAATGTAAAAAATATGATATCTTAGTTTCTAAATTATTTAAAAATTGCTTTTCATTAAAATATTACAAAAGGTCGTTCAAAGGTGCTCCTGTGTATTAAGTTAATGCGAAATTTCTGTCCCTTTGACACGGACCATTGAAGCTTTAAAAGCTTTGTCTTGCAGGAATATTCTAGGATTCTAATAATAAAATTATTCGAGAATTAGGTGTAATGAATTCCATTCACAATTAGAACCGGTATCAAAGAACGTTTTTCAGTTGAAGAATAACGTAATTCAATTACTGTGAAAATGGAAGCTTTGTGCATTTTGGGGCATTCGCGCATAAACTTAATTACTGCAGAATTATATATGTATTAAATTAATTGTTATGAATTATGTTAAAAATGTTATTTGAGTCTTCATACTCTCACAAAAACAAAGTATATGGAGATAAGAAATTATCTAGTTCAATTGAGTTTCGAATTCATTGCTTCAGGGACGAAATATGTAAAACTTTTAGAATTATTCTATTCCTCGCATACATTTCGTAATAAAAACAATTTTTAAATTTTTATTTTAATTTTTTATGATTTATTCATTGAAATTCTTTGAGGCTTAAACATGTTACAGAAACGACGGTTATTATCTAATACCGAAGAAAAAGACAAAATACCATAAAAAATAAATAGATCTTAAAAAGGCAATTAATATAGGAGCTAAAAAACACAAAGGTATAACAAAAAATTACAATCTAATTTAATTAAGACCAAATGAAAGCATATAGCAACTTTATAAGCAATAAAGTGAGGCAACCAACCTCACAACACACCCGATGAACCTTGCAATAGAGCCTCCTAACGCAAAAATGTCTGTTTAAATTTTAATGATTTGTGGAATTCTACCTTCAACTTTATTTCATTAACCAGATAAAGAGACTTCCCGTGAAATAACATTAAATAACCACCCAGAAGTCAAAAAAGCTTTCCTAACTATATATACTTACCTAACCAAGAGATATCAACACCCTTTACTCTACGAGCACTTGCCTACTATAAACATAGATCACACACAGCATAAATATGGGTTGCTTCAAAAAAGCGTCTTCAACGAGCCATAAGCCCTACCACAAAACATTCTTATGTGACCAGAATAAGATAGAACTTTTTATTAAATAAGATACTTTTCTTCAATATATTTACGTTCAAAAACAAATTATAAATGAATATTGTGAACTGTAGCGTATATCACAAAGAACCCTTGTGGTACACCAGATGCAACTACTACAGAAATCGAGTTGATACCATTCAGCGTGACTGCTCTAGCAATTTATCTCATGGCCCGCCACATCCGGGGATGCTTCGGTAACAAGGTATATTTCTTCTCGACGTTTAAAGCACTCTGTATTTCTGGGTGACACGGTACTTCGGACATCTGCAATTGCCACATCACCCCTGATTAAAAGACGTAACACTCCTGAACGACAAAGCGTTCTACGCTAGAATTTCTTTTTTAATATAGAGGTACTTGCACGCGCAAAAACATGAGTTTCCCCACTATTTTAATCTTGTTGGTTGTAGCTAATTATACATCTTTGTTCACCAACTTCCAGCGATTGAGCATATGCCCCCTAGAGTCCTACCACATCCGGAACAGTTTCGTGTAGTCTGCATCCAAATCAAATTTTAGATACAGTCTAGTAGAGAGTGAGGTTGTCCAAAAACCTGGATTTCCCCGCATAATCACCACTAACGAAGTAACTAGGCATAGCCATTAAAACCCTAACTCTATATTCATGTACAATAACTTTCAGCAAATTAGTCATGCTCCCTACAGTTCAACCACTACCAAACACGTGGCTAAGTTTCTGGAACTTAACCGATGGACTACGTCCCCCCCCTAAGTAGCTTATAACTGTTTGTCCCAAGTACCATAAATTTGTTGGTTGAACATTTGTTGGTGCAAATTTGTTGATTGTGTTTTTACCGAGATCAATTCGAGGTATTACGCAAGATTCTGACGCTTCACGCTTTGAACTTGGGACATTTTGCATTGTTCCAACTGTTCGGTGTGCGGTGTTTATTACAAAAGATATAAATAGAACGTTGTTATTTCTTGTGCGGTTTCCTGGTATTGTCCGTAACAATTAATTATTTCTTAGTATCCGCAAATACTGCTAATTTGGTCAATAAATTTAACCCAAATAATCCAAATCTATGAGCACAATCCACCAACAAATTAATGGTACTACAAAATGGTTATTTTACACTAATTATTAATGATTAAAGTAATTAAAACAATCCAGCCACTTTATAACCACCAATGATGCTTTGAAACGATGCTCCAAAATCCGCAAAGTTACGTCAAATCCAGAACTACGGAAGTAAATAATTTGCTAACGTTGGCAGTAAAAGCGTAATTGACTTTGCAAATATGACTTTATTAATTTTATTTTCTGAAGAGTAATCATAAAACTAGTTAAGAAGATCCAAGCTTTAATTTAAGGTATTTATTCGGATAATAAAGGAAATCAAAATAAATTTGTTTGAATTCCTTTTTATATGAAACCATAAAAAAACTTTTATATCTGACAAATAGCCAGAAGATGTTAATTTCAAGGTTTATTATAAACACAATTTAAAAATGTTGTTTTTTCTTTAGATATTTTTGTTTAAGGCAATAAATGTGTACTAGAAAAAAATCTAATCCCAATCAAAAAGTACTTTCCACGAGTAAATTTTTGTATCTCATGACATGTCATAACATGTTAGATAATCGATGGGGCATCCAGCTGTGGAATGTCGATTAATCAGAAAAATGTCATGCGGGATCACAATATTGCCTGTTTATCATTTAATATTTTGACATAAATCAAATTAATCAAATACGTAATATAAACATTAAAAAAATTTGGATTAATTTAACATATAACATGACTATTGATTTTAAATTGAAGGTAAGAACAAAGGTTGCTCATTAAAAGTTAAGAGTGTTGTTGAGGTCCTTGTTTATACTAAAACTTAGATGATAATCCTTTCAACTCGACGAAACTTTTAATTATGAGTACTACATTACATAAATAATAATTTAAACTGTAAGAAAACCAACAAACTTAAAAAAGTATTAATTACTTACCATAAAGACATTTTAAACAACATCGCACCTAAAAATCATGTCAAGATAATTTTTATAAAAATTTATCTTAAAAAAGTTCAAAACGAAAACACTCCACGAAGATTTTCGAACGCGTTTAAAACAAGATTAGACATTATTATAATTCGCAATTGATGTCGTTTATGCAAAAATGAATCTTTCTAAAACTTTGTGATCAGACCGTAACGTGAACGTTTCGTCGCGGACGTTGAGGGAGCTTTAAAGCACCGGGTTATTGGGCGCGCTTGTAGAAAGCTACTGAAGCGCAAGTGTTTTGAAACGTTACAAGACTCACAGCGAATGCGTCGCGTCCCGACGCCTGAAAACTCGAGCATGACTACAATAGATTTGAAAGAACTGCGATAGGTATAACGTAATTATTGCTTCAGCAAAAAAAATAACATTTATTTTATGTAGAGGTTTTGGTAAATAGGAAATTACCACCATAATAGTATTATAAAAAGTATTTTAACACAATTTTTTTTCAATTTATCATATCAAACGAAAAGGGTAAAAAAGAGCGGACAAATGAAGTACTGAAAAAAAGGCTTCCACTTTGTCTACTCCAAAATTCATTTAAAAATTTTTTTGTCCTCATTTTCAGGAATTTTATTTTATCATTAAAAAGCACACCGTTTAACTATTTATTTACAACCTCGCTGATACAAACATTCGATCCAAATTCGTTAACGATCGTAAATCACGTTTCTGATCGACAAATTGAGATCACAATGGTAAATGTGTGCCCTAATTCATCGCGATGAGTCGATTGTGTATTTATACCCGCAAAGAATGTTTGATTGTTGCGTCGGTTATTGGATTGCAATCGACACGTATAGTGTTAATAGTGGGCTCAATTACACAATTAGTATGTGGACGATCAGAAACACAAACTGATCGTTGCATATTAATCTGGAATACATTTAACCCGAGTTATATACATCGTTACAATTGACAGTTAGTTTTAATACACATGAAACGATGATGAACAATGGCATTTTGAAAATTTATTCATGAAATTGTCTAATTATAAACTTCACTTTACCACCCGCAACATTGGAGACAATAAAATTTATTGTGTTAATTTAATGTTTTTTTCTCCAACAGCTTTCCACCTACGCTCTTGAAAAATGTGTACAGAAGCGTCGTCGTTAGGACATAGATGCTTTTGTCAGGATTAAAATATATGCTTCAAATTAAAATATTTTTATATTTTTAAAGTTGCATTTTTGAAAACCTTTAAAACGATTTAATCTATAAGTTTACGATACGATTTGCGAACTTGATAACTTTGTATAGCTTTAAACCCTGCTGAAAACTTTCGTCGTAACATTATCGCAGAGACGCGAAGCAAAAAAGAAAATGTTGGGGATTCAAACTTTTCTAACATCCCGGAAAAAAAGTCTGCTCAAAAACTGATCAATAAATAACGATACTTATTCGTCGAATGCACACAAAGTCATAAAATTTTGATAGGCAATCAACATTTAAGCTAAATACCAATATAGCTTTATACACCATGCAGTTTGCAAAAATGACAACGTCAGCTAATATTCGGGCATACGTAAATGGAACGTAAATCAGTGGTGACTTACACACGGCCGGGTTGTAAATTAGCGGGCACGGTTATTTTATGGTTGGCCGTAAAAAATAACGGAAACACGTGGTGGATATGATCGTTTGATATCCATTTTTACGCGCATCGGCATTACAACGGGTTAAATGAAAATGAAACTGCGCAGAACCAATTTCTACTCTTCGTTACGATACGCTGTTGCATACTAAATGGATAAACTTTTCGATTTCATTCCGTAACATATCTGTTGAGTACATTTCAAATGGAGTTCCTAAAACACATTCCGCAAAGTCGTCGAGTAAATACACCTACACACCTGTAACACTGAAATGACTAGATTCCATAGACAATAGCAAATGTGCCGTTGTGTACACTACAAAGCTCTCTAGCGAGCGGAAATTGTTACTTAACAATTAATTTCTCTTAACACGGACTCAGTTGCTAAAAGCTTCCAACTAGGGACGAACGCTAATTAACGTTTACAACTATTAAAAGTGACGGTTCTTAATTGAAATTTGAATATAATAATAATAACTAATTCATCTACTTATTCTATATGAATTCATCAATTATGGCTCAACTTTGAAGTGCTTAATTAAATTACATAAAAAGAACAAATTTTCATTCAATCAAATATATTTTCACAAAATATCTTCATTTCATAATATTTTTCAAACAATTATTCATTATAACAACGACATGCATAACAACGCAAAGCTTTCGTATACGAAATAAAAAAAGTTTTTCTTTTGCGGTGTCACATTTCCAATTATGGAAATAAAAGCGGAGTCATGTATTTCAAGGAAACCCCCGTGCGAAAGCAACGTGCAGGTTACGACATCGTCCTGTAATTTGTGTACTTACTTCAGAATATTTTCAGTTTTACATTTCTAACTACTCCATGGCGTAACGATTCATAACAAAAGATTCTTTTTAATTAAAAATTATAAAAGTCGATCTTCGTAACTTGATCATTTATATCATTTTCGACCAAATTTATTACAAATTGTTACATTTGAATTATGAATCACTTTGTGCTCGGTAACTTCTCTTATAATACCAAATTGATTGTCGGAGCCATCTCGTGCAATCAATAATACGACGAAGACCCACCATCTGCAACTTTCCGGTCAATTTTCTCACCAGATACCCCAATAAAGCTATAAATCAACGTGTTCTCTCATTTTTACCTCCATTAAAGCCCACGCTGACGGCATAGTACAATTTATAAACCCTCCCCACGAATACATTGATATGGTTTTACGTTTAATGGTTTCCAAATGGAAAGCTGGATTTTATGTTTCTTTTTTTATTGTTACGACAAATCCAACGGAAGATTTAGTTTTATTATAAATTAACATTTGGTAGTACGAACTTTAGATTAAATTTGGTCATTAGATCGCAAATCCAACTAAAGATTTGTGATACTTTTTAAAGGTGTGAAGGCGGTGGATGAGAGTAAGAGAGACGACTAGAACAACTGTTGTATAAGTGAGAACGAGACGAAATGCTTTAATCTCAAGGAACGCGAATGCGACGAAGCGATCATTATAAACCACAAAAGAAAAGATGAGTTCTTTTCTGCTTAGATTTAAAACAAATTCTTTTTCGACGAAGGTATTTTCCTAAAATCTACTGGGAAAAAAAAACTATGGTAGAACGGAAAAAAAAAACAAATGTATTATTTTTTTTGAAAAGGTCTTAGAAAATATAAATGGAACGAATCAAAAATTTTAAAAAATAAAGCAAAAAAAAACGTTTAGCAGCTTATATTAAGGATATATACACCAGCAGGAATTATGCAAGGAGACAATTTAATCCCATTCCTGTTATAATTATCTTAAATAAATAAGTATAAATAAGTTTTAAAAACACACAATCACACTTTACATGAAAATTTAAAAAAATAATTCTAGTAGTTTTTGGTATTGTTAATTCTTGCCACTTATTTCATACGATTAGTAAAAGTCTGTTATTGTCGCCTTTGAATGTTAGCTCCAAATTTATCCGTTTGACCACCGTATTGAGTTCCAAATTGACCTCCGTATTGTCCTCCAAAATTATTTCCACCTAAAATATAAGAAGATCATATCCAATTAATATTATGTTCTGAAGGAAAAGTGAAATCGGATGTATAAATTATTTCTAGGCGAATATTTTTTGTGTCTAGAAGGTCGTTCTACTTCCTAACGTCCACTACGTCTCAGAACCGTATCCTCAAACGTTGACTAATTGCTGGTTATCGGATAATTGACCCTCACTCATTTAACTCAGGTACCTAATATAGTAGATAATTGGATAATTGGAAATCAATTTTAGCGGACGCCCGCCGTCCAGCCTCGCATCTCGGGCGAGATGGTGACACGAAGGTAAGAAAATACATTTTCTACACGATCTACATAAAATATCCGTTATTTTCATGAACACTAAATGAAAATAAATTGGAATGACCTACACTTAACTTTCTCGCATCTTACAATTTAAAATAATAAAGTTAGAAATTAAACTGAAATTTACCAAAAGCTTAAAATAATATTGTATATTAAAATTTTTACCATAAGTAATTACCATAAGCTCCGAATCCGTTTCCAAAATCTTCATGATCAGCCTCTATAGTAGTTACATGATGATAACCTCCTCCAGCTGCAGCTTTCATACAACTCATTTTTAAGTTATGAATAACCGATGGCAAAATAAACGCGCCAACCAAAAGAACTTTCTTAATTACCAAGATTCCAGCGAGTGCCAAAGCCACCAAAACTTTAATTTTAAATACTTTGAATAGCGTGAGAAGCGAAATTAATAGATCGGCTTTTTTCTTTTTTCCTCTCGAATCTACACCTGCACAAATAATGTTAAAAAAATTAATTAACCGTATAACATGGGTGTGATAGTATATTATTATGATATAAATCTTTCTATGGTATTAATCCAATGCTAACGAAAGCGGTGTAAATATACTTGTTTGTATACTTTGTATCTACCGACCTTAATCTTCGAAGCTGATAAAAAAAAATATAAAAAATAACTAGGGTAGCTACAATGAGTTTATATTTTATTTAAATTTTATTTCAATTTTTTAAAACCTTTTATACAATGTTATGACTTTAGTGTAACTATATCTGCAAAGATCTAAAGAGGAGTTCCCCAAGATGATACAAGCTTCACTATTTGAAAAACAACTATGTAAAATGTTCAATCTTAGATTTCCATCGACTCTTTTCAACGATATACAATCATGGGGTTGTAAGAACGCGTTAGAAGAAGTCGTTTCAGTTAAAAGCTCCATTATAAATTATATCCTTGTACATAAAGCAATTTTGATGGGTTTTGTTTAGCAGTATCACTTCAGAACTCCTATGAATAAATTGTTGCTTCAATTAAACGAAAACACTATGATTTTGATTTGAAATGGGTGATGAAAAATTTATGTTTATGACATTCTATTTTTATTTAATTTTGAAGTCATTTTGATGGATTTGTCAAACATTAAATCAGGCTACTATTTAATAAAGAATTTTTATTATTTATAACTAACAATTTGATAACAAGCCTAAAAAACTTTATGAACGAGTTTGGAATTTAATTAAATATGTTTACATCGAAAGAATAGTTTTTGTAATACCTGATTAATTCAGTTTTCGAATTAACGAGTGCCTTTCACCGCTATGTCCAACATACATCAAAGTTTTTAATCATTAAACGTAAAAACAATATATTCAATATATAAAAAATTAAAAAAAAACCTTTTCTGTCCGAATCCAAAGAAATAAATCTTGCTCCTTCGGGAAGCGAAACAAGCAGACTCTGTCTGTTTAAAAAGTGATCAACTTGTCTCCTGACAAAATTAAAAAACTTCCCAACCTCCGAATAACCCGACAAGAATCTCGGTGTTTCCCCTGAGAACAGCGATTCTTCCTCGCCGTCAACTTCATCGTACCTCGTCATTCTCAACGGACCAAAACTGCCCTCGAAAAAACTATTCTCCGTATAATTCGTAATATATTTTAACACTCTGTATTTTGCGCAGGAAATAACATCTTTTTTAGTGGAACATTGCCCTTGCGACTCTTCTAAATATTGATCTTCTGATCGTGCAAATTTTACTGTTACACTTAAAACCACCACCATCGTAAGCACAATTTTCGTCGTTTTCCCGGTCATCTTTATGTAGGATACGGTTTATTGAAATAAATGACCAGCCTTGGTGTAGACCTTGAGAATATATATTGGGGAAAAATAGGTCAGTAGCAGTAAGAGTGGGCTTGGTTTACTCGGTGATATCTTTGGTCCCCCTTCATCTTCTAACATCTTATCTTATTCATGGTGTTAGTAGATATAAAAAAAATAAACCAATTTAATTAATGAATTAGTTATTATCCTTGTTCTCTTAATCCACCTCAACTAAATATGTTATACAACAAATAGGGATAAATAAATACTCGATACGTTTCTACCCCTAAATCCTACTGTTGTACAATAGGATTTAGGGTATTAAACAAGTAAACACACCCAATGATTTATTACTACGAAACTGATTACATTACACAAAAGTTAATAATATGTTATATTACGTGGATTTCCAATTAAATATTTCATCTTTGTCCAAACAATATTTGTAAATATATCTGTGTTATTAGGTATTAGGTCGAGATTTTTTCTGAAAAACTTCATTAGTCCATACTTGCTCACTCGGAAGCGATGAGTGCTTACATTATCGAAGTGCTGTTATTTTTCTTTTCTTCTTAATGTAAGTACATCTTGACATATTAATATTATTTGTTTATGAATTAAATAATTTAATAATCTCCAATTGTATCATTTTTGATTAGTTCGATTTCTAATTAGATTCATTATAACTACTTAGATCATATCACTTCAAACGGAAATCGCGAAATCAATCTCATCTTGATTAATTAATTGATCAAGATATTAATTATGATTCATTTTAATATTCAAGGTATTCCAACGGTTATTAATTATGACATAAAGAAGATCAAGGTATAGCCAATTAGTTCAATAATAGGTTTCAATATCAATCTATACGTGACGTCTTTTATGCTAAGACGAAGCTTTAGAAGACATTCTTATCCATTGAAGCGTCCATGTAATAGAAAACCTGCACGAAACCTGTGCCAAAAAAGCCGATCATAGCTGTCGTGTTGTAACTTAATTAGATTGAAATAACTGGGTCACAATATTCATCCGATAGATGATAAAAAAAAATTTTTATTTAATCCTTTTTTAGTGTTTTAATAATTTGGTTTAATACAATTTTAAAATTGGATTTTCAAAAAAACAAAATACCTACCAGTACAATAATTAAACAAAAATTAAACTGAATAATGGTTTAATTAAAACCGTTTCGTAAAATTTTATCCAAACCAATTTATAAAGCGAAATTACAACATTTCATTAACGATAATCAACCAAACCAGTCGTTTTATTAAATATTTCGAAACCTATTACAATAAAATCTAGAAATAAATAAAACGATTTGAATTGCGTTGTAATCATAAAAGTTTTTTTATGTGTTTGACTTGACTTTACAAATATGTATTTTCTATTTTAAGTGTTTTTAATTCATCCTTAATCAACTCGCAACTTTTTGAAACACTAAAAATTTATTCATATAGGATAACAGTTAGATAGACTAAGAGTAACAGGTTGTCCAAAAACTCTTCAACCCAAAATAACTCTTTTTTTATATAGAGGCGATTAGGAATCTACGAGCAAGCAAAGATTGCGGAATGACAAGATAAGTTGTTTTCCATTTCTGACCTACATCTGTAACTTCATTCATTTCATTCTGCCTAAACTCTTTCTTCTATTTCCAGCCTGTTTCTTCTATTACAGGCTTCTTTTCAGGTTTTGTCCAGTCTCTTTTTAATATTTCTGCTTCGGTTCAGTATCTTTTTGTAGTATCAGTCTCTTTCAAGAATTTGTCCTTATGTTTTGCCGAGAATAATTTTTTTTTTCTTTCATCAAGTCTTTGTTCGGTCGCAGTTATATTTCTTCTTTTACCAGCCTCTACCTTGTTTTTTTCAACCTCTGTCAGTCTCTTTTTTTTCTGCCCTGTCTTTTTCCAGTTCTTTATTATCATTCCAGTGTAGGCTCATTCTGTTCTTCTGCTACTACTCTCTTTTATGTATTTCTGTTCACTGTATAGTGCCTCTCTTGTCTTTATGTGTCTTCCTAGTCTCACTCCTTTTAGCAACCTCTTTCTTCTATTATTACTCCCTTTACAGTTTTTTGCCCATTCTGCCCTTACTCTTTCTTCTGTTTCCAGCTTACTTCTTCTATTACAATCCTCTTTCCAATATCCTTTGTGTCTGCTCAGTTTCCTTTTTATCCTTCTTTCCAGAATTCGTTTTTCGTTTTCCCTCGGATCACTTTTTTTCTTTCAAGCGTTAGTTTAGTCGCAATTTCTTCTTTTACTAGCCTCAATCTTGGCTATTGAGTTTTCAATCTATGTGTGTTTACTCTCTTTTTTTCTGTTCTATCGCTGGAACGTACTCGATTTTTATTCCTATGGTAAAAGATTATCTGATAAAAAATAAACTTCTTAAATCTCTATTGGCACTGGTAACGCTCCTGATCATATAAGTTAGTATTGTTTACAAATGTCAATCATCCCAAAAGGAATGTTGAGTATGGTTAGTTTTCTTTTGTATGCCAATTAAACCGTGAAGGAATGTTATGTAAGGTTAGTTCTGTTTATAAATATTAATTATACCGTGAAGTTTTCTTTAATAATTAGTAATGGCAATTATAGCGTGAAGTTTTCTTTTGTAATGTCAATTAAACCGTGAAGGAATGTTAGGTAAGGTTAGTTCTGTTTACTAATATTAATTATACTGTGAAGTTTTCTGTAGTAATTAGTAATGGCAATTATAGCGTGAAGTTTTCTTTTGTAATGTCAATTAAACCGTGAAGGAATGTTATGTAAGGTTAGTTCTGTTTACAAATATTAATTAAACCGTGAAGTTTTCTTTAATAATTAGTAATGGCAATTATAGCGTGAAGTTTTCTTTTGTAATGTCAATTAAACCGTGAAGGAAGTAAGGTTAGTTCTGTTTACAAATATTAATTATACCGTGAAGTTTTCTTTTGAAATATCAATTATACCGTGAAGACACATGTCTTGGCATAAATGTAGAACCCATGATCAACTTTATGCAGAGAATTTAAAAGCTTTAGAGAAAATGAATGAAACTTTTCACGGATCGAAGAAAAATGTAGAATCTTAAGATACTTCTTCTAATATATTGGTATTGATTTGGATTTCCTTAAAGTGATAGCTGTTAATAAATGCCCAGACGCATAAATGGTGGAAAGAGTTTGTAGCACTTCAGAACATTTCAAAAAAAGAAAAGAAGAAGGCAGATAACTTTAGACGCATTTGTTATCAGCAAAAGACCTAAAATGTTATGTTAATTTTCACTACATAAATGTATGTATATGTATTGCCATATTTAATAAATTCGAATTCAGATTACGGAATGTAATTCAATAACTAAGCTGAATTAAGTCGTTTAGATGCCAGCTTAAACTCAAGTGTCGTTTATTATTACGTTTATTAATCTCTTTCTTCCTTTCTAATTAAATAAAGGTATAACAGAATCACTCTCTATTAAAGGAAAGTCCTCCTACTTTTTTTATTTCTGGATTTATTGTTCCAAACAGAACGCTTTCTGTAGTTTCTGTTTTTGATTTATAAATGAGGAACCGTCCAGTCTCCAGGTTTTCTCGAAAACATTGATATTCGCACGGATTAAACTTTCTATAAAACGATCGAACGACCAACCCGAACACGTTTATTGATTTTCGATCAATCTTCGTCATATAAATACAACTTTTTTCAATCCTCTTTTATTTCATCTTTAAAATTATTATTTTTAAACACAATTCCATTTCAAATTTTATCCATTAAGGTAAATGAAATTGAATTTAGAAAAAAACTGATTTATTTGTTTTTTGAAGTTAGATTTCATATTTAAATATTATTAACGTAATAAATTAAGCATATAATTGGATCACGTACTGAATTAATTTCCATATCATTTACTTTATCGTTATCATAACCATGAATGTCCAACATTTTTTTTTTTTTGATTTATTACAAATTAAATCTTAATAAAAACGATTTTGACTTGTTTTAAGTTATATTTAACACTATCGTTAAGAAAGTAACGGAAACCTTCTTTCTACTTCTTTATTTAAGTAAAATAGTAAACTTTTTGGCTTTCCTTTGCTAGTAAAGGCGGTGTAAACCATCAATTGCAACTGTGCGTAATTAATCTAAAAGAAAAATGGTTAGAAAGTGGATTTTCTAAATTAATTTTTTTAATACGATTATTTAGAACATACTTCACAATTTCATTTAGTTTTATTACCAAAACTGATGATTATGTGTTTAAGATACCATCATTATCATATCAAAACCTTTATTTGTATTTATTGTGACTCATAGTGTTTCATTATTTTCTTTAAAACTATATTTAAGTTGTTATTAATATTTTATTCCACAAGAATATGTTATTATCCTGTTTTTATTTTAATTTTTTGTTTTTTTTTGTAAGCTTGGCAACTCTAATATCTAATAATTAGCGTTTCCAAGCTTTAAAACGCAACAATAACTTTCGCGCATATTTTCTAACGATTCATGATTTATGAAACTTTGAAGAAAACTAAAACTAAAACATCGAATTCTCGTTTTAATGTGTGTCAAATGTCTTTTTAGACTGTTTATAAATCAATACATACGGTTTCTTTTCAAATAAGTTTGTAATTAGTATAACCCAGATCTTAGTTTTCAATTAAAGGAAATCGAAAGGCGCTAGTTTACATGTTTATATGGTTCTCTGCACTCCACAAAACCACATATAAACCACATAAGAATTGCTTACGTATAAAATTTTATTGATTAATTAGAAATGGAATCAATTTAGATTTTTTTTTAATTAAATAGGGTAATAAATTTTTATTTTTTAGGGTTATCCGCCTGAAGTAAGTAACCAACTTCACAGGGTAATGTCAAATTTGACAGTGACTGTCACAACAACATGGCGTACTGTTGATATCGCGCAACTTGATCTCGTCCGTTTGCATTTGACCGAAACATTGCAAAGTGAAATCGTTAAATTTCCCATAAAACGATGAGTAATCACCACAATAACGGAGGTCGAACGGCTGAAACGGAACAAATGGCACCGACGCAGTGTTTGAAAGTGTTTATACAACGGGATTACACGGACGGAACAGTCGTCAAATTTAATACAAGGTTTCCACAAGAATTAGAGGGTCGGGTATGTTTAATATACATTTAATTAAACTCCACTGTTAACCGTTACAATTTTAGATAGAAAGACAAGCGTTCGAACAGACCATAACCAAGTTAAATGAGTATTTTGCCGAAGCAGAAAAGGCATCTTGTGCTGCTTATTGCGAAGGATGTTTAGCATGTCTTACCGCTTATTTAATTTATGTTTGTAAGGAGACTCATTATGAGAAAGTAAGTTTTTAGAAAGTTTGGAAATTGGAGTTAATTTTTTGTTTGGTTTTAGTGTCTTAGGAAAGTATCTAAATATGTAGCAGAACAAAACGAAAGGGTTTATCAACCGAGAGGGTTAAATGTGACTGATCCTAGTTTGAGGGGTTTACGTGTGATCGAAATCAGCTGTCTGGACAGGCCTCCAAACGCATGACTTGCGTTGTCCTACTCCACGCAGGAGTTCTTTATGTAAATACTACTTTTATTTTATACTAGATACAGACTTTTTATATTATAATCTTATTTTATACTTGTATAGGATTTTATTAAGAAAAGAAATGTGTCTTTCCTATTCATCTATTTATACAAACACTTTTGTTTTATTTTATTTTATTTTTTCATTTTATTAACAACTAAAGATTTCATCTTTTTAAAGAAAACGAAAAATATAAAAAAAAGAAATATTTTTTGTTACAAATATACAAGACTATAATATACTTGAGTATATTTATTCCTAAATTATATACAATATATTGGTAAAGAGATGTAAAGTAATGTGTGATTTTACAATGATTATTTTTATCAATAAAACTGAATTACCGAAAAGATCATAGTCTATTTTTGATTGGTGTTAAAACATTTATCTTACAGATAAGGAAATTATTACACTGTTTATTACCTTTATATTTTTTATATTCTTTTTGTAACAATTAACACTATAATAACTTGAAAACGAAATCCTTTAGAGTTCCTCGTTTTTTTGTTTATATTTTTCCAGAAAAGAAAACCCATCTGGACTGATACTCATCCGTAGCTTTTCCAATTGCCCTGCTGTTGAAAAATTCGTAGGCCCTGCCCATTTCGAACCCGACTATTACAAATGACTGGTAGCCAAAATGCATTTAGGCTCTTGAAATGTTCAGGAGTTTACCATTGAGATCATAAAAGATATATCTATGTTGTTTTGCCCCCAACATTTTTTTCTAAATGTGATACGAAAAAAATAATTGTTTTCATTTTTAATTGTATGTAGATGGTAAGAAAAAAAATATTTTTTCTGTTCTGTTTTTTGTAGAGGTAGTTGTAAATTGTAGATTAATAATGTTTATAAAAAGTGATGGGAATTATCTAAAAATAAAAAATAGAATATAAAATATTCTTGGATAGTTCCTATTCACTATTATAAATACATTGTATCATAACAGGGGAGTCATTAATGATCTTGAGTTTAGCATGGTAAATGTTATATCCTGTTAAAGTTTGACAAAGACTAATAAATATGTGACAAAAACTAAACCATTTTCAATCATATAAAAGAAATTATGTATATTAAAAAGTCCTGTATTAATTATCTAATACCTTAACAAAGTAAAAGATTTGAAATAATTGCAATATCAAATTTCATAGTGGTAGTAAATGAAGTATGTTGACACCAAATGTTAAAAGGCACCCCTTAAGTATGTTACTGTAATAGTATTCTCTTCACCCAAACCACCATTTATTATTGTCTCAAGAATCCAGGAAAATGTCAAGTTCTTGATGAATCTTCTTATTTGTAAGACTTTGTAGATGTGTAATATTTGGCACCCTTATAAATGAATTAAAAATGCTACTAGAAAACAAGCACTAAAAATAATTAATACTCAATAATCTAAATAATCATTATTATTATAATCACAATTTTTGATTTACAGATAGAAATTTTTCATCGTCATAAAATATGGAGTTGTGAAACATTCTACAACTTCCCTTGGTTTAATAAACTATAGTGGAGTTACACAGCATGGTCATAAAGTATCTATTAATCAGATTGTGTGAAAAGCTTCAATATGAATAATTGGAGCTATAATGTTTACTAAGTTAGGTGACTTCAATATGAATATGGAAAGAAACAAAACGCAATTACCTTCAGAATGCAACCACATGTTTTGATTATCTAGAAAATATATTGCTAATATCAATTTCAAGGTGGAGATTTAAACAAATAAGGAAATTAACATCGTACAAAAAGGTGATTATTGCTATTAATTGACTTCTTTTTACATTCCCAGAGTTAAATTAGAAAGATATATATCTTTTATGATTCACTTGATAATTTTATATAATTTGTGAAACATACCAAGATTACTTCTACTTGATAACCATTACTTTAATTTCTTTATTGATGGCTTGAATTGACTAAAAACAAATGAGATGGTTGTTCCGCAAATAAATTCAAAAAAAGATCTCTGATAAACACAGATTGTGTCTGCATTATCCTTAGGAAATATTTTTGTCGCTATTAATGTAACTATCTATCAAGAATATCTGTAGTATTGTCAGTATTTTGATAAATTTTTAGCTGTATAAATGATTGTACAATTAATTTTTATATTAAAGTTTTGTAAGGTTTATAAAAAGAGTTGGTAATTAAGTTAAGATTGTTTCAAGAACATTGCGATTTAATAATAATTTGCAATATATTATTGGTAACAGCAAATGAAGGGTTGAAAAAACTAAAAAAGAATTTAAATACCTCCCTCGTTACTAATTAAATAATCATGAAATAAATATAGCAAATACAAGCTGTAAATATTACTAACAAAAAAGTCTATGTGCGTACATTACACAGCTTAAAGGTGCCAAGTTCCACTTAAAAAATGGATTGTGTGTGTTCAGTTTATACCTCTTTTTGAGCCTTTTACTTACATAACGCGTTCAAATGTTGCGGATTCTGCAATTTTTGGGACGGTATTGGAAGCTTTACTCTTTTGATGTAGAAAAAAAATTCATCTACAAATATTGTGGAGCAAATGAATTTATTTTCCAGCAACAATGGGTAATTTTCAATGTTTTTTCAGCTTATAGTCTCATACCATCTCTCATGTTCGGCTCATCTCCATTTTAGCTTTGAGATGAGCACAATGATGTCCTCTATTCCCATTCTTCATTATAGATCCCATCTCTCATGGTCAACCCCAACATGGACCTCTCCATTCTGCGTTCCATTACTTACAGTTTTTTAACAGATGTTTGTAAGTGTTAATGTTTTAGTATGTTATCTTCGGTTGTTGTTAAGAGCAAATTTGACAGCATGAACTTAATAATTGTTTTATTTGAGTTCAACTGATTACATTTCTACGAATTATATATTTTTTTATTCTTAGACATTCTCACAATGTCTTTTTCGATTGTTTCTTCTTTTCCTTGCTACATTAATTATAATGAAGTAAAGTATATTTTTTCAAATTAATTTCCATGCTAAAATCAAAATAATATAATAACTCCCCCAATATTTTTTGTGCCAAAGTTTTAATTGATGAATTAAATTATATCTGTTTACCATAAAAAAGGTATAAATAAATAATTAAATATGAAGAATATTTTTTTTTGTATGGTGTATTTATTACAACTTATAATAAATAAATAACTTATAAACTATTTTAACAACAAAATTTTCTTTATTTATTTTTTTATTATTTAACTTTACTTTTTTATTTATATTTACAATCCTCCGTTCCTTTTTGTTGTTATTTTATTCATTAATAAATTTAAAATCTATTCAAATAATTATCTCAAAACTTTGTCTTTTTTATTTACGTTTAAGCATCACTAGGTTCCTTTTTTTAATTATAATTATTATTTCTCTTATTATTAATTATTATTATTACGTCAGTTGCCAAGGTCCGCTCTTTTTATATCAAAAAAATGTACCCTTATTATTACTGTTTGAATTTTCTTTTCTATCTTATCTAAATTTATTTATTTTTTTAATAGTCAAAAACTTTTGCGTACTGGTTTAAGATTGTCCAGTTTCCTTTTTTAGTTTCTCTTCGTTAAAACCGACGAGGTACTTCACAGAAGGGTTGTGTAGCGTCACAAAAAGCAGCAAAACTTCTGCCTTCGCTTTAGCTTATGACTCAATGGCGGCAAGTTTTGATTTGACGTCGAAGTCTTTAATGTCTGTACAGTTAATTCTATATCTTTTGTTTCCTCGGGATCTAAAGAAAAATAATTAAAAAATGTAACATTAAAAGTAGGGAATTTACCTGTGAAAGCTTCTACTGGTTTATCTATTGTGTCGTGATCGATCCACGTTAAACCCATTTCGACTTTTTCTGCTAAATCCTGCCAGTGTTGGCGATTTTCCATTGTGCCTGCATAAAGGGGACGTACCCAAGGAAAAGTTTCTGATAAAACTCGGTAAAGTGGCAAACAAATAACGTCTATAAACCCAACTTGCATTTGTGGTAACTCATCTTTACGTTCTCGATCCATCATCGCCTAAAATTGAATTAAATTTGATTTGAGTCGAAATTGGTATTCAGGTTTTCTTACAACGGGTTGTTCTTTTAATTGAAGCTTTTCTAAATCCCCCTGATCAAAAAATTCATCAGCAACCATTTTAGCTACGCGGTGTTGAACGTCCCAAGGTTTTGCGATGGCACTAACATCGCATGCAGTCATCATCATACCCGATAACACTAAAAAAATTGTAAAGAGAATATTTTTTTAAAGGAATTTAATTTCTTACATTCTTTCTTCTCATCACTTTGCCAATCGAATTCGCCGTTTTCAATTAATTCTAAAAATTTATTTCTTTTTTTAAAGTACATCGCTAAATCCGTTGATAAAATAGCACTTTCGACGATTTTCATGATTTTTCGATAATCATCCGGTGATAAAGCCTAAAAATTACAAAATAACAAGATAAGTTTAATATCGTATATAAAAAAATAATAATGTTAACAACAAAGATATACTTTTACTTTAATCCATTAACTAATTGCTGGTTTTATTTTCGCGATTTTTTTATCTTGTTTGCTCACCCATCAGCGAAAATAAAAGCACCAAATCACCCAAAAAATACAGACCCACCTACTTGGAAAATGTTATTGCTGTCTGTGTTTAATATCATAACGCACTGATCGAAATGATGATGTTCCATCGTGCTGGTTGAATATAAAATAGCCAAAGGGGAATCGGTTTTCATCTGAAAAGCGTTATTCGTCCCTCTATGATCTAAATCATGGCACAAACAAGCCACCAAAAGTCCGAAAATTTCTAAATCGTTCATAAATCGGTCCATTTTCCCAGTTTTAAACATTGCAAACATCGTTTGAGCCACATTTAAAGCGTGTCTCCAATTATGGTACTTTACCGGTCTATAATTCTTTTTTACACTTAGTATCCATCTACAGAGTACCTAAAGGAAAAAAGAAAAACAATTAATTGGAGATCGATTCAATGGCTATTTATGGAAAAGTCATTTGTTTGAGAATTAATTTGTAATTAAGTCGAATTGAAATTAATGGTTTTTGATAAACTCGGGCGATAATGCCGAAAGAAATTACTCCCCCAACAATTTTAAATCAATTTTAAAATTGAAATATTTATTTTTACTAAAAATGACTATTTCACCTCTTCGTTTACGTTCTTCAATAACGGAACTCATTTTCCAAAGTGAAATTTTACGATCAGCATCCCCCTCATTTCCTTCGCGATCGTAAAAACGAGGGAGCGGCACTCACCTCGTAAGGTATGTGATATTCCTGCACCAGGTTCAGCTCGAGGAACATCCGTAACGTGGCCCGACACGTGTCGTCGTCGGTAAGGTCGAAATCGATAAAAGAAAAACTGTACAAATTGAAAGTTTCTGCGGACGGTATATCATCTTTAGATAATTTTAATGAATCCTCGCGGTTGGCTGTCGCATGATAAGAAAGACACTCCAAAGCCACTTTTTGTTTTGCCATTAATTTACACGCATTTTCGTACATTTGTGTGTTATGGATACCGAGTCCACAAAAAATTGCGAACGCCTCAAACAACGAAACATCACAATCGGTAAACGAAGTCCCATTCGTTTTATTTATTAACTGCGCGACACCAATTAAAGTTTTTTGGCCGTTAATAATCGGCATGCAAAGAATGGTTCTGGCACTTTCAGCGTCTCCTTCACTGTGTTGTTCATTTAACCACGCTCGAACATCACCGATGTTGAGGATTTGCCCGGTTGCTGCTGCGTACCCAGCTATTTGGGCGAGTGTAGAAGTTTTTAAATCGAATTGAGAAGGACGTGATACTAATGTTTGAGTGCCCGGTGCTCTAAGTTCAAAAACTGTCGTAAAAGTGCTGGGTTTTTTGATTCCGCTCTCAATCATATCTTCCGCGGTTACCGTATCACTTTGAAGGCGACTTAAAGGACCATGACGTTCAATTATTTTACCAGGACGCTCTAATATTCGCTCTAAATGACTCTGAAATCATAAAAAAATATTTATGCAGGATGAATAGTTTCGAAGAAGAGATTAATTAGATTATGGAGTCAGTAGTTGTAAAGACAGGAAGCAACCAACGTTAAATCGTACACCTATCCAAATGTGCCACAAAGCAATTATTTGCGCACCGAAAACGGGGATTGATCACAGCGGATCCTATTGTTCTCCCAAATAGACATTTACTCCGTCCGTGCCATACATTCTGAGCGTACAAATTAATTATTGGAACAACTCCATTTCGAAAAGCAATTTACTGTGACCTCCACAATTGAATTACAGGTTTACCTCGATTATATTTTGATACTTATAATATTTTTATTATATGATAAAAAACTTACAGCTTCACAGCAATCTAAATCCAAAAGATACACTGCACATCGTTCGCATTTTAAGAGAATCTGAGCTTCACGCATAATTTTGGTAACGAGACATTCCAAATTGTTTTGTTCTTCAAAGATACTTCGCGCTAAATTTAAAAGAATCTATAACAGAATAACTAAGTAACATAAAAATATTAATGAAGTAAAACTTACTTGATTTCTTCTATATTCTAAAACGCTAACTTCAAAAAGTTGGGCATTTTGAATACCAATTCCGCAAAACGTAAGATACCTTTGAAACACCTCCACATCATGCTGGGTAAACTCTAACGTATCATCAACTTTATTGATAATTTGGGCAACACCAATCACTTCACCCTCATAGTTGCAAATGGGCATACATAATATTAAATTGGTCTTATAACCAGTCTTGTTGTCGATCTCGCTGTTGAATCTTGGATCCTAAACAAAATAAATAAAGTGAAACAAATTGAGTTATAATTAATTAAAAAATCGTTATCGATAGAGAATTTTCCAATTAGTGAAGATATAAATTCATTTGGACGGCTTCATCGCACGTTATTCGCGTTATGCCCTTATAACATGAATATAAGGACATAAGGTGGTATGAGAGGTCGATCGACTTGCAAATGAGGTAGTTAAATCGACGGTTAGAGCGGAAAATTCATATTATAACGTATAAACCCAATTCCCTACGTAATTTCCTAAGTTATTTCGTACATAAAATCTAACGTTATTTATAAAATCACCTATTCAACTAAGAAATTATAATCTTCACATTGCTTTATCCATAAAAGCTAAATCTTACTTTAATAACTGTCCGCGCATCAATTTATCGAAGTGTTGATTGACCATATTTGATTATCGTAATCATAATAGACGTTATGATGACTGATTGCATAAATAGAAACTTGAAATAACTCAATTAATAGTTCGCTCAATCAATGAGCGTACATAACGTTCATCATAGATGGTTTGTTTAAGTCTGAACTTATATGGATATCTATATTAATTATTATCTTAATTATTTATTACTTCTATATGATAAATAAATCAGGTAGCAAAAATATGTCAAAATGATTTTAATCGACTTGAAACAAAATAATAAAAAAGCCTTTCGAAACTTAGATGAAAACGAAGAAAATGAAAAAAGGAGTTGATGTGAATGATTAAGTTACTAAATATGTTTCAAAGTGATTCAAGAATATCCAACAATAGTAAAGTGTGATTAATTGGTGTGAGTCAAAATGGTTCTAAGTGACTTAAAACATCTCAATAAACATTAGGATATTTTCCAAAGACAAAATAAGTTAATAAAATGAAAAGGAATTTTCTGTAAAAGTGTCAACAGTTTGAGAATATGGAATTAAGTAATAAGTGTGAATCAGAATGGTTCTAATCATTAAATGTAGTTAAAAGAGATGTTCACCAGGAACTTCAAAACTACGAAAAAATTGTGATTGGCTACTAAGGCATCTATACACCTTAGTTTTAGATGCTGCATACAACACATTTAACTTTGTAATATCCCTATGAACTTGCAACGTAACCTGATAATTTTCTGTAATCCATGTTCAAATCTTGTAACCACTTAATTGACTCGTAATTCTTCGTCTTCTATCGTTGTCTAATTTACTCCACCGTTTCATCAGAAACTTGTGGTTTCCGGTACTTTTACGTACTATATCATACAAAGTTTTTTGTTGCACAGTTGATATTGTGAATACCTGAAGGTGTAAGAGGCAACATCTAATGAAATAAAAACGATGGTATAAAATTTAGAAATTGTTGTCAGGTAAAAATTAAATCGAAAAATCTTACTGCAACTATTAATGTTTATTTGGCACTGTACTCAGCACAGATATTGCTACATTACTGCTAATTGTGAGACCATCAAAGGAAACATATCATCGGTTAGCAATCCACAAAGTTTATCAATATGCTTTTAATTTACAGGAATATCAACACACATCGAGAATGTAAACGTGATTAATAGTTATGTAAACCCTATCGTCAAAAGCAGTCCAATTAACTCTTAGTTCCAATTCACAAACGTAAAACCTGATAAACCTTTTCATAAGATCTCTCAAGCGTTAAAGCACTGCCTCTTGTAAAGTTTATTGCGTTGATATTGCTTTACGGAATGGCGACATCAATACTTTCAAAAGTAATATCAAATTTACACATGATGGCCTCGATATTGCTTCAAAAAGCCGTAAATATTTGGTGTCTTTTTATTACATTTCTAGTATTACATTGCAAATAACAACTCGTTAAAATAATCAAACAGGGTTTGTTCCCATTGATTAAATAGCAGCAGCAGTTGGAGTGTTAAAACAAACTTTGGATGACGAACTGTTACAAATTCTGCCATACATTTGAAAACTGTACAGCTAAAAAGGAAGCCTTGATAACATTAAATGTTTACAGCTGAAATAATTTCAATAAAAATTAAATAAATTTATTAATAATAATTTATCAATAAAACATTTTTAAAAATGAATTTCTTGTTTGTATAAAGTAATTAAGGTGTTAATCCAAAGTAACTCATCTAGAAATTAATTCCCGATGAAACCGTAAATACAACATTATTAAATACTCTTTATTCGAAAGACATAGCGTGATTCAATAAAATTATCCACAAAAGGCGCTAAATACGCCAATAAAATGCTATTTAATTATCGTCCCGTTTTGCATAACGACCGGCCGTCATGCAACAGAACAATACGGTACCAACGACGGTCTCATTTGACGTCAGAGAAGTGTGGTGGTTATTAATATAACGTTGGAGGTTTATATTTGGAGGCTTTTGATGATGAAGATGGTTTTCATGAGGGTATTACGCTAATATCCATTACACATATAGCTTTAAAAGTAGTTTTATGATTAAAAAAAAGAAAAATTATCATTCATATTGTTAAAAGTTTCAAATCTAGTTAAATAGATATATGCTATTTTTACGTAAAGTTTTATAATGGAGAAACTTTCGCAATATTCTAATCCCCTTAAAACAAAGTTTTTAAAACTCCAACTTATCAAAATTTTCCTTCCATCATCGAGTCTATAAATTTAAAAGTTAAATCCATATCTTTCACACTTACATTATAAGCATCCTTGATATTAATCAAAGTTTTGTACTGTGCAACGGTCCCAGCTATACCAACCCCAAAAGGTATTTTGATATCTTCAGCTCTGGCTTGTTTGACAGCTTCCTCCAGCAACGAATCGTGCCGGACATCGAACAACTTTGCCACTAAGTACCTGTCATTCGGTGGTCCTCTCGCCAAGAACAGCGATCCCCTGTCCGCGTGAGTAAGTAAGCTAACGTTCTTGAGAATCTTGTGACACAACACGTCAATGTCTAATTCGTTGGCTACATCCCTTATCAGTTCCATAAACAATTCCGACTCGTCCATACTCTCCAAATCTTTCGTTTGGCGCGAGCCAGAATTTTGTTGGTCATTCTTCGCCGGAGATGTGGCCAACCATAGTTGAAATAAATCCGAGGTTATAGAAGTTCTCTTCGCGAGAGTCGTGGGAGGAAGAATCGCCTTTTGAATTCGTTGTCTTAATTCCGGCGTTGAGTGGTCACGTAGCCAAATCTCCAAATCGTCCGCGTGCACTTCCAGCCATTCTCCGACCGACTCCAGACTGTTCTCCTCGGCTGCAGGACACTGTGACATGTCCCCGCATGTCACCAGCGAAGCCAGACAAGCTTAGGACGAAGGGCACTACAGGACTGGTTCATCACTACTACTGTAGCACATGTGGGGAGACAGTTGAGGAGGTCCTGGGACGAGGTGCGTCGGCTTATTGATTGGGGATGCGCGCGAACTCCATAACTCCTTATGGATAGAGGTGGTCGAGAGAACTGACGCTTGCGGCCGCTTGTTTTCCATACGGTAGAATTTCGAATTAGTATGCCACGCTCGAACTCACCAATGATAATTAGACCGTACGTATGGAGGTGTGGTTCCCCTATTGCAATACTTATTGATGACATCATAGTAGAGTATTAACACTTTTTAAGTTCACGTTTATTGTTTATGTGAGGTGATTCAAAATGTGTCTTAATCTTTATTTATATTTCTGATTACCAAATCTTAGAAAATCCTAAATTTATTCTAATTTCATATAAAACATTTTCTAATTCATAATTAAATGTAACCCTTGCATAAATGCGTTAATGCATTGTGAACACATATTTGTCAAGTAAATACGAGCTTGTGTATATGAACCATTCATCCGGACATTAAATTGACAAAAGCTTTTATTACGTTGGAACAATCGCGTGAAAGTAAACTACACGATGCAAGTTGCTTTCCCTCTCCTTTACCTTTGTTTACGTGCTCGCAATTCTTGTTGACTTTGTGAATATTACATGTTACTTTGATAATTAGATTACAAAATTAGATATTTTTTTATTTTCTCATATAAAGAGACTTTCTGTTTTATTATGGAGTTCAAATTTGACTTTTGGGATTTAGACATATGTATTAAATAATTTGTAAATTTAACAGTTTTTTACATTTTGGATGGGAAGTAATTTTTGCTACAGTTTTCTAGCAGTATTTCTCCATCTTTTGGATTTAAACTAAGTGTGTACTACGTATCAAACGTAGATAATCGACTGGAGACTAGATAGTACTTGCAGAAAACTAGGAACTGCCGATAGAAGACTAGATACCAGTGCAGAGTACTGCTTACTCCTTCCAGACGATTCGGCATTGCTGAAAGGAAATTTGATACTGCGTGCAGGAAACTACACTATTGACATAAGACTATATACTGGTAATAGAACACTACACACTGCTGGTAAAAACTAGATACTGTTAATGCAAGAAGAGTTACTGCTAATAGAGGATTAGATACTAATTGAAAAGGACTAGGTACTGCTGGCAGAAGACTAAATACTGTTTGCAGAAGATTAGATACGGTTTACAGTAGACTAAATACTTTTGGAAGAGAACTGGATATTAGTAATGGATTTTAATCTTTGACATACTAAATAATTTAATCGAAACGTGTACAATACGATTAAATTATTCTAATCACTTCCTAACCTAAATAAAAACAAAATCGCCTAAAAATATTAAACAATGATTCATTTTAACAGAAACTCATGTTGGTTTTGTAAATACCGGTTTATTGACAAACACTGTTGCTACGCTGAAGTGTTTTTGTTTTACTTCCTTCTGTATACAAACCTCGTTATTGTTGATTTTATAATGTGAACATACAACTTTTAGACAAATTAGTAAAGGGCTATACGAAGCTTTTCCGAAACAAAACCGAGTTTCTAATTAACTCCCATCGAGGCAATCACAACTTAACTTAACAAGCGGCGGGTTCTATTCAGTTCCGAACTCGACTCGAATTTAAGTTACAGCTTTAAAGCAGCTTTGTATACAAACCAAAATAAGATTTACAACTAGTATTTAGGTAATTTTATGAAAAGCGATTTATTAAATTCGAAAATACAGTTTGCGGTTAATTCTAAATTAATTAAGTAAATTTGATATTTATTATTTTTAAGAATCAAGGTCGTGTTATTCTACAATTTCTTATTACTCCTTGCGTATGTGTGTAATAAAACTCACAAACGGCTGCGTTATTCTCATATGTAATCTCTGGGACCTTAAATTCAGGATTTACGGCCACTTTCAACGTATATTGCCCAGGTTCTAACTCGCTTATATCCACCCATTGGCAATCAACTGTATACTTATAAATGTCAGTACAATTTACAGAGATACCTTGTTCCCCATAATTCGCACAAGCGTATTTAGGTGTAACTCCCGGTAAACATTTGTTATCCTCTAAACAAAACGACGCTTTATGGCCCTCAGCGACTCTTCGTCCTTCAGAGTTATAGATATCGAATGTGGCAAATACTTCCATGCTATGATAATGCCTAAAAATAAATAAAAATTAATTATTACTGCTTTTTTAGTTCTCAAGTGCATTTCGCTTTTAGATTAATGGTTCGTGCCTATTTCTAATTAGAATTTAAAACGGAAAACGCGATGTCCATTGACTCTATCGAGCTACTAGGTAATACTTTAACTTTTTTATGACTTTGCATTTGAACTTTATTGGCCTATTTACGGCAATTGTGCTCGAACCCATTAAAATGTTTAGTTTACTATGACATCTGATGGCCATAAAAGGGCTCATTCGTTTAACTTACATATGGCACATGTGCCATTCCCACAAATGCTTTGGAATAAACGGTCTGAAATCCGCAGTACCAATATTTATGATGCTAGCGGTAAATCTCAATAATCTTCTCGTTTCTAAATGCCAATTAGGATTTTCTTTTTGAATAACGTATGCTTGAGATGCTAAACAATTTTCTTCCATCGCACATTGTAGGTAAAACATTTGTTTATCTTCTAAATGAGCCGTTCTAATTAATTCTGTGTGGTCTATAACTAAATCTGCCATCGATTCTGTACATTGAACGGTAGCAACATCTAAACTGTTACATTCCCCCGTTTTTAAATGTTCATATTTGCATTCGCTTAAAGTGTTTTCGTTTCCTATACATTTTATTCCGTAAAAAGTTGTATTTGTGATGTCGCCACCGAAATAAGTTGTTTGCATAGCATCGTTTGCGTAACCTAACGAGAGGGTTTTACAAACTATCGTCGCTTCGAGGAGAGACCATCCATCACCGCAAATTGTTGACCAACCCATTTTCGATTTAAGCTCTACTCTTCCTTCAGTTTCGATACGACCACCTTGAAGTCTAACAGATAGTTTCGATGGCATTTTTGAACTGTTAAATAAATATTAATTAATTGAATTAGTTAATTGGTGATTATTTTTTAAATTACAATATTTTTTCTTCCAGTTTTTTTGATTTAACTTCGGGATCGGGTGATGTACAAATAACTCCTGCAGCTTCCGTGTAATCACAATCGTTATTTCCCCAACCATCAAATCGACATTTCGTGATTTCGTCTTCAGTGCCATCACAATAAATATTATCCATCCAATATCTTCCTAAAATTATATTTTTTTAGTAACTGTGTCATGTTGGAAATTGTTTTTACTTCTTGCTGGACCAAAATGCGAGCTATAAGTTGGTTTTCCAGTTCCATTTTCATAACCTAACTGTTTACAAACAACGTTTGCTTCAGCCGAATCCCATTCATCGTCACAAATCGACCCCCATTGCCCATTGTGTAGAACCTCCACGTTTCCTGAAACACGTAAAAAGTTGTCGTAGATCTGCATCTAAATGCACGGTGAACGAAAGGGCGTCCCCATTCAATTTTTACAGGATCTAGGTTAATAGGCACTACGAGCTTTCCGTGTTAAAACCTCGGAAAAATATTACTGGGAAATTCAAAAGAAGTAGGATATTGAATGTTAAATTCTCGCTCGAGTTTATAAGGATGTTTATAAAAGGGAAACATTTTTTTTTATTACCTTCGTATTCATCTCGACCTCCAACTAATTTAATCCCACCTTCCTCTTTTTTAAGCCTCTTAAGATGTTTTTTTACTAAATTTGCCTTTTTTTGTTTAATATCTTCGTCGCAATTAAAATCGTGAATCAAAATAATTAATAAAATTAACCAAAAACTCCACTTAATATTTTCATTCATTTTGTTTGATTAAAATAAAGATACTATATTTAAGTAATTCTGCAGCAATAAGATACTAAATAAGACTGACCCGATGCGACCGCTTACGCATTTTTATCATATTTTCATAATCTAATAATTGCGCGAACAGAGAATTTTGTCGCAATGCAAACCGAATACGAGCATATTGATACGAGTTGATCCTTATTTTTGGTTTGGGAGTTCGTTAATTTCCTCACGTACTTATTTAAACTTTTTTAAGATCATTTCATAACGCGTTCCGAAATTCTATTTAAAAACTGGGACAAGTTTTTATTTATGTAAACGATATGGATAAACATTTTAAATGAAAACAAATTATAAGCTTTCAAATTTATTTTCTTTTTTTCATTATCTTGTACATTGATGTGAAACACAAAAATAAATTTTTTATAATAAATTTGTTTCAATTCTGATCAAATTTAAATAACTAACAAAACTACCTGTAGGAATTAGTTTACATTTTACTTTTATTGTCGAGTTTTTTAGGCAACTTTAATTAACACCACAATCTACAATCGATTTAAACTCGAACTCTTCAAGATTCACAAATCCTTTTTTAGCACAACGCTTCGTTTTACAATTTCTTTTACACATTAACAATACGAAGAATTGATTCAAAATAAAACAATACGATTTTCGTTTTTATATTTTGTACTATAAGTACAGAGGAACTGACAAATAAAACAAAGTTACGTAATATGATACAGAAATATTTCACGTATTTTTAAAGGGAAATATAAAATGTTTGTCTTAAAAGTTTAAAACTAGTGGTTACTTGAAACTAAATTCTTTGCGGAAATGGGCAGTATCTTGTTGGGTTATGAGTCAAGATCAATATTGAAACTTGATCAATATTATTCAGATAATGTTAGTATAAAATATAAGATTAAGATAAAAACTGGATGTTATTAAATATTTGAATTTAGCTTATTTTTTGTTTGTTGAAGTTTATTTGTTGGGGCAAATTTTTATTGAAATTTATATAATTAGTAGATTTTACATTAATCAAATTAAGACAAATTTAAAAAAATATATGTTGGTAAACATTGATATACAAAGTTCCATCTTCAGCTTGGGTTGGATTCCCGGACCTCTACCCTGTGCGGTCTTATATCAGTTGTTAAATGTATTCACAAATGAGCGATTCTGCTTCAGTAGCTTATTCGTGGGCTAATATGAGATTGCATTATTGAAGAGATGATAGAATCATAACTTACATTGCTTCGAGCGAACCTCAACCCGATCCTGTTTTTCAAACTTCGTCAAAAGCAAAGATGTTATAGATGTAGGTAATAGAGATTGAGATGTGGAAATGAACGAAGGAGTATGTTATGCAGATAGATTTGAAACACGGTATGTATAGAAAGAGCAAAGAAAGTTGTTTGAACACTTTTTTAGGAAAAGACTTTAAAAGGTAGTATAGAGTACAAAAAGGAATAAGTAATAACAGGAAGTCTGGTCTGACTGTGAAAATGACAGAAGCGTAATCATTTTAAACTGAAAAATGCATAAAGTCGCAGATGAAGGTCATCAAGCTTCATTGTTAGAATCACCATTATGGAATGTACTATGACAAGATTTTAGAGTAGACATACAGAGTTAAGTAAACTTCATAGCTTTAGTGGTAAAGCAGAAATCCTTGGAAATTAGAGAAAACGGCGTATGTTGGCCGATAACGGCTAAATCAGAGGAAATTTATATAAGTGTGGTACTCTATACAACAGAGATGGATCTACTTCGTGGAGAAACCCAATTCAAAAATGGGGCTAAAGTATTAAATGACTGAAAATCTATAGTGTACATAAAATTAAGTACCTACATAAGGATAAAGCATATTGAGGTTCTAACGTTCTCATGAGGGCAATGCCAAAGAGGGGTACGATAGTAAGAAAACGAATAATGGTCACCAGCTTGTCAGATTGTTATACCAGATTGTTGGCGGTAAGACCGGCTATGCTGTATGGGGCAGTATACTGCGCAGACACAAACAGATGTTGTAGCAAAGCGCTCTATCTAAATAACTTATCTGAACTCAAAACCCAGGACAGATTGCCGTAGTGGAGAAATATTTTGAGATCCAAATCCACATAAAGTGGGAATGAGCAAAGAACAAGATGAAGAAGTAATAAACAATTAGATTCAAAAATCAAACACTCACATCAAATCAGAAACACTTGCAAGAATTGGAAAAGAGTAACAGATTGGTTTACTTATAGAAAAAATGGGTAGTAAATATAGTAATGCACCGCAAGGTGCGTTAATAAGTATGTTGGTACAACATGGTATGAACCAAGGAACTACGCCTGGAATATGTTACAAGAATTCTAGACCAGAGTTCATCTTGATTGTGTAGGATCTCTCGAAAGGAAAACGTGGAAAAGGAATTGAAATTGTAGAAATGAGACATATTAGAACAAATTTCTAAGTATTTACAATAAAATATGATTAAATTTAGATAGATACATAAGAAAAAGATTTGTTTGTTACTTTATGAGGTGTATTTATTACAAAGAGTTCTATTCGACTCTTAAACGATTTTGATATAATCAGCGACTCGGTCTTGTTGAATATTTAAAATCCTAAACTGTTTATTTATGTGTTTACCGTTTCTTCCATTACCCTTTTAGTCATTTTCTTACTTTGATCTGACCAAATCTGCACAGATACGAAAATACCTAAAATATCTCTAACACAAATAACTCCTAAACGAATAGAAGTAGAGGAAGATATTCAATAATTTAAAACTTAAAAAAAACATTTGTTCAATTTTAACAAATTTCTCCGCACTTTGTTGATTTTAACACCAACCTCGTATTTTCCCTAATTATAGATTGCAATATGAGCCAAATTCAAATATTGCAAAATTAAAACAATATTTCTACACATACTCACAATAAGATTATTAAATGAATAAAAATCTTAAGATCATTTTAGTCCCAAGTAAACAATAGGTCTTAATAATTATTATATCTATTTTCGTATTAAACTTAACCACTAAACTTATAAAATAGATACCAATATAAAATTTTATTATTGTTATTTATATCTAAAAATACGTTACAAGTACAAAAGTGGAAGGGCTACATAAATATGTTCTGCTATATTGACGAAAAAACGTTATAAAACAAAAAAATATTTTACTATTAAAACTTAATTATCAATCTTTGGCATATACTGAGTTGGGATTGGTTCGTTTTGTGTCTTTATCAGTTGTGGGGAAGCCAAATACGAAATGAAACAAAAAATTAATCGGATATGTGGTCATTTACACTTTGGCGGATTTTGCTTTCCCAACGACCATCAGTAAACGTTGGAATGTTATCGTAACTCCGTAAGTTCCTTTAGCGAACCATTGCGGTTTATCTTTCCAGAGGATAAACACGAAATAAACGGGAATGGATGAAAGAATCATTAACAAACCAATACCCGTTTCGACGGGACTCGCAATCATAGGAACGGCTGTTACAAAAGCCGTTGCTAATAAATAAAGAATTGGCCAAATCAAATTCACTTTAATTGGACGTTCCAAATTAGGTTGTTTCCATCTTAACCATGGTAAACAAAGAACTGATACTCCTATACTCAACTAAAAAAAAGTAACAATTTAATTAAATTAATTAAAATACAAATTAATTAATTTACCCAAGTAGCAAATCCAACATAATTAATTAATGCGAATATATCAGAACTTGTAAGATACAACATCGATAAAACAGCCTAAAAATATTTCGTTATTAGTAAATATTTTCATTACGCAAATTTTAATTCAATTTTACCATGACTAAAACAGCTGGTGCTGGTGTCATTCTCTTCTGTTGGATCATCGTTAATAATTCGGGCATTTGTCCTTCACAAGCGCCTGAATAAAAGAGTCTGGACGATGTTAAAAGGATTCCATTAACAGCTCCGAATGTGGACAAGGCCACAAAAACTGGAATAGTCCATGCCATCGGTCCGAATAGAATGTTGGCAAAACTAACCGCCACAGCTTCTGAACCGATCACTTCAGCAGGCGATAAAGTTGTGTAAAACGCCACGTTGGTGAAGACGTACACGACAGTTACTAACGTGCAAGAAATTGCGATAGCTCTCGGAAGATTTCTGAAAAGAACAAAAAAAATAAAGTGCAATTATTACAAAAAAAAAAGAAACGATTGTATTTGCAGTAATTTGGTGTCTGTTTCTTTTTATTTTAATAAAAAAATTTATTTATTTTTATTGCTTTGATTAATCTATACCTAACTGGGTCTTTCAATTCTTCTATGATGAAATTGAGGTAATTCCTGCAAAAGAGAAGGCATTACTTACTGATTTGTGTTAAAAGAAAAAAATTAAGAATAATTAAAATTAAAATAAATAAGGACACGAAAAAAACGTATATTAGTTGCCCATTTTATCCTTCTCATATTCAAAACAGTGTAGATATGAATTAGACAAATTTGTTATAGTTAATAAAAATGATATCAAAAGAACCAAGTACGATCAAAAAAAAAAAATTAAAAGTTTATTAACGTAATAAAAAAAGTTAATTGGCGTTTTGTTCCAAGCCATATCCAGTAGTAAATTGTATAAAAAAAATAATGATTAATAAATTGAGAATTAAATTAAAAGATCTTTTTTTCTAAATTTGAAATTCTAACCGAAGATATTTTTAGTACAACTGTTATAGCACCACAAATATTTATCCAGGTGAACTAATCTTTCTTGGTTCCTTCTAACCGTACTAAATTTTTCAACATCATCATTTTTTTATTATTCTATATAAGACCCAATTAAACAAAAAAAAATGAATTATTTAGATCATAATGTCAAGTATAACACTAAAAATGGTAATTTTGTTTAATTAATGAATCAACTTCAGAAGACCCTGTGCCGTATCCTCGATGACTCACACTGAAACCCATTGTATGAAGTAAAGAGAGGATAAATTCCGTCACGTGGAAGTAAATAACCCCGCGCGTAATCTCGCCTTATTCCTCAAAATGTCAAAACTCATCGTGCTTTAAAAGCTGATGCAATATCCATCAAACGCTCATCACCAAAGCGTTTGAAAAAAAAGTTTTTTTTTCTTTAATAATTGCGGTTTGCGGTTCAATAGAAAACAATTTTACGTCCGTCTACCTTATTATCCAACTATAAAATTCCTTATAAAATACCAGGAACTCCATGGCTGGTACAATTTCGAACCAACCGCTATCAAGGTCAAAGATTTCTTTCCCCCTTTTTTCCTTTTTTTTTTTTAGCTAACACCGAGTGTTCCTTTCTTTATCGTTTTTTTACGGACTGGTTCAATTGTGATGGAAGGAGGGTAGTGGTGAAGGGATTCAGAACTTACCAGCCATTGTAAGCGAACAGACCAGAGTAGAAGGACAATGCTATCGACGTGATTTCGGTTTTTGTATTCGTAAAAGTAAAATGCTCCGTTTTACCTAAGAAAGAAAGAAATCAATAAAAGAGAATACTTAATAATTCATTTAGAAAACAATGTCTCAATAGCAGTAAAAAAAACTTTATTCGTTAAAAAATCGTTTTAAGATTTTTTTAAGCTTTTTAATAAATAAATTAAGCTTTTATAGGATCGTAACGAAATGTTTACAAATTATAAGAAAAGTTGTTAATTAATTAAAACTTTTTTGTTTGTGTTGATTCTCAAAAATATCATAAAAAACATATCATTAAGGTTAGTTTCTTTTTCAATTTTGTATTTAGATTCAAATTGCAGCACGAATTCGAATGGGGTCAACATTCCAAAATTTGATGTTGTGGAGTAATACAATATTAGATGAGAGAGGTGGCTATAAGTGAATCGTTTTTATTGAGTAGTTTTTAGATACCTTATACAGATGGCAACTTCTCGACCTTTCCATGCCAGAAATGGGGGCAGTAAAAGAGACCCTACAGCAATGCTCCAACCATTGCTGTAGTGCTTCGCTTAATCAACTGAAAATAGCTGAGTGACCACCTTCATGTAAGAACTTGATACAAAGATATTGTTTTAAAAATGTAGATTAGGAGAGGTTTTGTAATTTTTTGGAAGAGAGCTTATAGGCAGGAAACTGATATGCATAAAATAGGAACTAGGTGAAACAGTGACATAAGGAATTAACTTGAGTATGTGAAATGATCCTAATCGGTCTCCAGTTGTTAAAAACAACTTTGAATTGCAATGACCAGTTAGCATGGTGTGAAAGAGAGTTTGGAATTATTCTGATCAGGTTCGAATTTTCAAGAAAAATTTCAGCAATAACCCTAGCCGAGTTCGAAACTGCAAGAAATTGGTTAAAACTACTCTGACAAAATTCTAGGCTGCAAGATGAAGTCTGTAATTACATTTACAAGACTTCAATCTTTAAGAAAGTCAGGAACCACGGTTATCAAAGTCTAAACAAGAAGAAAAAATCTGGAGTTCAGACATTAAGATTGGTGTGATGAACTTGTAAGTGAATTGAATGGTTTATGGTTTTGTCACTGAAAGTGCAATAAGTGACAACACAATGGTAAATGCATAAACTATGAATCATAGACTAAGAATATTGATTTGGTTTTATCCTATGTGATTATATTAAAGTGGGATAAAATGTTTCAATTTCAATTCCGAGGGGATATTTTACCGTTTTTGCGGCTCTATTGCAAGAACAAGTAATCTTCGTTACATTTCCCGAGTTGATTGACTTCGCAAATAGATACATTTCGCAGAATTTGCTAAATGCATGGAGTTGATCGTCGAAAAAATTAAAGCCTCGAAGCAATCACTGAAATTTTTATCGCTGCAGAATCACGCTCCACCATTTATGCCATTTTAGGTGTCGTTTTGCTCTCACTCAATTTTGTCTCACTGCAATCCTTAGATGTATCGTGGCAAAATAAATAGTTTGGTAAATGTATAGAAATCAGAGTCATCCGGGCCTAGTTAGATCTACACTGGGCTTGGCATTGTCACCATGAAATATTAAAGCCTAATTTCTTGTTACGGGAATTCCTCTACATATTCAGACATTTTTTAAAAATTAAAGCGTCGTTTCGGATGCCCCCGAAGTTGGTTCAATCTTCCAGCGTAAATAATTATTATTATTATAAGCGAATACATTTGTTTGTTCTTGATTTGTCTGTTGCTCCTTTAATCCTTCGAGATCTTTACTAATTCCTTTAAATTACGATTTAATAGCTTCACTAAAGTTTTCTCCTCTTTTTGTTGTTTCTTCTCGTCTCCAACACGACGCTTAACTTCTTAATGCTTTGTTCTGTTTGAATAGTTTCAACTTTAATACCCACCTCGCAATTTTTTTTGTTGCATTGTATTTTTCTCATTTGGTTTTTCTTTATGGTTAGTAATTCTATTCAAGAAAGAGATTTTATATTCTTCGATAAATATTGCATAATAAGTTGTGTAATTTACAACAGGTTTTTCAGTTTGTATACGTAACTTTTTATAATCTGGATATGAAGTCAGCGATTGTCAAGTCAGCAACAAATTTTATCTTAGTGTATGATCGCTTACGTATGCTTTTCTTTACTTCTTCATCTAGATTAAAAAGTTTTGGGGATTCTATGCATACCATAACCAAAATAACGGCATATTGATTTCTACATTTCAGTCACTAAAAAGGACAAAGCACTTTCAGATTTAACTAAAACAAGATATCGCGAAATATGACGTTTTCGCTTAACATCAACTTAATATAATTTTTCGGCCAAAGTGGAAATACAAACGTAACATTATTCATGGACAAATTTTAATGATTTTAATTTCTTCCACTCTTCTATTAAATGAGTGCCTAATTAATTCTTAATAAAAGTATCTTTTCGTTATTGAGACATTACGTTCTACATTACGTTTAAGTTCTGATATTTTTAATAAAAAAATACGATTTAGAACTAAACCTCTTACATCCTTTATACATACCTAAGGCTAATTGATAAAATCCAGCTGCAATAATTACAAATAACGCTGCTAATTTTGCATAAGTAAAAACATCTTGTACTCGTGTTGCCCATTTAACATCATAACAATTTACAAAAGTTAAAACACCTAAAACAAAATGACAATAATTAAAGATAAAATATAAACAAAACCAATTTCTTTTCAGAATCTATTATGAGTGAATGAATGAATTCATGCATAATCATTAAAACGTATGATCTTGACATCGAAGAAAAGAAAAGAAACGTAGTTAATCGGCGCGTGTGGATTATAAATGTGCTTGGGTCGTGGTTATCATACGTGCAAACGAGCCGGTTTAACGTAAGCAAAGAGCAACAAATAACTTATTTTCTACGACAGCAACACGTGAGTTTTTCTAAAAGGAAAAACAATTTATGAAAATAATTTTTCAATAAAACGAAGCAATAATTCGAAAACAATTCAAATTTATTCCTATGATCCATTTTTACGTTTGTGGGAAATTCAGATTGTATAATATGAACTTATAAATGAATAAGTAGATTTAAAAAGTGAATTAATAAATTTTTATGTTTGTTTTGACTCTCGACTTATTTTGATGTGATTAGTATTTACGATAATCTTTTTAATCTTGTTAATCAAATTGTTTTTGTTATTAAATATCTATATTTACATTTTGCATATTAATAGCTTGTTTATTTATGGAAATAATTTGGAAACAAAGAATTTTTTAACCGCAAAGTTTTTGTGGTTTTTATCATTCTCATATCATAAAATGTCTTTGTTCATTTTGCTTTTGTTAAAAAGATAATTTTTATTTTATTACATTAAATTATTGAGTTTATTTGTTTTAATAGGTTTAGAATTTAAGCATTGAAATTGTGTTCGTCGTAAAATAGTCTGGAATCTAAACGATACGCTACAACAACAGAATAAACACAACATTTCGAAAAGAATGCTGGTCTGAGATAACGGAAATCGTTAAGTAATTGGCCCGTTCCACATTTTATTGGTAACGATTAGACAATATACTACTAGAATACAATAGAATCTTTATATTCTTTACCCTCGTTGCAGCGAACGAGATAAAATAAACCAACCGAGTTACAGTAACAAGAACAAATAATACTACTTCGCGTATCGAATCAAATACTGGTCGAATAAATTTAAATAAAAAGATTTTCTTTTTCTTACATATACAACAGACTGCTAACATTCTTGCTGCATCTTCTGGTGGTTGACAATCGGGAAAGAACGGTTTCATAACGTAAACGCTAAACGTTAAAGCGACAATTGCTTGGGAACATGGTCGAACTATCATACACTCAATCCATAATCTTATAAATGCTAAAAATGGTCCAAATGTTACCATTATGTAAGCGTAATCGGCGCCACTTTTTCTTATCATCGTTCCTAATTCTGCATAACAATAAGCTCCAACCTGAAAAGAATCATCAATAAAACAAAACTATAATCAATGCATTTTTATCACTATTAATTTATATTAAAACGTCAAAAAAGAAATTTTTAAATAATATGTAACAATGTTAATAGTAAAAGTAACAACAACCTTCGCTATATGGGAGATTGTAAAAAAGGAAAAAAAAATGTCGCAAGGCATCAGGTGATAGATTGTTATCCTTGAAAATCGCCGAATTCCCGTTGCATAAATAATAAGGTGGCCGCGTTGCTTGTATACTTTCGACACGTGGTGCGTTAGTAATCGTATGAAAATGAACTTGTATACGTTAAGAAACCGACACGTTATGTAAGTACAGTATCTATTTACCATCTCTCCTGGCTACCTGTGTGTATGCAAGAGATCCGATCGATCGGTGTAAGCCGAGAAACCTTTCGATTTCAATGAGGTGACCCCGTCATGGTCGAGAATTTCAGTTGAAAAGGTGTTTATAATAGCAAAAAATACAGTACTTAAGTACTCCTTAAGTATTCAATTTCATATTAGTCAAAAATTTATTTAGTTTTATTATCTATAATGATGTATCTTTTGCAAAAGTGTTTAACGTTTCGGATGCTATGTTCAATCTTCTTCAGAAACAAGTTGGAAGTGAACTTGTTTCTTGTCAGTTCGTAGGTATCAGTTCTTGATTTCAGTATTTTGCGGATGATCTTAGAGTTTCGTGGATGTTTCCAGTGTCCAATTTTAAAGTGCATTATCCAGAAATTTGATTCTATTTCCATAAGAATTAGAACAAGAAAATAGTGATTGGTTCTAGTATCTAGAGGATGATTCCAATACGCAGTTGTTGGGTGTAGTACTCATAGAGTTTGGTCCAGTACCCAAAAGTTAGATCCAGGTTCCATGATGATTAGAACCAGAATATAATGTGTGATTCCAGTATTCTGTGGATGATTCCAGTATGCAGTTAATATTTCCGTATCCATTGCTACGGTGATTTGTTCCAAAATGGGAAAGTTAGATACAGTATACCTAATTAATAGTTTAAGTATTCAGTGGTTGATTTCAGTATCTTGTGGATGATCCCAGTATCTATTGGATGACTCGAATATTGACAGCTTGCCTCCAGTGTTCATAATCATTAGCAACACTATTTTTGTCACACACTACGTGGATAATCTAAATGATTCCGGTATTTATCCTACGTAGAGAAATGATTCCAAACTGACTTAATCTTATAAAACAGTAATAACCAAAGTTTTCAAATCATAGCTTTGCCAACTTGAAACTTGAATAGGAGTCCCAAATTGCCGGTTTAAAACGATTCTTATTTTTTCCATGTATAAAGTTTTTTGATATCTTCAGTCATAAACGAGTATTATTCAAAATACTTTTTTAGGTAGGAGACTACAACCTTCCTATTTTTAATTTTTAATGACCGAGACGAGAAATTCAACATCTTGGTCAATATTTACGCTTATTAATTAATTCAGTTATACAATTTTATTTATTTTTTTGTAACCTTACGTTAAAAATAAGACTTAAAATCAAGATTAAATGAGTACGAAATAATTAATAAAAATACCGTGGAACTAATAGAATAAAGCAGCTTTTGTACTAATTACGCGGAGCTTTCAAGAATCCTATTGCCTTGAAAGCCAAGCAATTCCAAGAGAATTCGAGAAGTTCCATTTTCTACGAACAGGAAATGTTGGTGGATCTGACGTCTCATTAATTTGAAAATTGAAATGAAAATGGTCGGCATACATTTTTTTTGTATTATCTTATATGGTTATCTCCAAAATTATGCTTCCTACAGCTTCTAATCTATTGTTAGGAAAAAAGTATTTTTAAATAACTTCAAGTTGAGGCGATCTTTTCGAGTAGGAATTTATACGCGGGTTCCGGTTTAAAAAAAATAACCTACTCCCAAATTCAAAATAACACAAACCTTTTAGAAAAATTTTGCGCGTTTTAAATTATAATGAACATCGTATTTTTTAATTTTTTTTTATGGACAAAAAGAGTTTATGTTTGCATAAAAATTGAAACGTTGCGTAACCCCAGCATGTGTCCTCCTCCTGTTTAATAAATTACATTTTTTTTTAAACACCTCGTCACATCACCAAACATACATTACATACAAAAGATCAGAGATAATTTTTTATCGCCCTTAGCGACAAATTTTAGAAGATTTACTTTTGTGATGACAATCGATACAGACATTTTTATTGCATTATTTTTCACTTAAACCATAAATCTTTTAAGATTATTTTATTTTACTTTTACATGTTTAAAGGTGATCGGTTCATATTTCTCTACCTGAATTTCTGTGGTCCATAGAAATTCCAACCCTTCAAGAACAGATGACGCAACAATTTGAACTCTGACCTCACCGCAAACCTACCATATTCTTAGGGCGTTGTGACGCACTACTAAAATGACCCATTTCGTATTGTACACTCGAGATTAAACATTATACATTCAGGATATGTACGCGTTTGTGTTTGAGTTAGTCATTTATAGTTTTCTCACGTTTCTCGATAAAAAAAATAATCAACAATCATGTAGTTTTCGTTAATTATTATAGTTTATCTTAATGCCAAGAAAAAATATCGTAATGAATGGTAATAATCGGTCAATCTCAATTAACAATAATTGTTGAATACTTGGTAGAACTGGATAAACCTGTTGTATGTAATATAATGGATTTTTACGTTTAATTTTGAATGAATACAAAGCTACTTATTTATCATATACTTTCAAAGAATTTAACGTCACAACATTTATTGGTGTTAAAATAGAATTTTTGTAACATAATGAGGTTTTAACATAAAAACTTAAAGTTAAATAAAAAGTATGTGGTTTTAAAACCGCATAAGTTTTTAATAAAGTATTATGAAAAATCACAGTTAAAAATTTATTTAATTTATTATTGTTCTAAGTCGAAAAGAGAACCATTTTAATTGTTTTATTTGTATTGACACGAAAGTTCAAAGATTATCATAAAAAATAAAAATTTCAGTTCGGACCTTTTAACCTCATCCTTTTTGCAGTACCACCCGAAAAAAGAATTTTTGTATATTTTTGCTTACCATAGAAAAAATTCCGGATGCAATCCAAACAATTAGTGACAAATTAACACTACCGGTGTGCATTAAGACACCGGCAGGTGACACGAAAATCCCCGAACCAATGATGCTGCCAACAATGACGGTGATGCCATTAAGCAGCGTCATTTTTGGTTTTAGGGTAACCTCATCTTCAACCTTTTTCTCATCCATTTCTTCAGAACTAAACCGACGCGAACGACGACGACGACGAAAGAACCGCCGAGCGCGAGTGACTGCGACTTTGAAATGCGCGTGTAGTTTTCGGCGTCGACGCTTTTAAAATTGAGGCGCCTCTTCACGTTGGCGCAGGTCCCTCTCGAAGCGACTCACAACGATCAATACTCATAGTCCATTCTTCCCATACGTTTTTGCCCACCTTTTACTACTCAATCCTTTTTACTCTTACAATCAAAACCAATTCAAGTTCGTAGTAAAATTTTTCTATACAATTATGTTACATTTTTTTGTTTTGTGTTTCTATTTATACTAGGAATTGATTGTTTTCCGTTAAATTACTTTATTTTATGACGTTTTCTTTGACAGGAAAAAATTTTTTGTTAGATTTTTTCGTTATCAACACAAACATTTCTCTTTATCTTTGAGCCCAAATCTCCTGATATGGTTAACTAAGCTTATTATTTCTTTTATTTACAAAAAAAATTCAATTAAATTCGTGTCGAAATCCTTCATAATCCAAGAAAATCTCCCTATCACATTACACACTCATTAGATTTGGTTTGATTATTGATTTCTACTTAAACAAATATTGCTACATTATAAAATTACTTCATCTCAATGCATTAAAAAGTAACATTCCAAATAAATCAAATTAACGTCACATCGATTTGGATTGATTTGATTTTCTTTTTATTGATAACAATATTTTTTTAGTTGATTGATTATCAACAAAGATGTTAACTTTAAGGACTTTGTACTTAACTCAATAATTTATTTGAAGTTGTGTTTTTAAAAAAGGGCGGTGAACCATTCGAAAATGATATATTCAAACACCACGCGGTAATTGCAACTCTAACACAGAAAACTCTCAGCCTTGAAATAACGTTAAGCAATTGCACCTCGTAAAGCTCTTTCAAACCAACGAAGCACTTAAAAAAGTTATTTTAAAAATATTTATTGGATAAACGTGAAACGACATAAAAGAAAATATATACTTCAATAATTCAACATTCACAGAATTGGTTTTATCATAATAATTATTATGAATTTAATGGAAAATAAAATTGTGTTTGCGAATTGGTGCTATTGAGTAACAATTTCTAATCCTAATCTAGATAATTATTTATACTTTCTGAAATTGAAAGGGTAATAAAGCCGAATAAAAACAATCATCAATAAAGAAAAATATTGGAAAAAAACTTCATGGTTCGCAAATGGTGACCGTCGAGGTGTGTCGTTACAAAAATGCCAAAAGAACTGGCGCACAATACATTCTAGAGCACGAGCGTGCGCTAAAAAATCTTGAAAGTGCTACACGTAATTGATCCTTCAAAAAAATTACCTAACCAAAGTTATGTATCTAAAATAGTAATGTGCACTAATCGGATTTCTTTCGTTATATACATATATCAAGAAATAAATATAACAATCAAAGCTCTTGTTATACGAAAATTATAAACAAGATTGAAATAAATACAATATTAAATAATAAACGTAAATATTTATACAAGAATTATTTTAATAAAAACTTTTTGCCAACAAGAAACTGACATCGGTGGTGTATACTCAACTTTCTCGAATTTTTATATGGCACTATTACATTAACAATAAGAGTATTTACAAAAGAGACGACACCAACAGTATTCAAGTATGCTACTTCCGGTTAACTAATAAAGATCAAAAGAGTATTTTTTACGTAAAAATCATTAAGTAATCCACGTTATTGGGTGTAATACGTAATCTTTTAGTATTTCTAGCAAAAAAAAATATCTCAAGAACGATTAGTTTTAGATCTTTTAACCAAAAGTACTTTTTTCTGTAAAATCCATCAAGGAATTCAAAAATATCTTCCAAATTATTATTTAATGAGCGCCGTATATATTGCAAGTAATAAATGAAGATATACTCAAATTTCATAGATTTCAAAATTTTTTAGATATCCAGAAATTATCTGTCTATATATCTTTCAAAAGAAAGAATACTGCCTTTCTGAATGGTTCGAATCCTAATAGCAAACTCCCTAAGGAATCAGAAGTGAAATGAGTATAAATTTGCATTTTTAGACACTGATATATTTTAATTGATGTTAAGATCATTCAAGATTATATTTTGAACAATCTAAAATTAAAGATGAGGTTAACTTAACGCAAGCAGTTGTGGTTGGAATGATTCTGTAGGGAATGGAAATCTATTAAAAAATCTGACTGAGGTGTGAAATCTTTTAACATCCAACTTAAAGATGAAGTTACAGTTTGAAAAGCAATCAAGTAAAATTTAGGTTTTCTTAGATTGCTGATAAGGTTGGGTTGAAACATTCATGAAGAGTGGTGTTGATTAGAGACATTCTTGTATTTTGGAATGATTCAATTCTAGATGGGATTACAATAATCTAATCTGACTTAGGTATTCCTGGACGACTTAGGAGGATGGATTGGAACATTGACTCATTGAAAATCTAATAGAAACTGGTTGAGGTGTAATATTTTTTGATAAATGTTGAGGCCTTTCCAGATAAGGTTACATCTTGAAAAACAATTAATTCGCAAAGAGGTATTTTTAGGTTGTCAATAAATTTGGGTTTAAATATTATCATTCTTATTGTTAGATTAAAAAGAGGTTAAGTTGGCGCATTGGGTTACATTTAACATGAATGAGGCTGAGGTATTCTTAAATTGCTTATAAGATTGAATAGAAACATAAGACGTGGTTGAAATACGATATTTTTTGATAGATGTGGAGGTCATTCAAGATCATTCAAGCTCATGACTGAAGAGTGAAGTGAAATGAATCTCTCACTTTTCAGTTGTAAGAACAAATTTTGTAGTGTTTCCAACCCAACCCAACTGATCAAAACCATTGAATTTTCTCATTAAATCTTCTTTCACCAATATTTGGCTTTTACCCAAGGTTTATAGAACATAAGGTTACCCCATTCCCTATGCCTCTGTAGTATCGATTATTACCCCGCAAATTGACGTCACTGGTTCGATACAGTCAGAATAAAAGATAGCCTATACACGTGCCTATACTGTGGTACAGTCTATATAAAATATTTAAACCTCGCATCGTGGTGTGTTGTTCATAGAACCAGCTACGTCACTGACCCACCTTGCCTCTCAGAGGAGGAGAATCGGTATTGGGTAACCTTATGTTCTATAGACCTTGGCTTTTACCAGCTTGTTTGGGCTTCATTTTCCTATTTTTTCATGAAAAAAAACTAATACTAATAGATTTAACTTTTCTGAGAAAAGTCATGTTAGAAACTTAAAAATAATTTCCAGGATTTTCTCTCAGCCACTTTAGTTGTTAAATTGTTTACCACAAGTGTCTACAAGGAGTATTTTCCAAGATATAGTACTTTGCACGCTTATTTGGCCACCCTGTACAAACTAGAAATCAGTTCTCTATTAAACTTAAGAGTTTCATTCCACCAAAGCATTTGGATTGGGAAGACTTAAGTGAAAGTAATAATTTCTTACATATAAAATATAAAGGATCATAAACACAAATTATATATTTTGAAATATTAAATATAATCGTATCATAAATTAATATCAAGGTAACCTAAAATTCTAACATAAATCGAGATAAATACAAGATAAAAATGACAAGATTTTATAACAACTTACACGTTCTAATCAAACATACCAAATTGGGTATCAAAATCTCCGATCGAAGATCATCTCGAAATTCCAGTTGCAATTGGGTTAAATTCGACAAAGACAAACTGGCGACGAAATTTCTTTTAAACGATAACATTAAAATACAGCGTGAAAAACAAACAAATAAAAAAATATCAGCTGACTAAAAGTAATAAAAAAAATGTGTTCTTCCACTCCTTCTCGATATTGGTTACATCATCGTCTTTGATGACCCTATCAGCTTGGTTCAATTTGATTAAAATGTAAATTAACATAACATTAAGAGGCGAAACGCTGTTGACGCCTTCTCGTATATTAATGTTGTAATAGCAATCAAAAAAATGACTTAATAAAATTATTGGCGTGTTTAAAAATAGTCCCTCGATGTGTTTAATATTTAAATTCTTTTCAAAGTTTACTTACGAATTTATTGTTTGTATAATAGATTTTTTTGTTCGTGTATAAATAAGATTTTTGTTGTGAAATTTGGAAGGATCTTTAAAAATAACTGGGATGATTCAAAAATTAAACTAAATTGGATCAAAATTGAATTAAAACGATCGTTATAGGCGGTTACAGAAGTAGATTCACAACACAACAGAAAAGTACAATACAATTTAGCGCCCCAATTATCAAGACTAGACGTAAATGTTTACTTCCTCTCATTCTTCGTGGGAGGATCTTGTAAATTCTTATAAATAATTAGGTCAAAAGAAATTAAGTATTTAAAAATTTATTTAAAAAAACACTTTATTTATTGCAACAACAAGGCAATTACGTTACCGAAACCCACAATTATTTTATAGTGAAAGGATCAAAAAGAAACCAATTTTCCTTCTCATTTAAATGTCGAAAGAGTTTTAAAGGTAAACGTCATGGTTGCTTTAAATCCATAAAAAGACAATAAAAACAGGAATTAGAACGATCTCGCTTGATTTAAACGTTCTACAATCTATCAACGACTTGACCTTAAAATTGTTGTTTTATTTTGATTACACGAGCATTAATTCTGACGTAATAAGGCATTTAATATGCTTTCTACTTTTCGCTTTGAACAATATTCAAATTATTTAGCTCCATCTTTTAATTACAAACAATTTTTAAAATTACAGGATTCTGCAATTGTAAATGAAGTTGCCTAACTTGCAAAATATTTAATTTGAAGAATAGAAATGAAAACGTTGAAACGAAGAGAGATTTTGTGCCGTGAGGCAAAAGTTCCAGATGGACCGAGAAAGAGTCAAACAATATTAAAACTTTCAATGACCTACTCTTTTAACAACTTTTATATTAACCGGTTAAATGGTACCGAAAAAAATGATAAATTCGAACCGATTATTTTAACCACGATATTTTAATTTCAATAATGGGAATTTCACGATTTTTCTTTTATATAAACATTTTATTTTTCAGGTACACTCTCTCTCTCTTCTTTCGCTTATTTTAGCACGCGCCAAGCTTTCGTTTCATTATTTTCTCTTAGAAAATCTTCTAGGAAGTTGTAATTTTGAGTTTCATTTCGAAGAAATTCAATTTTGTATCATCAACAATCAATCAAGTGTTAAATGAAATTGTTTTGATTTAATTCGTAAGTGACTCGTTTGAGTCTCTTATAATATATGGAACTTTGAGCTTCGAAATTGAAATGAGACTCACGTTGAAGCAACTTTTACTACTTATTCGCCTCGAGATATGTGTAAACGGGTTATGCGCTGGATTAATAACCAATATATATCTAAAAGTGGTTTCCCTTACAAATGCCGACATTGGAGATTTCGATTTAAATCCAACATCTGCTTAATTAACTTCATTCATCACTAAAATACATCATATTTTTTTTAACTTTTATACTTTCCATTGCAGTTTTAGTAACTCAGTACAAAGCACTTGTAGCTTGTAATAAACACCACAAATACGATGTAAATTAATCAACCGTGATTGTTTGACAAGTTTATCAAATTTCAAACCACGTCTTATCTAGGTTGCTATTTCATTTCAATTCTTTTTTTTTTAATGAAATCATTTCAATCCATTTCTCTTTCTATAACCACAATTACTTTTTTAACCATTTATTTTTCTACCCACTAAAAGAATTGACGAATAATAATGGGAAATGACTGGATTCAATACTATATTATCTTGAAGATGAGAATCTCCGAAACAACCGCTCCCAACCAACAACACAAGAAAAAAAGTGTGTCAGTGTGCCATCCATCGTCGTCGTTGCCAGAAACATCTCGCCTTGGAAGAGAAAGATTTTCGCCTCTCCACCTTGAAACTCTCTCTGTTCACTATCACGGTATCACGACTTCTTCTTCAACCGGCGTTTACATCGGGATTCATTCGTTTCGCGTCATCTGATGGACGAAGAAGATGAGGGAATCCGTCGAGAGGATACGGAAGGAAAGGGCTTCACCGACTAGTCCCAGGTTGATTTTAAGAAGAGTCCTCGTTTTGGCAGAAGGAAGACAATACAGAGAAGCTTCTGCTGTAATTTCAAAATTAGGATCCGTTGGTTTGGTTACTTTAGCCAGCGAACTTCCTTTGGATTTATTGGTGGAGGGACTTCCTCATTCCGCGCAGTTATTGGAAACACTTTTTTCAAAGTAAGTAAATTTTTTTGTAATAAAGTGGCCTTTTTAATTGGATGCTTGAAATTTTTAAGATTAGTAGCTACTGGACAGAGGCCAAATTTAAATGCGGAACCTGTTCTGTGGCAATTGGTGAGGTTGTTCGCTTTGCATGAAGATCCTGGGTTGAAAAGTAAATTGGGAAGATTGGCACAAGTTCTTTTGGAGTTTCAACCGGAGTTTTTTCGCGTTTTGAGTTCTAGAAGGAAAACTTTAGAACAAGCTGTTCAAGGTAAATATAAATAAAAACCTCTGCTTTTTACTCTCTTTATTTTTTACTGGCTCTATATGGCTGCCAATTTTTAGTAATGACTCTGAATACAATCCAATATTATTCACTGTCTCTAAGTAACTCTGCAATGAATCTTAGTTGCTATCTATACCATTCATTTAATCACTATTTTCTGATCAACTTTTACCAGAGCAGAACTTCTTGTATTCTTATAAACGTTGCAGTCTTTGCATTGATTGTTCATATTGACACCGTTTATCCTAATTCACATCCATTCCATTCCAACTTTTCTATGGAAATATATTTTTGTATATTGTATCTTAAGTGAAATTCACTGTATATCAAAAAGGTGCAATCCCAAATACAAGATGATAATAATCTTCCTTCATTATCTAAATCCCTGACAGCCATATTTAAGAAGTTGCAAACAATAGGTTAAATAGATGGTTATTATGAAAAATAAGACTATAACTAGAACTTCCGAGTTTCTGCCCTTTGTTTATTAAAACATTGTTTGACGTTTCGGATGCCACGATGAAACATTTTACAGAAACAAGTTCAAAAGTGACAAGATGGAAATAATTACTCTAGTACATCCTTTAGAAGTCGTTCATTACTCCCCAAACTGTCTTTGTCACACAGTTTTCTAGTTTCTTAAAAATTCGCTCATCAAATTTGCTCATTTGCGAGAATGGTGGCTCGTTGTCCCAATTTTAATTTTATCATTTGATGTTAGCTGGTGAAATGTCTTAAGAAATCCACAAACCTTTGTTTGCCTTATTTTCAGATGACAAAAGTATCAATCATGAGTCGTAGCCATAAATTTGGTTCTAAGGATTGGTTTTGAAAGCCATTTCTTCAAATACGATAGCTTTTAAACTGTTAAACAACATCAATTATATAACTTTCAATAATTTGTGTACTTTAGTGTATGTTTGATTGCATATATTTCAATAATTTTTAAATCCTAACCAAAAAAAAAAGAGTATCTCTTCAAAATTCTTACGTAATGACCCATGACATCATTTTAAATATAATTTGTGTTTAATAAGCTCAGAGAAAAAAATTATAAATAATTGTCTTATTTAAATAATTAATCAACAATTAAAAAATCCTAAGCAACAGAACAATATCTTATCAAGCTTCAATCTTTGTGGTTTTTAATAATGGAAAATCCGAATAGTTTTCCACATTAAATAAATTTAAATTCAACTTGTATTATAATTATCTGATGTTGACGTCAACATTTTAGAGGTCAAACAATAATAAAGAATAAATTAAAAAGTTTATTACATCTTAAATTTGAATTTTGGTTTATTAAAGGTATTTATTTATTCAACATTTTGAACAAAAAAGAGTAACAATAAACCGATTGTATAAATAGGTTTGGGTTGTCACGGATTAACACAAACGGCCTCTGGTTTAACTCATTTACATGCCGCTCTGAAGTCCGAACTACAAAGGCACATAGAAACATACAAAGCGGTGTTACATCGCTTGGACGAACTTGGTTTATGTACAAACGATACCAAGAAACCAGTTGATGCGTCCCATCAAAGGTTACTATCGTTACATCACAACGAAGTTCAACAAAGATTAATCGATAATAAAACGATTTTAACATTAATGGATAAACCAGCTTTACAACAATTAAAACCTTTAATTGAAATGCTAATGGAGAGAGTGCAAAATGATAAGGAAGCTTTATTTTGTGTATCACAATTAAAAAGGTGACACAAAAAAATTCTTTGTTTTTTGGTTATAATTTATTGATTTCTTTTCTTATTTAGAATGCATTCTGTTGTTGAAGACCGCCCGGTAGCTCAATTATTGATGTGTTTTTCAAGGGCTTGTTCGTCCGTTTTGGAATTAATGCAACTACCAGAGAGTCCATGCCACTCCGACGGATATCATTCCGAACCGGAAACGGATGCAGATAGAGAGTAATATTTTTCGCTTATCTAAAAAAATGTTGTTTACGTAAATTGAATCGTTTAAAAACCGGATTTTCAGGCACCGATTTTTTATATTTTGTAGTGAAAGGAATTCTTTTGTGGTTTGTTTTAAAGGTTACCATTAAAAAAATTAACACGAAATACTCTTAATTAACATTTTTACTTATTTTTCTTAATTTATTTTTTATTAGAAAAGATGCAGTTGGAAGATTTGCCTCTCTTTATTATCAAAGTAGACCAAGAGCATTGGAATCTTTAGATGACCTCCCGGATTTAACACACGCCAATCAATTAAAATCAAAAATTCTTTTTTCAGTAGTTGTGGTAAAAACTAAAACAACGTATCCAATCATCATTATAATCGATTCATTTTAGCTTGCTTTTAGGACATGTCGTCATTTAAAAGACACAAAATTAAGAGAAACATTCCGAAATCTTCACATTGACGTAAGAAACTCATCTGCAAATTTACTAAGGTCAACGATAACGAAATGTTTTGCAACAACATTCGATACGTTCCCGTTAAGCGAAATTGAAACCCAAATTCGCAATTTGGTTTGCGACACTCTTCAAGAGTACAAATGTCTGGATTCGTGCGAAGGATTACGAAGATATGTTGCGGAAGTTTCACGAACAGTTTGGTTTTTAATCAATCAAGATCCACCTTTTGAATTAGAAACCAATTTTACGATTCCGACAAAATTTAGACCCGATTTACATCTTAAACATCATTCTTCTGATAGAACGTCTGATAATGTTAAATGTTATTTGTGGCCAGCTTTAATACAATCGGGAAATTGTGTACATAAAGCTGTTGTTGTTACTGATGGAGGATAAAAATTAAAATTATTTAAAATTAATTTAAAGTGGGGTTGGTGTAATTGTTATTGTTTATTTCAGCCATACATATTTATATTATTATTTGCTTATTGTTGCATTTAAAGTATTATTTTATATTGTTCATGTTTTAAATAAATTTTTTATTTTCTCGTATGATATCAATATAATTCAAACTTAAACATTAATTAAAATTTGAAGTTTAAAATTACAGAGCTCTTTTTTATTGCTCTTATTTTTATTGGTAATAAAGAAAAAGCGGGGAATTTGAATCAAATCAAAACTTTAAAAAATATGTATATATTGATTTAAATTATTAAATTCTAAAGTATATAAAAGATTATATTTCAAAACGAAATTTTTTATATTTAATTTTTATTATAAATCATAATAATTTATGGTCGTAAACTAATCGATGTCTAGAAAATCTAGGGGAAGGGGCCGATTTAACATTGGTATCCATGTTCATACTGCCAGTTGCCAGTTCGTGTTTGACAGCCAACACCGTTTGGACGCCTATGTGTATGCGTGTGACAACTTTGGAGGCCTTTTGTGACCGTCAAAAAGGTCTCGGACACACCCCGACAATCGAGACTAAGTGAAAAATGTACTAAACCCGTTTACTAATCGTAAAAATTCCATAAAATCACATTGTGTCTGTCAAAAAATTGCGTGCGAGGAGCCGCGACCGATAGTTTTTGGTTTGTTATTACAATCAGACCGAACGACGGTGTGTTGTTCTAAACGAGTGGTTTTAACGTGATTTTTCCTGGTTGTTACACGTTTAGGTTTAGGGTTGTTAAATGGAAAGGGGTCGGATACGGCCCGAATTGACGGGTAGCCGGATTACCAAGCAAACTGGAACTGATGGAATTAGAAAATATTGTCGCAAACACCGTATATCTCAAAGCGAGAGAAGGTTGTTGAGATTTTTTATAATTTAGTGTAAATTGTAGGTTATAATCGTACGTATTTCAGGGGGCTCCGATAGTAACAAGGGGAAGAGTAAGAAGTGGCGAAAAATCCTTCAATTTCCACACATATCCCAGTGCATTGATCTTGTTAACAATACTGGTAAAGAAATTTTAAAACATATTTTAAAACCATGTGATTATCATTTATTTGAAACTATATAGTCCATTCATTTTAATGGATAAATTAGTTAAAAATGTTATTTTGACATTTAAAATGTCATATTGACACAAGACGTCACTTTGACATAAAATAATTAAATTTAAAATTATTTTTTTGAATTCACACAGTAATTAATTTCATAAAACTATTTTAATTCAAATAACTTTGAAATGATTCAAAAATTTTATTTTAATGGTTTTTATTGGAAATATAAGTATAATGATTCGATAATTTGACAACTTTGAATTGAACTGAATTCAAATTATTGATAACTGGTGCAAATGGTGTAAGTGTTAGTTCTTATAAGTTTTTACTTTCTGGATGATGTGTACAACACAAATAGGTGAGTTAATTTAAACATTTTTTTTAATCATCTTTTCACAGACAATTCTTCTTGTTTTGTTGGAAACTGGTTATCATACCTTAAAACCACTATGTTGAAGAAAAAGCAAAATTAAACATATTGATATATTTTTTAATTTTATCATTGTATTTAAATTACTAATAAAGTTATAGTTATATTAAGTTATTATAGTGAGTAAAATAATTTATTTAGAAAGTGTGTATTTGATATGATGTTGCAATCCAATTTGATAAATACATATTTTTATATATTCGACCCGATATTTCACACTGATAAAAGTTTATTGGGACATTGATAAGTGAAATTATTGTATGCCATTACAACTTTAAGTGTAATTAAACATTTGTAGTTTTCAGTTATTTGTAATGATTTTTTTTTCTTATCAATACTTATTTTAACTTCATTTTAAATTTTATTTCGTTATTAGTTATTACAATATTACCTACTTAGCATAAGTTTAAAGATAAAGCAGTTGAATATATTTGAAGAATTTAAAAATTGCAAGATTGTAAAAAAAAAATCTTGACAGTTTGTTAGTTAATCACTGGAAATGTATTTTATTTATTATCTATGTTTTTATTTTTTACCAAGGAAATAATTTTGTAAAGTTGTTATGCAACAGAAATTATTTAAAAAACGTTTCATTTAATTCTTGATTATCCTTATAAATGAGTTAAAAAAATTTCTTCATGATAACTTTATCATGGTGAATTTCTTATAAATCACATACAAGTATTTTTAGAAAAATATTTATAAAAAACAAACTTAAAGTTGAATAAACCCATTAGGAAAGAATATTATGTTTTAATAGGTCATAAATTTTAATAAATATCACATTTAAGGAGATGAACTTTATTTAATTTTTGATTTTATCTGATGGTTATTACTTTCTTAATAACCCAAATAATTACTTGTCGTCCTTACTGTTAATATCAATAAAACAGTTGAGTATGAAAAGTTAATAAAGTATTTATTATTATTACTACATTCATAAATCTTTAAGATTAGCTATTTGTAATGGATTTATTTTTAATGCTTAATAAATATGCGACATTAACCAGTTAATCTTTACCCGGACTTTGTATCAAATTCACACAATTTTAATTGATATTTTTGAGTTATTTTGGCTCAGTAAAGGAATTTTGGTCTACTTTGTACTCTTATTTTTCTTTTCGCCGTTATTTTGCAACATTGGTTTCTCAGATATTTAAACATTAATCTAATGTAGATTTTCTTTTGGGAAACGTTTCCCAGGAAAAATGTATAAATCTATAACTTCACACACTTAAAGAATCTAATATTATAAGTTTTTCTTATTCTATAAATATCGTTGTTTTTCACGAAACAAGTTCGTTAGAAAACCGGTATGTTGAAAGTATAAATTTCTAATTCATTTTTTTTTATTTCTTAATAGATGTTCGATATGAATATGTAGTCGACCAACAACCTATAGGTAAATTATTATTTTTGCAATGGTGCGAGGCGACAAGACCTCATTTGCATCGTTGCATGAAATTTCTCGAAGCCACCGAACGTTATGAAGTAGAAACGGACGAGCAACGGGTGGAGTTGGCCGAAACCATCAAGAAAGAGTTCATGGTGGGTCCATCCGGAGATGAGTGCCTTTCGTTTCCGGAATTGGGCGTCGAACTGCCTACCAGTGACAAATTAACTAATGGACATAAGGATCTGTTTGCTCCTTGTGTCCAAACGATCAAAACGACTTTAGCTGGAGAACCTTTCAGGGATTTTACTAATTCAATGTATTTTCATCGATATCTGCAATGGAAATGGCTCGAGTCGCAACCGATTACTTATAAAACGTTTAGAATGTATAGGGTACTTGGAAAAGGTGGTTTTGGAGAAGTGTGCGCTTGTCAAGTAAGGGTTTTTTAAGATCTTTATCAAGTTTTGATATGAAAAGATTTATTATTGTTTCAGGTGAGAGCAACGGGTAAAATGTACGCTTGTAAAAAATTGGAGAAGAAACGTATTAAAAAAAGAAAAGGAGAAAGTATGGTTTTAATTGAAAAACAAATTTTGCAAAAAATCAACTCAAGGTTTGTCGTAAATTTGGCGTACGCTTATGAAACGAAGGACGCTCTTTGTTTGGTCCTAACAATTATGAACGGCGGTGACTTAAAATTTCATATTTACAATATGGGTGGGGAGCCTGGACTTGATATTAATCGTGCTAAATTTTACGCCGCCGAAGTTATTTGCGGGTTGGATCATTTACATCAAAGGGTAAGTTTTAAGATGACCAAGAAAGATAACATATTTTTCGGTACGGTTTTAATTAAAATCGTGAAATCAAATAGAATTAATAGGTCGACATTTGGCAATATTTGGACTTTGTAGGCTAGTTGCAATTAACATTCGATATTAAAAAAATCAACTCGTTGCGTAATGACGTAAGTAAACGTCTATCCGCGGGCTTTTTATGTTGTATATTGAACTTGCGTCGACATAATTGGTACTTTTCACGGTCTGAATCATTATAGACACTATTCCTTACACATGCTTCCAAATTTGATTGGACGGGTTGTTAAAAAAAGTGAAAGTGTTTGATTTGGGACGTTTCATTTCTAATAATTTATTTCTTGCGTCATATATTTTTATGTAACCTTCTATAAATAAATATATAAATTCTATTAATTAATTTCTTTTAGGGTATCGTTTATAGAGATTGTAAACCCGAAAATATTTTATTAGATGATGCAGGGCATGTAAGAATATCAGATTTAGGTTTAGCAGTAGAAATTCCTGAAGGAGAATCTGTTAGAGGAAGAGTGGGTACTGTAGGATATATGGGTACTAATAAAAAATAAATTTATCTTTTTTACATCACATCAACTCATTAATATAATAAACTGTGATGTAAACTAGGTAAAAATTAATTAAAACTCAAACATTTATGAAATTAAAAAATTTTTAGCTCCAGAAGTAATAGATAACGAGAAATACACATTTTCACCTGATTGGTTTAGTTTTGGATGTTTACTGTATGAAATGATTGAGGGTCAAGCGCCGTTTCGAGCGCGAAAAGAAAAAGTTAAACGCGAAGAAGTCGATAGGCGAGTTAAAACTGAACCGGAAAGATACTCAAACAAATTTAGCGAGGAAGCGAAATCTGTATGTCAACAATTATTAGCTAAAACTCCCGCTCAACGTCTTGGCGGACGAGCTGGACGACACGGAGCTGGTTTATTAAAACAACAACCGTTTTTCCAATCGATTAATTGGAGGCGGTTAGAAGCTGGAATGGTTGACCCCCCATTTGTACCAGATGTAAGTAAACAACTCCATATTCTTAAATAAAAATCAATTTTTATTTTTTTTTAGCCTCATGCTGTTTATGCAAAAGATGTGTTGGATATTGAACAATTTTCGACTGTTAAGGGTGTAAATATCGACGAAAATGATTCGACGTTTTACACCAAATTTAATACAGGTTGCGTGTCTATTCCTTGGCAAACGGAAATGATCGAAACGGACTGTTTTAGACAGTTGAATGTGTTTGGAGCTCAAGGAACTCGGACACACGATCTTATACTTACACCGCCAACGACACCAGAACATAAAGGCTGTTTTCCATTTAGAAGACGGGTAATTAAATTTTTTTAATGTACAGTAAACCTTGTTAAGACAAACGTGAATGGATTAAAACATGTTTTATGGGTTAAACTATTATATAGCGGAAAAAGTAACAGTAACAGATCTAAATTTTATAAGATATTATGATTATGATATTAAAAGGATATGTTTTTGCTATCATTATCTTCAAGGCTTAAATCACAACTAGATATGAGGGTTCACAGTTCTTTTGTCTGTTCACTGCAACTCCCTGGATAACACATCATCTTTTTCTTTGATTTTCATCACAACCTCAAAAAGCCTGCTTCAACCCTGAAAGAAAAACTTACTCCTCGTTTTTATTCAAACAATTAGTAGACTCTTTGCAATATCTATTTTTGTCAAATCAAGCTACTTCATCTAAGTTAGACCCAGGAACTTTATTCCTACTAATGAGTTGTTAGCATTAACAGATTTTGTATAAACAAGGTTTTACTGTATACAAGTATTCTAAGAGTAAATAGTGTGTCAAACAAACATGGTATTGATCAATACTTATCAAATAAATTATTATCATGGAAGTTATTGTCACACAACAAATACTTTTTCTTGCCATTTTTGTTTGGCACACAATCTTTATATCATACATACAGGGTGGTTCTCATTGTTTAATGCTACTTTTTTGTCTCTTCAGTTTTTTCTTAAAGGTAATAGTTTTCGCGTAAAAAAATAAAATATCGTGCCATGTACCGCTATGTGCCGTCATGTTTAGCTAAAATTATTCTAAAAGTTAGCTCTGAGTTTCGTTTATGTTGAATCCTCATAATTGTGGATGATTATTAATAATTTTTGACTTTTATTAAGCAAGAGCATCAATTTTTTAATATTGTTTAAAACAACGTAATTTGTTCAGATAGATATTCACGTTATTTATGGTTTTTGTTATGAAAATCACAATCAACTTAAGTTTTTTTGTCAGTACTAGATCCTAGCAACTGCACAACCTCCATACCCAGCTATAACAAGAAACATTTTTTCATGTTAATATTCCATGGCGTTAAAAAGTTGTTATAAAAAAATCAAAGGGGTTGTGAATTTCATCCTCTTAGAGGGCGCTAGGGAAGTTTAAGGTATGGTTGAAAATAAGGTATTAACCAGTAGTACATATTTACATACAAAATTTGAAATTCTACGCTTTACTGATACCTGGAATAAAAGAGAAAATGTAAATTTTTGGCTCAATATTGACAGCTCATAGTTCGAAAACAAAAGAGTTGCGATCCTATGTTTTTATAAAAAAACTTGTGTTCATTTGGTAAGTACTATGTCATAGTAAATTTTCCTGATTAAAAGCTGAACCATCCTGTATAATAACCTTGGTAAATGTATTTACTTTTGTTAAAACGAAATGAACGTTTTTCTATAATATTTAGAAAACGGCTTATTAATAATAATGGTTTGTTGTTATAGAAAAAACCACCAGCTCGATTAAGGCCAGTACCAATAAACCCCCTTTTGCTACCACAAGTGATGGAGAGCTGATAGCCTAAGGCACAAAACGAAATCGTCCAAAACCCATCGCAATGCCCCGTCTTCCCTGTTATTTTGTGTTCACATGACATCAGTCAATTTTAAGTTAAAAAATGAAAAAGAAAAAGAAGAAAAATCGTTTTAATTTAATTTTTTTTTCATTTTTTTTCTCTTATAGCTCTTGGTTCTTGTCATTTTGTTTATTTAAACATTTAAATCCCCTATTATTATACAATTTAATACTTTTTTTTCATAATATTAAAAAATTCTTGTAAATATCACCCCCTTTTTGAGTTTAATAATTATTAATTTTTAATTAAATTTATCAGTATGTATAGTTCGGGTGTACAGTTCGGGCGAGAATCTTTTGGTGGATGTGAGGTAAGAGAGGTTTAGTTACCGGCGCATGTGATGATTCAATGATGAATTTTACTTCAAGGTGGTCTCTAAAATATTTATCGTAATTTACTTAACTAGTACTTAGGGCTGTCGTGAGATTGTCAATCCGCAGAACTCTTAGGAATCGTAACGCACATTTCATTTTATTTTCGGTGCTAGATATAAAGAAATGTTTTTAATTTTGTTTACTTTGTGATTTTACGCACATGGAATATAAGAACTTCTTTTTGTATTTATTAAAGAAAAAAAGAGGCAAAAACAGTATAATAAATATAACTTATTGATATCGCAGTAATATTTCAATATTATTAATCGCAACCAGACATTTATATGCGCTAAAATCTAAACGAAACCGTTCGTTATCATTGTTATAATTGTATCGTTAGCGATATTTTATCTCGATAAATGTGAACTATACTGAAACCCACAGCAATTCAAGAAACCCCAAAAAAGAAACTAAATTGCAAGCGTACAATAAAGCCAATTTTTTCGAAAATTAATGCAAAAATACATACTGCTCAATTACGATTCGGATTTATAAAAACACTACTACAAAATATGAGTGGCCGAATATCAAAATATTTTTATAAGAAGACCATTTTTTTCATTGTTTACGTGTGATCCTATTTAGGTGTTTAATCCTATAATATTCGTGTATACAAGGATCAGTTAAAGATTCGGACAGAAAAATGTGTTGGATACCGCCCCAGCGATTAAATAAACACGGTAGTCGATTATTCTATGGAAAAAAACGCATGTCTTGGACATAGAAACCTTTTTGATTAAGCAATTTGAATGTTAGTTAGGAACTCGATGTATTTTCAAAAAAAAATTAATAATAAAAGACCATTATATTGTTTTATTGTGATAATATTTTCGTCTTTTTTTCCATCATTACAATTTATAATTTATATTTTTACAATACTTATACATATAAACGTCTCTTTTCCGCAAATCCATCTACTTTTCAATCAAATTAAAACGTAAATAAGTAAAAATCTAATTTTTCATTTTAGTACAAATATAAAGTGTAATCTTTTCTTTATATTAATCTTATAAACTAATTTTTTTTTGGAGGAACTGGAAAAAGTATCATATTTTTACACAAATATTATTTCCACTAAAATTGTTGCTAAAAGTTTCCCTTCTAAACACATCCAATATCCTAAAATTCTCATCGTAAAACCTCGGTATGTTTATATTTAATTTATCTGCTGCCATGTACGCTGCTCCAACGGCTAAAGTAGTGGTTAATCTCGTCAAAGTAATCGTTGAAATTTCCGTGTGTTCTACCATGTATTTATCAAAACCAGGTTTAAGTAACGGCCAACTTAACCAAACCGAACCCACACATAAAACGTGTAAACCACCCGGTTTATCAATCAATTCTGCAGCTGCTTTTGGTATAACCGCCCCTAAAGATTGGGCAATCTGCCTTCCAGCATTTTCAAATAAATATTTCGCCATTGCATCATCACCTTCCGAGGCCAACGTAGAAAGCTTTTTACATAAACTCGCTATGAAAGCTTTATCAAATTTTGTGTAATAATGTTCCAAAAGATCTTCTTTTACTTTTATTTGAAAGTGATCTTTTATTAACGCCCAAACTTTATCTATTGAGTGAGGAGCTGGTGAGAAACGATCCAAATCATCAAAACATGATTTTATAGCTGAATGAGCTATTTTATAAGCTAAAAAAAATAAAATACTTTAAATTTGTTTAAATTAAAAAAAAAAAAAAGATTATTTTGGGTTAGGTAATGAATTTTATGGACGTTATCTGTAATGCATTACTGATAATATCTACGATGGATATAAATTGAAGGTCTATGTTGATAAACTCTAAAACCTAGAGGATTTTATAACATTTTGATCATTCTTAATTGATTTAGATGAATTTTAAATGATTTTATTATTTTAAACACCTTTAAATAAGTTTTAATCGTTTTCGCAGACGGTTTTGATTAATCTTAAATGATTTTATTTTAGTTTGGTCTATATTTATCTTCTTAATATTCAATTTAGGGTCCGTTAAAATAGATGTCTCAGTCAAATTAACGTGATGTGTCATATTCTAACTTACAGTTTTTAAGGGAATTATAATGAAAACGTCGTTCTCTATAAAATTGTGCAAATAGATTAAGGAAGTGGTAATTTATAGTGTTTTTGTGCAATGCTTGTCAGTTTTTGCATTCAGCTGTGGTCAACTAGCAAAGATTTGGTGCATATTAAGTAGTTCCTCCAACATCAAAGCTGCCAACGTCAGTGTCTTTTTTGGTTATTCTATGGCACGAGTCTGATTATAGTCTTGTAGACTCGCAGTTTGGTCTGTGGACGTCGTTATCGTAATACGTCTCTTGATTTCGTTTCCATTGTCGTCCAGAGTGAGGTTGGTTTACAGATATGTTCCACTCTGTGTATGTTACCCGCTATATCCACCTCCTGGAAGTCTCTCAGTTTTGTTTTTTCAAATTGTAAATACGTTAAAAATTTGATATATTAAATTTAAAACATTTTAATTTAATCTTGACAGTTGACATTAAGAAGTTTGATTTGACGTTTAAATTTCAAAATTAACAAACGTCAAAATCTATATAACTTAAATTTAAAATTTCAAGATTGATACTAGATTAATTTTAATCCTGTTTTGACTCATTTTAAGCTTCACTAATTTGGTGAATATAAATATCATGACTTTGTAAGCTTGACTTGAGTAATAAAAATGATTGAAATGAAATTTTTTTTACCTCCTCCTTCATCTCCAAGTAAATATCCCCAACCACCACATTGAACTCTAGATCCATCAGGATTAATAAGTAGCGTGTTAGATCCAGTGCCAGCAATAGAACAAACGCCTCCATGATTTGAGGTGGCCGCCACAGAACCTTCCGTATCACTTCCAATGGCATATCTTTCACTTAAATTCGGATAATTCTCCAGTAATCCTCTAACCAATTCCTGATTTGTTTCTTCCTGTTCGCATCCGCTTAAACTTAAACCCTAAACCGAAGAAAAAAATCAAAACTGAAAATTATTTCATTTTAAGCGTATGATTGGTAATACTAGCGCACTCAATGGTTGGTCCTGCCTCATTCCTATATCCTTTTTAACCGTGTTAACCATGTTCGCTATTCTTTGTCTGCACTCTTCCATTCCGAGCAGGAAGTGATTTGTTCCTGGTCCGGTTGTTTTTGTCATGACCTTTCCATCGGCATCCAAAAGGACCAAGGTTGAGACCGTTGCCCCTCTGATTTATAGAGAAAGTACAGAAAATATATAAAAAAAACGTGATTCGAATCTTGATAAAAGGGTACTCTTTTTAAGGTTGTTTCAAGGTTGATGACATTAATATTCTTTTGAGGTTTTTGATACGCTAATCCTTCAGCAAACGATATTTTCCTTTACAATTGTTAAATTGATAGCGGAAATGGTTATTTGACTTTCATTTTATAGCGTATTTTTTTCTTTAATAAAGCAACAAACTTTTTTTTTATTGTATAAGTGATAATAAAAGTATGAGATCATTTTTAAATATAGCCCGAAAAAAAAAACAAATATATCTTTTATTACCTAGTCTAAATACTTTTGTTAAATTATTACTTTTATTGTTAAATTAGGTCAACGCAAGTTCAAATTCAAGGCCATATTTCATGAACGTGGTTCTCGATTGAATGTCATTCAGCAATTTCACTTCTGCTTTCACTTCTACTTCTATGCATAAAAATGTTAAAAAAGTTTCAACAAAATTATTTTACTACTTTTGATAAGTTTGTTTGATAAAGTTTTATCTCAATAAACAAAAAAAAATATGGTTAATTTTCTATGAAACTCACGATAACATTTTCGAAATAGCATTCCAAATAGTTTTTATTGAATGATACAAAAATAAACTTTAACATTATTATTTTAAATGTTATAACATAAATTTCAGTGATATTTTTAGATGGTGAAATAGTTTGTTTATAAAGAAACAACGTCACTCGACCTATTTAAATTAAATTGCTCCTTCTTTATTATTCTTATTCAAATTTAAATTGATAAAATTTTTTTTAGATTATTAGCTATGTATAATATTGAAAGTAGTTCAATATTAATCGGAATACTATTAAAATGGTAGAGTAGCATATTTGAAATTCCACAACTCTTAAACGAAGGCTAAACGAAAACTATTTTAAATGATGATCTTATCAAAGACTGAAAGCGTACGAAGATATCAACTGTTAACCTTTAAATATGACGGTAATTGTCAAAAAATAAAAAAAACATATTTAAAATAAAATTGATTAAAACTTTCAATGTAATAACAAAGAATAAGGATAAATTTTAATACGTATTTGTTTAAAAAGTAATTTAAATAAAACGTACCCTTCTAAACCTCCCAAAATTTGATTCATCTTTCAATCCTACGTTTGCTGAAACTTACGTGTATTGAATGCGAACGCACTGACGTCTATCGACGAGATCGGGCAACTGATGCTGAAATCGGCGTGCATTTGTTTATAAATGAAAAGCTGCGTTGTCGTTTGTTTTACACGAAAAAATAATTACTCAGCTGTTTTTACGAAATTTCACGATCGCAACCGAAACTTGTCGTGCCCACTTTTTCGAACCAATCGATAAAAATTACAGCAAATATTTATTTTGTATTACGCATTTTTTTTAAATTTTTAATAAGTTTTGCAAAATTAACATTGATCAATAAAAAATGTTGTAATTTCAAACTGGAAGTGGGAAATTATTAAATAAACAACATTTTTTTTATTTGTTTTAGATAAAATATGTTTATCGGCTTTTTGAGGGTTGTATTTTTATAGTACAAGATAAGATTTGGAAAGAATTGAATGCAAACGATAAAGTAAATAGTAAATAATTACAGATTATTTGTGAGTCTCCATCTGTTGGTCTAGGGTTTAAGTAGGTTCAAAATTTTTATGGAATCTGTTTGGAATTTGTATTTAAAAGCTCTTAAACTTCATGAATACATAAATTGTACAAAGAATTTAGTTCGTTTTCGTTGTACCCAGATGGCATAAAAGAATCATCCAAATTGAATCCAAATTTTAAACAACCCTGTTAAATTGTATGTAATACAACAATTTTTAAAAATTGGCGACTTGAAATTGACCTCTATGGAAGCAAGGTGATAGAAAAAAATAGTTTTCTTCAAAACGGTTGGGTTTAAGAAGGCGATTTTTTTTGAGGTTATTAAGGAACGTTTGAGGTTAGGTTATACCAAATTTTAAGTTTCCAGGATGTATAGTTTTTAATATAAAAGTTTTTAAAAATTGTCGATTTGAAAATGACGTGCTAGAATTGAGCTTAATAAAAAAAATTGTTTTCTTCAAAACGGTTGGGATTTAGACAACGAATTTTTTTGAGGTTATTAAGGAACGTTTGAGGTTAGGTTATAGCAAATTTTAAGTTTCCAGGATGTATAGTTTTTAATATAAAAGTTTTTAAAAATTGTCGATTTTTAATTTGCTTTGCTGGATTTTGCTTTTTATGAAAAATTGTTTTCTTCAAAACGGTTGGGATTTAGACAACGAATTTTTTTGAGGTTATTATGGAACGTTTGAGGTTAGGTTATACCAAATTTTAAGTTTCCAGGATGTATAGTTTTTAATATAAAAGTTTTTAAAAATTGTCGATTTGGAATTGACGTGCCAGTATTGAGCTTAATAAAAAAAATTGTTTTCTTCAAAACGGTTGGGATTTAGACAACGAATTTTTTTGAGGTTATTAAGGAACGTTTGAGGTTAGGTTATACCAAATTTTAAGTTTCCAGGATGTATAGTTTTTAATATAAAAGTTTTTAAAAATTGTCGATTTGGAATTGACGTGCCAGTATTGGGCTTAATAAAAAAAATTGTTTTCTTCAAAACGGTTGGGATTTAGACAACGAATTTTTTTGAGGTTATTAAGGAACGTTTGAGGTTATGTTACACCAAATTTTAAGTTCCCAGGATGAATAGTTTTTATATAAAAGTTTTTAAAAATTGTCGATTTGAAAATGACGTGCTAAAATTGAGTTTAATGAAAAACTTGTTTCTTTCAAAACGGTTAGGATTTATAAAATGAAATTTATTAAGGTTATTAGGGGACGTTGGAGGTTATGTTACACCAAATTTTAAATTTCCAAGACAAAGATTTTTTAACAAATTCGATTTTTAAATAATTAAGTTTTATTGGAATAAAATAAGAAATATACATCAGCATTTCCCGCACTGTCCTAAATTGCATTAAGTATTAAAAAAAAAGTTAGGTGCAAAAAACTATCCCCAACTCAAATGTTCAGGAGTTCAAAAACAACAGCAAAATAAAAAGGTGTAAGAATATTTCTTAAATATATTACATTATCTTTTGACAGCCATAGTTTTCGTTTTATGTAGATTTAAATTTAAAGCAGATAGTATCTTGACATCTATGTAAGACATGATTTATTGAAATTTTAAAGGCTTCTTCTTATAGCTGTCAAGACACTATTTATAATTTTAAAACCCTATTTTATTTTGGTCATTATAATCTCATCATCTTTGCTTTCATTATTCTTATTAATATCTTTTTGTATATTTTCCGCATTATGCACTTCGGGCATTTCAACTTGATCCGGAGGAACCGTAATGATACTTCCATCTTCTTCGTTCACCGTTAACCCAATGGTAGCACCGATTTTCGCCGAGGCCCTTTTAAACGTATCACTGATTTTATCCTGTACAACGTTAATACACATCGACATTAAAGCAAGACCAAAAACCAAATAAACTATCGAAAAAATCATAAACAAATTATTGCTGGGAACGAAATCTCCTAATCCTATAGTTGACAAAGAGATAAAAACGAAATAAAACGAAGAAAAGAAATCCCAATTTTCTAAAACTTGAAAACCAACTGCACCCAAAAATATATATAAGACTAAAATTGAGAGAGCTAAGGTTATTGGAAGATTAAATTCGTCGTCTATTTCGTAATTTGATGGTGCTGGAGTTGCTGGGGATGTTCCACCATCATCAGTTCCTTCTTCCATTTGAATATTGGGATCGGGAGTTTTTGATGGTCTTCTTAATGTTGCTGCTTCATAAACCATTTGAGCTCCTTTAAAGATATCCTATAAATAATATTGTTGATTATTTATGTTTTACATTCATTTTAATGAAATAATTTTACCTCAACATGAGCTGTTTTTCTAACTTTTCGACATCTCCCAGTATAATAAAGCCGTCTAACAAAAGCCCAAACATATTTGATACATCTCGTGAATAATTTACCAAAATCCGTTAATATTATAAGAAACAAAGGTATTCCAATTAAAGCGTAAAGAATCGTGAGTCCTTTCCCTGTTATTGTTGTAGGAAACATATGACCATATCCTAAAAAGATATTAAATTAAAATCATGAAAAAAAAAAGTTTAATTAATTAAGTTAGAAAAAGTAATAATACCAATAGTTGTAACTAAAGTTAAGCTATAAATAATTCCATTTAAAAAACTCCAAGAAGTTTTCCCCGTGTAAGATCGAATTCCGGCTTCGTGAGCGACGTGTAACTCCTCTTCAAAGTGTTTTAATTTATTCCTAGCTAAAGATTTCCAATCCTCTTCCCGTAAATTATGACTTTTCATCCAAAGCTGGTCGATAAAATCCCTTTTAATCCTTTTAACGCCGCATTTATAAAAGTTTTCAAACGCTCCCTCTATAAATTTAAAAAGCACACCACCCAAACCACATAAAACTCCCATAAGAATTAATTCGTTTATGCATTTTCTCCTTAAATTTAAAATTTTCTCGTGTTCGTGTTTCATATCATTTTTAAATCGTTTATATTCAAAAATAATATCTTTAATCGTAAAGATTTTAAGCATTTTTAAAAATTGTATGAAATTAAATTTAACGTACATGATTTGTTTGGTTTTAATAACCCTAGAAGTTTTTGGGTCGAGAATTTCGACGATTTTGTTACAAACGGGTCTTTGTTCGAATTTTCTTTTGGTGAGATGCATCTGTGGGGGTTGTTGTTTGGGAACTTTTTGGGGTTTCATTGATTTGGGAATTCTTGGTATCGGTTTTGGCGTTGATTTTGGAATCATTTCAGACGACGAACTGTCGGTGGAATATTTTCTTACAGAGGATGATCGTTTTCTTTCTATTTCTCGTTCAGCGGAAGCCATTTGTGCTCTTCGGAAGCTTTCCATTAATTCTTCGTTAGAAAAGTTTCTCGGCGCTGATTGACTCCGTTTTAAAACTTCTTTTTTGCGGTATTTATCTCTACCAGATTTAATTTTTTGCTTTGCTTTGTCAAACATTGCTACCAATTCGGTTTGACTCACGCTTATTATTGATTCAATTTTTTCTTTTTTATCTTTCGTTTTTATTTGTCGATTAGAATTTTTATTAATATTTTCTGGTGTTTCTTCATTAATTTTAACTTCTTTGTTTTCATCGTTTTCATTGATTGTAACATCATCTAAAGCTTCTTTAAAATCCTCTTTGTTATCAGAACTAGAATTTTTTTCTTCAGCATCTCCATTTTTACTCACGACTTTTTTCCTCCGCCTTTCTGGAGTTTTCGGCCTCTCCAAAGCTTTTTCTTTTTTTTGTTGTTCTTCTTCTTCCTCATGTCGCACCGGCGTTTGATCTCTTCTGGTGCTACTCGATCTCCTTCTAGTAAGATTTCTGCGTCGTCTAGCAACCGAAGCACTAAGAACTTGTTCGGGTGTCACCAAAGCTTCAAGATCGGTTAATTTGTGTTCATTTTCATTAGATTTTTCGTTATTCGTTTGAACGTCTGCGCTTTCTGCCACGTCCATCGTTCGAGAACTGAACCGGGAAGTTATTATTAGAAAATTTCGGTTAGAAAGAGAGGATTTGTGTTGGAAAAACCAAAATAGATTCAGTTCTGCGACAAGATTCTAGATGGAGTTTGAATTCTAATTTTAATAATAATAGTTGATTGGATTGTTTTCCATGGAATGAAATATTTAGTGAAGGTTTTGTTGAATATTTTTGTAATGGGTGGAGGTCGTTGAATTTTTTGATTTTTTGTGTTTGACTAGATAAAACGTCATTGGATTCGTAATACTTGTTGGATTCTTACCAATATTTTTAGAAGGTCATCCAAGAAATTTTCAGAACTTAAAAAGATAATGCATTTAAAATTAAGGACGTCGAAGTTAAACTTTTAAAAATATTAAATTATATTATGTAAATAATTTTTGAAGTGTTCTTAACCACAAAACATTCTTAAACTTTAAAGATTCATTAATACAAATACACATTCTTTCAGCAGTTTTGAAAAAAATTGAAATGTTTTCTTAGTGATTTTATGCTACTTTTATTACCCTAAATTTTTAGAATCTACATGTTTTAAACGTTCTTGGAATTTCTTATTTACTCAAAACTATTCTAATTCACTTCTAACTTTTAATTTAAAAAAAAATAAACAATAAAATGATCAAATTACTTCCTTTAGTAGAAATTTAAGGTCTATAAAATTTTATGGCCATTATAATCCAACATAAAAAGGTAATAGTTTCGATGTAGGTCACCAAAACAAGTAAGATAATACTTTTATATTACACATGGTTTTTGCTCGATTTCTAGAACACCAAAGTTAAGAAAACAAAATCGACAATTCGATCCAAATTTGGCTCGAATCCAAATAGGGTATTACGCATCCAGAGCGGATTGAACTCCACCAAATGGAAATCTATTCATCACGAATGTATTTACACAGAAACTCTAAATAGTCATAACTGTTAAAATATCCCACATTGAAATTTTGTCTCCTATATATTTCTCTTACTCACGACCTATCTTTCAAAGTGTCTGGTGAGTAACATCTTTTTACTTTTAATTTTGGACGAGTGGGTGGTTCGGAAAAAAATTTGTTTTATTTTTTTTATCAAACGAGATTGTCGTTTGGAACCGTTTACTTTTATATACATAACAAACCGTTCTGTGGTCGTCCCGAGAGTCGTTTGTACGCAAACTTTACGGTCTTCCTTATTACCCGAACTGTTTGATTTTACAACAGTCGTAATATTGACGTAGACGTAACCATTTATTGTCTGCTAACTGTTTTATTTGGTAATTTTACGATTTTTGTTAGATTTAAATTGGAAACAGAAAATTACGTCTACATAAAATTTGAAATTTAACAAGGTTTATGAACCTTGTCGTTTTCATTTACTTATTCGATATAAACACTACAAATTTATTTATAACGCATTCAGCAATTATGGTATTTCTATAATCGTGAAGAAGTATCATGCTCGATTCCATACCAACTCGCAGGTGTTATATTTATTTGAGTCCATGGTTATGATAATCCAAGTGACCGTTTTATGTAGTATTATAGCAGCGTTTAAGATTTGCCCAAGTACAGGTGTCCAAATTTCGATGGGTTTGCAGGGTATCTCAGTTATTATGAAAGATAGAAAGCTGCGGCTTTCGCGAACCTGAGCTACCTTTTTGTGAAACTTACAATGGCACAAACCAAATTTTCATAACCTTCTTCGTTTTTGATATACAGGGAGTGTTCAGATACCTCCTGTATCTCGGCTATCCGGAAACTTAGTAAGAAAGTAAAAATGGGTTCTAATAGATTTTTTCACGTGGAATCCAATGGTGCGTGTAGAATTTTTCTAGTCATCACGGTTTTTGAGTTATAAACACAACTCAAATACTGAATACTCAATTTCTCAAATACTCAGCTCTTTATAACTCAAAAACCGTGATGACTAGAAAAATTCTACATGCACCATTGGATTCTACGTGAAAAAATCTAGTAGAACCCGTTTTTACGTTTACTAATAGCCGAGATACAGGAGGTGTCTGAAAATCGTAAATTTTGAAACACTCCCTGTATATCAAAAACGAAGAGGGCTACGAAAATTTGGTTTGCACCATTGTAAGTTTCACAAAAAAGTAGCTCAGGTTCGCGAAAGCCGCAACTTTCTATCTTTCATAATAACTGAGATACCCTGCAAACCCATCGAAATTTGGACACCCTGTACAAATTAAACTGTCGTAGTTATAGAACTGTGTTGCTGTTTACAAATCCAAGATACATCCTGTAGCAGACCATTTGCTACTAACACATAAAACTGGATCAAAGCTATCCGATCGTCTACTTTGTGGGTAAAAGTTGTTGCAAAAGATACAATTGTAAAATCGTATATGTGGGAGATATCTGGTGGTCTTAAGTCACTTTAGCGCTTCTGGATGAAGGTTCACAGAATTCTAGAATCCTCTAGATCCGCTAGAATTCCCCGTAGTTGTAGATTTCGGGTACATATATCAAATCATTAAATCCAACACCTCGCCCACAAGCGACCTCGTCGATTTGAGGCGAAATCGTTCTTTATTTCTTCATAGATATACAAAGTCTCGGATAAGAAGACATTACTCTTAAATAGCCGAGATCACTTGCGGGCGAGGCGGTAGAATCCTCCAAAGTTGATGATTTCGTGTTTATGTATCAAAACATAAAATCCTTTATGGATTCCAATTTAAGTATTAAATTCTTTAGCAAGCTTTTTCGAGTTCACTCATGTTATTTATATTAAGTAAACAAAATAATGCATTTTTTTTAAAGGAAAATTTTTACAACTCTAAAAGAATTGAAGAAAAATAAAAAAATTAAATTGTAGTAATGAGTGAGATGGAAAGAGAAAATTTGAGCTAATTTTAAATCTTTGATAATCTAAAATTTCATAAAATAAATTATGCCTCTATAAAATAAGAAATTTGAAGAGGTTTATGAACCTAGTCGTTTTTATTAAGTTATTCAACATTAAAATTAGATACGAAATTTATTTAAAACCCACACATCACGTTTTAGTTTATGAATGGTATATAGGTGTAATAAGTTTTTTGTTAAAAAATATTTATATTTTTTGAAGTAAATTTATAAAAAGAAAATTGATTGATTTATGAGTTGAATGTTGAATATGGGATAAATTTGGTCGCGTGCAAAATATTATTTCTCAGTTTATAATTCTTCAAAGTTAATTTTAAAACTTTTAAAATTTCAACGAGGTCGCATCAGTGTAATGTGTAATGGCGGATGTTCGTTAAGAGGAAACTCTTAAACGTGTTGGCGAAAACGTATACTTCGCGGTAATGTTGTCTTGAATGAGATCTCTAACGGTTATTGTAACGAGTAAATATACAGTTCACTGAATTCCTTTATTTTAGGGAACATGTTGTTTTTATAATTAACTAATTGTAAGCTACATCATCATATCAGCAATGTCCCAGATTAATTTATTTTTAACTTTTCAAAGATAACTTTTGACGGTTATATCAACACCGTGTCAGTTCGTAAATCACAATTTCTGGCTCGATGTTTATTTTTCCTCTTTATGATTACTACTGGTCACTTTTTTACGTATTACTATTTTTAAATTTTCCACGAAAGTCATAATAGTAATGAAAGCCACGTGCAAGATTTATTTAAAAAATTACTGCTTCATTAAAAATTGATATAAAAAAGAATGAAAGAACTTTAACATTTGTATTAATAGCGTGTGTCTCTGAACCGTACGTTTTTGTTGTCTAAAAATATTACGTTTGTGTTTATGACTAATCGTCTGAATATTTCCCATCACTTTAAATTACAATTGTCTAACAATTTATACGAGATTATTTTACTCAAAACATAATTTTCTTAACAAAGTAAAGAATTCCACCGAATTTTTGTTGTGAAGTGTTGATGTATTTAAGTAAATTTAGTCCACCGAACCTTGGCACAGTATTTTCAATGCAGTAAAGCACCTATATCTATGCACTTCCAAAACTACAAACATGATTACTGAAGCGTTACAAAAACTGCGCATTTCAAAAAAAGAATTCTTAAACAAACATCTTACCTATAGTTGTGTAAATCGTGCTGCAAAAAAACACTGCGTTCCAAAACGTCCACGTTCGATCCTTTAACAACGTATTCTGCTTATACATATCAATAATAACAACTTCATAGTCATCTAATCTTCTTGATAACGCACCAACAAGTTCATCGGGAGATGTATTATGAGGTATCGTTTCCACCATTTTAATTATTTCATCAATAGCTGTGTATCTTTCCTTTCTCAAATCACCATCTTGTAATTTTCTATTCGTACCTTGAAGATATTACGTTACATTAGTAAATATTTGAAAATTATTTTTTAAAGGTAAAACATGTTATTCCACGCACAAAATGTTTTTATACGTGTTATTTTCAAACATGAGGCGTTTTGCTTTGAAGATCAACTATTAGTTTAATAAGTGCATCTAAGTCGTAAAGCTCGTCTTTATGGCAAGCCGTTACTAACTTTACAAGCCACAAAAATGTTGAAAAATTTATGCTTTCGGGCCATGTGCTACAAAGCACACCCAACAGAAAATTTCTCGTGACGTTTATGGATTTATAAAAGCTATAAAAAGATATTTCGATTTGAAAAATATTCAACACTTTTCAAGGATGATCTATGCAATGCGAATTTGATTAATTTACGATCTTTACTGAACTAAAAATATATATCACTGTGATTTAGATGATGAGATCGAGATGATTGACGATGCGAGAAACTTTTTGGATACAAACTTATGGAAATGGCTAACGTATAAATCTAGATGTTTACGTAGACAAAGATAGATTTTGAAATGTAGATATCCTTACTAATTTATTAAATCAGAAAATATTTATAGAAGTAAGGGTTGAATATCCAAGCAAAAATTCTTATTAACCAGACTTATTTATAAAGGTGAAGTTGAAATTTCGAGAAATTCATTATTTGGAATAGGATTTTATTAGAAAATAAAGTATGTTTATGATAAATTTAAATTTTAAAATGGTTTTTGAGGATCAATATTTCTCGACGATTATCATAAAATTTGCTAAGCTGGGGCACTAGGAAAATCGATAAATGTAAATTAGGCATTTACATCGATCCTTTGGAACTAAACTGTACACAAAAGGTCGCTCTAAATTTGAAACTAAATTGCGTAACACAATGTTTAGAGATAAAATGTCTCTGTTTAAATAAAATGTGAACAATACAAACAACAAATTTATATTGAAAAGTTCATTAGAATAGTTTAAGATGTTGATTTTTCACAACTTAATATAAAATCGTCGTGTTTGTTATCTTGGATAGTTCTAGTTTTGTTTTAGTCAAAGTGGTTCAGATGTCATCATCACATGATCTGAAATATGTGTACTTTAGACAAGCACTTATTTAAATATTTCTTCTATATATAATTATCACCTTGTATGTAATATCTAGTATTTTATTAATAGTATCTAGTGTTCCATTGGCAGTAGGTATCTAGTATTCCGCAAAGCCCTTGTGATCTTCCCAATTCCTTGGTGAAAAGTTCCATTCGGACATTACTTTTCGAATCCTCGATACCCAAATAGTTTTAGGACGTTCCCCTATTCGCTTGGACTCCATTGCATCGCTTTTTTAAAATATTCTTTCATTATGCATTTGTTGAACCGGCCAATCCGCTGTAATTGCCTTCTTTGTGTTTGCACTATTGTTTTCTATGCCCCTGGAAGTCCACTTCCAATGCCTATAAACACTCCTCTAATTGGGTTCGCATCCGAACATCGCTACAGGGATGAAGATGGTGGTATAATACTGCTTCTTTTTAGAAATGTTTTTGACAACGCCAAACAGTCTTCTGCATGGAATATCTAGTCCTTTTCAAGCAGTATCTAGGATTTTGCAAACAGTAGTTACTCTTCTGCAATCGGTATCTAGGCTTTTGCCAGCTATATCTGGACTTTTGCAAACAATATTTAGTCCATTTGTAGCAGTATTTAATCTTCGACAGGCAATATTCCATATTGCGAGTTAATGTTAATAACAAAAAATCGTCAAAGTGTTACAAAATCATATAAATTGTGTATAGGAAACACATAACAAACTTTCAGTCAGTAAAGAAAAGAAAAAAACTTTTGCAAACAACATCTGTAGTCCCCTATTAACCGTATACAGTGAATTTCAGTTAAAATGCAATATACAATAATATATTTCCATAGAAACCAGGGCAACACGATAGTACTTACTTTGTCTCACATAAAATGCAACATGTGTGAATGTTCTAGTTCTAGGTCTAATGTTAGTTCTAGTGACAGTGGTAGGTAACGCTAGTTAACATAAGTTAACTAACATAAGATATCGCTATATTGTATATTTGTATTAAATTAAAACTAGAACTAACACTAAACCCAGAACTAGAAACACTCGGGTTTAGCCGTTAGACGCACGGTTAAACCCGATACTTTCTAGTTCTAGGTCTAGTGTTGGTTCTAGTTTTACACTAGCACTATCACTAGAATTAACACAAGACCTAGAACTAGAATCATTCGGGTGTAGCAGTCTTGAGAGATCTGCGGCTCTGTTTACAGTGTTTAATATCCTAGCAATTTGTAAATAGGAGTGAATGTCGTTAGAAAATGTTAATCTTAAAACATTAAAAATAACTAAGGGCAATGAAGAAATCTATTTTGGAAATAAATTGTTTATAATGAACCAAAAAGACGTCATTTATAAATAGATGTAGCTTAATTACATCTATGCTCTAGTTAGAACGTATTTGCATAGGAGAAATTAAAATATAGAAAAAGATAGATAGAAAAAATCAAAAACCAACAACGAGGCATATCTCAACCTCTTATTTTTCATTTTTAAATTTAGGCTAAAATATATAAATAACTTGACGTCCTTATACTAGCAACTATTTTCCAAAGCTATTTCCGTTGAATATAAACATAAATTTTCCATTTTTTAAATGTAGGTAAACAGTTTGGCACAAATCAATAAAAATGTAACAAAATTTAGCAAAAATTAATCAAAACAAGAATTTAGCAGAAATAATTTTTGATTTCTTCAAGCGCCATTAATTAAATAACTTAAAAATTTTCCATACGTTTTGCATCAAAAAGCTTTTATTCAAATAAAAAAATACAAACCTTCAACTGTAAGAAACATAAAAGCACCACCAACAGTATACAACACAATAACTATAGAAAGAAAAATATGGGTAAACCAACTTCTGCTGAGTTTACTAAGTTTATTATACATCCAAAACGAACATTTTTCCCCAATACCAAGTCCAGACTTGGCGGTTCCTATTGTAAAATCCTTTATTCCATTAAACTGGTTAAACATATACTCAGAATATTTTCTAGGATAAACATAAGGATTTTGTGCAACATTGGGCGATAATCCCTGAGTACTATAAGCTGTAAAACTTCCAGGGATCCTCGAAGAAGTTGGTATAGGTGTAGGTGGTAGAAATCCTTGTGGAGATGGTATTTTTAAGGGAGGAGGTGCCCATCCAATTTGTCTCTTATTTTTTCTACTACTACTTCGTGATAATATTGATGGTGTTCCTGGTTCGCTTCTTGGTGGTGTTGGTGGTGTAATCGGAGTTGAACTTTTCGAATCCATTGTCTTTTTATTTTATAAAAAGTTCACTTTTATTTTCGTTTTATTTAACGAGCAGAAACAAACACATCCCGTTCCGTGGGGTCAATCGTCACAAGATAATTTTATCCTTACCGTTTCGCATCTTCTGCCGAACTGAATCTTGGGCCAGCTGATGTTTTCCGAATCCACTCGTATTTTCGGTGCGCACGTTATCGCATTATCCGATGACAATCAGGCGCTACTGGTTTTGTTCTTTTACTTCTCGTAGCGCCTCTTGGCACGAATAAGCGCATTGCGGCTTTATTTATGAAGCGAAAAGTAGAAAATGAAGAAAAAACTTTGCTATTTATTATTTGACCTTCTACAAAGCCAAAAATTTATAGGAAAAGAAAAGAATGAGATGGGATGTTATTGATTTTGTTTTCGTGGTTTTATAAATGATGTTACAACGATGACGTGTCGGCGTCTTCTAATTCGGTCAAAGACGCGCTATTTTCGTAAGCAAAAGTTATCAAAAGTCAAAAATACCGACTCAAAAATAGCGTATGAAGTTGCGATGTAGCCAAAAATCTGTTTCAAATCAATTTGAATTAGAGCTTTTAAATCGCGACATCTATTTATTAAAAGCTAAAATAAAGATTTTCTGAATTATTTTTGAATAATAAAGAGAGCATTAAAAATAGATATCTGCAATAGAAAATGTAATGAATGGGATTTTCTATAATATGTGGCTAAAATGTAATATGTATTTATTTCTTCTTTTTATCTTTTTTTTGTTTTCCCTCTTTAGGTTTCTGCCAATTTTCAAATAACCCCATATAGAGTTCATCGGTTGCAGCATCTGCAAGAGGAAACATACATCTTCTATTTTCCTCCGCTTTCCTCATTTCTTCTTCGAGTTGTTCTTGTAATAATTGTTGTCGTAGTTGTTCAGCTTTCATTGCTTTCAATTCTTCCTTCGTGGGTTTTTTTGGTTTCTCTTTTTTCTCTTTGCCTTTTTTCTTATCGCTTTTTTTATCTTTCTTCTTATCTTTGCCCTTTTTGCTCGACTTTTTATCCTTTTTACTTTTCTTTTCTTTAGATTTTTTTTCTTTTTTCACTGGGGTTGGTTTTGGTTTAACAAGTTCAACGAGATTAAATTTGGGAACGAGCCATTCTGGGTTTACTTTTTGAGTTATTATACTTGGATTCGTTTTTAAGGCCAACTTTAAAAGGATGAAATGAAAATTTTGATAAAAACTAAAAGAAAGATCGTTATTAAATGTTTTTGTAATATAAATTAAACTTACTAATCAAAAACAAAATCAATTATAGCACAAAGTATCGATAAATTTTTCGTTTTATGTTCAAAGTCCAATCCGCAAGATTCTTGGTCATCTTTTTCATCGTCGTTTTTCATATCGGCTAACATTTGTCGAAGCATAGTTTGAGTGTGGTCTTTAAGAGCGCTTCCCAAAGGTTTTGGTTTATCGCGGTGTGGGTGACCATAAGGTTCTAAATGAGCATGATGATGATGATGAGTAGTAACTACACCAACATTAGAGTCATCCATATCTTTCAATTCTTGTTCGCGTTGTTTAAATTGACGCCAAAGTTTCATTTTTTCGTCAAATGTCATAGTACGCATTACACTTTGCTCCGTTGTGGACTGCGATTTATCATTGATTTGTGAATCTACTTTAACGGTTTCTTGTGACGATGTGGTTTGAGTTGAAGATGAGCTTGCCGTGTTATTATCTGTGTAATAATTTTCTAATAAATTTTTTTAAAACACCTTCGTTATACAAACCTAAAAGAATCACATCTCCAACAACTAAAAAAAAATTTGATTTAGCAAAATCAGACATAATAAAACTAAATTATACTTTGACATGGTGGTTCGTAATCCGGTGGATTACTATAACTTTGCTGTGAAGTTTCCTCTGTCTGATCATCATCAGGTAGCGGTAAAAATCTGGAAGGAAGCTTTTGGTCTACTACATGAAACATTTTATAATCTTTATTTTGAAATGGTTCATTGAAGGTTTCAATGGTTTCTTCTTTCACTTCAGACATATATTCTCCTTCCAGCCCTTCTTCTTCGTCTGTATAAGAATCGTATACTAAACTAACTTCTGTAGACTTAGTTATATCCTTTGTAAGAGTCGTTCCAAAAGTGGGAGTTGATCCTTAAATAAAATTAAAAAATAAAAAAATTGATTACCTCCAAAGATTTCTAAAATACCTTGTTCACACGAACATACTCTTCGTTTTAAAATATATTTTCTTTGTTGCCCACCGATATCCATTAAAATTACATGCTCAGAATTTGTTTTGCTGATTGTAAACGTTGACTCAGAATCAGAGCTTTCCTCTTCAGCGCTTGAATTGGATGTTTCATCGTCGAGAATTTCATCTTCATCATCACGCTGGGGATTATTTTGAAAAACCAATTCGAATAAATCATCAGGTTTTGGTATAACTTTGTGTCCCTCTTGTATTAATTGTCCCGTCATTAAAATAGCTTCTTTAAACAATTTTAAAAGTTGCTTCCTCGAAAACGATATCGTTGGATCTCTCATTACCCTAAACATATACAACATCCATTCCAGAACCAATTTTTGATCCGGTTTCGTGAAAAAGTATTCGTCTTGAGTTCGCCATAAGCAATCAACGAGAACGTCCAACAACCAAAATTGAATGTAATCGAAAGTGTAATTTGTTAAACCTAAATGTTGGCCTAACAAATCAATTGAGGCTTTAATTCCAATTTCTCGTACAAAGGGTACATCCAAAGCATCTAAACTTGGAAATGTTTCTGGGATTGGAAATGGAAGGATAAGTACGTTATCGACTCCTGTTGGTGTTGGGGGTGGTACTGTTGTTGATAATCGTTCTGGAATATCGGTCCAAAAATATAAAGCATCTTCTGTTAATGGTTTTGGTTCTGGTGGAGTTTCGGGTAATGGCGGTTCAATTATTACTTCTTTTTTCACTTTTTTTGGCATTTTTAAAATTAAAAGGTAAAGGTTATCAATTAAAAAGTGTCATTGTGACAAATGATTATTTTCTCGAGTATACATACATACTTAATAATATATGGAATTTATTAAAACGGTGATGTTGTATATAAGAAACGATTTCGCCTCAAATCGTCGAGGTCGCTGACGGGCGAGGCGCTATATCTCCAACGCTGACAATTTTGCATTGATATACCAAACTAGCGCCTCGCTTGCAAATGATCTCAGCGATTTGAGAGTAAATATCTTCTTATAAGAGATTTTGTATCTTTACCAAAGTGTATAAGAAGCGATTTCGCCTCAAATCGTCGAGGTTGCTTGCGCATTTTGTGATGATGTATGAAATTAGTGCCCATTCAAATGAATCTAAGATCTTTCTAAGAATCTATGTAAGATTCTTAGTGGTTTTAGTGCACTTAAGATTATTTTCGAAACTTAAAAAGGTTAAAAATACCAAATTAAGTTTTGCTAAAAAAAATTTATTGATACTCATTAAAATAAAATTTTATTCTCTCAATTCGTATACATCCGCAGACCATCTAACTATTAATGGTATTAATGTCAAGAAAATCACAGCGAAAATATTTGAATTTTGATAATTTACTGAAGATACTTTAATTTTTCCGATTTCTTCATTAACTTCTATAATATTTTCAAAACTTGGTAAATTATTAATTATTACCGTTGACATTGTTAAATTATCTTGAAACGAAGGTACTTCATGTAATTTTCTCGCGACATCTTGAGATCCTTCCTAATTTAAAAAATTAATTTATTAAAAAAACTAAAAAAATTATCCTTAACATACCTTATTTTGATACAATAAAATCGGTAATAAAGAAGCGAAATTTGTTAAAGCAATAAAAGAATAAGCGTATTGATAACGCATTATGTTTTGAAAATGTTTACAATAAAAATTAAACTCTAAATACACCTTGTGTAGATATAGTACTGAATGAAATTTTAAAGAAATAGAGTATTTATAAAAAATAGTTGAGAAAATAGTTCCAAAGGCCAGAATCGCACACGCAATTTAATGACTCTAAATACACCTTGTGTAGATATAGCACTGAATGAAATTTTAAAGAAATAGAGTATTTATAAAAAATAGTTCCAAAGGCCAGAATCGCACACGCAATTTAATGACTTCAAGTCATTTAAAAAAATTGTTTCAATACGATTGAAGGTTAGATATTAATGTAAAAATGATTAAATTAATTGTTAAATCAATTTTAACAGTAAATCACTAAATTAAATTTTATATTTTATCAATCTCTAGGTTCGTAAACATCCGCTGACCATTTAATTATTAACGGTATTAACGCCAAAAAAATTACAGCGAAAATATTTGAGTTTTCATAATTTGCAGAATTAAAATTTTCGGTTGAAGTTAAATTACTGTTAATTGACGGTAATTCTTGTAAATGAATTTGTTGAATTACATCTTGAGATCCCTCCTAAAATAAAAGATAATATAATAATATAAAAATATTTGATAAAAATACCTTATGATATAATAAAATCGGCAACAAAGATGCAAAATTTGTTAAAGCAATAAACGAAAAAGCGTACAAATGACGCATTTTTTAAACAAACTTTACTAACTACACTAAAAATGAAGTTGTTGTGTACTAATAGGATGTTTGTATAAAAATTTTTTTTATATACCTTAACATATTCGAATAAACGATATATTTTTATTACAAGTCAATTAAACGTAGTTAAGAGTAATTTTTACTTTACTAATTGATATTTAATTAAAACAATTAATTTGGATCTCATAAATTAAAAGGTATTATTTGTTTTTCAACGAAGTGTAGATTTCGTTTTCATTATTTATATATCTATATTAAAAAACAGATTCGAATCCTAGAATTACCTAGTTAGAAGTAATTTATTACGCAAGTATTAATTGGATATCTAATTAAAGTGCATAAATTATTATTTGAACTTGATTCGCGCAAATTAAAGGACATTAATGTTGTTATTCATCAATGTCTACAATTTAGTTCATTTTAAAGCAAAGTAAAATGAAGACGTGTTTTTTATATGGAGCTCTTGTGCTTTGTTTAGCATCCGGTACGTTACCTGTTTTATTTGGGACTTATTTAAACGAATTTTATATTGTAAGTATCTAAAAAAAAAATTAATTAAAAATTAATACATTTTTTATTTTCAGATAATTAAACACGTTGAAAGTTTTGAATATTTCGATAAAACAATAATAGATAACGTTTACGAAGCTTTGAAAGTACTTGACCCGAAAAATATGAATGAATCGCCGATGGTGAATAAAAATATATTTCCTGTTTTGATGTTATTATTAGGACCGCTTTGTGTTTGGTTTGGAGCTGAATTTGGAAAATAAATTAATTCCCAATTGGTTTTATTTTATAATCTTTTTATACGTTTATTTATTTGTTAGTTTCAATATATCATAGCGAAACACTACATATTTCACCAACATTTATACAACGTGTACGATTTAGTACCTAAATAGAAAAGTCAAGTCGACATACAAAAAGATTTTACATATTATTATTTATTTAGTATTCATATTTAAGTGTACTCTTACACATATTTTTGTTGCACACTTATTATAACTTGAAATACCATACTTAATTTATTCTGATTTATTTATTTTTTAAAATTAAATTAAATACATAAATAAATTAAAACAGTATTTATATCAATATTTACATATTTCAGTATTTACAAATCACAAAAAAATCACAAACCTTCAAAAACTGTTCGATTATACACGAAATGAAAATAATGGGTTCTCAAAAATGGTTTATTTATGAATAATGATTGTCTCTCCCCACGATTTTCATGAATATTAAACATTGCAATTTTTATAATAATAATTTACTTCCATAATAAATTAATTTTAATTCCACCAGAATAATTGGACGTGCTGAATCCGCGATAATGTTTCATATTTGCGATAGCATTATCGGTGGGAGCAATTTAAATTTACTTTTATAACAAATCAAAATCATAAATGTAACAAATAAAATCCTATATTTAACTAAATTGAAGTTTAAACTTTGATTTTTATGTCTATGTATAGTAAGTAACACGTTTGATGATAAAGTTTGTTTGCAAAATCGAAAACTGTCAATATTTACGCAAATATTTGGTAAACTTTAAAAAATCATATCCACTTTATTTGTAAGAATTAAGAACCGACTTGTATCTTAAATTAAAGCTTAAACTTTGATCTTCATTTCTATATATAATAAGTAATACGTTTGATGATAAAGTTTGTTTGCAAAATCGAAAACTGTTAATGTTTAATTATAACAAAAATCGAAAATATTTGTTAAACTTTAACAAATCATACCGACTTTATTTACAGGAACTAAGAAAGAACTTTTATCTTAAATTAAAGCTTAGGCTTTGATCTTCATTTCTATATATAATAAGTAATACGTTTGATGATAAAGTTTGTTTGCAAAATCGAAAACTGTCAATATTTAATGATAACAAAAATCGCAAATATTTGGTAAACTTTAAAAAATCATATCCACTTTATTTGTAAGAATTAAGAACCGACTTGTATCTTAAATTAAAGCTTAAACTTTGATCTTCATTTCTATATATAATAAGTAATACGTTTGATGATAAAGTTTGTTTGCAAAATCGAAAACTGTTAATGTTTAATTATAACAAAAATCGAAAATATTTGTTAAACTTTAACAAATCATACCGACTTTATTTACAGGAACTAAGAAAGAACTTTTATCTTAAATTAAAGCTTAGGCTTTGATCTTCATTTCTATATATAATAAGTAATACGTTTGATGATAAAGTTTGTTTGCAAAATCGAAAACCGTTAATGTTTAATTATAAAAAAAAACGAAAATATTTGTTAAACTTTAAAAAATCATACCGACTTTATTTACAGGAACTAAGAAATAACTTTTATCTTAAATTAAAGCGAAAAATGACAGTACTTAATTAAAAAAGTTAAAGTAAAAATCTCTAAAATTTTGATAACCATTATTTCGCGATCTATTTTTAAGAACTTTGAAGAGGGCGTTTTTGACAATGGATAAAACTTCGACTTGGGGCGATGAAAAACATCAAGTAATCGCGAGTTTCTCAATCCTTTCTTGACACTTACCCCTACATTGCACGTTGCGTAAAGCTTTGCAACTCCACCCTTTCAAGTTATAGTTGGTGCTTAATGCCATCTGATGCTATTCAGAGGCTCAGTTTCATTATTGAAATGAGTTAACGATTGATAACACTTCTTACTCGCTGGATGAATTAGAAGACAATCTTCGAAGAGAAAGTAATTACAAATTTACAAATTTCTCTAACATGAATGTTCTGAAATGAATTTTTTTGTAAATAAAATTTTTCAATCAATTTACTTATTTTACCATAAAAAACTCTATCGAGCAATAAATATAAAATAAATAGGGAATAATAACAAGTGTGGGTCGGTTCGTGACGATAAACTCTTTACGAATCACGACGAGAGTATAGAATGGGGTTTAATTTGCCGCCGCAACGAGCAGTAATTAATTTTTTGGATCGCCCAGAGCAGTAATGAAGTTTTTACGAACCGAAGGGAAAAAAATGAAAAAGGTAAACAATTCCCTTCGTCGTCGGTCCGCTTCAGCAATAACGGCAGATTAAAACCGTTGACACATAATTACTCAGTTTTTCAAGGGGGCAATTTTCCATAATCGGCTTTCTCTCGATTGGAACGTTGTGAATACAGAAATCCAATCTAACGGCTATAACAGCGAGTGTCGCCCTAAAAATTTTTAAAAATGATCTATAACCTAAAACCAATCATAAACTTTACGGCTAAATAAGCTAAAAATAATACATTTTTCGAGATTAATACGTACTTACCGTTCATTTTGTTTGGTTTTGCGTTAAAAAAAATTTTATAATCCTTACAAGTTTTTGATCTAGACAGTATTCATTGTGTATACTATAAAAACATGGCTAAAGAAACATCCCTGTTGGCGCGAGTTTCCTTCATATCGGTACATCATGATAAAAAAATTAATATATTCCGTGAATCATATCTTTTCAACGTAGGTGAGTACGCCTGTTTATTTTGAAAACAACCTAAACTTAGTTTGCACGAAATTCCTTATGGTAAATTGTAATTTAAAATCAACAAACGTAATATAAATATAATAATTCATGTTGATATTGCAATGTTTAATATTCTCGTTTTTCTTTTGTAAAAGGTCGTATCAAAAACATGTAAAAGAAAATTTTGATTCCAAATTAGAGATAGTGGTGAAGTAAAGGCGAAGAAGGCAAAAAGATCGAGAATAGATAAGATTAAATAAATAAAAGAAAAAACAAAATCGGGAAAAGTTTCGTAAAGAAAATATATTTTGTAAAAAAATACAATGAAAAAGACAACATATATTTTAGCTAAAATGAAAAACAGTGAGTGCGACTACGATTATGTACATAGAACAGATAACAATGATGAGATATAATGAAACAATAAATAACAGAAACAATAATAGCTTAAAATAAGAACGTTATCGACATGCAATTGGTAGCAATGAGATCACTTCATTTTCCTCTCTTTTTCTTTATATTTACATATTGTTTTAGTTACTTATAATTATCTATAGCATTGTCGTTACGTAAATACACATAATATACTGAGTTTTTAAGGTCAGTATACCTCTTGGTTTATAGAGTAAACAAAACCAAAACAACAAACTCAGTTTTTTAACAAATTTTAAAAGTTATTTCTTCATAAATTTACAATCAAATGGAAGTGCTTCAACATATTAATTAATTCTGGAAGAGTTATAATTAATAAACAAAATTCATAAGTCCGATTAAAAACGGTGGAGCCTGACTCAGTTTGAGGTTTCTTTTAGGAACAGGATGGTTGTACATACAGTATTATTTGCAAAATTATACATGCAGATCTCTATCTTAACAATATTTTAATTTTATTTTAAAATGATAAATGAAATTGTCATGATTATTACAACAATAAAAATTAATTTATACAGAGTTATCTTAAATTACACAAAAAGTATCAATACAACTCTGTACTTTATCATAAAAAATTAATATAACTTAAAAACATATCACAGATTATAAAAAAAACGACTGAATTAAAACTGCCAGATCTGCATGCAAAATAAATTGCAAGAATCGAACTGTAGCACAACTAAAGTAAACTCTAAAGTGTTCATCTTGTCTTATAGATTAAAACCTACTATCACTACGAATTTCTTTTTCTTTTTGGTACAATTATTTGGTCTCATAGAAACGATTCATGCGCTGCATTAATATCGGCAACTTTCGTTTCTTCACCACCAGCCTCGATATATTCAACGCCCTCCTCGTAATCGGCCAGATGAGTTCTGGTGGTCACATGAAGATCAGGATCACCATATTGACTATGGTAAAATTCCTCTCTCATCATATGATTTAAACTGCCACATCTAAAGAATAAGATCTCTTGAAATGGTTTCCGGAAATCTCGATTTAGCGTTGCGTAAATTATGGGGTTTAAGAGACTGTTGGCGTAACCCAACCATAAGAAAATACTAACAAGAGTCTCCATATACGGCGTTTTATAGAGAGGGCCATACAGTGGTCTAATGAGAGCCAATACAAAAAACGGCAACCAACAGACGATAAATGCGCTCATAATGATCCCTAAAGTCGTGCTGGCTTTTCTTTCTTTCGCCAACTGGAAGCGTAATTTCTTTTGATTGTTATTTGCTCCGGGTGATGTTTTCATCGTCGTCAGCAAGCTACTCTTTGCTTGTTTTTGTTTGTTGTTGGCTTGCTTTTGCACTTGTTGTTTTCCGGTAAGCATTGGACACTGGGATTCGTTACTTCTTCGCGTTGTGAAGCATCGACCCAATGCTGCCTTATCAAGACTACACTGAAACCAAAAAAAAAAATAATTAAAAGAATTTTTTTTTTAAAACAATGCTTTTATGACATAAGTATAATTTTATTTCAAGGAATTCATTTGTATTTATAAAGCGGTTTCCACAAGTTCGTTTAAGTTAAATTGGTTGCTTGTTTTTGCGGTAGATGTCACTAGAACGGGCGTAAAATTTACATTTAAATTCCTTCGTCCGAGACAATATTAGCTATATCGACCCTTAGAATAAATTATATAACACATTGTATTTATTTCTTTACCAACTACACTAGTTTGAGATGAAAGATTAAGTTTAAAATGTTTTTTTTCTTGTTTAATTAAAAATAATTTATTTTTTTAGATTATTGTTTTGTTGTGTTATAACGCTTAGTGCGCACTTTCGCCAAAGTTTCTTTTTCGATTTTTTCCTTAATATAAGCATGTCAAGAATTCTTCAAAGTATGAAATCACATATTTAGTGGCTCATTTTCATTTAATATGACAAGCATTTTTGAAAACAAGACGTTGTTGGTAATCAACTGTTGGACTACCATAATTTTATCTGAATAAAATCATAAATATTAGTGAAAATTAGCTGCACAGTGCTTTGGTCAATTGCAATTTTGCAGAGTGCTGCCTGGCAGAACAACTGGGACTTTGGATCATTGCTTTTCTTACTTGATCCACATTCTGGCATGTCGGGTGGTTTCCTATTCAATAAAGAACCAGTCATTCTTAATGCATTAACATGCAGTGTTCTCGACGCCGCAAAGAAAAGAAAGAAAGAAAATTCCTCTAAACATTGCAAAAGTTAACGGAAAGTTTATCGATGAGAAAACTTTGTAGCTTATACTTAAATATATACTGTGAATTTCATTTAAGATGCAATATACAAAAATATATACCTATAATTTAACATTACAGTAACCTCGATACCTCGATACAGATAAAAATATACAGAGATTTCAATTTATATATTTATTAATTGTCTTTTAGAAAGAACATTAATTCAAAATTAAAAAAAATTTTGAAATCTATTTTTGGATAGAAAGATTTAATATTTTCTGTTCGATAAAGTGGACGACGATATTTCGTTCTATAACATTTCTCTACGGAAACTTCCCATTTCCAGCTTTACACCTATAAGGGACAGAACGAGATTTAACTCTGACGTCTTCACCATCCCCTCTAGTTTATAAAGGAGTCAATGGAGCTAGTTTCTCGGGTGGGCTCCCTATGGAAGTTCAAAAGCCATAAACGGTGAAATCCAATGGGGATACCCAAGCCGGGAAACCCAATGCTATACCGCTGAAATTCCCAAACGTTGAAATAGAATTTTCAATGAGATGTTGTCGAAAAAAATTGAATTTAACGAAAATTGTACGTGTTAATGATGATGCGTGTAACCAGTCTAGTTTCTGGCGAATCAATTCGCGTAATTGACATTTGTTAATGGCACACTATAGGCTAGCATAATTGACATCCATTTTCACTCCATCAGCACGTTGTAAATTGACGCAAATCGTAAGCAAATTTCGTAAGCGAATTGGACATTGAACGGGAATTTTCCGTAAAAGAATTGAATGGTTTTAAGAAGAGTAAATCACTCTAAACCGTAACAAATGACCTCTTAAAAAACGTTAATTGAAGTCGGTATCTGAAATTGAATGAGGATAATGCGGAAACTAAAAGAATCGCTTACAACTAAGGCAATTCGTATCTATCTCCCTCAGTTTGGGATAAATGCATTTGAAGAAAAGACTAAAAAGGAATTTTTTTTCTCGTTTCTTAACAGAAAGGAATAATTGGTTTCATTTACTACAGAAAATTACATTCGGTTGAACACGAAATCAATACGTTTCTAAGGTGAATGAAATTATCTGATTACAACATAATCTACTTTTAAATAAAAAAAATAACGGAAAAATTTATGGCACACAACAATACAATAAATAATACTTTGTAATCTGCCGATTTATCACAAGACAAATTTAAATTTATTATCAAAATAAATATCAAATTCTCGGTTACGTTTTGTCGAAATAAATTCTCGAGACAGTAACATTACTTTTATTCCCCGAAATTGACCAGAACAAGTTGCTTTCGTGCTTCGCCCTCATAAACAGACCTGATTTATATTATTCGCCTTACGTTCCGGCATACATCTGAAAGCTTTAAGGCTGAACACCCTTTCGCTCCGATATGCAGTCGTATTTTCTCGTAATCGAGCGAATAAATTCTTGAGATACACGGGATACACTGCATAGAATATAGAGGGACGCATTTTTGAAATTATTAGAATTGATCTCACGTACATTATTCAGGCAGAATATTCGCACGGTACTTTTGGGAGCTCGTTTTATGAGGTACGGGAATTATGTTAGTGGATTTTCAAATAATCTCTAATGTTATTAATGTATATAAATAAAAAATTATATTTAATTTTGGTCTATATACTTAATTATAATGCTTACCATAGTATTCGTACTGGCTGAACTACTTCTATGGTTTGTCCTTACTGGATTTGATGGACTTTGATTTGAAATTTTATTTTCTGGTGGTCCTCCACCATTTTTAACGCTAATCTCGATGTAACACTGAGCATCTAAATGACTTTGGGCTCGTTTTTCCTCAAGCACAATTTTCCTAGCGGCGCGAAAAATCTTGTAGTAGACTAGTATCATCACAGCAAGCGGTATGTAGAAGCTGCACATGGTCGCGTAGATCTGGTATCCGATCTTCTGGCACACAATACAACTAACACTGCCGTCTGGTTTACTTTCGTAAACGTTGCCAAAAATGAAGAGTGGCGTTAACGAGATGCAAGCAGAACCTAACCACACTAAGAAAACGTAAAAGATCATCCTACGCGGCGTTCTTTTAACCCCGTATTCTAGGGGTTTTGTGATTGCGTTGTATCGATCAACACTGATCATGCATAGATTTAAAATGGATGCGGTACAGCTTAACACGTCACAGCTGACCCACACGTTACACGTGATACTACCGAAGATCCACGTTCCTTTCATCTCGGTAATCATCGCCATAGGCATTACGAAAATTGCTACGCATAGATCGCTCACTGCCAAACTAACTAAGAGATAGTTACATGGTCTTCTTAATTTTCTCACCAAACATACTGCCACACAAACCAATATATTACCAAGGATCGTACCTAAAATAATTATAGATAAAACGATTGTGATAATCGCAGATTCCGACGGCGAATGTGGCGAGAATGTATTTAAGATGACCGTGTCATTGGTAGTGTTGTTCACTACAGTCTCGTTTCCCTCCATGCGAGATATTGATTTCTTGGTGGATTTAAAGGCTTCTTGTTTTTGATATTATTTTTCAGTTGGGGTTACATATTTTGATTATTTCTTTTAAACATCTTCCAATATACTTTGCGGAGGCAGGCTTGTCGAGTTTGGTTTTGATGAGGATCCTAAAAATAAAGATAAAATTATCAGGTTAGTGAATGAATTGGTTAGAAAATTTTAAAATAAAAATAGATATCAAAGGTTTTTATTTCGTATCGTTGTTATCTTAGTAGATTAATAATTAAAATGTATATTCGTATGTAATACGGTAGGTTATCAGAGACTGTCTTAATCTAAAATGGTTATTCGTAGATAAATTCTATTTTAAATAGAAATAGATAATCCATTATAGGCAAGGCGATGACACAATTTATTTCAGATATCTCCTTTTATTATTTATTTTTTTAGAAAAATCGATTGTATTATTTTTAATTTTTGAAGAAAGATGACTCCTACTTTCTAAAAAATAGTTTTGTTAGAAATGATTCATTTTAGAGAATCATATCTCAATATTTTCGGTTAATACGCGTAAAATTAAAAGTTTAAGTAAATTAAACGTATATTAAAAGTGATGCAGAATTATGCCAAAATTTATAATCTGAAAAAATCTGGTCACTATACAGAATTACGTCAGAGGGATCATAAATGAAACAGAAACTTGATAGAAGTTAGCAACAAGATAAACTGTTCTTTGGGAAGGAAATTGCTGAACACGAATAGTATCAAAGAATCTTGTAGGAAATATTTATTGCTGATAACTTAGTAAAGTCCAAGGCTGATTGATTGATGTAACCATGATGATGTAACCAGAGCAGGTGATAACAACTTCAATAACCAGCAAATAACACCTCTACTCAAAAAAGCAAAATCTAAAAAAAAATGATCGAACAACATATTAAAATTTTCTCCCCACTTCGAGATCTGAGGACAAGTGAAGGTGGAGACGTATGAAGAAGAACAAATAAAGGGAAACTTAAGCTTAAACCATGTTTAGATTAGGTAGAATTAACTTAATTAGGAGAGCTGCAGATGATACCGTACTGGAGTACTAAGTTACCTCCATATATTTCTCCCTAAATGGTGTAGACAGACAATTTTGGAAGAATTTTGAAAGTAATCTTCAATTACTATTTCAATTAGAATCAATCATTGAAACTGCAATCATCTACTGGATATTCAAAACATTCACTGGATTCCAGAATCATTTCATGAATACTAGGACTAAACTTTTGGATATTGGAATCAACCTCTGAGAAGTGGAATCAACCACCATGTATACTGGAATCATCCCCAGAGTACTAGAATCGTTCATTCGATATTGAAATCATATTTTAAATACTGAAGTCATTAAATAAATGCTAAAATTATCACTGGGTATACTGGAATCAACCACTGGATACTGGAATCATCCGTTGAATGCTGCAACCATCCGTTTAAAGAATAGTGGAATAACCCACTGAAATCAATCCTGGAATTATCAACTCCATATTGGAATCAACCAATAGATATTGAAATCATCTATTATATACAGAAATCAACCAATACTTTCCTGTTCAATCTTATTATAAACAAGCAAGAAAAAATTAATCAATATCATTAAAAGCAAGCAAAGTGAAATAATGGAAAATCCTGCGCACGAAATTGGAAAATGATATTTGGTGAACAGCATATCAAATAGTAGCGAAACGGATGCGCTTCCGATTTAGAGAAAAAATAAAACAGATTAATAACACTCAGTTTAAAAAATTTTTCCCAACACTGAAAGTATCTGAGATGTTAGTTTCGAGTATCTAAGGTTATGTGGTACTTCAACAAAACATATATAAAATGTATGAGTTCTTTCAAAAAATAAGATTAGCTCTATGTTGATAAATATTAGTCTATATTTATAACCTTTCAATATCACTTTTCGTTTTTGCGATATAAAATAAAATATAATTTCACCCCAATTTTCAACCTTTATAACTCGACCTAAGGGTTTTTCCGCACGAATAGAAAAATACGTCAACCTTAATTTGGGTCGTGCTAAATTTAATCGAAATCGGCGAGACACACCTTGGCCACTTACTATTAACTTTCGTTAATAGATGATTCATATGATTACATAATTTCTATTGAAATGGTGAAATAATTCCTGAAATAAATTTTTTTTTAATGCAAAATAATTTTTATGATTTCACTTCAATTTAATTGGAATCTAATCTTTCAAATGCATATTCGTTTTCGTTTTATATCTGGAGATTTTGACGTGATGATAAGCTGCAAGTGGCGTTTGGATTTTACACGTAATTAGTCCTCAATTATCCGCGGCATTTTAATTCTCCGCCTCTGCTGGACTCAATTAATTAGGGCTTGGTAATTGCGACCTCGCAATTACCGTTTAATACCGCGTTATGTAATGGGAACGTAAATTAACTGGGCAATCTCAAGCTCGAGGGTTGGTTAAGGTAAACAGGAAAACCTTTAAGATTTATTCCCTTTTTAATTTTTTTTGGTTTAATAAAAAAAGATTTAAAATGTATGACTATTTATTCTTTGTGTTTGTTTAAATAGAAGATTAGTTATGTTTGCTTAACTAATCAAATGTATAACAACGCAATATCGTAAATATGATGACCTAGGTCAGTATAAAAAAAATGTTTTGGGAACTTTTTTTTTTTCGTAATAATATTTAGAATGAAGATATCTGTTTATATAGCGACGACGGGAAAGTTAATGAAATTAAAAATTTTGTTTAGAGGGTACTTAATTATCCTTCAACCTTGTCGACTCCAGATCCCCGATATAAACGACCGTACCAGCAAAAACCGCAACGTTTCTGGTCTATTTCCACTGACCGACAGTTTACTCGCCGCCTCGTAATTTGTTTAAATTAATTATAGGAACCTTTAACGTGGAACGCAAAATAAACCGCGTTCGCTAGAGTTCAAACATTGGAGCCGCCCCTCTAATCTTTCAGGATAATAAAGAGTTCCTTTCAACTCACCCACAGTACGAGAACAGAACATCCAAAAAAAGGTGTTGAATCCACAAAGGTGTTTAAAAAACTATCCAAAATGTGGCCGAAAAGACGGAGATAATAAAATAGTTGAAATCGAGAAACAATTGTCTTTCTATGACAATAAGCTATCGAACACTGACTGCAAATAATACACAAATAGAACCGTGTGGAAATTGGAGGATTATTTGATTTATCTAATCTATACGGCTGCTTAATACAGCCAGGTTTTTGTCAATTGTAATTTAAATTGTATCATTTTATTTGTTTGGGTGACGAATCAAAACTTTTAAAATAAAAAATAAATTTATTTTTTTAGCACAAATTTTATTTAATTTACACACAATTTGATGAAAAATCTATTATTATACGTGTTAATACAAATTTAAAACATTTACTCCCAATTCTGACTCATTAAACTTTTGAAGAAGTTTCAATCTTTAAAAAATTTGAACGATCGAAAAATAAATACCGATAACTGATTATAACCGTGACATTGAAAATTCATAGATATCTATTAATACAGTCACCAGAAATTCGTTCGTCAATAAATAATAATGAATATCCGCCTAAACTCAATTAAATTTTCTCCATAAATTATTAATGAACGCGCAGTGCTCGCCAAATGGGAAAGCGAATGAATTAACGAAACGTACGACCGTAATATCAATACGCAATTGGCGTAAAAGGATTTATTTGCGAGAACCTGATTCTTCGAAATTAATATCGTTTCGACCATATGGTTAAATCACGACGATTCAATTTCCCGTCGTACCAAATGGAAATGACGTTATTAATCATCCTCCTATTTCCCGATTGGAACCCGATAAATTTTATCCTACATTTCAGAAAATAACGGTTAATTATGTTTTTGTATTTTTTGAAAAGTGTTGTTTTTAACTCTGTCTATAAAAAGTCTTCTAAACGTTTATATCGACCGGATTTGTTGAGTTTTTTAGTTTAATGGTTTGTAACTATACTGAGCACGAGAAAAGGCCATCATTGTAAAAACTTCTACAAAAGTGCTTTGGTAATTACAGAGTAAACGCGGTTAGAAGCAATCAAAACCGCCCCACTTTGAAATTTATAGGTTATTTTTAAGTCTTTTCGAACGCATTTTGTTCTATGGATTTTAAACGTAATGGACTTATTGTCGACGTAACACTCGACAATTGCCAGAGTCGAGGGCGCTTTGAACGTTTTAATTAATGCATTCCGCACGTGGCGACGTTTGTAGGGCTCGGTACGGACCTGGCGTTTGTCCCCCACCTACTTGTGTCCTTTTTCAACTTACCCCCGTTTCAGAGGCATTGTTCCCGGACGCTTAATTCGTCTCTTTAGCCTACAATCCTATTTGCTTCACAGAATTTTAAGCTACCCAGCGCGGCGTCATTCCTTTCACGTGTTGCCTGTTAATTAGCGTTAATCGGATTGGGAAATGTTATGGCGAAAAGACGAGAATTAACGTTTCAAAACTCAAACGGTATTTTTTTTTTATGTTTCAGAAGATACGTAATTTAAAGTTTTAAGGCTATGAGTTAGATACTGGAAATAACCATTAGATATACTGGAATCAACTACTTGATGCAGGAATCATCTAATAGATACTAAACTCATACATTGGAAACTTTAATCAACCACAGTATACTAGAATCATACCTAGAATTGTCCAGTGGATATTGAAATCATACTCTGGGTACTGAAATCAGCAAATGAATGCTAGAATTGTCCATTGAGTACAGCAAAGAGCCACTAGATATATTGCAATCATCCACTGGGTACTTCAATTAAGTACTAGATATACCGGAATCAATCATTTCATACAGCAATAACCCAGTGAATACTGGAATCATCAACCATATACTGGAATCATCCGCTGAGTACTGGAATCATTCAATAGTTACTCTAATCGCTATGGCAACTGTATTTGATTTTTCGATACTGTGCAAAATGTTATAGATACTGTATCAACAACTGGATACTAGAATCTTGCGTAGTACACCAAAATCAATCAATAGATATTGGAATCATCAGTTAGATATAGAAAGCAACCACGAGATATTTTTAAATTAAAAAGTGGGTATTCGAAACATTCATTGAATACCAGAGTGACTCTGATCTCATAAATACTGGAATGCTGGATACTGGAATCATACTCTGCATACTGAAATGATTCTTTTGATATTGAAAACAACCTATGGGTAGTGTAATCAAACACTAGATACTGAAATTCAATATTCATGTATTGAATATTGAAATTATTTACTAGATATTGAAATCAATCACTACATTTTGATTCTAATGACTACCAAAACTGCACCTGACTTCTAGATGCTGAATCAATCGTTATTGAGGTTGCACAAGATATCGGTATCAATCATTAAACTTACTAAAATCGACCACTGAACACTAAAAATATTTACTAGATACTTAACATCAACCGTAAAATACTGAAATTAGTTGTAGAAGACTGAAATCATAAGTATTATTAGTGGCACGAAACTTTAGGTAGATTTGTTGTCAAGATCCCAACATTTTTCAGTATTTTTTTTTGTGAAAGGTAGTTTCTTGGAGATAGTTTTGGCAAACTAACACAGAGGTTAACTTCGGAATAGCCTACTGTCAGCATACTGTTCTCGAAAAATCTTCTTGAAAAAGTTAAACAGTTAGTAAATTATCGGTTTATCTGCTATTTTCTCGGTTTCTAATCGATAATGTTGAATTTCGCTTTATAAAGCCACTTATCCAAGCAAAGCCAGCTTCCTGATTTATGTTCCGGATTATCCGGATATTTCAAATTATTTTTCTTAGCTTCATAATCATTTTTCTTTCTCAAACAAAATATCATATCGAAATATCCTTCTCATACTTTTTCACGAAATAAATAATTCATAAACATTTTAAAATTTCTACAACATTTTCCAAACATATTTATTACCTCGCAAAATAAATTTAATGTGTGTGTGGACTACTTATTTATTTAACATCTAATTAAACCCCATTGTTTTTTTTTTCTTTGCCATAAAAATACATAAATTGTCGTTATCTATTATTATCTTCCAAAAGTCTAAAGTAAAATTATATTGTCTTTAATTCTAAACACAACCTATTTAAAATGTTATAATGCTACATAATAAATTACGTTCAGAAGCAACAAGATAATTATTCTGTTTCTTTTTTATTAAAAAAACGAAGTACTCTATTTATATGAATTCTACATCGCTTTGATATCAAATGAGTGCGGTATTCAAACGGGAGGTTATTTAGCAAAGACAGGTACAAATGAAGGTTTCGCTTAATCCCCAGGGTACACTTAATACAACTTTGGGGTTTCAACGTAAGCTCGCGTTCTGGAAGCAGTTCAAAAACGTTTTCACTGCGGTTAGTAAAAGACGGCGAGGTATTCACGAAATTGAAGGGTTTAAAGCGGTTCGACTTACCATCCTTTAAGTCATCGTCTTCCATCTGTAACAAAATGAAAGAAAAAATAAAAATAGTTTAAAATGACATGAATCATTTAAACATATTTATTAAATTAATTTCTATCGTTTAAGCTTTAATTAACCCTAAAAAGATTTACAATTATGATACGAGCTCCCACGAATATTCTTAACTTGTCGCAAAAGTCTCGTTTTCATTTAGATAGTCGTCCCTTAATCTTGCGCACGAAAACTCGCTTGGTCGGTAAAGCTCCAGAAGCGAGCTAGCAAATCATCCTTTACTGTTCGCGAGTCCTTTGGCTCTCTTCCCAAGGTCCCCACTGGGCCGATATTTTACCCTAATTGCCTATTCTGCCTTTACATAAACAAGATACACCGTAAGCTATATGAAATATCACCCTCGAAACTCCCTCGGGCTGTCCGCGTAAGGTTACAACCGAAAATCAAAATGAATTTTGGCGATAACAAAAACAAAGGGATGGGGGATGAAAGCGAGAATAAAAAACGAAACTTGGGGGCAAGTTATTTGATGCAGACGGTTTCTGCGGGTCAGAGTTTATTGACGTTGGAAAGCTTTTTAGATGGGGGTGAAATAAAAAAAGACGGGGAAAAAGAAACGGAAAACGAACTAGAAGGAATATCAACCGGGCAATTTTTAAAATAATTTGCTTGGCTACCTTTTTTAATCTCGACTCGTTGGCGGTCGAGTTCCGATCTTTTTTTAGTCTTTTTACTTTTTCACTCGTTCCATTGGAAATTAGAATTCCCCCGTTACGATATCGTAAAAGTTCTTGTCCCTAATCGAAGTTCAAAAATGTGTTGAAAAATAGTTTTGATACGAACTTTCATTAAATTAACCTTACCACAATAATATTGATTTTCTGATCAGTATTTCAAATAATTCTTGTAACCGTTCTGTATATTATTCAAATTTAGTTAGCTAGCATGGAGTTTTGTTTACAATATAATTCTGTACGTTGTTTGTTCAATCAAGGTGGATTGAATGCGGGAGCATAACAAGGCACCGTTTCAAGTTTAAACAAAGGGGTCGGAAGAACAATGGAGGCGTTTGTAAGATTTTCAGTTGATTCAAGTAGAATCAGAACATCTTCATTCGTTAACTATTTTCATATTTTTATGTTTTATAGAAACGAGTGCAATGGTAAAGATCTTAAGTTAAAATATAACTGGAAGGCAATTACCGTTGCCGTCTTTTCATTACAAGCTACTTTACTAAAATAGGCTCGTATAACGAAGTGCTTTGTGTTCTAACAAAGATTCGAACTAAAAAAGAGCTTTTAATGGTGGATAAGAAGATCACTGAAAAACAAAAGAGAAGGTATTATAATTAAGGTCGAATATCAAGGATTGATTGAATACTTCTCGTTCGTAAAGGCCAACTAAGTAAGATTGATGGGGTTTTGTTTTCCATTAACCGGCTCCATAAGGGGTAACGGATACTTAATCTCCAATAGACAATTTTTATCACTTTGTCGACATAGTTGAGTCGATTTTATAGCCTACAATCTATAATTACAACACACAGATCGATAGGTCGAGTAAGTGGAAGAAGCTTTTCCCAACCAAATTAAATCGCCGTCTTAATTCAACCACCTCCGTTACGTCTGGAAGCTCCGGTAAAGCTAGTAGCGACCCGGAGGGATCCAAACATCAAGCACCAATTAGCTTGAGATTTAGTGCTGGACATCAATCGCAAAGTCGAGGGCTCGGAACGGTCCCAAAACAGCCCTCCAATGTCTCCACCGACGCAGACAATGAATGATGGCCCAGACGTGGAAAAATAGAGCCAAACACGTTTTCGTGGTTTGAAACATCGTTTTAGAGCTTTCTAGTTACGGCAACTCCTCTGATGAATCGCCCCTCGTCTCGAGTTATGGCCGTTATGATGGTGTGAGGTAGTCAACAATAGAGCCAAATTGCTACAGAGGATGATAAGTGAGTGGCCATGAAAGCGTCGATATAAAGAGAAGAAGGCAATTTTCCGAGTAGAGTACGTGACGTGGACGTAAACTTTACGCCCTTTGTATTGACACATTTAGAAAATTGGACCGTTTTCTTTCAAACAAGACATCTATAGGCCACTAAAAAAAGAATCCTTTGAGCTCGATTTATGAGCTTCGAATCTAATTTTGTAGAAAGAATATTAAAATGTTAAACGCGCACATATACTAACGATAAAAAATAACAGAAAAACATCTTCATAAAAAAATTTAAATTTCCAAAGTGATCTTTTTATTCCTCCAAATATTTTTAGTAAATGGGAATATATCTGAGTAAAAATGAAAAAAATCCAACGAGAAAAAAAACCTATAATAACATTTTTCAGTACCGACAACATACATGGGCATTGTCTTCTCCAATTTCCTTTTATATTACCATTGTTCTTTTATTCTGTATAAAAAAAAGGAACTATACCTTACCATCATTACAGCTACTGTTGGTAGAAGGCATGTTCGGGTTTACGAGCTTAGCATTTTATGTGACAGAGCGGCGAATTGTGGAACTTTACGCCTTTGTGAGAATGGGTGACAGTCGTTGCTTCGTGGGATTAAATTTTCCGTCTCGTTTTATAACGAATATAACCACTAAACACGTAGCAACAATCAATCCTAACATCATAATTAGTTTTAGTATGATTATCAACAGGAAAACCGTAGTTCTATGAAATAACTCTTAAAAGTAAATAACTTTTAATATTCGTTTTGTTACCGTTAAAATCAGATAAAATCAAAATTCCAATGACATTAAATCATCGATAATCCAGAACCAGTGTTTCTGAGTTTTCTAACCCTCGGCCGCAAGAGACCACTGCTTAATTGGTCGAAAAGCCGACAACTAAGAAACTGGTCATGTACTCTGATCAGTGTGGTGGGCAAAATAGAAATATTAAACTTTATGTCAACACAATGTGCCGCATCCTGATTATGTCCATCCATGTAACATCCAATTGGATCGATGTTATCAAAGCTGCCAGAAAAAAGAACCCTTTATTATTGTTAAAATGAAAGCAGAAACGTCTTCTATAATCTTACTATAATCTTGTTTATTAGCGCCACCTACTGCTTTCTATTATAATCATAAAACCATCTTTAATATTGTATAATACTGAGTTGACCAGCTTCGTGCATGTTTTATTTTGTAAATATTCATTGAAGTTGAAATAATTTTGCATTAGACAAAATTAATATCATATGATATGAATGAACTAATATTACAAAGAAAAATAAATAAGTTTGCAAAAAAAGATTTATAGTGAACACGATGGCAATGGAAACGCATGATTTATGATCTTGGAAGGGTCTCCAACGCCAAGAAATATGTTCACCGAGATAGCTTTGCATTCATTTATCCCAGACTAAACGTTTTTGACATGTCTTTTTTTTTTAAACGAGCAATTTCAAAACCACGCCATTTCGAAAGATTTTAGCTGTTCTAGAACGGCAACTATAAATATAGATCATTCACTTTTAACGGTCGTCTTAAATTTGGTTTACTACTCCAGACTTAAATAACAATTTAACCCATACATCTACAGATTGTGCAAGTTTAACATTGACCGATTTAAAACTACGCCTAGATTATACTCCATATTTATAAACCGTTCCTCGATGATTAATGTTACTTTCATTGTAACAAAATCGGAATTTTCGTCTTTTCAATTCGTTCTTTTTGATATTGCCGGGTACACAGTAACCATATTGTCCTCACCACGTCAGTTTGACGTTTAATAAATTGTGATCGCATCCAAACCTCTATTCACGCTACCGGGGATTCAAAATAAAATCCGGGATTTGTAGACGACCACGAATCTCTGTCACTAACAAATGAACATCAGCCACGTAGAAAAGAGGGGCTCCGTCTATCGTTTTCGCGTTCACCGTCAGCTGGCAGTTACAAATAGCGTGGTGTTCTTCTTCCGCTGACTTCAGAGGCGAAACGAACCGACAAACGCTTATTGTACCACGAATTTATCGTCGGCGTTATGTAATTTATTTCCGGGACCCTCCATCTTTTTGGCCCTTTTTGACATGGAAGTCGGGAAACAGTTGAGTGCAGATGGCATCATCATGAATGGATATGACATTGCCTATGTAAGTAATATAATGATTACATTAATTGAAAGACTCTATTTATATGTTAATTAATAATATCATGGGTTATATTAATCACTTACAAAGGGGTTTCATTTGATAGTTGATTGAACTATTTCAATAGTGTCTATCTGAGCGTCAGCACATTCTAATTGAAATCAAACGATCAACGCCCGGGAATAGAGGGAGAACTTAGTGCCCCCCTTCAACATTCCCAGGTAGAAACCCCCCGTCATTGTGAATTAACGCTCCACCGCAATCTACGTGCAAATTAGAGTCGCGCTCGATCAACAGCAGAATACCAAGTGAGGCGAATCAACCAGATTCCAGTTCGCACACTTCCGACGCTTGGTGCGAAATAAACCAACGTAAAAGAACAGATCGAGTAATGAAGAGGAAAGCTACTCGGAAATGTCATGTGGGGATGAAACTTTGCTATTGGAGAATATGCATGCGCTGCGCGAACGTTGAGGATAACGCAGCGAGATTGTGTTTGCTAGACAGCAACTGTTCGGAATTCAATATCAGAAATGACTAGCAAACATTCGGTGTGTTTATTTAGGCGGAGAAAACTCGGAAATTCTGTCCGATGTTGAAGAAGCTGAACGAATATAAAGTGTGGGCTTACGATCTTTACGCAATAAATGGGTTGGTATTATTTTAGTCGATTGTATTTTTAAATGTTTAGTAATAATAAAATAAAAAATTAATAAAATTGTTATTACAATGAAAATTAATAAAAAGAAACGTTTTAGCCTTAATTTCTTATCAAAATCGTTTAAAATATATATAGAGTATATAATACAAAGCATAGATTAATAAATAAATTATCGTAAAATGTTTGTTTTGGACGTTTGGATTCATACCAAACGAAATAAACATAATTAATGAATTAGAAACCTACGCAACGTAT